GCCGTTTGGTACTGCGCGAGTCGCGACCGAAGTGGGCTCGCTGATGCGTGGCAAGTAGCTCTGTGGCTTTTATTGTTGTTCCGGTTGTTGGTTTCCTAGTTGAAAGGTGAGCGTCGGGAAAACGTTGCCAAAGCCTTACAAAACACAAGCAAAAGCGCACATCTGAGCCATCCGCGAAGGTGCTCAAAGGGGTCCCCCTTTGGGACTTGCGTGAATTAATTGAAGAAGATCAACCGAGATAGTTGCTGATCTGCCGCGTCGCATGGTAGTCCGCGAGTCGCGACCGCTGTGGTTTTCTCAGGCTGTTCCTGTTGTACAAGAACGAGCCACATCATAGCGACACCAGGAGCCTGCTTCTGATGATCTGCCGGCTCGAGTCGCGAGAGCGTACGAGAATGATCCACATCATAGCGACGCCAGGCATCTTTTACCCATGATCTTCCTAGCCGTAGGTACTGCGGAAATCGCGACCAAAGTGGGCTCGCTGATGCGTGGCAAGTAGCTCTTTGGTTTTTATTGTTGTTCCGGTTGTTGGTTTCCTAGTTGAAAAGTGAGCGTCGGAGAAACGTCGCCAAAGCCTTGCAAAACATAAGCAAAAGCGCACATCTGAGCCATCCGCGAAGGTGCTCAAAGGGGTCCCCCTTTGCGTATGTTGTTTAGATATTTTATCAGCCAGCCAGCCAAAAATAAAAAATCATGGTGGCTGATCCTAATCACCACTAGTAACTATTTTTTCAGCCAACCAGCCACCTTAATTCAAAAAAAAATAAAGATATAATATAACTTCAAGTTTTTATTTATTAGGTGGCTGGTTGGCTGAAAAAATACTTACTAGTGGTGATTAGGATCAGCCGCCATGATTTATTTTTTTTGGCTGGATGGTTGATAAAATGATAAAAAAAAGCTCAGACTAATGAAAAAAAAAAGATCATAAATGATCAAAAAAAAGTCGTAAAAAATGATCAAAGAAAATCTTCGAAAAGCAGAAAAAATCATACTTCTACGAAATTAATTGACTACCTCGCTAACATACTCGACTCTTTAAAAATCCATCTCAAAAAGGTTCGGAAGAGGCTACGAAGTCTTTACTTTGACTAAAATTATTCAGCTACCAAAATTAAGACGAATCGCGACAGAAGTTAGAAACCAGAGAGATAAAGAATTTATTCGGCTGGTAATGGAAAGAAGTCCGGCGTGATGTGATTTCTTTTGCGATGTAGCCACCCCGAGCCAAAAAAAAAATTTTAGCCGTGTTATTTTCTTGGTGGCTGGGTTGGCTGGTCGGTTTTGAAAAGCTTCAACTTTTGCCAGTTTTTGCTAGGATATTCTTGAATTTTGTGAGGCTCCAACTCTTCGCAGTTTGGATCTCGATGGCTCTAGAAATTCCAAAAATGTTAACAAATCAAAAAACTCAAAAAACCGGGGAAAAGAAGCGCCCGAGAGCATTGGCGACCGTTGCCGTTTCGTATATTTATAGAAAGGGCCCCCTTAAACCTCTCAAATTTTCTCTGACTCTAAACACTGGGCAAGGGTGGAAGGTGTCAGCCGTGTCGAATTTTCGAGCGTGGAGCGCATGGCCCTGCAACTCAGAGGGGCGCCCCTCGCGAAACTCTTAAGCGAAACCCTTAAGGGGCGGCAGCACTCCCCGGCCGCTTTTGATATTTTGCCACTTTTTTGCACAGTTTGGCACGCCGGTCGCTATGTCGCGGGGCCGGTTCCTCTCTCTCCCTATCCCTTTTCCTTATCGGTTTCGCCTCCGTCTTTCCGAGCTCTGTCCAGATACTTCCGTCGTTCCCTTATCGGTTTCGCCGCTCGCTTGGCGTGCCCGTCTCCTCTGCAGTGTCTCCGGCTACCGATACCAACCGAATTCGACGACAGGCGACGCCATCAGGCACGGGCTCGCCCTCCTCTTTAAGAGTCTGGAATATCATGAACGGGAAAGGCTAAAACTGTGCGCCTGTAGCTCTCAGAAGAGCGCCCGGCATAGGTAGCACGCGCACACAAAGAAAGCCAAGGAGATAACTGCAATCGCGAGCATCTTCCGGCAAGACCGCCGAAGCTTGGCAAGACGCCCTGTTTGGCGCATCGTCCCGCTGGCGGCCTCGGCCGCCAGGAACAATGGGGCATGGGCTAGTCCATCAGTAGCGCGGCCGCCTGTCTGGAGCATTCCCCCGCCCCCCTTGTACCCCGCGCCCCCTGCCCCCCTTGTACAAGGTTACACGGTTGGGCACAGTCCGGGGGCGCACTCTTCGGCGCAGGCTTGCTATATTGGTTCACAGTCGCGCAAACGCTTAACCTTGTACAAGGGGGGCGGGGGGCGAGATGGTCACGCGTTGCCCCCTCGTCCCTGGCGGCCTACGGCCGCCAGAGGGACGACGCGCCACGCTGCGCTGATGGGCGCTGGCGGGCGCGTGGTGTGCGCCGCATAATCCAGCGCAAACAGCCCAGCAAGGCAACCCTCTGCCCCCTCGTCACGGCCGCCAGAGGGACGACGCGCCACTCTGCGCTGGTGGGCGCTGATGGGCGCGCGGTGTGCGCCGCATGATCCAGCGCGAACAGCCCAGCAGGGCAACCCTCTGCCCCCTCGTTCCCGGCGGCCTACGGCCGCCAGGGCGACGACGCGCCACGCCACAGAGATTAGACACACGACCGGAGCACACGAGGGGAGCACATGAGGAGACGCAGAACACAAGAGCAGCCAAGCCAGAAGAACACAGACCGACCAAACTGGAATACAGACGAGCCCGGTCGGCGTGCCAAACTGTGCAGAAAAGTGGCAAAATATCAAAAACGGCCCAGCCGTACCCCTGTCCCTTAACGGTTTCGCTTAAGAGTTTCGCGCGGTGAAGATCCAACCGAAAGCGTCGAAGTTCTTTGCTTTTTTCAAGCTGTTCCGGGCTATCGGTCCCTACTAGAAGTCGGCCTTTTTGAAATACACAAAACCTCTCGCCTTGGTCTTCTTTTGGCTGCGGCTGAATCCCCTTCCCTGGGGTATCAAAATCTCCGCAAGGGTTTCCCGGCTCTCCTTATCGCTTTCGCCTCGTCGTATTCTTCCAAAAGATTGGCCACAGACGGGAGGCCCCACCGGTCTCCACGTGGCGGCTTTTCGATAAAACCTTGCGCCACACCTTGCGGCACGCTGCGGCATTTTTTCTCGCAAATAGGAAAAAAGCCAAAGCATATAACAACGAAAAAGCCGCGGAAGCTTTCGCAAAAAACCTGCCAGGTTGTTGACCGCTTTGCGAGTCCCTTAGCCGCTTCGAATTCGCGAAGTGTCCTCCCTTAATGGTTTCGACTTTCGTGCGGGCATCGGTTTCGAGGGGATCCCCGCGAAACTCTTAGGCGAAACCGCTAAGGGACGGCGCTGCTTCGGTTCCTTTGCCGATTTCTCTGCCTCCTTTTTCCCCCGCTTGCCTCCCCCGGTCTGGCTCAAGGCGTGGCCGCGTTTCGCTCTTGGGCCGTCCGCTTTGTTATCGGTTTCGCGTGCTGCCTTCTCTCCTGTTCTGTGCTTTTCTGGCATCTGCTTATCGGTTTCGCGTCGGCTGCTTTCCCTCGTTTGCTTCTCGCGCCTCCTCGCGTCTCTCTCTATCTAATGCCACGGGTCGGCCACCTCTGCGCCGCGGTCCTGTTGTGATATCTTGGGAAACACTTGCGCGCCATCGGAGTCCTCCCCGCGAAACTCTTAAGCGAAACCGCCCTGGGACAGCGCGGCTTCGGTTCCCTTTTGGATTTCTTTGCCCCCTCTTGTCTTCATTTGCTTCCCCCGATCCTGCCCAAGGCGTGGCCGCGGTTTGCTCCTGTGCCGTCCCTTTTGTCATCGGTTTCGCGTCTTGCCTCCTCTTCTTTTCTGTGCTTTTCTGGCATCTGGTTACCGGGTTCGCTACGGCTGGGCAGCGATCCTGGAGCAAAGAGCCACGGGCTCGCACCCTCGGGCCCGGCTTCGGGCCTCCTGCTCCAAGCCTGGCAGCGGGCTCGCGATGAGTCGAGGACTTAAGCGGACCGCCCCCCGCCTGTCTCCTCCCCTAGCGCCTGGGAATTTAGTGCCTTTTCCCGGGGGAACTCGCCGGGAAGCGGGGCTCTTTTGGCCGTTGCAGCGCTGCCGCCGTGTCCCTTTAGATTCGTAGCGGCAGCGCTGCAACTAGCAAAAGAGCCGCGATTTTATGCGACTTCCACCGCAAAAGTCGCAAAAAATCCACAGCCTTCGTCCTTCAGTCGGGGTTTTTACTTCTCCCGATTGCTAAGCCGCGTTTTTTGTCCCGTGGGCCGCTACAGAGGGTGATGGAGCCCCTACCCCGCGGCCCCACTAGATTCCGCCGCCGCCCGCGGCGTCGCTCTTGCTGCGCCCTGAATGACGGCTGGAGCGACGCAGCCGCCGCGCCTTGGCCCTCGGCGGGTTTGGCGCCTAAACTGAAATAAAACCGGGAAAGAGGCCGGCGCTTGACCAGCCTAACTGATGTATACTGGCCTCTAGCCGATGTATATGCAACTGTTGTGGTTTTGGGCTTGGGTCTCTAAGCGCCCCGACTGTGCCCGAAAACAGGGGCCGACTGCCCTAACCTCCGAACAAGCGCAGGAGCGTCGCTTTGGGGACAAGGCCCCGCCGACTGGCCTCGCGCGTTACGCCAAGCTCCTTTGCGATGTGAAGTGGGGGGCCCTAAGAGGGTTTGCATACAGGCGAGGGAATTTCCCTGGCTTTGCTTGAGTGTTTTCGGCCGGGTCGCAATTACAGGAAAAAACGCGGACTCCAGAACGCCACGGTCTGGCGTAGCTCTTATTTTCGTCGCTCGCTTATTCAATATTAAGGCCAAGACGGGCCGCAGTCCTTGCTAAAAATGCTTTGTCTTGGCGGTGAGTACGTGCGACGGCATGGGCGTAGCCCTTCAAGCTATGATGAATATAGTACAGTGAAGCCTTTGCTCTGTACTTCGAAGTTTGTCGTGGCTGTGCGAATTTAAAAAGCCGCCTCGAGGTGGTCATGGACTCAGTGGCATGGACTCAGTAGCCAATTAGTCTTCTGTCTCGACTAATACATACAAATGCTCTGTTGAAGATGCTATGTTGGAAGCCTGCTTGGGTAAAAATCCATCATGACCAAGTAGGTAAAATGGTGACTGACGCTGTACAGCAGCTTCCGTCTATCGAGCTCACCTTCTACTGAGGCTTCGTGCTGCTCTCAATCAATGTCGTCGCGGTCGCAGCTTGTTTCGGTACGTGTGGCTGCCTGGTCCGCGAACTTCCAGTTTTTTTGTGGAACCACTGTCACCCTTGGCCACGACGTTCGGCAGATCGATGTTGCCCAAATTACGGCTCGCAAGAATCTATACATAAGTCAACGAACTAGAAAAGAAAGGAAGCGAAGCAGCTCTAACCTCAGTGTCCTTGTCTTTGCAGATGCAGAGGCACTGCGCCGCTCGCTTTACCACTCAGGAAGCCGCAAGTCAGCGTGGCCAACTTCTGCGCAGCCGTTGCTCGAGGCGGGGACGATAGTTGATTTATGCTTCACGGGAATCCATCTCTTCTGAAGGGAAAAGCACTGTTCTGAAAGGAAAAGCGCTTCTCTGAAAGTGAATTCCGGAAGTACTTACAAATCTAATATTTGTGCCCTATACCTGTGTCTTCCCTATACCTGTGTTAGGCGCGTCCGGTCTCGAGGCGTCCCTGTCTCTCCTCTCTTAAGGTCTCCTCCGCTCCTCTTAAGCGTCCTCTTGATTGTAGTTTGGGAAATGAATCAACACAAGAGAAGGCTCTAATTCTCTCTGCTGGAACCACTGACAGCTGGACTAGAACTGGCGGCCCGATTACCAATTGATGATGACATTTTACTTGCTGGAACTGCACCTTCACTTGTTTTTCTTGCATGGAGGCTCACTTCGATTCAACACGATGAACTTGGGACGGGAAGGGGATCCACCGTTACGGTATAATTCTTTTAATGGATACTTACAAACATGGGGAACAACTTATGATTATCTAATATGGATACACCGAATCACTAGCTATCGTCTTTACTCTTTAGGAGCACTTCTTTTACCAGCAACAGTAAAGAAAACATAATTGCTGATGAGAATCATGCTTATCTTTTGTAGTATTCAATCTCCTCCTGCACTTCATCTGGAAATCGCGATTTCCAAGAGCCTTGATAAAGATAACACACAGGTCCTCACAAAAGCCGGAAGCGTCTTAGCCTCTGCAGTGGAAGCTTTGCGAAACAGCTCAAACAATACTGATGAGCGGCGACAAACAGCTACAAAAACAAAGAAACACACGAACACATTTGATAATGTTGACTTGATTGAACTTGAGGATCCGTTGGCGAAGCTCGAAGGTCGGCGGTTTCGTACGATCTTGTATTGCGGCCTAGAGGCAGACGATGTGGATGAGATTATGCACCCTACTTGTCTAAATATTCTCATCCACATCGTCTGCCTCTAGGCCTCCTGGTGATTCTTGATCTTCGGAGGAGGTTAGATGTTATCATTCACTTCGACTAGCACTAGTGCGAAAAAGATGTCCTCTCAGCACTAAACCAAATAAATCCTGTTGCGTCACCTCCTGCAAAAGAAAAACATCACAGCTCTGCTTCTAAGCTCAGAACATTAGTCCGACAACTGTTTGGTTTGCTCGCAGCGCCTGGAGGGTGTTTTGTGCCCTTGTCTCCGCACTTCGAACTTCAACCAGTAGAAGCAAGGCTTTTGCACTCCCGTGGTGCTACTGTTCTTTTTTTAGGGCTCATACTAATTCATACTCACAGAGGACTTCGGCCTCATTTGCTTCTTGGATGCTGAGACCACACTATGAAGGTACAAAATGAATTCTTGTAAGCGCTAATTTTTCATCGATGTTTCGGTGCTTTGCCACGTTCTGACTTGCTTGCATTGTCCCTCGATGCGTTATGCTCAGCAATTCGCAGCTTAGTGGTCGTCGAACAGTCTTCGCTATCAGGCGCGGGTGAGGGGGAAGAGCATGGTGGAATTTTTTATGGAAATGAGAATATGATCTAAGGTAGTGATACTTGGGTGCCCTGGCTCCATGTTTCCTGGTAAGAAGCTCTTTTTATTGTACAAATTCTGGAGGGACGAGAGAAAACATAATTACCCCATTTTTCATAGCAGAGAAGAAAACAAAGAGGGGATGGAAAGCAGGAGAGAAGGAAGCGAAGGCCCTCCTCGTCAACGAAGTGGGCACGACGCAGTCCTAGGTGACTCGGGTCATGAAGGTCAACTTCCTTCTACCTTACAGGAGAACAATCGTCGTGCAACGACGAACAAGAAGAGGAACTATGAGTCCTCTACCAGCCAACATGAAGCTTTATTAAGGCTCAACTTTCAATGGTCATTGGGGTTGGTCAGTGAGATCGAAGAGGCGACCCCTTGACAGAACAGGGGAAAACGAAGAGAAAGGGGAGAGCTTTGACGGGGGTTTCTTCCGTTCAGAGTCAGTGGCCACTGAATGCTGCGCTTTAACTTTACGTCGAGCAGCGGATGCATTGGGAGTCGAGCTGAGACGCAACTGCGAGGCGGTGACTCTCAAACTATTCAACTTCTCGTCTTCAGCTACTAGCGGAATCGAGGGTCGCCAAGTGCTTTACATCGTTGACGAAGAATAATAATTCGGATTATTATTTTATTTATTTTGGACTATGCGTTAAGCACTATCGAGCAAAGCAAGAGCTTTATTTTCTGTCTTAGTTTTGATGAAAAAAACTCTTTGTCAACAAACAAGTTAATACGCAAATTACATCATAATGGTGGATCATAAAGAACAAATCATAAAGGAAAACGGAGAAGATAATGACCAACTGTTGGCTTTTTGAAAAGATCTGCTTAATACTTTCTAAGAATACGAAACAGATCTAGTATGTTGGTCCAGGCGAGACGAATATAGAACAAAGAACAAGATCACGGAATCCTCAAGATCACGAAGAATCCAAGACGGCACTAACAAAATTAAGAGCTGTCATGAACAGGATCCTGCTCGCATGCGTTGTCATACCAGAGACCAGCAAAGGACAGAGAATCAGGAAGATCCTTAATACCGAGAGAGATAACAAGATCCGTAGTACAGAGAGAGAACAAAATCAATGACAATAGAGTCAAAGCAAGACAGGCAAAAAAAGGCGAAAAACAGCCAGAAAAATCTGAACAAGGCAACATGAGGAAACGACAAGAAAATGAAAAACACTTACATATACTTGTAGATTTGTAACACAAAAAACAGTGACTATTTCGCTGCGTGTGAAATTTTCAGATAATGAGTTGGAATAAAAGCAAAGCATCTAATATTACTTACAAAAAACTGTGTAAAAGATCCCTTTGGTTTGGTGTGTGTCTTGAATTTTACTCGTTGTATTAACTTCTCTGTCTCGTTGTATTAACTTACCTGTCTTGTTGCATTAACTCACCTGTCTTGTTGTATTAACCTACCCGTCTTGTTGTATTAACCTACCCGTCTTGTTGTCTTACTAGAACAGAAAATTTCCATTTGCATCAATTTTCGACGTTCTTCAAGCAGTAGTTAAGAATCGCTGAGTTCTTTTTATTCATTTCACATTCACTAACAACTGAGGCACCAGCATCCCCAAGGAGTGGCTCCTTCACGATTATTGAATCGAAGCCTAGTTGCTCGTCTAGCACTAATATTGATACAGGTTATTCATGATAACTAAGACTAATTGACTAACTAACTACCTAACTAGCTCGCTAACTTTACAACAAGTTATTTTTATTATTTATTCAAAAACACATAGAAACAATGGAATTCCTTTCAACGTCTACCCGTCAGCACTTGAGCGTGCTGTTTTTGGTCACGTTGTTCTCAACAACGATGGACCTCCGCAATGTTACAGCAGTGCGCATGCAGCCTACTTTAAGCGAAGATTCGAAAGCCGTGCAGGAAGCTACAGAAGCTGCTGGAGGTTTGGAGGAAGACAGGCAACCTCTGAAGAAAGGTGCTGATTCGGCAGGGAAATTCTCATTAGACGAACGCGAACTAACCTCCGAGACTTCCATTGCGGATTTGGAGGTCAAGATGGGAAAAAAAATCATTGATTTTTTTCTCACTGTACCGGCTGCTCCGTCAGCATCAGCAGCAACGTCTCCTGCCAGTGGGGACGCCAGTTCTGCTAGCACAAAAATCCGAATCCCCGCAGGAAGCGAAGAGGAGAAGAAAAAGCGTGGGTCTTTGAAAGATCTGTTGGTGGATCTAGATCTTATCTTTGGCTTCGCTGCAGAACAAACGGAGAGACCACTTCCTGATAAGCTCGACACGGATCCAGAATATTTGGAGAAGAGTTATCCAGGGTTAACTACGTTATGACAGAAATAGTGCACAAGTAATAGACAACTTCTAGTACACTTGTTCAGTTCCGATGACATTCTTACGCCAGTGGTCCCGATCATGGATCCACAACAAGTAAGTAATCGACAACCAACATCTATTTTGCCTCAATAGAACACCAACATTTCTACTTCTTCCTTAAGCAGTAGACCACCAACGTCATTTCCTTAGAGCTGCAGGGTGCCGCTTTTTAATAAACGTGAGTCCTCTACTGTTGTACGTATTTACATCGTTGAGTAGTTGTGCGTTCTTTTGCACTGTAACCTCTACTTCTTCTGACTACAGGGTACTTAACCTCTTCTTCTAGGACTTAACCTCTTCTTCTTCGTTTTTCCTCTTCTTCTAACCTAGGTTTATCTCTTCATGCAATAAACAACCTAGAAGCTGCATAATTCAGGAAGTATCAGGTGGAACTTTTCACTTCTAAGAAACGACTCCAAGCCAGAGTTCGGTTGTCATTATGATGGCACGGTCTCCGATGACATCCTGGTACCCCACGGTACCGCTGAGCATCTGGCGTCTTTACGCGCTGGTCGAGGGGCGAGTCTGAAGGACCGACCGTCCTTGGTGCAGGGTAGCCCTTCATTGGTGCTCACCGCAATTAGGAGAAACGGGAGTCACAAGAATTTCGAATACGCGGCGCCGCATGTACGAAAAGACCCAGATGTTCTTTTAGCAGCGGTGCAAAAAGATCCGTATTCTGTAAAGAGTGTGTTAGACGAACAGCCAGCATCGGAACGCAAGCCCTTGCAAATCGCATTGGCGCGCGTTGGTGAAGTGTGGGAGTCGCAAAGAAACTATTCCGCCGCTTTGGACATCGCCCGTGCCATTGCCGCGCAAGAACCAGTTGTTGAAGAAGAGCATCTCGTTCTGCAACAACTACAAACTAATGATGATGTCCAAAAAAAGACTTTGCTAGAAGAGCTTGTGAAAGACGAATCCGTGCGGAAAGACTTCGTCGTGCTCTTGTTGAGCGTGCGGAAAAGGCCTTCCGTCTTGCAGGGATTCGATTGGAATGATGCTTTTGGAATAGTTAAGGCTACCGCAGAAGCATCCTCCAAACAATTCTTGGCGCCTTTTTTTCAATGATGAGAAAAGAGGCCAAGAATGCCGCCAAGGGTGCGACAACTGCGGTAGCTCGTCTAAAATAGGGAAAAAATACGACTCGTCCGTTCCGCTCAAATTTGCAGAAACGGCCTTCCTCCTGCATCCCGGGGCAATGGTTTACTTTCCGGAAGAGCTGCAAAGAAGGCTTCGAGACAAAATGAACGACTTTGTTGATCCAAAGCAAAAGAGTCGTTCGCTCAAGTACTGGCACAAGACGAAACTCTTCGACCGCGGTGTCTCGTTCCACCTCGTAGGAGACGAAATGATACTTCAAAGCGAATGTGGTCACAGAGGAAAGGATGCGCAGCAGCTAGTTACGACTACTTCTTCTAGTGCATCAGCTTCTTCTTCTGAAGAACTTCACAAAGATCTTCAAGACTGTACAGGAGGATCAGGAGAGGAACAGCCTTGGATTTATAAGGCGAGAAGGCCAATTGAGGATGCCAATGGGCCTTTCGTGTACGATGCAACACTCTCGCTCCACGGTATTCAGGCTGCGAAACTGGCAGATAGTTACTATCTCAAAAAAATACAGTCGTCAGGAACCTCTTCTAGATTTGCTGGTGAACAAGAAGATATCAATCCTAATTCAGAGGATACTTGTTCTAGCAGATCTGCTAGCAGTACTTCCCTTGCCACGACGCCGCAGAGTCGGAGGATTGTGAAGCATTTTGTTTGCACCAACTCCTTAGGCGGACACACGGTGAAATTTTCGAGGTACTTCGATGCCGACTCGTCACTCCTCACAGAATTCACCGTTCGTCATCTAGAGTGGTGGATCGCCCAGACCGTCGAAAACAAGCCAAACTCCTATTTTGAATCTGACACTAAAGACTCCTTTGAAAAAATCAAAGTTTACTCTTTGCAGAGTAGAAAGGCAGGCGGAGATGAAGACCCATCAGCCAAGCCTGGAGGGGATGCTGTGCAACCTGAACCAAATACAGGACTGAGCCTGCAACCTTGGACCTTGTTGAAAGGTGTGATGTGTCTGGACCACGCTACCAGCAGCTGCCCTGAAGGAGAAACACTGGAGGTAGAGTACATCTCGCGTCCCGCAGAATGGATTGAAGCAAGGAATCACCCGATACCCCGAAAGGCTCCCGAAGACAGCGAGTTCAACTTAAGAGAACATACGGAAATCGAGATCTTATTTGTCGACTTCAAGATGATCTACTTCAATACAACATATCGACTTGGACTTCAACAAGATGATGTACTTTATATCTGCCCCTAGAGGTTGTTACAACCGTTGTAGTTATAAGTACTTTCAACATGATTGCCAGCGCGTTACATATTTCGACGGTAGTTGTTGCGAAAAGAAAGAAGTGGATGGATATTGACGCAATCGTGTGATTGATCCACAGTGTAGCATTAAGTACTGATGTGGCTTGATATTGACGCAATCGTGTGATTGATCCACAAGAAGGTGCCACCAAGTACTTGTGTAGATCCTCTAAGGTTTGGACGAAGAGGAGCTGACGACCCGGTGATGACACTACAAAAAGGCTTTTACCAGCATGTTTCTGAGGACATCCCAACACGAATGGGGGACGAGAGAGAAGAGGGAGAAACAGAACGACAACTGTGGCAAAGAATGTACGAGAGACAGGCAGCAGACGGGTACCGTGACCATCCCGAGGTTGTTTTCGCCGCGCTCTGCTTATCCGGGAGTTTGCTAGGAGTGATGCCGCCTCGCATTCGCAATGACAAGTTTTTCGTGAGAGTCGCAGTGCATCCAGAATGCGGAAACCACCTTCGAAGTCGTATTTCGCGGAGTTTCAATTTGCGGAATTTCTTGCTGGCGAGCGACGAATTACGGCAAGATGAGGAGTTTGTGAAGGAGCTCGTTCGAACCGTGGACCCAATGGTACTCAGGTACGCAGACCCCGCGCTAAGGGACAACCCGCGGTACCTAATGAAATTGCTCGACGCCTTTCCTGATCTGGGTCTCCAGGTGCTTTCCATGACGGACAACCAAAATGTGGTAAGAGACTTATGAAAGCGACACCAGATATCAATATTTATAACTAGAAGTATGTACTACGTGCAGGGCCGACATTATGTAGTAGGATAAGGAATTAAGTGAAATTCTGGAAAGAAGAGAGCTATGTAGTCTCGTCTCTAAGATGGCTACGGTCCAATAATTAAGTGTTTCGGACGTATAGATGTCAATTAAATCCGAGGCACCTCCTACACCATGCCGAATAGAAGATTCCAGTGATTAATTAAACTGAAATTAAAATAATTAGAGAGTCAGATACACCCGCCGTAGGAGTAGCAGGTCATATCCCTTGTGGTCATGAAAGCCCTAGCAGGTCATCTCGCTTGTGGTCATGAAGACTAGAATGTTAATTTGAAGATAGGTGAGAAAGATAAGCGTGTCTGTGTAAGTCCTTCCATTTTTTTTGATTTGGCCTTTCTCCTTTCATATTCTGTGATGATGCATTACGTAAGCCTCGTCAAAATACAGACGCAAGGCGCATTGCAGCTTGCGGTGCGCCACCGGATGTGGCATGAAGGACCAAAGAGCGTGAGCCTGAAGAAGACAACGTACCACACGAATCGCTATGAGTCGGTCCTCTCAGTCGGATTTGGTAAACATGCGGATAACATGGCGGAAGTCGCGATCGAGAGCGCGGTGGCTTTGATCGGCACAGCACGCCCTCAGCATCCAGGACGAGGAGATACTACAACTACACGATCACGGGAAGAGATGTCATCCGATCTCAAAAAAGTCGTTCAAAAGCTCGCGTACGACCCAACGGGCGAGCGCAACCGCAAGCTCTTCCTCAAGGCTGCTCCCGAATTTCCAGAATTGCTAGAAGCTTTTCATCAGGATGCCTGGACCGACCCTTTGGTTTTGCTCACGGCCACGGAGTCGGAAGGGGGGCGCGCAACCCTGGAAAGAGAGATTTTGAAGAAAGGCCCGGTGTCGCAGATAATCTTAGAAAAGACGAGGACCAGACAAGGGTCACCGCAGAGCCCAAACTGGCGATGGTGTAAATACTTCCCGTCACCGACAGACGAAGCAGGAAAACCTATTGATTAAGGCTTTGGTCGTTTGCGTGTAGAGATGTGTAGCACAAGTGTAGGCAACATCTTCTGAAGAGGAAACGTGAGAAGATTCACGGCTCGTCCTTTTCTGGCCAACATAAAGATCTACTTATTCTTCTTCTGACTCATGTGCTTGCATCTATGACTATCTTATACAACCGTCTCCTCGTGCTCCGTCTATTACTCGACGAAATTTTTGGATGCAACCATTGTCCTGTTGTACTTGTCGTTAAGCACGTCGTTAAGCAGTCGGTCTTATGTAGCTGCCGTGTCTCTACTCGGGTCACCATGGAGCCAGGCAGTTAGTTGTAGCTGCTACGTGGTTCGAATGAATGAATGAATGAGTGAATACTTGGCACTTAGAGTGGTATTTGATTTACTTCCAGAAGTACTTACTGTTCTTCATGCTGTGCTCCTCTAACTCTTGTTTCGCGGCAAGGAGAACGAGGAGATCAGGCGAAAGTTTTTTTCGGACGCAAGGGAAAGGCGGAAGCTGTGGCTCCAGTTTTTCACGGAGAACCCTGAAATGGATCGGACCTTGACGTGGGAGCAGAAGCACACGCTTCTAAAGTCGTTCAACAAGCTGAACGCGCTGACAGTGGAAGGAGCTCGTGATGGTGGTGCTGATCATGGTGCTGATGTCAGTACTAAACAAAGAGAAATTTTGATTGACGATGCGTTACAAGCAGAGATTGAAAAAATCTGGGAAGATGTTGAAAACTCTCGCAAAAAACGGGAGGCCAACTCGTCTGGAGGCTTTCTTGGACAATCTCCAGAAGGAAATCAACGTGATCAGGGAACACCGAAGAAACGGGGAAGAGGAGGAAAAGGGCAACCGAGCCCACCTTTCGGTAAGAACCATGCGCAGCCACCGCATGGTCAAGCATACGATAATCAAGCAGGACCACCAATGCATGAAGCAAACCACGTGTCGTCGAACGGCAACTACCACGACACGAATGGCATGGTCCATTCTCCTTGGGAGCAGCGTCATCACAGGCCCCCGCCTGGGCTAGAAGGCTGCCACAATCCGCAATATATGCAGGGACCAGTAGCGAACCAGATGTCATTGCAAATGCAACAGGGGCACAACGATAGCTCACGAAGGATAACAGGCTGTGGTAGCCCACAAGGGATGCCGCCGCAGCAGATGCAGCAGCAGCAGCAGTACCAACAGCAGCAGTACCAGCACCAGCCACAAGCTTGGGCTAATGGGCCACAGTCACAAGAGATGCCGCCGCGGCAGATGCAGCAGCAGTACCAGCCGCAGTCAGGAGCTTGGGCTAATGCGCCACAGACACAAGGGATGCCTCCGCAGCAGATGCAGCAGTACCAGCAGCAGCCGCCGCCAGGAGCTTTGGCTAATGGGCCACGGTTACAAGGAATGCTGCCGCAGCAGATGCAGCAGCAGTACCAGCAGCAGCAGTACCAGCAGCAGCAGTACCAGCAGCAGCAGTACCAGCAGCAGCAGCAGTACCAGCAGCAGCAGCAGTACCAGCAGCAGCAGTACCAGCAGCAGCAGGACCAGCAGCAGCAGCCTTGGGCTAATGACCTACAGTCACAAGGGATGCTGCTACAACAGATGCAGCAGCAGCACCAGCAGCAGGACCTGCTGCAGCAGCATGGAAACTGGGCTAAGCCACAAGGGATGCTTTCATAGCAGATTCAGCAGGAGCAGCTGTACCTGCAGCCAGGCCACCGAGATGATATGGGGCGAGTGTATCATCTCCTGCCATAATGGCTGGCGCCTCTTATGCACAGACGAAAATGTATTTATAATATTGGACGCAGATGCTTCGGGGACTTGATGGGTGTCCTCTTACAAACTTACTCCATAGAAATACTGACTTTGAAAAGTCCTAGGTAAACCTCATTATAATATTGGCTTTGTTCACGACCACAGCGATCCTGCACACTTTTTTTTTCATAGGTCCAGCAACGGTGTGATGTTCACCTCTGTAGCGGCATATGGTTCTAATACGATGATTTTGATCAATCTCTACAGTTAAACAACTGTGTGATAGATTGATCTCAGGATTGCTCGCAGTATCCTTCTCTCTATTTTTTCCACAACGTGTAGGGTCACCCCTCATAGTCGTGGTGTATCCACTTAATTGCGTCGGGTCACCCCTCAGAGTCCTCGTGGTGCATTCTATCAGCATTGTGGAGGACAGCTGCGACAATCTGCTATGTCCTCACTCACTATTAGGACTTGTTAAGTGAGGTTAAACCCTGTGAGAGATCCCATGTGATCATGTGGCTAGGAGGGCGATAATTAAGTAGAAGTCGTTCTAATACTGACTAGTGAAAGAGTGGCGGACAGTCTCCAGGCTCTAACGTCTATATTATCAAACTGGTCCATATTGTCAAACTAGTCCATCCAATAGGTTAATGAACGTAGATATATTTTACATCTAATTTCGCCTTGAGCAGCTATATGATTTATTACCTAACGACAGGTGCTAATCCTATCGGCCTATCGTTTTTAAACAACTAAGAGACACCACTTCTAGTTCAACTATAATCCACTGACTAGAACAAGTAGAAGTCGTTATGAGACCTGTTGGTGCGGGCATCCTGACCAGAACTATCGTTCCTTATGACGTGCACTCATAATTAAAGAGGCTAAACCCCGAGAATGGGTACATCAATCAATCAATCAATCAATGAGACCTTAAAAGAGCAGGTCGGTCATAGGATATGATGCATTGACCAGCACAGAAACTTTATGGTTATTGGTAACTCGTTACTGCGCTTTTTATGTATCGTTAGATCTTTGTATTATTCACCTGCGCATTGACGTTTCTACGTCACAAGAAGTATAGGAGAACATGCGTCGAATTATCTGGAGAGCAAGGACCGACTTGTGATGATGGTTGCTTATGCAGTTCCTGACCATTTCACTTGCTTTTCTTGATCATTCTTCTGAAAGTTGTTATTGTATCGTGGTGATTGAGATAGAATGAGAAACGGAGTACAAAGCTTCCCCCTTTCGTTCTCCATTTTCAACAAATGCCTGTTGGATCTTCGGATGTTTGTTATGAAGTGCTGGCGATGGCCATTGAAGATGATGATCCACAGTCTGTCAGTTTTTTTTTCTCTAAAAAATGAAAACATAAAAACAATATTATAGAATGCAAAAATATAAGAAAATAGGAGTCGAGCGTTCCTATGCTGTAACACTGCTGAAAAAGGTAATCTAGCCTTGTTGCCTTGCTGATCTCGTTTCCTTGCTTTCTGATCCTATTAGTACTATCATAAGTCTTGGGAGATGTCATCGGAAAACCATCGCAATTACCATATCTAAAAATGCACCAGCCGGAGACTTGTGCAGCTGTGCAGGCAGGTAAAACTAATAGACAACGCTGGAAGCACTTAGCGCGTGTCTAAACTTCCTACTTATTGAGAACTACCCTTTTTCGTGTGTTCACCCTTACGCAATTTATTTCGCTTCGTCGCAGAAGAATTATTTCATCTAAGGCTGACCGAGGTGGAGAGAGAGTTTGAGTTACTTGAGTTGCGAAGAGATACCGAAAACAATATAAGCGCCATTAGACTTTTTGGTCGGTTAGGCTTGTAAACAAAGAGCAAGGAATTGAAAACTTTGAATTATTACGTATTGCTTTGAATGATTACCCGGGACTAGTCATGAACACAAAAATTGTTTGAAAATGAGTTCTCCTTCTCCCTGTACTTTTATAAGGAGAGGATGCATAGATTGGTCGGATTGTCGCTTTTACCCCACGAATGATGAATACACGATTCTTGCTATTGCTTGTTCTAACTATGGAAGGATTCACCAACGAAAGATGCTCCTTGAAGTACGCTAAAAGGGTCATCACATCAGATTGACAAAAAGTACTTGCTCTTTCAACATATTGTCCGACTTTACTTATTGTCATAATGAAGACGCTTTTAAACATACATCTTCAACTTCAAGTGGACGAAGGCGCAAGCCGAATCTTCCAGTAGGGTACAAGAAGCTGCTGTTCGCCTTGAGGAGCTATTGGAGACGTTATATATGTACCAGGGAGGGAGGCCCCCCCTGTGGTATATTCATACTAAAATGACCAAAATATGTAAAAGAGTCGAGCCTCATTCCTATGAGGTAGAATAAGCATGTCCGTCTCGTCGGATCAGAAGCGTTGAGAGACCGCATGCAGTTTTAGACATTTCAGGAAGATAAAAAAGCACAACTCTGAGTGGATGACGATGAAGGCAAGATGAAAATTTTTCTGTTCGTTGTCCAAGAACGAAGAAGAAGCTTTTTAGCTGTTGTTGTCCAGACAGCGCGTCAACAAGAAGTAAGTCCTGCACTACACCGCTATGCCTAGTAGAAAAAATCGTTGTTCAACTACATAGTACTCCTCTAAAGGAGATACAAAAACCCATACTGAAGAACAGTTACAATCTATCACCCATAGATTATAAATCTCAATACTCTAAAAGTAAGCTGCCTAAGAACGCTAAAAACACCAAGCACAAAGAGCGCCTGCTTCTTCATGGCAAGCAAAGAATTAACAAGAACATCATGGCACCTCCAGAGAACGTGAAATTTCCGAGTCTGACGGAGGACCTCGTCCTCTCGCGTGCTAAGTGCGCACATTTGGACCAAGTCCGGAATCTAAACCTTTGGGGCAACGATCTCGTGGACATCAGCTTATTGGAACGATTGCGTACTTGTTCTATAATGTCAATGTCATCAATCACAATGCTGGACATGGATCACCGTATGTTGAACGATGCCGCAATTTACATCAATACTAGGCTGGCGGCTTTCTCCTAAAGCGTTTTACTTTTGCGCTGTCACTTCGCATCTTTTCACAACCCGTCCACTTTCAGCCAATCTGGAAGTGTGTTCCCTTAGCGTGAATCGGATCCAGAGCTTAAGACATTTTGCTGCCTGTAAGAATCTGCGAGAACTGTACCTGAGGAAAAACGATATTCGGGATTTGCAAGAGATTCGGCATTTAGATTATGAGAAACCATTATGATTATTCCGAATGCAGTCAACTAGTGGTTGTCTGCATTCTATCACGCTCCACGATTGTACTAAATGTTTTTAAGAAAGTACTAGCACATTTCCAGGATCTTTCTACTGAATACTACACACCCTCCTGACCTCCTATTATAAATCTTTCTAACTAGCACAGCTCCAGGAACTGAAAGTCTTGTGGCTAGCGGACAATCCCATCGCGGATGTCGAAAATTACAAATCCTACGTGCGGCAACGATTACCGCAACTACAACGCTTGGATTCTACCTTATATCAGGGTGGTCTCGAGTCTCCAAGTCCAACTGTCACCAGAGCAGCCGCGGCTGCGTTATGGCTTTTTTACAATAGCTTTGTTGTCTTTGTAACCTATTTTTTCTCTTTCCATAGTGGAGCAAAAGGTTTTACTGGGACTCACTGTCACCTCCTGCTCTAATTCCCAGCGGCAGTGGCTCAGCAACTGGTGATATGAGTGCGAGACGGGGCCCGAGTCGACGATCCTCCCTGTCAAGGGGTATCGAACAAAGTGGGAGTGTGAAAAAACCAAGTGCGCGTGAAATCCACGAAGCATTGTGGAAAAACGAAAATCCACATATGGCGTACTCTTATGTTGTATTTTACAACTTATGCGTCTACGCGAACCTAAGTCGTCCCTGCTGGCGCGGCCTGGCCGCGAGCAAGTGGACCCTCAACCTTGAACCTTGATTGGGCGTAGACGTAGTCAAAGGTATGAGCTCAAAGTACCGTCATTGTTCTAGGACGTCATTGATCTTCTAGGATCATGATACTTAAGTGTTGTTCATCCCAACCCTTCTTAGGACTTTGGATTCTCGGGATATGCGAAACGTGAGACAACTACGCAACAGTGTACCAGACCATGAATTGTTAAGGCTACCGCTGAAGCATCCTCCTCAGCGCCATCCTTGGCCTCCTTTTTAAGCATGGGCTCAGGGGTGCGAGGCGGTAGCTCTAAAATTGGTGTTGCATCCGAATCATGAACGCAGAAGGCAGGAAATGCAGGAGGTAGCAACCAGCACTTCTCCTGAGTTCAGTCCTGGGAGGAGGAATAAAAATTTGTCATCTTCTACCGGAGGTGTTGTTGTGTCACCAACAAAAAGCGGTGGTGTCAGGGGTGGTTGTGAGAAGAACGAAGAACCAATAGTGAATTATGTAGTCGGGGGATCATCATCTTCTACTAGTTCAGGAGTAGCTGCTTCTGCCGCATCAGCTGCGTCAATCAAACCACAAGACCACCACCCAAAGAATGCACCTAGTGGTACCAATGGGAATCATCCTGCTAAGGAACTCCATCAAGTTCATCAAGGTCAACATGCATCTCCTCCGAAGCAAGATTATAATGCCAAAGCGTACACTTCTGCGGATCAGGCTGCTAGTATGGAGAACGATGGTTACGCTGAGCAGCACTATCCTAGTAACAATGGAGTAAATGGACACCCTCATGGAGTTGCAAATTACGACGCTTTTGTGACGCCCACAGATAATTCCGTTCCACCTATGGATCCCCCGTCACAAAAGCCTGTCTGGTCAAAAGTCGTTGCTACGTCACCAGAAAATGACGGGGTACCACTACGTGTTTCTGAGTTATACCACCCTGTTATTCGAGTACATGATCACCTACTTGATGTTTGTCACCCCATCCAAAAATATGCTACATTTGAGATATAGATGACTTCGCCCCAAATTGCGCAACTGTGTAAGCGATCGATCTGCTAAACCTGTCCCTGAGTAAGATGGTGATGATGAGCACCAAGACCCTGAAACCTTTGAGCAGGAAGATCATCAGGATAAGGCTCAAGATCGCGATAAGGCTCCAAGATCCCAGGCAAATGATTCCCATGAAGCCGATGACACCAATAAAATCGCCGACGCAGCTCCCCCCTAAGTAAGTTCATACAGATCACGCACCAGCTGACTTGTATCGCCCCAATTTGAGCTAGAGACGACTTCGCCCCAAATTGGGCAACTGTTTCTCCGATAGTCCCTTCACAGCGTCTATATCCTACCAACAACATCACTACCAGCACCACGGCGGCGCTACCGAAGCAGAGCAGCGTCGGAGCGACAACATACTATGCGCGATTATGGCCCTCCTTCACGAAGTCGATGTGGATGGCCTTCGCATGGTCATGGGCACCTGTGAGGGACTGTTGGAACAAAAAGGTTGAGATCTTTTTGTGCGAGGTATTTTAATTTTGTGTCCTCATCTTCATAGACGTAAGTCTTCTGCTAGGAAGGTGGTTGTATATTTACAGAAGTACACTTTCGCTTTTTGTTGCATTCTTGTAGAAATCACACAATGCGTGCGCATTATTTCTGTTGTTTTGTCTTCATTCGTGTAAATTACCAAGTCCGGGTCAAGTGGGTGTCAAGTTCATCGCTGTCATAGATATTTGAGTACTGTCAGTAGATGAAGTCTTGGTGACGCAAAGTGCTCTGATCTAATAGGGGAGTAATTCATCGATCCGGTCGTGTGTGTGCTATCAATCTTCATTGGACACAACTCCAAATGTACTCTACGCTGAATATCTCCTCAGAATGAGATTATGATGACATTCATGTGCTGCTGTTATTATTCGCTTTTTCGATTTCACATAAAAATGAACCGAATGGACTCCCCTGTGGGGTAACGAGACATCTCAACACCGGAAATTAGAGTCGTTTGCCCTCTGCTTTCGTACAAGTATTCAGATGCCGTCTGTTCGTTGGCTCCAATCCTCCGATTCCCCTCTGATCAAAACTGTATCAAGGAGTACCGGAGCAGTGACTTTGTCTCATGGAATGGCTCATCTAGTTCTTCCCTCCATTTTTCTGTTGATTTCTACTTTTTTCGTTTTAATAACTTTCGATTCGGTAGCCTGACTAACACTTTGCTAGTTCTTTCACAACAAAAAATGTCCTCCTCAGTCAGAGAGGAAAATAACACAACCAACATGTTGTTGGTACCGACAACATCGAACAACAAGATGAAGGATCCCTTCTCTGAACAAGACCTCAACAAGAACTCTCGATACAACTTCATCGACCCTCCGCCTCAACCAACTGATGACGCTGAACAAGACTCTTCCTCCGATGAAGAACCTGCTACGGGTTTCATTCCAGGAGTCGGAGACGCATCAAGAAATAGACGGGATCAGTCCGGTTTTTGTGCTCAACGTACGCATTGTTTTTCTGAACGATGGAGTGTTGTGGAAGTAGATGGAAAAGTGGATGTCGATGCCTTGTGGCCGCAGGAGTTTGACCCAAGACCTTTTTTGAGTGGAGATGTCGGTACAACAACGGGGGGCACTAGAACTCTTTTAGGTGGAGGAGGTGGGAATAGTTATAAGGTAAGGTATAGGTAGTATAATACCACTATTACAACAGCTACAGGTAGTACTTCTTCATCAACCACAGCAGTCTATTCTTAGTTATCCTCATCATAGCCTATCGCCATCATTATATCGATATATATTGGCGTTAAGTCAACTAAGAACTGCACAAAAACGGTCTTTATTGTCGCCTCCTCGTCCTGGAAGTGCTCCGCTTAGCGACTTTTGTAACTTGTTTTCTCTTGGTTTTTCTGTCGTTTGGTTTCGTTTCATGTGAGTCCCCGCGCCCCTCCAGAGTCCACCGCACCAGCCTGCAAATGTATGCTGGGGGATTCTGGAGGGGCGCGGGGATTTGGAGGGCGCCCGAGGTTCTTGGCTCGCAATTGGGTGAGGGTTTTCCAGAAGGGAGCGCAGTAGGCGGCGAGTGTTCTGTGGATTCGTATCGTGCCCGAGAAGTTTGAATTTTGTCCGGATTTTTGCAGTCCTTAGTTGAATTTTCTCCATTCTAACCCCACTTGTCTGTGGTCGAATTTTTCGCCATAATCGGAGAGGTTTGAGACACTCCGCCCGAGGTTCTTCGTTCTTGGGTCTTTTCATGTTGTTAAGTGTTGGACTTTCGACCACCCGGCGCCCCGAGGCTCTCGCGCCGGGTGGGATTAGTTTTTACAAAGAAGAGAGACGCGCCGCCGCCCTTAAATGGTCAGACCACTCACGCGCGCCGCCGTGTGTGCGCAGATTGTCGGGGGCGTTTGCTGGCGTTGTCTGCACTCTTTTGAAGTATTTCAGCGGACAACTTTGCGGAGGTTTCGCCGGAATTGAATAAACCTCTCTATTGTTTGCCGGGTTCCCGCTCGCTAGGCCATTTTTGATGAAAAAACTGAAAAGATGTCTTCAGATTTTTTTCCAAAAATGGCCTTGCGAGCGGGAACCCGGCAAACATTAGAGAGGTTTATTCAATTTCGTGGCGTTTTTCAAGAAGGGCTGGACCGGTTGCCGCCTGAATTCTCAAGGGCTTGCGCCTCCTCTTTTTGTTAAGTTTCGATGGTGTGGCGTGCTCGCTGTGCCTCTGGTGCTTCCGCAGGTGGCTGATTAGAATGGCGTTAAGTCAACTAAGAACTGCACAAAAACGGTCTTTATTGTCGCCTCCTCGTCCTGGAAGTGCTCCGCTTAGCGACTTTTGTAACTTGTTTTCTCTTGGTTTTTCTGTCGTTTGGTTTCGTTTCATGTGAGTCCCCGCGCCCCTCCAGAGTCCACCGCACCAGCCTGCAAATGTATGCTGGGGGATTCTGGAGGGGCGCGGGGATTTGGAGGGCGCCCGAGGTTCTTGGCTCGCAATTGGGTGAGGGTTTTCCAGAAGGGAGCGCAGTAGGCGGCGAGTGTTCTGTGGATTCGTATCGTGCCCGAGAAGTTTGAATTTTGTCCGGATTTTTGCAGTCCTTAGTTGAATTTTCTCCATTATATCCTCATTTACAGCACCATCATATCGATATATATTATCCTCAGTTACAGCATCATATCGATATATATTATCGTGAATACGAGAAGCTCCTCCTTCTTCATCAAGGACAGCAGGAGGAGCAGGAGGAGCGTCGACGAAGGGTGGATCTTCGCGTTTGATGGACAGGTTTTTGAAGAAACGCAACGAAAGAGAGCGTCCAACAGCATCAAACCTCTACGCTGGATTTTTGCCACAAGATCATCTTCGAGTAGCTGGCTTTAATGATGGCGAGGAAGACGAAGATGAGGACTACGACGAGGAGGCTGAGCGAGCTGCCAAAGAAGCGGCTGAGAAAGCACAGCAGCTTGGTCTGGTGGTCAAAGATGCTACTGCAAAGAAGAAGAAAGAGCCAAGACATATGAATGTTTTAGCGTTTACTGGGATGTTTCAGAAGAAGCGAAAAGCGGACTCTGAAGAGTTGCAAGAGAAAAAGCGGAGATTGGTTTTGGAGTCGTCGAAAAAGCTATATCCAACGTTGGAATGTGCGAAAAGCCTGGCGACTGAGTTCCATTTCAGCGGTGACGCGGAGAAAGATTTGCAAAAACGATTCCGAGAGGCAAATGGATTCAAAAAAGAAGAAAAGCCAGTACCGAAGATGTTTTTCAGTGCTGGCGCATCATCTAGTTCTGCTGGGAATAAGAAAGCTGCTCCTGCTGTTGGTACTAGTGGTCAACAAGGAAGTAGCGCTGGTTCATCGAGTTGTACAGCGAAAGCAGTAAGCAGCACGACTGGTAGTGGTGCAGCATCTAAATCTGCGTCTTCCTCCTCACCTCAACGGATTCGTAATCTCGCTGCAAGTTCCCTTTTCGGCCCAGCGTCTCTCCGCAATAACGCTCGCAGAAAGATGATGAAGTTTTACGCCCAAAACGCTCTGAGAACGATGGAGCGTGAGCAAGAAGAAGCAGCAGCTAAAGTTGCAAAATTGCAAAACAATAGGCCTAAACGATCACCTATTATACCTGCGGTTGGCACAGAGCAATTGCTCCACTTGGGGCAGCACCAGGACCACAATAGTTTTGGTCCTAAGTCGTGTACTGGGAGCTCAACAGTGCCTGATGAAAGTAGGCGCAGAACCGCATGGTTGCGCGAAAAGAGGCAATTGGATCTCTTAGATTACGGGTTTCCGAATTGCATTCTTCACCACCATCCCTCACTCTTTTGCAAGTAGAAAAGAGGGCAGGTGGGATGTTCTGAAGAATGTAATTCCGTAGCCTCTAATTAGATGCGGAAATGTACCGATCGACAGGCGACGACCGACGTGCGCCAATGCTGCTCTGTGCCTTCTGTTGGCGGGATGCCAGGTGTCGGAGTAAGGTCGTCGACGAAACAGTTCTCACTTGTTCTAAGAACTGTGCCATAGCATTGCAACTACAGTGGGACCCACTGGGGGTTCAAAATGATCGCTATGGAGGGAGGGAAGCGAATCAGGCATTGTTTAAGAAATATGTTGAGGGAAACGATCTTTAAAAGCTTGATGGATCGAACTACAGCACTTGTAGCCCAAGACCAAGAGGGCCAAAATGCTGACCAAGTGCCAGCGCCACTGCGTCCTGCCTTCGTAACTTCTTGCTAAAGTCTCTCGGGCATTGCGGTCGCTGTGACGCGTGTCACGCGAGCCAGAATGCCTGGGGGTCGCTCAAGAAATCAGGACTGTGGATAGGCTATCTTTATTTGACAGGTATAAGGGGACTTCTAGCCCTATTGATGGAAAAGATCTTTAAAAGCTTGTGATTATGATTCCTTCACTTTTCACCGATCTGGAGTTCTTTTACTGCTTTGAAAACAGGACGAGTTGGCTCTTGAATGGTCTTATGTCAAAAAACCTCGTCGCAGATCTTCAAACACGATCTGTCCTCCTACATGGGATCACACAATGAGTTTCAACAAAACGGTCAGCGCACTCCTGTTCCCTATCCCGCGCAGAAGATCAGATATCCCTCTATTGATAGTGTCATTTCGCATGTCTTGCTTTTGTTTTGATTCTCCATCTAATTCATCTGTATCAGCGCAGCAGGTAGTGGAGTTTGTTATATTTGTCTTTGTGGATGTTCGTTGATAGACAAAGATTTGCAATTCATCTTTCCATGATTGTAGTTTGAATTTACATTTTCATTCTTTTACAACCTCTGCTCCACGACCAAAAAAAAACGAAAAAAATGTATCGTTCGCGTCCGGACACTGCGCAGGGCTCCGCTCAGACCGAGCAGGAAGCCCGTTCCCATGCGGAACAGACTGCAGAGAGGGAAGACAATGTTCCCCGCAGTATGAGGAAAACCCTTGGGGGGCGGAAGCAGGATGCTGCGTTTCGAAAAGCTATGCAGAAAGCAGTAAAAGCTGATCGGAAGTCTGGAGGTTTAGTTCGTGGAATGGACTACGATGTAGAGGCGATGGGTGATGGAGGAATGCCTGGTGGATCTGGTTTAGAGGAAGAAGAGGAGTCTTCAGATGAAGGAGAAGATGGTAACGAGGATGGTCACGACAATGGAGAAGTAGATGGTGAAGAAGATTCAGGGTCGTGTGGTTCCGAAGATGGAGACGAGGATCAACCTGCTACCTGCAAGAAGTCTGTTGGGGCTAAAAAGCAGGACGCGACCTACTACATCCCGTTCCTGCCCAAAGATCTTGGCGATTCAGTAGAGGAATGCGAAGAGCGTAAGAAGAAGGTCGAGAGCAAGCTGATGCAGCAGTTGAAAGCATGGGCTATCGACATGAACTGCGATCATGCTAAAGCCGTACGTGCCATGTATTTCGCTTGGCATCCAGACAAACAGGTAGGGAGAGTCTGGCATCCGTTTTGCACAGACATTTTCCAATCCATACAAGCGGAAGTGAGGCGACTGCAAGCTGAACGGGAAAGGCGGATGGCGAAGTTTGAACAGGCAAAACGTGCAAGAGCAGACAAGAAACAAGAGAAATTCGCTGATAAACAAGTGCGACGTGAAAGGCATGAAAGGCGGGTAGCGAAGACTACAGGCCAAGAAGGAGGCGTGGATATGAGTATTCCGACGAAAGCTACAACTAAGTCTGAGACCTCCGAAGCTCTTTCTGACGATGCTGAAGGACCTACATCCTGTGACGCGACGCCGAGTACGACTTCTTCCTTGAAACAGGAATCTACGGAGCAGGATATCAAAAAGTCTGTTCGTTTTTCTGCGACAACCGAAGAGCATCCGATCGAAGCCCGAGCCGCGGACGAAGACAGCGAGGAAGAGGAAGACGACTCCTCGGATGACGACGATTGTCCCGATCTAGTCACAGTAGAAACACCAAGAGTCCAGCCTCCAGCAAGATCTCATTTCTCTTTGACCAGATTTGGAGACTCTGCTTCCTCAACAAGCTTTCTCCTCTTTGGCGGTGAAGCAGCTAATGGCGAAGACGACAAAATCGCTTTTCACAAGGATGTTTTCACACTCTCAGCTGGTGGCGCGTCTGCTTCTTCTGGAGCAGCAGCAAAATTTTCTGAGCTAGAACTCTCAAGCGCATCGACAGAGGGCCCTTGTGCGCGTTCTGCACACCAGTCTGCTCCAGTCGGCGAAAACGGTGTTCTGGTCTTTGGCGGTGAGTGGGCATCTGCGGATGGCCGTAGGTTTCGTCAATTCGACGACACTTGGCATTTTGACAATGCTACCAATTCGTGGACCAAACTTATCCTAGTAGGCGATGATGCACCCTGTGCACGATCAGGGCACCGCATGGTAGTGTTGGGGGAGAAAGTGTTTTTGTTTGGCGGGTTTGCGGAACAGAAGAACGGAAATGTCAAATATCTGAGCGATTTTTATGGCGGGGAATTGCAATATACGGCACCTGGAGGAAATGGTGGAAACAAGAAAAATAGAAAGATTGGAGGGCAAGCTGATGCCGTAGCTTCGGGTGATGGAGGTAATTTTTCGTATTAGACTGTGAATTGCAGTGTTACTGATCATTCTACTTGTTACTTAAATTGCCTCGTGCACCCATCATTTTACCTAGGATTTTTTTCTTTCAACGAAGGACTATTATATCACGCAGTCACACATGCTTACTGAAAATTGAACCTTCCAAACAGCCGCCAAAAAACTCACCGGTATCAAGTGGGTCCGAGACAAGCGACAGAAAATTGCTAAGCCCGCTGCTCGTGCCGGCTTCTCTATGTGGACCAGAGGGACGAACGAACTCTACATCTTTGGTGGTTCCTGTACTGGCGCTAAGGGGGATCTCAAAGTCCTCACTGATCTCTGGATGTTCAACACTGAGACTCTAGAATGGTCAGAAGTGAAAACGACTGGCCTCCCGGACGCTTTCTCTGTGGCAAGAGAAATCTGCGATGCTGCACCTGCTAGTCCCAATGGGAGTGGTAAAGAAGGCGGCGCGCCAGTATCAAAAAGTGCCAAGAAAAAAGCTAAGAAGAAAGCTAAGGCTGCTGGAAATGCTGGTGGCGGTGGTGATGATGGAGCAAAGGCAGATGCTGAGGAGGCAGCTGAAGAGAAAGCAACTGCAGAAACTAGCACTGCAACTGAAGAAGCATCTAATGCCTCAGAAAACACCGCTCCCAAAGTTCGCATTGAACGGAAATTTGTCCCACGTTCTGGCATCAGTTGTGCTCCGTGCGGTGACAATCGCGTCCTGTTTTTTGGCGGAGTCTCCGATGTCGTCCAAGACAAGGGTGATGCCAAAAAGAACGGTCTTGCAGTGTTTCACTCCGACGTTGTCATGTTAGATATGGAAACGTTGACGTGGAGCATCTTCTACTCCCCTTATTCGCTATTGGAGGCTTCGATGGAAGAAGAGGAAGGACCGCCTTCTTCAATTGCATTGGGTGATGGTGAGGCGAAGACTAGCGATAATAGTTGTACACAGGAGCAGCTGAACAAAGATGTCCTCAAGAATCAACAGCTGGCTTTAGTTAGGGATGCGAAATTGTCAGATGAAACCGGTGGTGTCGATTTGGTGAAGTTGTTACTGGGGAATGCTGGACAGTCTGCAGACCAACAAGATACCAATTCTCAATCTTCCTCTTCTCCTCGTGCAACAACAACACCCCGCTTCCCCCGCGGTCGCATAGGTGCGCAAGCAGTTGTCGCAGAAGAAAAGCTGTTTGTTTTCGGTGGCACTTATGAAGTGGGACCAAGAAGAGAATGCGCTTTGGATGACCTGTGGTCTTTGAGTTTGGTCAACAAACAAGCCAACAACAAGAATCTCCCTGAAGGTTGGAAATGCGAATTACGTTTCAGTAGAGAGAAGGAAGAGGCTGAACTAGAAGAAATTGAGGAGGAGATGGCGGCAGAGGAGCGGGAAAACCGGGAAAAAGCTGGAGATCGAGCAATTCAAGCTTTGATGCATTCGCTGAAGAGTGGCGGAAATAAGAGTAGTTGTAGTTCTTCTTCCTGTGGCACGAACAAAGGTGGGACAAAAACTACAGAGAAAGCCAAAACATCTAAGAAGGAACCAACTGCAAGCTCTACCACAGATCAAATGCAACAATCTTTAGTTGCTGTCGCACTTCCAGCATCAGATGCACCTGCTGCTCCAGCACCAACACCACAGGCTCCTCCCCGCCAACTCAAGCCCACTCCCTCCACAGTCCGCGAAGCCCAAGAGAACGCTGAAGATTGTAACGTTGTAGCTCTAGTCGATGTAGCAGATCCCAGTCAATTGAGTAAAAAAGAGCGCCAAAAATGGGAAAAGAAACAACGAAGCGAAGTGAAGGCCGTAAAGCAGATGGAGAAAGCCGCTAAGAAGGATCAGAAGAAAGAGGCGAAGAAGGATCAACAGAGGAAAAATGCGAAGGGAGGCGACGAATGAGTCAATATCATAACGCCCGAATTGATTTGTATCAGACAATACCTTCCAAGGATGCTTTTCCCACCCCAGCGTACCTGCCACGCAACCCCCTTGTTATTTCCTGATCTGTAAGACGGAATACTGCAGCTGCAGCAAGTACTAGAAACAGCAATCTATGTATAAGTCACGGTATCGGGTGGTCCGCTACGATGCTTGCCTGTGTTTGATCCATAAAAGACTGCTTTTATCTGGCGAAACGAAAATCGAGGTAATCTTTTTCTTCTTTGGTATCAATTTGAAAATAGAGAGCTGCCATGAGGAACGAGAACTGAGTCGCTTCCTGTACTTGCTTTCAACTGTGAATCTCGTCGCGCATGCAAAAAATGAGAGTAGGCTGTGCTGGGCGATTATTATAGAACACAAATAGTTGCTACTCTTCAACACAGGGTTGGCGTCTAAATCATGTTTCTAGGTTTTCTGTCTAAGCATCCGTGTTTGGAGCATTACTTCCGTGGATACCGAAAAGCCATAGATCGAAGCGTCTGTAGCTATACATAAAAGAGTCTCGTATAATAATGTCCTGTAACATTATCTTTGTTGATGCTACTGCCATACACTAGTGACGCGATTTTTGTCAGATCTACCTCACATCATCACCTCTCTCACATCATATCAACATACATTTCATTTCGATACCTAAGCTGAAGCACAAAAAACCATGTTCAAGGCAAACCAGCTTCAGATCTTTTATGGTGTATTGGCTGTTTGCTTCGTCGCTTGGCTGTCGAAGACGCTGTATCAGCAGCCACTCTTCCCGATACAAACCGACAACAAAGACTGGCTTGCCGCGTGGCTCGTCACGACAATATGCGATTACTACGTATCTCTACCCCTTCTATAGTGTGGTCAACATACTTAAAATATGTTGAGCGTGTGCGTGAAGCCAATTGGTTCAAGGTCTCAGTCTTTAAGAAGTAGAACTGTTGTACTACCAAGTGCAAAGTACGTGGAGGTCTAATGGGATGTGGTGATTCAACTTGTATGTCCACCATTTCGCACAAGGTTCTCGGGGAGCTCGAGATGTGCATCACCAACTTGTATGTCCACCATTTCGCACAAGGTTCTCGGGGAGCTCGATGTGCAGGAAAAACCTAAACAGTAATCTAACCCAGCACCATTTCCCACGACCAGGTTCTCGCATTCTGCCTATCAACGATCGTGTTGTCATCTGAGCCTTTGCTACCTGCAATTCTGTGGGTTTTGGCGATCAATCTCTTGGGCAGTGCGTTCTTCGCGATCTATCTTCTCGTCCGTGTCTCGACGAAGGGCACAGTTGCGCTTGCAAGCGAAGAGGCATCTTCCGCGGAACCATTGTACTTGAAGATTCGTTTTTTTTTCTATGATTTGGACATTTACTAAAAAGTGGAACTGATTTTGGGTTCTTTGTAAAAAAAATATAACTACTAGGACTGGAAGAGGGTAGACCACGGTACTATTTGAAAACTGAAAACAACCGAGTTACTGAGTGAAATATGAGGCGTCGCTTATTCTTCATAAGGCTACTCTTTCTTCTCATCAATATCTCGGTTATTCTCGTCTGTTTCTCGCTTATTTCAGTTTTTCGAATAGCGCCGTGGTCTACCCTCTTCAAATCCTAGTATGTTTGTAGAATCTTACTCGATTTGCTACATTGAGGATTCTGACCTCTCCCGCCAGAAGGTTGAAGCGCAACTAACCCTCAGCGACTAAATCGCAATTGACCCGGGGAGCGACTTATTTGCAGGCGTACTTGATCACGATGGCGTTTGTCGTGGAGTCATGGTTACCGCAAATACTCGAATGGTGACTTGGAGAGGGAATCACGGATGAAGTAAAAACGCCAGCCTCGGTATTGCCAACAGGCCCGCGGAACGCGATTTTCGTGGTGGTTGGCGATGTCGTGATAGGTTGAAAGATAGATTCATTCATGTGCAGTTCTTTGAGGTTTTTTTTTGTTACCTGGGTCTACAATTTCGCGCACTACGAACATTCAACTACCCAGCGGGAAGCCTGAGTAGAGTGCAGTAAATTATTACAAGTAGTCACGGCGTGATCTGTGGCGGTATAAATTCATTCCATTCCCGTAGAGCTTGTGCTCTGCACTAGAACCGAAGGAACCCCTTCGTGTGAAGAAGTGATATTCACCATATTGCGAACTTGTTTTGCAATGCATTTTGGACGGATAATATTCTTGCGCAGAAAATATAGAGACATAATGCTGTAAGGAAGAAAGACTCTTGAAGAGCAGAAAGCTTGGCATATTTGTTGAAGGAGGAGCTTGCGGGTGCTGGAAATCATGGCAATCACACTGACGGCATGCAAAGAATAGTCACAATCTGTGGCGAGCAGGAGAAGTTTCTTTTACGTGCTTTGCGAGAGCTTTGAGAGAGATTGCGTGCAAATGTTTTATTCTGAAAAAGTACCTTGGAAAGAGGCAATGACAAACAACAGCGAGAATAGAGTACTTATCTAAGACACTACGCTACAGCAAAGACGTAAAGTACGGACCCAATCTTGTGATCTTGTTAATTCACACAAACAATGTGGCTCTGGCTATCGTCGGGGCCCTCACCTGGGCATCCTCCCGACGGCGTTTCATGAACCTTTAGTCGAAACTTCTGCTCAAAAGCATTGGGGGAATGGACTTCGGTTCCTCGTCATAGAAATTTGATGGGCAAGGCAGCACTAGCTGTACATAGCGCAGTATCTCATGCAGTAGCAATACGCAGGAAACCGGGATCGTGCAAAAGCAGCAGAGGCAGTAACCGTAAATAGCATATCCTCGCTGAGGCAGTGACGCGTACAAGCAGTGGCACTAACAAAATAATTTACAAGTAGAGTTGTAAAGCAAGTAAAACTAAAAGGGCACGCACAGTATCCGTCGTGACAGGTACTGGTGGTATCCGCCGTGACCAGTTTACTATACTTGCACTTCCTAACAAGAAGCGGTAAATGCATCAAAAGTACAACATTATAAGTAGAAAAGGCCTCAGTTTTTGACATCAACAAAGTCGAGTACAAGTCTACTAATGCAGACAGAGGACGTCGGCTTGTTGAAGTAGTCGTTGCACATCTACAAGCCTAACAGCAGTCAACACACCTTCCGCATAACACAAGTCAACACACCTTCCGCATAACACAAGTCAACACACACGAAAGGAACAAAAAGGAACAAGTACTAAAAAAGGAACAAAAAGGTTTCTAAAAGAACGAAAGGAACAAGTACTAATCAAAGAAGCCCGTTGGCATCATGGCGTGTTGTTTTTGCCTCTTACCCGGTGACGTCCGGGACTACTACTCCTTCGAGGAGAAAATAGGAGCTGGCGCGTTCGGCCAAGTTCGTCGAGCTCGAACGCACAAAACGGGGAAGCATGTGGCGATTAAGGTTCAGCTTCTTTTTATGTTTCTCGTTCTTTACGTTCATGCTTCTGTAGCTTTCGTTGACGAATTCATACTTCTGTAGCTTGTTTCGTTCACGAAGAGGAGCTTCACCTTGAATTTGAATGGACTCTCTGCGGCCTTCTTACAACATCAAAAATTTCTGCACCACCACCACCACCAACATGTTCTTCTCTCAGATAATACTCCGATGCGAGCAGGGCGTAACCTACGAGGAACTGATGGTGGAGATAGAGTGCATGAAACGACTAGACCATCCCAACGTTGTCGGCTTTCATGGCTACTTTACCGACGACCGCTTCATCTATATCGTGATGGAAGAATTCCTTGGAGGGGAGCTGATTTATGAGATGGTTACTTTTGCTTTTTCGCACATGAAATATCTTCTCAATGCCTTAGTCCCTCTCTAACGGTCGCATCGCTTACGAGACTCGAGGAGACGCGTGACGGAGAGGGAAGCAGCCCGATACGTGAAGATGATGCTGCAAGCATTAGAGTACCTGTGCCGGTCTGAGGTTAGTGTGGTGCATCGAGATATCAAACCAGAAAACTTCCTGTTTCGCACAGAAAGCACGGATTCGGACCTAGCGCTGATAGATTTTGGCCTTTCGCAAGTGATACGGGACGGCGATTTTTTGCAGACTTGTTGTGGTAATTTTTGCTATTCTTGTTTGATTGAATACATTAGCCCAGGCACAGTCCAATACATTAGCCCAGGCGGGGGTCCAATACATTAGCCCAGGCACAGTCCAATACATTAGCTGAGATGTCAAAGACTCAAGATGCGAGCCTTAGAGGAAGAAATTTCATAGACTCAAGTTGTACTTCTACATTTCAAGTTAATACCTCCTTTGTTCCAATTTAGATTTATGGTCCAAACTCAAGTACGTACGACGTATTATACTACTGTCAAGGCTAGTTGTAGTACTTTTAGTACTACAAAAAGTACTAGTAGCATACGAGTGAATCACTTCTCCTTCTTCCACAAATACTCGACGACATTGTTTATGGTCCAATGCATTAGCCCAGGCACAGTCCAATACATCTCCCTGTCACCAGGCACAGTCCAATACATTAGCCCAGGCGGGGGTCCAATACATTTCCCTATCACCAGGCACAGTCCAATACATTAGCCCAGAGCAGATCCGCGGGCGTTATCGATTCAGTGGCGACATGTGGGCTGTGGGAATCGTTTGCTACCTCCTCATGGTGGGAAAGTTTCCTTTCAAAGGTGAATCGGATTCAAAAATGATGGCGGCCATACTGACCAAAAGAGCTAGCATACCTGAAGAGTGCAAGATGAGCGAGCATGCTAAGGATTTCGTCCTGAAAATTCTGGAACCAGACGTAGCAAAGAGGCCAACGCCATTGATTGCATTGCAGCATCCATGGTTCTCTGCGACCGAAGAAGTGGAAATATCACCAGCGGTGCTAGAAGCGGCAGGGGTAGTATCTTGTTATGCCTGTCTCACTCCTTTAATCCTGTGCTACTTGTTCAACTTTGCAGCATACTGATATTGATAGTGTGTCGTTTTTTCAGCATGATGGAAACGCACAGACTCGTAGATTACTTATCATGTTTACTCAACTTCTCCCCGACAGGTAGAGTCCTCCAAACGAGAAGTTGCGTCCGACATTGAGGCCGAGCGTGACGAAAACTTCAACGAGCAGATGCAAAACAGACGGACATCACGTATGTCTGTGGTGGGTCGTCTTAGCATCCGTCAATCGGTATCAACCCAGCCAGGAGGTGGTTTGGGAAGGGCGAGCGTGAGTAGTACTAAAGCAGGTCTGAATCCGCTATTTGGCGACAATATGGCAGAATCCGGTAGAAGAAGCGTCGGGAGTCGAGTGGCAGAAAGTTTTGCGGTAAGACGGAGCTTCTTGAAGGGACCCCCCGAGCAACCAGCAGCACCACCAGCAATAGTACTCCAGCTTTTCTGTCTGCTAGACACGCATCTAGCCGAGAAAAGAAGACAGATGGATAGACATCTCACTACTTTCTCTCCAAACTGTTTGCCTATCTTGCAAAGACCTACCTGCTACTTACCTCCCCACAGCGCAAATCGAAGTTCCACGATACGGCGTTGAATTATGCGGCGATGCAGTTTAGGAAATCGAATTCTATAGCCATGTGCGGAGACGTGGTCCAAAATTTTGCGAACGGACTAGACGCAACAACTGCCACGCTGCTAACATCATCGGATGGGAAAGGTACTATTATCTCTTGTGAAATTCACTGGCTCATTTGGTTCTTTGCTATCGTGAAATATAGTTTCTCTTCCTCCATTATCGCAATGGCGTGCGAAACAACACAAAGGCTCACCCTTGCGTGGCAGAGCAGTTTCTGTGAATAATGCGATGTTGCCATCAGCACTGAATGAAGCGAGTAGGCGGAAATTGCCGAACATAGAAATGCTTCAATTCTCACCTGAGAGGGCCAACAATCTGCATGAGAAGTACGAAAAAGGCGACAGGGAATGGACCTCGTCCGGTGGGGATAAGAACAATAAGGGCACATCATAGTGGCATTTTGGAGAGAAAGGTGATTTGCATTTGGTAGGTCTTTACACATAACGAGTTCGAATTTCCGATAGGAATCCAGGTTTGGATTTGGATGTTACATTCTAGTTCTAGAGCAGCAGGCAAGGTTAGCAAGATCGGACACGTCTTTCATCTAAAGCAAATATCGATAGAGGAGTTCAAGACCATTAATGTCGATAGAGTAGTTCAAGAAGATTTGGTAGTACAAGCAGAAGATGACTTGGAGCATATTTCTTTGCCTTAGTCGTGGGAGTCCACAGTTTTTTCCATTTTCAAGTCGATTTATCAAGAATACGAAGAACATTCTGGAGAGAGAAGTAATGTTGTTGTCAAAGGATATGACATGATTTGCAAGTGGGAATTCCCGAAGACCAACAAACGGATTGCAAGTAAAGATGTGCCCAAAGTAGAGGCCTATTTAGCGAGCGCGGTGCGTGCAAAGAACGACGTGCACACTTTATGTCTAAAATGCATGATTGCATTTTTATGTATCTAAGTCGGCACAGTGTGTTGTTACAAATTGCATTTGTTTCGTGATTGAACATTGATGTAGGATTCACGTGATGCCATAGCTGCCTGCACAGACATTGATTTGGATGATGTTTACTAGTATATGATATTCATTGCTTTACAAGGACATTTTCTAGTCATCAATGAATATGTGCATGCTGGTCGTTGTGTGAGAGAAAAAATTGGCTCGCATGATATTTAGATTTCAGTGCATGAATCCATACGATGGGGAGTTTCTCAGGCGCCAAGCTCGCGTATGAAAGGAGGCTTTGAATCGTCGACCAAACTCTGCGCAAGGATAACGAGGCTAGAAGATCAAAATGATACAGTTTTTATTTTTAGGCGCCTGAGGCTCGCTTTGCGTTATCTGCTTTCAATCGTGCTTGCGGGAGCTATCACGCGGTGTTGTTATGAAACGAAGCTCATATTTATACAATTTCGGGCTAGCACGAGGACATCAACAAGACATCAAGACACTATCATGATGTCTAAAACAAGCGGAAACAAGAAGTCAAATTTCTATGTTGTCGGGAGCTTGATTGTTCCCCTCATCTCTAATCTCGTTCGGCGCATCCCTTGAGGAATAATCGTCCATTCTTATCTGAATAGCTCGACTCATGTTGAAAAAACCTCTGTTCTAATTCATTGATCGGTGGTCACATCACGTCAGGACGATCACCAGCATTATTATCTGGACCAGCGGTTGCAGTCGAGCTGTCGGTCCTTCATCGGTTTGAATTTCAGCGGTCGTCTCGTTCATTCTCACGTAGTGACTTTCTTTCACATCGGTCTGACATGGTTCAACAAGGATCACTCTCCCACCTGATGCACCGAAATCACACACAATTTCCTTGGTCGTGTACTTTCTTCGATCATCATGGCCTCTTAATGACTTTTGAATGAAAGGCTTTTTCGTATTGCAAGAAACAAGACTATCCATAGTATTTTTCCGCAGTAGAGTACCGGAACGAAGCAGTTGTAACATGTGGTCGAAATATATACACTGACCCTGGACTTTCTTGATCCTTTTGCCACCTGCCGCTCTCCTATACTACTAAAGATGACTTTTCCGCTCGTGCCAATGTAGTCGTGCACTTCTGAGTCAAGCTTCTACTAGCGAAGAAGATGGACATCTTCTACAGCAACACGCCAGGCGGCGCGGCCGCGTCGCGCGTGTCTGCCTATCCAGGCGCTGCGCAGTTACAGCACACTCGCAAAGCACGGCAACAGGGGCAGAAGACACTACGAGACCAGTTTGAGGAGACGGTAGAACGTTTGTCGAAAGAGAATCGTGAATTACTCCGTAAAACCGTGGAGGACATCAAGATCCACGCGCGTGAAATGAACCAGATTCGGGCCGCAGGTGACGAAGGAGGTCATGAAGAAGGTGGGAAGACTGGAGGTGGTGGCAAGGCAATTAGAAAAGGAAAGACATCATATACAAGGGTGCAACATCAACATGATCAACACGTACTTGAGACAGTCAATAGAGAAGGAGCGCACGCTGCACCAGGTGGGTCTTCATCTGATACTAACGGCAATGCTTCAGATGAACAAATTGCATCTTCTAACGGTACAAAAAGCAGTGGCACAAACAATGAGCATGCTAGTACAGGAGGTAGTTGCGAAAGCGGCAGTGGTGCTGGTGCTGAAGGCGGAGTTGAAGGCGGAGTAGATTCGACTGGGGGTGCTGAGCCCAGACCGGAAACCAGTTCTGGCGACGAAGATGATGGTGTGGGTGGACAGCAGAAGACGACAAACGGGACTAGCAAAGGGAGTGTAAACAACAAGAAAGGTGGAAAAGGTGGTAATCAAGAAGGGACGACAGAAGAGCGTTTGATCTATCTTGGTTTTTCTTCTCCTGCGAAGAAACGAGTTGTGCGTAAGAGGAAGCTTACTTCAAAACGCGATCTAGTGAATATTCCAGTGGGTCTGACGCCTGAACTTTTAGCCAACGCAGCGCAGATCCTGGAGAAAGTGGAGAATCTCGAAGATGTGGTCGACGCCAGTCTCTTGGATCCGAAGCTGCGGGGAAGCAGACAGCCACTAGAGGACTTGCTCTCTTTGGAGAGGAATAGTCGAGCGGGGTGGAGGCCTAAAGATTTAGCAAGACGCTCGCTCGGCAACGCATCTTCTGCGTCAAGTTGTACGACTGCAGGACCGTCATCATCGGCTTCTTCGTCTTCCTCGTCTAGTGCTGATGCTGGTGGAAGTAAGCGAAAAGGGGCGGCTGGAAATTATGTGTATCCTTCAGCTGGAGACGATTCTCGAAAAAAACGTGGTCAAAAACTCCCAGCATCGTTGAAAGACACGACTTTTGTCGACGACAACGAGGGAAACAGTGCCAGCGTAGACGAATCTGCATCTTCTAGCGCAAGTAGAAGTAGTAGCACAGCTGCTGGGATGAATGTCGTCTCAAAGGCTGAATGCCGTCTCCACAAAAGTTCTAGTAATAAAGCCTCAGGTGCTGGTCTCTCGCAGAGACAAAGTGCAGGTCTAGGCGTAGGCAAGCGTGGCGGATCGCGTAACACGTCTGCGCTAGAGGCTCAGCCATCGACAAATTTCGACTACCTCGTCAATTTCGCGTCTTCAGCAAGTGTGCAGATCTCCAGCGAGAAGAGCGGCGACAATAATACTCCGGTCGATGATGTGGAACGCGATCATGATGACGAGCATGGTATTGTAGAAGATACAGCCCTTTCGCCAGGAGGTGTTGTTGGCGGAGGTGTTGTTGGCGGAGGTCACAACTTCAGTGCTGCGAAAACGGTAGCGTTTAGTCGAGGGTTACCCGATGAAGTGGAAGAGGTTGGACAACAGCACACCTCGAAAAATACTAGGGGAAGTAGTGCAAAAAAATCTTCTTCTACAAATTCGCCTGAAAAAGGAAAGGCTTCTTCATCTCCTAAAGCGAGAAGGACCAACTCGAGTGTGGCTCCCATCATCGCCTCCTCTGCAGAAGAAGATGACGTGATCCCTCTGCGTCCAAAAGGTCAAGTTCCACGACTCTCGACCGAGCTTCCCCCAGACTTTGACGGGGATTGGGCACGTAGAAGGGAGAAAGAGCGAGAAGCAGAACGTCTAGCTGAAGAACAAGTGGCCAAAGCAAAACTTGAAATGGCGGAGAATGCTGAGTTACAGGCGAAGATGAATCTACGACCTCCAGTTGTTCGTGGCCACAATGGTCCGACTGTTCTAGGAGGTGGCGCAAGTTCTGCTTCCTCTTCAAAGACGAGCATAGGCGTAGGAGGAGGGGGATCAACATCTGTTGGAGGAGGAGCACGTAGAGAATACAGAGGAGCCGCAAGTGAGCACTTCTCTTGTAGTGACACAGAAGGTGGAGGCCAAGGAGGTGATCCGCAGGGTGAATACCAGTTCGGGCATCCGAAAATCACAGATAGCATGCTCACAAACGCCTATTTGATGGCGCGACTGCAAGCAAAAGCGAAGCAGCCACCTGGCAAACGTGCTGTCATACCACGTCCGAAGTCTAGTCCACCAACTGGCAGTGATAATGAAGACTACTGCGGCTCGCGCGCAGGCTCGAGGCCTACCTCTAAAAAAGGGCGTAGCAGTTCTAGGTCAGAGTCGCGGAAAGGATCGCGTAGTAAGGCAGCTGGAACTTCTGGAGCAAGTGGCAAGAAAAAACAAAGACCAGACTCACATCGACCGACTTCCAGTCATGGAGTTGGTGGACCTGATGGAGCAGGTTTATTTGGTGGAAACGATGGCTCATCTTCAACATCCCATGGCCAGCATGCAAGTAGTGCTTCTACTTCGAAATCGAAGCGTGCTGGTGGTCCTCTGTTGGGTTCGGGATTGGTTGGTGGCAATACTGCTAATGGAAATTATGGAGGTACTATGCAACAAGCTCGCGAGGCGAGGCATAGGCATAGCAGCGTTACCACAGAATTGATGGATGCGGCGAACCGTGCGCCCGTCTTCATGATCGACGTCAATCTACCTGCGAACAAGGAGCAGGCAAAGGCGAGTACTAAACTGAAAAGCAGTAATGCGAAGAGTGGGAGTAGACCCAGGGGAGACAGCGATGCAAGTTGTAATACGAATGGTGTTGCAGACGAGGCGGGAGGAGGGCGTGGGGTTGAGAATGGTAACAATGGCATCAACGGGCAGGAAGCAGCAGCCAACGACGACACTGTGAGTAATGTCAGTAGCGAAATGCAGTGGAGTTGTAATAGCAGCGACATCGACCTAGACGAAGCACGTAAATACGCCAAAGTCTCAGCTAAAGTGGACACTGGTTTACGTGGCCGAACTAAATTCGGCAAGGGTATTCCTGGTGCAAGTCCACGATTGCCCAGTGGCAGTCCTAGATTCAGTTCGACTACAGGAGCCGGAAACTATACTAGTGGTCAAAGACCGCCAAGTGGCAGTCCCCGTATTGCTGGAGCAGCGCTATTTCCACACTCTAGTCCTCGTGTTGGCGATGCTGGCGCGCCGCCGCACACGAGTCCTACAGGTTCGATGCGGAGTGGTGGTTCAGGCGGGACTGGCGCGCCAGAACGGAGACCACAAGTAGCTCAAAGTTCAGCCGCAAATGACCGGCTTACTGGGCCAGGAAGTGTCGCAGCTATTCGTGCAGCTCGGATTGGGGGTGGTGGTGATGCTGGTACTACAGAGGGAGGAGTCGGTGTCGATCGGCCACCCTCTGGTGTAGCAGGTTCGAGCACTGCTGTTGTACGTGCTACTAGTGCAAATCGTCATTCTGGCGGTAGAGCTGCTTCGGCATCTAGAAACGGAAAACGACAGAAGGCGGAATCAGCGGAGAGGGGCGAAGAGAGAACTACAAGGCATTTAGCAGCTATCGATGACGTCACTACAGTGAGGCCAGCCTCCTCTTCCAAAGTGAAATCAAAACACAAGGAGGTTGAGGAAAACGCTGGAGAACTGTCAGACGAAGAGCTCAAAGAGTCTCTTGGGGGCTTTTACGCTCAGAAGAATCGCGGAAACAACGCAGACGCCCAGGAGAGCGGTGATGAAGAACAAGGCGAAGATGATGGTCGCGCGTCTCGAAGAAGATCTAAAAGTAGAAGTGCAGGCTTAAAGAAAGGGCCTGGATCACGGCCGCGTGCAGGAGATGGTGCTACAACTTCTGCTAGTGGTAATGCTAATGCTGCATCTTCTGGTGCTAATGTTCCGTCAAAGGGGACACGAAGTTTCAATTTGAAAGAACCCGTTGATACTAACAAGGCAGTTGTGGTAGGAGCAGCCGCAGCAGCTGCATCCAGGCAGCATGGTCATGGTGCTGGAAATGATACATTTCCTATTGGTGCCACGCCTGCTTCTGGCTTACCATCAAGTCCAATCGCTACGATGCCAGTCGGAGGATCAGGAAAGCAGGCTAGTAAGACAATCAGACCTCCACTTCCTCCGGGAGTTGCTCCTCCACTTCCTCCTGGAGTTGCTCCTCCAGGAGAAAACTTTCCAGATGAACATCCTCCAGTGATCATGCCAAAAAAGCTAGGCACCAATCCTCTCGGTCCTTTGATGGAGGCCTTGGCTGACTCTAGTGCAGCCAGGAGGAAAAAGACGCGTGGTGGAGGTTTAGCGCAGCAGCTTTCTCCACTTACTAGTCAACGCGGGCACCAAGGTCTAGGTCGTAGTGGAAGTAAGAATAACAACATCTTCCAACAGGAGGATCAACTAGACGCTAATGGTAAAAAGGACCCTGATCCTAATGCCCCCCGTCGCACCCGACCAGGGTCGCGCGGACGTGGGGAAGATACCGGAAAAGTTCGCATGATCTCCATGAAGGAAAGCCTAAGACAACAAGAAGCGATGTCTCCTGGACGTAAAACGACAGATGAATTGATGGAGGAAGTCGTTGAGGCGGCGTCAAGGAACTCTATGGCGCACAAGGACGCGAAGATCATGTTAAGGCTACTGCTCAAGCATCCTCAGCTGTATCATGATCCCTGGCCCCTTTTTGGCCCAGGGGAAAAGTGGCCCAGGGACGATGTTGCTTTCAGGGATGCTAACTCGGCAGCTGCTCTAATCATGCCAGCTAGAGCTTCGATGACCAACGGCTTCCAAGCAGCTAACGCGTTTTCTCCCGAGAAAAGTATAGGGCACGAGCACTTTTTCGCAAGCGACTACAGTGGAGGTGGCCTTCATTCGCATCAAGCCGAAACAGCAAAAGTTGCCAAAGCTAGACGTAGGATGGAACAGCAGCAGCATAATCAAAGCTCTCATTCTTCAGCTTCAGAATCAGCGTCTGGCGCTGGGTCGTCTTCGGAGGAAGAGGAGGACGGAAAGCGCAAGGAGGCGAAGGAACTCCTCGCCACATGGAGGAAGATGCAAAAGGAGAAGCCTTTTCAGGTTGCGAATTTGCGATGGGGCGGAAATCGTGGGAAGCAGTCGCAGGGGTATAAAAAGTTGATGGAGAAGAATGATTTTGCGACTAGAGCGAAAGCAGCTGCAGACTTAGAAAATTCCAGGCTCGCGATGGCAGGCAATATGCATGCCAGCAGTTCTCTAGTGGATAAACATTGTGGGACGTCGTCAGCGTTGGGCAAAGCGGCCTTGTCGATGCTGGCTGTTGATGCCGCCTCAAAGGGGACCAACATTCCTGCTGGCGTCAACGTTTCTCTGGTCGAGGCTATTGCTTTGGGCGCAGATCCATTGCCGCATCACATGCTACCCAACGGAAAGCCCAAGAAGGGTCATCACGCTGCACAGGGAAGTGCAACTCATCAAATTCTTGGTCCTGGAGGTACGTATTGGAAACTCCAACGACGACCATCGAGTGGGATGAAGCATGGCGGTAGGGGATCGGGAGACAGACCACGAAGTTCTGGTGACTCACCGATGGCACCTCCAAGGAAGAAAAAGAAGAAGAAACTGAGCAGCAAACATCCTACAAGGCCGTTAGCGGACATTCCAGATTCTGACATGGTGATTCCTGTGGGGTTGACAGATGCCGTTTCCCCTGGAGGGCAACTACATTTTGGAGGTGGACCTGGAGATGTTGAGAGTGCGGACGGAGGGGAAGAGGACGAAGGTGCTACAACAATACCCGTGGAAGAAGCAGAAGTTGCAACTAATATGGCACCGAATCATCATCATCGTTCACCGAGTCATCATCGTGGCGAACGTCGTAGCTCGGGTTCTAGAGGTAGTTCACGGCCTGCCTCTGGCAACGACAACTCTGCATCGCATCGCAGAAAGGTGAGAGCGCCATCAACGCCTCCACCGCTGTTCAGTATGCCGAATTGCGAATTGAATGAAGATGGATTGATAACCTTTCCTGGTGGCGACAGCTCTGTTTTGTTTGAGCAGAATCCGCATTTGAGTGAAGCAGGACACGTAGTAGATGCTGAGGAAGGGGAACGGCAAGACGGCGTCGAAGGAGGTGGTGGTGGCGGAAAAAAGAAGAAGCGGAAGGTATCAATCACAATATTTTTTTTGATCTTGCAGCAGCTTCGTTCTAATTCGTCAACAGAAGATGGATTACTTTCTTTCATCACTATCGCTCTCACAACATGCATATCTCAACATTTAATCATCCCAGAATTCTATGTCAACGACGTCTACCGCCACAACGACCGGCGAACGACATCCGCTTGCGGCCTTAACCGCGATGGTTCAGGAAGAGGCTTCGAAGCAGAATCGGGACAGGGTGAATGCTGCTGGTGTCCGTGGTCGCTTTTTTGACGCTTTCGGTAACGTGGTTGAGGGCCCACCAGAGCCCGTTGATCCTATGCAACGACGTCGAGATTTGATCTACCGCAGAGAAGGAGAGCCAGACTTGAGAAAGGTTTTAGGGCGCAAAATGTCTCGTTCATCGTTGGCGGCCAGTCTGGTAGTCCCGAATGGTAGTGGCGCACACGCAGGCCTTGAGAATCCCGATGCGCCTGCTCCATTGAGTCTAGAAGCCGCTGCAGAAGAAGTGGAAACGCGATTAGAAGCAGGTGGAAAGGCTGCTATGGAAAAACAACAGCAACAGCATAATAGTTCTAAGAATTCTTCTGAGACTAGGAGAAGGAGGCGTAGTTCCGAAGGTCCATTTCCATTTGGTCCACCACTCGTGCCTCCGGATGATGGGATCATGCCGGGGGATCAGCACTGGATATCAAACGCACAGAACATGATGAACGAACCAGGACCAGTGCAGCCACCAGTGATGAATCATGCAGAGGAAGTGCAACAAGCTGGAACTAACCCAGTAGATGCTCGCTCTCCTTCAAAACAAGACCAGGCAAATCTCGGCAACAGTTTCCTTTTCTACGACGGCTCACCCCAAGCGCAGAGGCAGATGGAGCAGCAAATGACGCAGCAGCAGATGCAAACCCAATCGCTCGCAGGTCAGCCCAGCATCGAGACGGTCCCTAGTATTTTCGTAGTTCCTGACGAACGATGGGAGCCTAAGAGTTCGAAGCTCCAGAAAAAAATGGAGAAGAAGAAACGTGAGCGTCAGAAGATCAAGATGTTGGCGGAACAGGACGACGGGAAGAAAACTGCGTCTACCTCCATGAGAAACTTCCGTTGTCATTCAGGAAACGTCAAAACAGCGGAACACGAAGGTTTTTCTGCAGCTGTGTTTCCAGATACGAATGAGGCAGAAGGAATATTTGCTGAAGAAGGAGGAGAAGGAGGAAATGCAGATGTAGATGAGTCTTCACCTACGAAAGATGCAACAGGTTCTTCTTCTGGTAGATCTTCTAATAAGAAGAAAAACAGTAAAGTTTCTGCAGCTGGGAACAAGAAATCCGTTAACAAGAAGAATTCGCCCCCTTCTGTGGCAATTTCCTCTGCACATCCGCCAGCAAAACCACCAGAGTACTTGGACCAGGCTATGGCTTACGGCCTAGACTTGTACCGGGTTTTGCGTGATAGCACAAACGATGATCTTGGCTCTTGGTGTCTCTGCAATCCTATGGTTGCACAGAATTCCCACATCTATTTGCTAGGGCAGCTCCACTACTCGAAATGGGATGCGGTGCATATGGCGAGGGTACTACTTAATTTGATTTCAAGTAATCGATAGTGCTGACTGATTCTAAAGATGTTACGAATATCGACGAAGTCGAAGTGTGGAGTATCTATCTTCATTTCCCTGCTTTCTTTTCCATCTCATCTCTTTCCCTCGTCAGGTCTTCCGCCACCTTCAACCTCACATTGTTGGCCTTGAGTCACCACTCGATGGTCGGGAGACGTGGCGAGGCTTGGCAGAAGCCTTTAGACGTGAAAGTGGTAAGGAGGATTGCGGTCTCCGGTTCCTGAACGACATCGGTAAGAAAGCTCGTAAAGAAAGCAAAAATGGTGGAAAGCAGAATGTCGATGGACAGAAGTCGGTATCATTTTTGGGTGATGAAATTTTCACTAGTAAGTTGTATTACTAGTTTAATATACTTTAGTTTATACTTGTTCCTACTAATATCAAGTTCGAGTTTTCCTTTTCTAATTTGACTGCGTCACGGAGATGAAGAAAACACTGATCTTCAGAAGAAAACTCCAAGCCGCCCCACGTGCATAGTTAGCCCGACACACCCTAGCTGGCGGCGACGTACTATAGGCAACGCGCGACCTTGCAACCTCTAATTAGAAGATCTTATACCCCGTGAGTGGGTACATCTATCTATCTATCTATCTATCTATCTATCTATCTAAAGCTACTTAGACACAGGATAGTCCGTTGCAAGGACGTCCATAGCACAAAACACAGGAAGCGCAGAGGAATCCGGACGCGTTCCCGGAGCGCGTTGCCCAGAGCGCATCAATACAAACAGACAAATACTCAATACAAACAAACAAATCCACATTTCCACCACCACAAATTATAGATCGTCTCCATCTGCAATTCTTTCCCCGTCGCAATGCCGAAACACCTTGCCGATGAAAGCAGTGCGCGCATTTTCCACATTGACGGCGACCGACAACTAGCCCTGCAGGCTTGTTCCTTGCTAAAACAGCAGAGTATGTCGCATTATTTGCGACTCGTGTGTGACCTTCCAGACGCCGAGATTGACCGGTATTGCGGAACCAATGGAGCTCCAACTATGTCAGCTGAGGAGATTCAGAACGCTGTTGCAGAGCTAAGTTTCGAAGTTGTGCCAACACATCGTTTAGCTTTCGTTCTACGCGAAGTAGCTTTGCGAACGGAGCCACAGAAAACTTCCGATATCATTTTCCACCAGAGAGAGCGTGGAATGGCTGCTACTCTATGCGGCTTCGAAGGCCGCATCCTGGCAGTCGTCGGCTGCCAGCATATTCCTGGATTGGTGCAAGAGTTGCGTAACTTTGGCTACAAGGGAGGGGGAGCAACAACTGGTGGGTAGAATTTTTGTGGAATGGTGTTACGGATCTTTCAAGGAAGTAAAACTGTTGATTACCATCAATTACTCAATTCTTTTCTTGTACAGTGTGCATAGTCTTCCAAGCCTTTAGTAATGAACTGCCTGTATTTAATCGAACAAAAACACCATGTACATTTTTCCATGCAAGAACTGAATTAAAGTCATACTGTCTTGCGCGCCCTCCTATGAAAAAAATGAATGATATCACTTCTTTAGATGAAGTTGTCTCGTGTTGCCTTCTTTCATTCCTGTCGTATGACAACGAATTGTTTTGCACCTGCAGTGACATTGTCGTTCCTATTTCTACTTATGTCAAAAATTGCCATTCAAAATTCAAAGCAAAACTATCACAAGATTGATATGTTTCAATTCGACATGTTGGTGATACGTTGAGTCAGCAACGCTTCACAAGGCAGAAAAAAATGTCGAAAAAATGAACCTTGTTCTATAGAGCTCCCCAAATTTTGAAACTTACACATCTCCATTGTCTGTCGTATGATACTCCCAATGAATTGTGTGTGATACTCCACTACCAGGTGAAATGTAAGTACTAACACACGAGTTCAGCCTATTTTCCTTTATCATAGAGGATGACTTCATGAAGAAAGAGGCACTAGAATCGTACATGATCGTAGACCGTGACAGCATGATCTTCGCTGTGTTCTTCAACTGAAGACGAGAAGGATGAGAAACGATGACGAGGGCAAAATTTTTAAACATCGGTTGACGAGTGTTGCGATCGCGCGTCTGTTGTTCTGGTGACTGATGTTTCGCTACTATGCTGGTTCTACAAGTAAGATTCAGATCTGTTCTTGTAGGAGGATTTTTTCTGCGATCGAGAACTTCTGTACTAGAGAAAAATGATGATCAAACTTGTAGGATCTTCCTTGTGTTCGAACGGATCTTCATCGGACGAGTTCAAGAGCGTAAACTGAATCGGTTTGTCCCGACTACATCTAACAATGCATTTCAACTCCCCAAACCATCACAGGACCGCTTTAGCTGATTTGTGGCCCACACAAAGTTACTCGATCCTTTTCCTCCGCCTCTCCCCATGACGACATATTATGATAAACTAACAAAACTCAGAGGAGCACTAAGAGGATCATCATATGTCTGCCCTCTTTCAAAGACGTTGTATGAGTTCGTACTTAGATGATGGACTTAGATGTGTTATGCTGAATTTCTGCTGACGCTTAAAACGATATTAAGTCATTGTTTGAAGGAATTCACTTCTACGGATTTGGGTCTACAAGTTTTGGTTTTTTGATGTCTTTAGATTACAGGCGCAAGTGTTAAGGAATTCTGGTTCGGCCTAATGATAAGTTGAAGTGAAGAAGTAATTCAAGGCTATAATCACCGTGACGCATTCTATAATAAGTGATCAAGAAGACAACACTTCTGATGCACAGGCATTCTTGAAGTATCTTTCGTGTCACCTGTTACTCAATCCCATAATCATCCTTTACTAGGGCATACCTGCTAAGGATCATAAGTACCATAAATACCTGCTCTTAAATTATAGTTACGTGGCGTACCTGCTCTTAAATTGTACTAGGGCATACCTGCTCTTATATAATAATCGTTACGCGGCAAGAACAAGGACACATATACCAAAGAAAAGTTGATGTAGAAGTTGGTGCTCTTGGTTCTCTTGGTCCTGAGCCACGCGAATGGGATGCGGCTCATCTAAAGATGCGAAGGCGGCGCCGGAAGGTATCCTTGTTACATATTTTTGACTGAATGCTAGGGATGGATCAATAAGAGTTGTAGTTGTCAAAGTAGGTGTTTACTAAAAATCCTGCCCTCCTCTTCGCTGCTAGTAGTTCTTTTCTTTGATTCATGTATGATCATTATCCGCAACCTATGATCGTTGTTTTGTCTTGATATCTTCATGATTTTTTCTCACGACAACCCAGCCGGTGCTCGCGGCCCGCGGGATGCAGCAAGTGAAACGATTGGACGGCCACTCCACCAAACAGCGGCAGTAGATGTGCCATTTGGCTACGAACAGGGCCAGAAACGATGGGTGCGCAAGAGAAGTCAAATGCTATTTCAAGATCTAGGTGCTTACTCTTCCTTTTAATGAGGGTTTTGGTTGCTAGATGCTGTATCCTCTGGGCTTTTTTGTTTTTGTGATGAAATAATGGCTGTCGTTATGACAAGGAAAGGTGTACTCATACTCAAGGAAAGAGTTTTTTTCGTACTTAGAAAGAGCCTACTTTCTTGAGGATGAGTACACTTTTTCGCCTCATACGTTACTTGCTTTGACATGTACTAAATTTTGACTTCGCTATTAGTTTCTTCTTCTCTCATACATCCACTCGCATCGAAGGCTCTTCCAAAACTCCTACTATTTAACATGTGGTCAAAAAAACTCCTCCTATTTTAGGTGTGGTCGAAGGCGGTCGGCTGCATCGCGACACGAGTGGTGAGGGTAGTGGTACCCCAAGAAGGCAGTACAGCAAGGACACCCCACCCCGTCCGCCGTACGCGAGAGAGCGCTCTATGAGCCGTGAAAATGAGCCGAGGCTTGTGGAAAGGTCGCACTCGATGTCAAATTCCAGTATCTTGCACCGCTACAACTCTAAGGAGTTCAGCACTGGCCGCTTCGCAAAAGAAATATCCCCACGTGTGGACAGCACGTTTGCAGCCAGACCAAATCGGAGAATCAATTAGTCCACTGGTACGGAGAAGATTAACTACGGCAATGACTCTTTCCATATTTCGAATGGTACGGATGAACCTTTTAGAACCTACGAAGGATGAATCAACTAGCTGGAGCAAGTATTCTTCTATATGGAGAACAGTAGGGAGGAAACTGGAATTTCTTGTATAACAAGAGTAGGTAGAAACATCTTAGACACTGTGGAGGCGTGACAACCAAACATCTTGTATTGATTCATTGCAGTGGGGAGAGCTGCATTGAGCCAACGTGTAATCAAACATTTATGAATATGTTGTTCTTGTTGTGTGAGTATATTAACCACTCGCACGAGATACAAATAAGTAAGAAGATAGATGAAGGACTTTCTTAGAACAACTCCCTAGCAATGTGTAAAATACTCAAATCTTTATACTTGAGACGAGTGAAATCAGCTATCCTGATGTAGCACTTAGCTATGTGCTGATTTTAGCTGTAGTTTTTGGAATTTTTCGTCTTAGAGAAATAGAATAGAAAATGATGATTTTGAGGCGAAATGGATAATACAGGTACACCAGGCTTTATACAACGAACAGGATCGATTACAACCAATTTGAGTACAAAAAATCACAATCTATCTTTTCTCCCCTTCTAAATTTTTCTGCGTCTTCCTTAAGAAATCCCACCCTTCAAAAGAAAGCCCACCTAATAGATGTGTGTTTGATCTCAGCAAATAATTAAAAGGTGTATGAAAAAACTGTGTAATAGGCCGTAAGTAATGATGCCGTAATAGGCCGAGGATGCCGCAATAGGCTCGCAGGTCAGCCCAGCATGGAGACGGTCCCTAGTATTTTTGTAGTTCCTGCTAACGAAAGTACGTTCATATCGAGGCTTCAAAGTCTAACATTTACAGGAAAAGAAATCAGAAGCACTAGCATCTGCAGTGGGTATAGTAAGGTGAAATGACTTTTAAAAATTTGATATTGGCGGTGCAGGAAAGAGAGCTTTCCCCCCGCTTAGACGACTAATGCAAAAGTTGAAAATGCAGCCTACACACGACATCAAGATGCTCCTTCTGCTATATGAAGGTGATTAAAAACTGCAATTGAAGACAAGGATTACAGGGGTTTATTGAAGATCAACATCCACTTTGTGAAAATAGATAAAACCAAGAAGCCATCCGAAATGGATTGAGATTAGGAAGCAGCAGCAGCAGCGTTCCACGCTCAGCGTCTACTGAGTAATCCGGTTTCTATGTCACACTTGACTCTACAGACGTTCGTCGTCGTCTTTTTGTGCACCACGAACCCCCCGCCAAGCCCTAAATCAGGCTTTAAAGCGGCGTCATGAACTAGATTATCATGTACCACTTGGCAGAATCGGTCTCAGAAAACAGCAGCCTTCAGAGAGAATCCCCCGGTCCCTGGTGCAATAAACATAGAGAAACACGGCATTTTACTACAAATCTACCTTTTTCGCAGTGAAAGAGGAAGTTTTGTTTAGACAGACACAACTCTTGTTATTGATTTTCTTCCTAACTTTTTGATGTACCTTCGAGAAAGTGTGTAGAATGAATCATATCCTGAGAATAGCAATAGTTTAATCACATTATACTCATCCCAACTTTCACTAAAGGAAATACAAAGCGAGAACATGGACAACTACTATAAGGAGTCCATCTATTTCAAGACTGATCTTTAAGCCTAACGACCACTACTACTTGTACTAATCATAAGACTTTTCGGATAAACATAAAACTAACTACAACCACGAACTACCTAAAAGAACAAAAAAGAACTACCTACTAAAACCACAACATCACTTACATATGTGGCCATTCTTCATCTTGTCTCAGTGCTTGCCGGGATGAGCAAACGTACCTCAGGATCGCCTGTCGGACCTGATACGAAAAAACAGCGTTCGAGTCCACAGAACAACATGCTGGCAGAAGGACAAGATACAGCAACTGGACAAGATACTGCTACCGGGACTGCTGGTGGCAAGATGAATGCTTCTCTTATGGAGATTGCATTGAGTTGCAATAGTTCTTGTGATTTTTCTGTGATCGGGACGGCAGACCATCGTGTGCTGGTTTGTTCTATGAGTGCTATGTAAATTGAGAAATTCACTTTGGAAGAGTGCACGGGAGGGAGATTAGGCCTCATGAAGACCTTGATGCCTCTTTCATTTTGAAGTGGAGCAATCCGAGCGGACCCGATCTATTGTCCACAGAACAAACCTCTATAGACAACCTCAAAGGAAGCGCTTCTTCTTCGTCCTCCTCGAGTATGCTGAAGGTGACAAACGCAGGCGGATCGATGAACAATAATGGTACGAGCACAAGCGCTAGTAAAGCGATTGGAAGGACCAGAGCACGACATCCTTTGCCTGAGTTCCATGATGGATTCAAGAGTCGGGAAATTGTCTTACTCCTCTTGCAAGCGTTGCAAGGTCTCCGCTTAAACGAAAGCGTGGCTGCTATCGAAAAAGAGACAGGTGTACGGTTGGAAGGTCCACTCTTAGCTTCCTTGAGAAAAGCAGTAGAATCATCGCAGTTCGATATAGCCTTGGCGGTTCTAGACCAGATAGAGGAAAGCGTACTGAACAATGAAGAGGATGCTGGTGGAGGAAGTCATGGTTCGACCATATCTAGTTCGAAGAAGCAGAGGATGAACGGAGAAGGACAAAATGGGAAGCATTGTATGAATGGAAAGCACGATCATGGCGATGCTGGTACATCGAAGGTCAGTAACGGCTCTTCCTATGACGCCAACAACAAAGATGAAGGTACGCAAGTAGATGATACTGGGGAGAAAAAGCACAAGATGAATCCACCTCCGGTTCCCGCGTCTAGCTCAAGTACCTCGAGGGGTCGCACAAATAAGGGAAAGAGCACCACATCTACTCCTTCATCACCTACTCTCTCCAGTTGGAACGTCCACAACAAGGGAAAAATCCAGTTCCTACTCCTAGAAGAAGCTTTCTTCGAACAACTTGCTCAACAGAGAGTACCACGAGCAGTTGCGATATTACAACAGTCGCTGTCGGAGGTAGCTCATGGCTGTGGCTATACGACACGATTTCAAGAGCGGCTGCACGAGTTGGCTTCTTTTGTGATGTGTAGGAACGAAAAAGATCTCGATTACTTCGCAGGATGGCGCAGACAGAGGTCAAAACGGGTTTTATGGCAACGGATACTGCGATTGTTGCCTACGTCCATTGTCATGCCAGCGAAACGCTTGACGGAGCTGTTGTACCAGGCGCTGAGATTTCAGGTACGTCTACTTACTATCACTTTGGATTTAAGACTTGCACTTATGAGTACAACTACATCTACATTCTTTGACACGACTGCAAAAGATTGAAGATACCAAAGTCTAACCTTCAATTCAATAACTCTCCAATCCAGGAACTGGCCTGCGTCTACAACGACCCTGATGCGCCTGCCTTGAAGAACCAGTGCCGCTCTTTGCTGAACAATCACGTCAGCCCTCCCATGCGGCTGCCTAGGAGAGTCTTGCACGTCCTCGAAGGGCACAAAGACGAAGTATGGCACATTGCCGTATCCAACCAAGGCAGATGGCTAGCAACAGCCTCTCGGGATGGCCGTATTCTGGTCTACGACACCGCGCAACATTTCAATGTCGTTTATACCCATGAAAAAGGTGCTAGCCCAAGCTCTTCCCCTCAAGACGGAGCCAGTAGTGGGCGGCAAGAAGAGCAGCTAGTAGAGTCAGCGCCACCTTCATATCTGGCGTGGTCGCGGGATGATCGTATGCTGCTGTCCGCCCACGGCGTAGAAGTAAGGCTGTGGTGTGCGACCGGTGTGCGGATACCTTTGAAGAGTCTGCTAGTGGAGCCGTTTTTTGTTGGGGATAAAGCTGTAATGAAAGTTATGCTCACGGCTATGTATTCCTTTATGTCCCTTCTTTCCATGTACAAAAATGATTCCAGCTCTGTCTCTTAGCCCGCTCTAACTCTAGAAAGCAAACCGGAGACGGCGAGCAGTCGCAGATGCTCTGTATGGACCTCGCAGCCTGTGGAAATCGATGCGTGCGCGTGTTTCGCAGTCCGGATGCAGAAGACACTGATGCAGGATTTGACACTGTCGAATGGGTTTCTCCTGGTGAATTCGTCACAGCCGGTTTCCGTGTCACCCTATGGAACGTGTGGGGAGATCGCATTTGGAGCATGCAAGGCCGTGACGGATCTGTCCAGGATATCGCGATAAACTTCGACCAGTCGTTGCTGTTCATGCTTTGCGCTGAGAGGCATGTCAAGGTATATTTTTCTGTGTTTGGTTGAGTATGTTATCAACCATGTATAGCAAGGGTCGACGCGTTCACAGCGCGAAGCAGAGGCAGGAAGCAGGCAGGCTGCGTGCCTAGCTCGGGGCGGCCGGAGGCGCGGAGAGGGGGAGACGCTGGCTAGCCCGAGCGCGTACAACACCCCAACAGCGTGTTACGTTCTCGACGGCGTCCAGCTGTGGGGTGACGGAGCGCGCGGCCTTCATGGGTCACAACGTATCGGAGCTTCTGGGAGGTTGGTGACCCGTGGGCGGAGGGGCCTTGCCTGGCCTCTACCGCAGGCCGGAACCTCGGACCAAATTGAGTGGCTCGCTCTCTTCACGCCTTCGCATAAATCAAGGAGCCGCCAACCCACCGGGAGAACCTGCCTCGCCGTAAGTACCGAAAACCGGCACGCCACGCGGACCAGCTTCGGCCCCTCTTTTCCATTTTCAGGGGGCTGACGCCGGAGGCCCCGGCCACCGGGGCTGGCCTATTCTACCAAAGGCGTGGGAGGCTCGGCGAGGGTGATCTGAGTAGCAACCAGCCGCGGAGGACGCTACGGGGGACATGTGTCGGTGTCTGTGTGAGGATTTGCATTGAGATGAGTGGGGTGAAGGTTTTGGCTTGGGTTTTCGCCTTGGGTGCATATGTGTCTCTCGTTCGTGCATTCGGGTGCCACCAAGTGCCTGCGAACTTTTACATGGCAGACAATAGAGCTGGCCCCCAACCGCCAGCCTGGCTTCTGTGCTAGACAGTGCATCAGCCCGATGAGGTCAGGGAAAGACTGGCCAGCTTTCTTGTGGTTCTTTTCCGCTACGGCAGAGCAAGCCTGACGGCGAGGGAGCTAAGCAGCCCAAGCCGGCTCGAAAACTCCGGTGCAGGAAGCGCAGCCATGGAGGTGGATCCGGGGTCCGCTTAGGGAGGGCGGAGCAGTCTCCTGCTAGTACTTAGTGGAGAAAGTGAGGCAAACCGAGTCGCTCGCCCGCGCCTCTCTATGAGAGAAGGCAGCGACTTGAGTGCTGGCGGCTCGTCTAGTGCTGTACCCGACGACGCTCAAAGCTGCACATCGATCGAAGGCACAGCCCTCGCGGACCTGCGTGGGGCACCAGGACCAGTCTGCCGCGTGTGTTGGGCTCGAAGCGCGCAGGTTGGGCCGCCGCTGCTTTGTTCAAGCGGGGCCGAACGGCTGCGGCTTCGCTCTCAGTCAGGTGTGGTGAAGCGACTGAGTGCGAGGGGATGCGCTTTCGGGTGTTCGCGGGTGGCATGGCTGTCACGGGCGGCGCAAGCGGGCCCGACCAACCGGCTTGAGGGCTTTGGCTGGCGCGCGTGTATTCCTTTGCGGGAAACAGCAGCACCAAGGCCAAGGAGCTTGAGGAAAAGAAGAGCACAGCCCCGCCTGGCGTTGATGCTAGCCAACTCCGCCAGAGGAGACCCACCTGGCCGCCATTCTTGTCGGCGGCTTGCCGTGTAAGTGCAACCGTGGGGAGGACTATGAGCCACACCTGGAGCCAAGGGCGGCAGTGCTGTGCGTGGCCGTGGCGCGACCTTTGTGGCGCATGCGCAGCGCCTTCCCTGGTCTGCCAGACCCATCTCGGGGCCTGTTGAGTGCCTCGGAGGAGCCCCGAAGAAAGATTGGGGGCGAACCTCCTCCGCAAGAGGGCGCGCCAGGGGCTGGGGCTTGGTAAGTATCCCGAAGGCTCAGGAGGCCGGCATCACGGTCGGGGCCATCGCGGCGGCTGCGCTGCGTTTTTTTCGTGTGGCGTCTGTGGTCTCGTGTGTTGAGAGGCGTGGGGCATTTTTGCAAGCCAGGTATGGCGTAAGTTTCTGGTGCACCCACAGGGGTCACGGGGGTGATGCGCGTAGCTAACGAGACAGGGGTCCCGGCAGTTTTCTGCTTAGATAGTTGCTTATATCTTGCGGGCGTATGAGGATAGATTAGTCAGAGATAGAGAGAGAGAGGCCCACAAAATGAAAAAGCAGAAGCGTGTCGGCCCCTTTGGTCCTTCGCATGTTTTTACCTATCCTAGGTATGTCTTGCTCGCTTATCTCGCCACTTTCTTTGAGTGAGCTTAGCTTTAGCCACCAACAACTCAGGTCATCGACCTCCGGAACGCCGCAGAAAAATATGTCATCCCCGAAAGTGAGCCTGTAACTTGTCTCCACGCCTCTGCTCGAACCAACGATATTCTTTGCAGTCGAGCAGCAGTGGGTGATGCAAAAGAAGGACCCGGAGGTCTAATCCGTCTCTGGAGTTGCTCTCCTACTGGCGCCCATGAGGTACAGATCTATACCGGACACGTCCAAGCACGCTTTGTGGCGAGACCGTCGTTTGGAGGAAGAGACGAAGAGTTCGTTTGCAGCGGCAGCGAGAACAGTCAAGTCTGCGTGTGGCATCGCGCGTTGGGAACGCTTTTGTGCACTCTCGATGGCCACAGTTCTGCAGTCAATTGCGTCGCTTGGCCTATTGGGTCACCCTTCCTCTTCTCAGCTTCAGACGATCACACTGTGCGAGTATGGACGACACTGGATAGTAGAGGGAGTGGAGGAGGTCAAGGTGGCAACGCATCTGCTGGAAAGAATATGGCATACATGAACGACGGAAGTGGTGTTAGTATTGCTCGAGGAGGTGGAAATGCACTAGAGAGAGGTGGTGGCTTCGGGATGTCGGAAACTTCTTCTGGCCTATTGCCACGTCCAGGTGGATCATTGCTGCAGGTGCAGTAGTCACAAACCCCCAGCTGATCTAATCGAAATATCGTGTACAACCTTTAGTTCTTCATGTTCTTGGAAAAGAGAAACTAGCATCTCGGGAATCGAATTTATACTTTTTGAACCATTTTTTGTTGTGAATGGTTTTTATCCTCGGCTTGTTACTAGAAAACTGTCACTCTATGTCGTCGGGAGAGCGTCTTTTATACCAATAAACTTTCCGGCAGTATTAGACTACTTGATGAAAATGTTACTTGGGTCCAAATAATTTGATCGAGGAGCAAGTCCTCAGAAGTGATCCTGTGAAGTCGGAGTCAGTTTTATTGAAAAATGGATCCTGTGGTTCTTGTGTGAAAAAGCTCGACGTCTGAAAGCTCAGCGTCTGTGATCAAGAATGGAGTTTTCTAGTTCAATTGATCTACGTTCTCCAAGTTCAATTGATCGCTCTTGGATGAAATAGAAGATCCCGCGATACTTCTCTGGATATGACACGATGAAGCATGCAACGGCCACGTGTTGAAATTTGATCTCTGGATCCGTAACACGAGTTTCGTTTCACGACCATTCTAAATTTCGTTCCCGTTCTCCACAGGCGCAGTTTGTCTTTTCCGAGGCATGCGTACGAGGAAGTTGCTGTTTTTTTATCGGAATTTAATAATGTATGATGTGTAAAGTAACTATTGCATGATTAATTCTGGCTACGTTAAATCAAAGTCAAACTGATTACAAGTGCAATTGAACGACTAAAAGCAACCATGGCACCTGGTATGAAAAAGATGAAGCGTAAGGCCTCGGCCGGCGCTTCCGCCGAGGAGGATACAAAGAAGGCAAAAGTTGAGACCCCGACTGCCTCTTCAGTTGAAGCCGCCTCCGCTTCAGAGGTGGTCGCACCAATGAAGAAGAAAAAGAAGGTTCTGAAGAAAAAGGCTATGAAAAGAGAGCCCACTGAAGGTGCAGAGACTGCCTCGAAAGAAGAAGCAGAGGCAGAAGAATTATCTGAGCAAGAGGAAGAAGAGAAGGCCGACGAGAAGGAGTCGGATGAAACTGTAGTTGCTCCTGCCCCAAAAGAGGAAGAGCAGGCCACGACTACATCAAAAGAAGTCGCAGCCTCTACGTCCTCAACAGCCACAACTGTTGTCGCTGGCACCACTTCGAGTGCTTCTTCCTCTTCCAAGACCGCTGCTGAGGTGACCACAGACTTGTCTTTCGCAACTCTAGGGTTACATGAAAACCTCGTCAAGGGTTTGGATGAGGCTGGCTTCACGAAGATGTTCGAGATTCAGCGTCGTTCGATTCCTCCTCTACTTCGTGGAGAAGACGTCTTAGGTGCAGCAAAAACAGGGTCCGGAAAGACCTTGGCCTTTTTGGTTCCGATGATCGACACGCTAGTGAAGATCAAGTTTTTGCAGGTACTTACTTACTTATTTAAAAATTCACCACTCTTTGTCGGATGATGTTCTAGTATGGATAAATAGTAGTGAAGTCACTCTTGTTCCTACGTAGTACTTTCTCTTGACTTTGATCTTCCGACCGTTGTTCAAATGTGAAATCATGCTACTAAACAATCATCAATCATGAATCATGAATCATCACAGCGTAACGGCACCGGCGTCCTCGTAATCGCCCCAACCCGCGAACTCGCAGACCAGATCTACGGGGTTTGCCGCGAGATCTGCAAGTACATCTCCCAGACCCACGGCGTCGTCCTAGGTGGCATGAACCGGCGAGAGGAAGCTCGCAGACTCGAAAAGGGCGTTTCAGTGCTTGTCGCGACGCCTGGTCGATTGCTCGATCATATGCAAAATACGAAAGGATTTGTATACCACAACTTGACAGCTTTGGTGTTGGATGAGGCAGACAGAATTTTGGAGATCGGATTCGAAGAAGAGATGAAGGCGATTTTGAGACTACTGCCGCCAAAGAGACAAACGGCACTCTTCTCAGCGACGCAGACGAAGAAGGTAATTCTAATTTGGAGTTTTTGTATTTCGTCGCAAAAAAGTACGCTGATAATGTTAGAGCATCATCAGAACCCGCATGTTCCTACTCTTGTTTTGCGACTGGAACTAGTTCTCGACACTTTTGGAATCTCGTAAATTCAAAAACTCAGGTCGCCGACCTCGTCCGACTCTCGATGAAGCGTCCAGTTTTCGTCGAGGTGAAGGGCGAATCTAACGCCGCAACCAGAGCTGGCCTCGAACAGGGCTACGTGTTGTGTCCTTCCGACCGCCGATTCCTCCTCCTCTACACCTTCCTGAAGAAGGAGAAGAAGAAGAAGATGATGGTCTTCATGTCTTCGAAGCATGCGGTGAAGTTCTATCACGATCTCCTCAACTACATCGACATTCCCGTCGAGTGCATTCATGGCGACAAGAAGCAGAGTCAACGTCAATCGGTCTTTCATCAGTTCTCGACGGCAACCTCCGGGGTTTTGTTGTGCACGGACGTGGCGGCTCGTGGTTTGGATATTCCGAAGGTCGACTGGATCGTTCAGTTCGACCCCCCGGATGACCCGCGCGAGTACATCCACCGTGTCGGCCGAACAGCCCGTGGCGCAACCGGAACCGGAAAAGCATTGCTGTTTTTGTTGCCGGAAGAATTGGGATTCTTGAGGTGCCAATTTATACTTACAACGATGCTCCTTCGATTTTCCTACGAGCAACGTCGATATATTACGCTATTGTCTAGTAAATGAAATCTAGTACCATTATTGAAGAAGAACTAAACTTCTGACACGGAACAACTGTGACATCAATCCCTGATGGATAAAGACTAATGTTCCATGAACAACATGCATTCTTACTTCCACAGGTACCTGAAGCAGTCCAACGTGACGCCCAACGAGTACACCTTCCCCGAAAGTAAGGTCGCGAACATCCAGACGCAACTCGAGAGACTCATCGAGAAGAACTACCACCTTCATCGTGGCTCTCGCGACGCTTACCGCAGTTACATCCACGCCTACGCAGCACACAGTCTCAAAGATTGTTTTCAAGTGCACAAGCTAGACTTGCAGAAGGTAGCCAAGTCCTTCGGCTTCGACTCGCCCCCAAAGGTCGAGCTGGGCATTAAGCATAGAGTCAAGACAAAGGCTGCGAGCAAGGGGAAGAAAGCCAGTGAACAAGCGTCGGGTCATGCATTCTCAGCAGAAAATCCGTATGGGAAAAGAGAAGCATCAGACAAAAGGCAATTCATGCACTAAGAACTCATCAAGCGCATGTGCATGATTATGATGAAATGTTGGAGGTCTCAATGAAATCATTGTGTAATTTACCACGCAAAGGGATGTTGATCAAAGTATGTTTGCATCACAAGAGCACTATCAATACCCAAGTAACTGTGGACGCACGACGCATCTTCTCGGAGGTCTACTGAACACTGACTGTCGTGTTCATCAAACCCCAGACGGAAATAAGTGCAATGAAGCTCTACATGAACTTTCTCTCACAAGCACCAGAATAAAATGAATGAAACAGATCCTCTTTGGAAAAATGTCACATCTCTCACTCATCGTGGAATGATGAACCAGCTAAAGATCCATCTTGCATTGTGAAATGATCCAACTTTCAGAACAACCATGCCAATTCATTGTGAAGATCCATTTTTCCCATTAAAAGGCTTCTCGAGGACGAATCAATATGTTGACATGTTTGTGCTCTCTCTTAAATCTTTGCAGGCACTTGTAGTGTTTCTCATTCTAATGTGGTAGAAGACCTAGTTCTTTGGGAGTTCATCGTCAAGCTGATTTCCGACACGCACTGAGACTCGCTTTCATCAAAGGAAATTTCCATAAAGAAACGAAAGCATTTTAGAGTTCAAAATTCATCTGAAATTTCTCCTCCATTCTAGGTATTTTTCAGCCTCAACAACTTCTTGTAGGTCTAAAAGAACTGAAACGAATCATAGACAGAGCAAAACGAATAATAGACAGAGGATTTTTTACTTTTACTCGTAGAAAAACGTTAATTATGTCATCGGATATGATCACAGAGGTTGAGGAGGTCGCTGAGCAGATTGATGTAGATTTTAACGAAGATGAAGGTGCTGCTGTTCTTGCTGACGAAAACAGTGTCGAACAGCAACAAGTGTTAAAGTCCTCTTCTCGTTCAGACGACGCCCCTCCTACAACTACTTCTATGCGTCATCACGTTGAGGACATCAACAGTACCACGACTACAACAGTTGTTGCAGCTTCTGAGAAAGAACCCGTGATAGTGCGTAAAAACGGCGTTGTCCACCCGGCGCACGGACTGAATAACCCCTTTGGATCTAAAATTCTAGTGGATTCGCCGAATACTTCACCGGCTCGCGGAGCAGAGGTGGTGGAAGACGAGCCCCGACCGACCAGTAGATTCAGCACGAAGGAGACCTGCGACTCCCCAACAGGAGTTTCCGCCTTGGACAGCGCTGCGAAAGGAGGTAGTGGCACTGGCCGTGGGGAGAGTAGTCCAAATACAAAGCCGATTACAGAAGTTGCTGTGAGTAAGTGCCGATCGATCACATCTTCCGCTTGTAGTAGATCTACTGGTAATAATCCTCTAGCTGGAGAAGTAGACGAAGACCAAAATATGTTATGGTCAACATTTCGTGTCCATCTCGTCTCTCGGCATCTTGGTTTCCTTTTGCCCTGTATTATTCCTATGAAATGATACAAGGGTAGTAAAGGGGGCAAGATGAGGGGGCCGAGATGCATTGTAGCACACGCTAAGTATGGAGGAAGACTTTTTATCCTCGGCTGTTGTGGAGGACGAGGCGTTGCGAGAGGACCCCAACATGCCCTCGTCTCCTAATGAAGGCAATGAAGGTGCTGATGGCGCTGATGGAAATATGAATTGTGGAGTTCGTGATGGAAATATGAATTCTGGCTCTTTCGATCAGCAAGGTGGTGAACAAGATCAAGATCAAGATGCCCAAATGGCCGACGGAGAAGATCAAGATGCTGCTGGTGATAATCTTAGCAAGGAGGGAATTTCGCATAACGATTTGAGTGCTAGTGGCAATGAAAACGAGGGTGAACAAAAGGCTGACAGCGACAAGGATTCTGATAGTGGCAGTGCAGTCCAGTTACCGCGAACCACGGCGCGACCGCATCCTACTTATCGAGGAAACAAAAGCGGGATGAACAACAACAATAATGCTAGTTCCACTTCCACTTCTGCTGGTGGCAATAACAATGCTAGTTCTACTGCTGGTGATAACAATGCTGCAACTACGGGTAATGCAGATGCTGGAAACAACAATGGTGCAACTGCTACCACTGGAGAAGGCACCAACGACGGAACCAGTACCACTGATAACAAGAGACGAGAGGGACGAGATGGAAAATGCACGCTTTTTGTCGGTGGATTAGCTCCATACACGACCACCGAGAAATGTGAGGAGATGTTCAGACGCTATGGTTTCCCCTGCGCCCACGTTCATATTCCATGGAACTTCGCGAAGCAAGCGCCTTTCCAATACGCTTTCGTACTTCTTCTACTTCATACTTACTCCGATCATTACCCTCCCTCTTCCCCTCCGTCCTCCTTTTCATTTCTCCCTTTCTCCGAAAATTAGGAAATGTTCGGGTGTATTAGATTAGTGTTAGTTATGGACCTAATAAAGATTAACTATTCCACTATCGTCTAGAACAACTGCATTACTGTTACTGTTACCTTTTCATACTCCTAGCTACTTTCTTCTTCTTTTTCGCAATGATAATGTTGAATTTTCGAATGTTGTTGTGTTACTATTTCTCCAAAGTGATCCATCTTGAGAAATAGTCTAACTCTTCTCCTTAAATTCAGGTTGACTTGGCCAATCCGGCAGACGTGGACCGGGCAATCGCACGTTTTCATAATCAGGACGTTGATGGACGTGAGGTACAACTCGGTGTTGTTACAACTTCGTACTTTTTTATTTGAGTAGATGGTAAGTAGACGTACAATAAGTTAGCGTAAAAATCAAAACAAAATTGTACGCCGAAAAAAGAGTTCTGCATCAATAAATATGTATCGAATTTAAGAAAAACACAGCACCCCTGAATCCAACCAACCATCGTGAACGAATCAACCTGTTCAGTTGCGTTGCGAGATCCGTTCCCAGGGATCCGCCAAGGATGCGACTGAGATGGTAAATCAGCACCGAGCGAAGGGTGCCGGCAGCTACAGCACTGTCTGGGACGCCAGACGTGGCCCTACCAACTACGTTCCGAGCTATGCCGGAAAGGGCAGCTCTCGCGATTGTCGGCCTCCACCTCGTAGTTCTTCGAATTATGGTGGTGGTTCTTCGCGTGGCAATTATGGATCGTCCACCGCTGCTCCTGCTGCTGGTGGAGGTAGTGGCAGATCGAGATTCGACACCGATGCACCGACTGCGCCAGCACGACAGGTCCGTGGCTACGGCGATGATCGTTACCACACAGGTGGCAACAACTATGGTGCCAGTAATAAGGGACGCGGAAAAGATTCCTATGGTGGCGATCGTGGTGGTTACGGTAACAACAGCTACAACAACTACAATTTTTCTCGAGGTGGTGGCAAAGACCATAGTACTCGAGATCGCGACAACCGGGACAACAATCGAGACAATGACCGTTTTAGTAGTTTCGCTAGATTTTCTAGCCGTCCGGAACCGGAAAGTACCGCACCACGCGGACCAGCACCTTTGCCAGGTGGCCGCGCTCCATTGCCAACACCTATTGGAGGAGGTGCGCAACGACAAGCGGCCCGATCCAGTCGCAGTCGCGGTCGACGTGCAGCTGAGAATACACCAAGAGGTGGAGCCTCGACTACCAACAACAACAACAATAAGGGACGCGAAAACAGTCGTAGCAGACGACGTGATTCTCGCCGCCCAAATCGTGCCCCGGCACCCCGACCAGCAGGAGGAAAAGGACGATTTTGAACTTGGTAGAGTACAATGTTGAGAAGGTCGGAGCAAAAATGGTATGGGGAATTATGGTTGACGAAAAGATAAAAATGATTTGTTCACGAGGAGATCAGGTCTTGTCGTATAGAGGATGGTTTCTGGTCTGAGCATAGAGCGTAATTCGATTTCCGTGTCCCAGGAGGTTGCTGATGTTGTTCCTGAGAAGCACCACCCGAACTTATGAGATACATAACTGCTGGACCTTCATGTTACGGCGCGTTTGAAGCACTATCCAGAAGATAGGATTTTATGACGGATGAACCACACGCTTTTCTCAGGACAGGATATCTGTCTTCACGTTTCTCCCTTCGCAGGGTTCCTCGCCCCTGCTACATTTAAGCAGCCTAAAGGGCGATTATGATAGTGTTCACTCTCAACTGCATTACATACACCCTTTGTAGAATGATGTGGTGAGCAAAATAGAGTTGGTGATAACAACACTCAACAATTAAGAATATTTTGAATTTCCATTCCTGGTCGTTCAGGATGCTACTTCTAATACTGTGTACAACAATAACAAAAAGGATTGCTTTTACTTCTTCATGACGAGGAGAGAAGAACAGATCGATAATGTCTCGTTTTTATAGTACCCTTACTCTTCGTCTCCAAATGATTCATTTGCATTCTTTTCGCATCATGATAATTCTTGTCTTATACTCTTCTTCGCTCATACAATATCTAGTTTGTCTACCCCAGATGAAGATCGTTGCGTATTTAGCTAGAGGTACTCGCGAAGAATATTCTTGTCCTAGGCCTATCAAAGAAGTGCCTCCAGATGACTGACAGCACTATTATCTTCAACCAAGAACAAGAGTCAAAGTTGTACCTATGGATCTGAGAAAGACCTCGCCTTCATGCGGGTATGTGAAGACAACAGTAAAGTGTACCCCACTCACATTGATACTCAAGCATCGATACTGGAAGTTGTCATTCAGCGAGTACCCGTTCTCGTGATATGAAAAGCACTCCGTTTTGATGGAAGAAAATCCATCCTCGAAAATCCATCCTCTTGGTTCGGGTGCTAGAGAGAGAGAGAGAGACATCGTGGTGTTCGTGACGACGAGTCAGACATGTTGTGGTAAAGAATCGAGTGACTTCCATCTAGACATCATCAACCAGAGCTCTTACATTTTCACCATCTCTTTAACGAGTGAACAGTTGGGTGTCTTCTTGTAGTACGTCTCAGTGCGTGTGTGTGAGAGCCGGCCATTTCTCCCATTGATCATTCCATACAGAGGCGGGTAACTACAGTGTCAGATTCGTTTATCCCATTTTTTTTTTGGCTGCTCAAAGGAAGGATCACAGATCCAAGATTAGATCTATTCAGATCACCATTTTTGAGTCTCACTCTCACTAAGGACGTCTAAGGAGTCTAGGACTGTTTCAACAGAAGAGGGATCTTCATCACTGTAGCTGGTACTATCTACGTCACCGCAAGACAGTTGTCCTCAACAAAGGAAAAACACACACCAACAAAAAAGATGAAGGCGTTCGTGCTAGTACTCGGTGTTACCTCAGCTGCTGGAGAAGCATCAGGAGGGTTGTTTGACAATTTGAGGGCTGCTCTTGGTGGGACTGTGACGACGCCGACGCTTGATGCAAGTAAAGAAGAACCAAGTATTTAGAATGAATGTGTAATTGCAACAACTGAGTAGAAGCAGAAGAGTATTTCAAGTCGGTGGTCGTGAGTCTGCATGTGCATGAGGCTATTTTCATCGAAGAATGTGAATGTTTTTCAACGTTGCCAAATTTTTCCCCTCAACCGCCCCAAAACATAGGTTCTCTCACAAAAGCCGATGCGCAGGCTCAGGCAGGTGCGGCTGTACAACAAGAGGGCGGACCCTCCACATTAGAAGAGATGGATTTGCTCTGTTTGAACAACACCCAAGCACAGTCCTGGTTCAACATTCAGCAGAAGATGAGGTATAGAAGTGCTTTTTTGGTTTTTGACTACTGGCACTGGTGAGGGTGACTCATAGAGATTGAGATCATAGTACTATTGATGTCCTCACAAGAACAAGGCCTTTGAAGTAGAAATTGCGACCAGTAATCTTTTGAGAGCAACATGCGGCTCGTCACGAAACCAGGTATATCCTCGGAGCAGATGCGGCATTTAACGGCCTAGATAAAGCAAACACATTGGAACCGGCGTTGTACAGTGTCCTAGAGGATATGGGAACTACAGGAGGCAAGGATGTCTGCGGCGTGGGCAAGTTGATGGTACTGAATATATCATAGTATGTCTCACCTTTTCAAGTAGTTGTCCATCTTGTTCTTTTGCGCTTTTGCAACCAGCATCGACGACTGGGAACTTGCTTTACCGAAGAATAATTCAACTTCTGTTCAACTGTTGATGGGTCCTCATCAAAACTGAGCCTACTCTAACCCTAAACCATAAACCCTAACCCAACCCTAAACCCAAACCCAAACCCAAATAAACTACTCTTTCTGCCTGCTGACAACAAAGGTACAACTTCTCTCCATTTGCGCCATGGATTCGGATGGACAGGTGGTCAAGACCCAGATATCACAAAACGAGCAGCTCACTTCTCCCTTGTTGACGTTGTTGCTGGACATCCCATGGCACTGTACTGCTTTGATGCTCTGGCTTCTTTGAATACAACTTGCGTGTGTTTCGATTGGTGCAATAGTTTGTCGGAGAGCGACATAAAAGACTCACTGCACCACCTCATGCTAGGCACATTCATTCATTCACTCATTCAAAGATGCCTCTGAATTTGCATTGCGTCATACTGACTTCGCAAAGCAATAGCTAGGATCGATCCACTTCAAAACTACAAACATCATCCCATCCCATCGACACCACATGACAAATCCCAAATGCCAATCAAATCACACCACATCCCCACAGCCTACCAGCCAATGTGGCCATTGTTTGGATTTATGGCTCAGATGAGCATGCGAAGGGTGCTTGCAGGTGTCAACAGCGAAATGGTCGATGGACTGGTATCAGAAGAGCTGCAGCAATTCGCGTCGGCATTGAATATGGGTATCATTGGTGGCGACCTTGACGCGTTGAAGGGACTGTCTCAGGCGTTTTTGGATGCTGGTGAGGACGCAATCAACCAAAGCCCGATTGGCTTTTTGACCAGCATCTTTACTTATGGCTGGACATGATCTTCTGGATCCACATCCAGTTTACCAAAAAAGAGGCACGTAAAAGTTTTTTCTTGGTTAGAAGTTCGTGAAACCTGTCACAACTACTCAGTACGAGAGGTATCTTCGCCGCTTGGTGTTACCATTTCCCTTTCCATCCATCCATCCATCCATCCACCCGTCCCCACAAGCGACCTCTAATCCTCCCAAGCCGCAGTGGCAAACACGACTGAGGAAGCGCAGGCATTGTTCTTCGAGAGCCAACGCGTTGTGAAGAAGATGATCTTCTCACCGGCCGATCTGGACACCACGATGTCCACAAGATGGCCTCTTTGGGGAATGGCCTATTTGGCCTCATTGAAAACTATTTCTTAGACTCGTAACGGTCTGGGGAATATTTGGGGGAGATTTTTAGGAGTCACTTATTTGATAATGATGTTGAAGATGGGTGTAAAATGGTAGATTATATCGATCGAAATTAAGAACTCACAACATAACATTACGTAGCATGAAAGGTAGTCATTGATGAAAAGATAGGCTTATAGATTCACATAGTATACATAGAAAATTCCCACGCTTAATCTACGGGATATATCGATCGGGCTATTTCAGAAAAAGCTTTCCCACGTCTGTAAATAGGTACTAACGTCGAAGATGATATCATCACCTGTCATTGTTGGGTTTATCCACCTTTATAGAGTCATTGATTTCCGCATTCATAGCCGTTCAATTGAAAATAGCGCAATACAACTGGCACGTTTGCGTTACATTCACCAAAAACTAGAACACCTACTTAGTTCACCATTCAAATTCAGCCAAAAGTAACACCAACCAAGTAATACCAAGGTAAGAAGAAGCAAAGCAGGATCTTATGGATCAATCACAAGAAATAGGTCGTATATTTTTGTAGAATTTTTTAGCATGAATACTTCTTCTAGGGCAGCACGTTGAGCAGTGCTCGATCATCTCCGCAACATCAAGATGTTGATCCTGCTCCGTCACTCGGATTGCATGAGTGTCACGCAATAGTTCTTTCAATCCTAAGACTTGATCCTTCCTGAATTTAATAACAACTCCCATTAGATTGGTAAACAAAGATGTTCTCCTTCTAGACTTCAGAATCAAATTCGTCACTGTGACACTGTGACCTAGAATTTCAATTTCCAAAGTTTTGTGTTCTCTATAGGTCCCTGGGTGAAGCTGAATGGCCTGACGAAGAAAACTGCGTGATCGATGGGATCATAGGATCAATCACCTGCCTGCAAACTGATCTGAAACCTGTGAAGTCCATACCGGGATGCCAATCCTGTCCGGTGACTGTTCCGCATTATGGTGACAATACACGCTGCTTCAGTACCCCTATGTCCTTACTTCAAACCCTGAAATTTTTCATTTTCCCGTAGCAGATTTCGATCATGACTTTTTGCTAGCTTAATTCCCCTTGCTTCGTAATCTCTTGCTTAGAATAGACCAGTTCGTTCACTAGGTCAGACAGTAGTACAAGTCTGATTCAACTTGTAGTACAAGGTCAAACCTTGTACTAGTAGAACAAGGTCAGAGCTACTTGTTGTTCAAAGCTTGTACTTTAGGTACTACAGTTGTAGTACTAGTCGATTCAACTAGCCGGCTAGATTGTTCAGTGCTCCACCTTGGACTACATTGTTAGATCAGCAAAGATGGCGTCAGGAGGAGGAAACAGCGGTGTTGACTTCGGGGAGTGCAAGCCCCCGGAAGTTCAACGTATTGATTGGATGTATGAACAAGAGGTCACACTAACGGAAAAAGAGCAAGAGGAGAAGATGAATGAGGATGCTCTTGCTGCTCTAGCTGCGCAAACCGTCAATGCCTCATCAGAAGCAGATAGGACGGGGAAAGGGTACTTACTGTGAAGATACTATTACAACTTCGTGCCTACTGTCGTGTGATTGATGTCTACTGATGAGATGTGCTTTCGCTTACTCGAACTCATGTTGTAGGCCGCTATTTTCTGGAACTTGTCATACTAGTTCATTTTTGCTCCAATCGCTTCTCTCACTGACAATCTCTCAGGGCTCTCTTCCAGCAACGCGCCAGTGGCAGTGAGCTACTAAACAAAGTCCGAGATGATCCCATGTTCATGATCAAGCAAGAAGAAATGAGAAGAGAAAAACTCCTAGAGGCAAATCCCTTAGTCCAAGCCCGTCTAGCTGCTGCTAAAGAGCAAAAGGAAGACCGCGAACGACGTGCGGCTGAGATAAAAGAAATGGAAAAGATTAGGAAACGGCAGAGAAAAGAGGAAGAAAAGCGAGCTAAGAAGATACGGAAAAGGGAAAGTAAAAAGGAGGCGAAGAAGGAGAAGAAGAAACTGAAAAAAGCGAAGAAAAAGGCGAAGAGGCAAGAAAAGCGTGCTAAGAAAGAGAAGAGACGGCGAAAAGGGAAAGAAGTGTCGTCAGACTCAGACACGAGCACAGACAGCGAATCAGACTCTAGTAGTAGCTCCGATTCCGGGAGCTCTGACTTCGAGGATAAACAGCGCGCGCCGCCGATGTGGTCAGGCGCTTTGCCTCCGCCTGATGCACAACCTACGCAAACCTTCGGAGCAAACAAGCCTGAGGAGCCTGTGTCAACGGAAACAAGTCTGCAAAACCTTAAGTACATGTTAGGCCAGTCGCGCTCAGCGGCGCTCTTCGGTGGCGCAGGTCGTGGTGGGGTCAACGCGTTTGAGGAACGGCAAGCGAAAATGCGGGAACGAGATCAGAGGAACGCTGAAGCAGCAGGTGCCAACAGTAGACATGCACACAGGATAGCACAACAATCTGGGGATAGAAATAACGGACCCTATGGCCATGGAGGAGGTGCAAGTAGCAGCGGTGGTGCTAATAGAGACGGCCAATATCGAGAGATGTCTCTAGAGGAGAAGAGAAAAAGGCTCGAGGACATGCGCAATCGAGGTACTGCTTTTGAAAAGAGCAAGCAGAAAACCTTTGCTTCACTCGAAGAGCTGGAAGCTAAGAAAGCAAAGCTCGAAGCCAACGAACGAGATAAAGTACAGCAAAGAATCGATGCTGGTGAAGAGCATCGGAGTAGTGCTGCATTCTTGGGGAAAATGGCGTCACGCGCATACATGGACAACGATCAGGACCTAAAGGGCGCTCTGAAGAGCAGAAGAGGCCGTCAAGATAAGAATTTGACGGATAGATATCTGGAAAGGGACTGATGTGGGTCTTCTCGCCTGGATAAAACACTCCCTTTGACAGTCATAGGCGCCCTTTGATAGTCCTAAGCTCCCTTTGACGTACCCCACACTCCTTTGACAGTCCTCAGCTCACTTATCCACCTCACATTCAATCATGGAATGATCCCTATTCCTCTGAGTTTCTGGCGATAACTCGCCGTGCGTATAAGCAATCACAATACTGCTGCTTCTAAGCAAGAAAAGCAACGCTTGCATCTTCCATTCCATAAAGTGTCCATTAACATAGCGGTTTATTTGAGTAGAGAGTTGAGAGTAGGCTGAGAGGTATAAGGAGTGATAAGGATCGAAGCTATGACTTTCTTGACTGGCGTGAAACGTACTGGCGTACTGGCGGAAACAATCAAATAAAACGGAGTCAGGAAACCATCGATGTGCATCGGTGAAAACGTCGAGGCTGAAAAAGGTTGAGAAAATCACAGTAAAAAAGAAGTTGATGTTCGATATATCGCGGACAACATCGCGCTGAAAGACGTTTATTCGCGCCTATTGCGCATGTTGAAAAACTATTTCATCTAAATTTTCATGACGAATACGCGGCTAGCCATTCTCACGCGATACTCTACGCTCTCACGTTCGGGGCCTCTACTTCATGCGTGACGATCGTCGAATTGTGACGATATAAGGCTTTTGATGAGCTTCTCCTGACGCAATCGGTGAAGCGACCGACGTCGATGTACGTAAGCAAACTGGAGTTGAACTCAGCCGCGAACGAGTCATAATCCGAAGTACGTCCCGCGGTTGAAATCGAACTACTGCCAAGTACAAGATACTGACGTTTCTAGTGTGAATAGTAGCACCTATAGATGGAGACGCGTGAAGAGCGAACGCCTCAACGAATCTACTGTTACCAGTCTCAATGGCTGGCGACAAGGTCTTCTTGATGCGGAACTCCAAAGGTTAGACTTACTCTCGGTGACGCGAAATCAACGGCAGGCAACAAACGAATTTGTCTCGACCAGAGATCAAAGCGAAGCTTAGTACGTAGTAGCGCCAGGACAGTCGAGACAGATAACAGGGACAGCTGGTCAGTTGTAGCGCTTGAACGATCGTAATCGCGCTCTCTACTGTGAAATCCTTTTGGCGGCACTACCCGACTCGCCAGCGCAGAAAACAAAAATTTGGAGTGCTCGTAGCACTCAACCTCGACTACGACGTCGTAGGAGATTCATCACGTAGGTAGAACTCTTCTTCTTCCTCTTCGAATACCGAACATCTCCTCCCCACCGACAAGATGCCACCACGATTACAGTTTTCGGTCGACGTCGACGCCGAAGACACGGTGTCAATGACGTGGAATGTGAGTGCGGATGGAAGCATAGAACACAAGCCTTCAGGCATGAAAATATCACACGATGGTGGGGTGCAGATGGATGGGCAACAGTAGTTTACTTGGATTGTCCAAAAAATATCAAAAAAATAGTTTACTTGCGGATTAGTTTTTGGATCAATAGTTTTTTTTCCTGCAGAAGCAACACTGCGCTTAACACAGTATGATACATGATCTCTTCAGATTTGTCTCGACAGAAGACTCATCAACGGCAATCTATCCTATCCTATCCTATTTGTACTGCAACGACAAACCTAATAGTCTGGTTTCTTTCCATTGAACAACAAAGGTATAAACTCTCACCAGCAGATATCGAGCTTGACGGTGATATGCTGGGACACGGCGCAGGAGGAATAGTGCAGAAGGGCGTTCATAAACCAACAGGAACGCCTGTCGCTATCAAGACGATAAAAGTACTCGCAGTTTTTCTCTTGCTACCAATTGTGATTACGAGTGAAAAAATTGGAGTGCTGATTTTTTTCAGCACCTTGCGTCCTTACTTTTCAGCAGCTCCTAAATTATCATAACAGGTCGACGCAAAAGCGAAGAAGGAGCAGATGCTGAACGAAATACGAGGGTTGATAAATGCGCAAGGATGCCCGCAACTAGTGCAGTGGTATGCCGCATTTGTCGCAAAGAATACTGGAGCTGTCCACGTCGCATTGGAGCTGATGGATAGAGGGAGTTTAGCAGACATAAAGAAGAAATTGCCAGCTGAAGTCACAGGAGTGCCGGAGAAAATATTAGGAAGTACTCGACGATGAAGCATTTCAGTTTTTCGTTTCATCTAAAACTACACTTATCACTTAAGTAATATCATCCAAACTTATCACTTAATATCATCCACTACTGTTCATATTGTGTTTCATATTGTTCTACTAAAACTCATCAAAGGTATAGCCCGCGACGTGCTTCTCGGATTAGCACATCTTCACGGGAAAAAGAAGATGTTGCATAGAGACATAAAGCCGGAGAATATACTGATTTAAGGCTCAACTTTCAATGGTCATTGGGGTTGGTCACTGAGATCGAAGAGGCGACCCCTTGAGAGATCAGGGGAAAACGAAGGGAAAGCAGAGAGCTTGGAAGGGGGTCTCTTCCGTTCAGAGTCTGTGACCAATGAATGCTGCGCTTTAACTGATGAACGCAAAAGGTGAAGTAAAGTTGACGGACTTCGGCATATCAAGAGACTTGAATAGCACAGTGGCTATGGCGGCAACGTAAGATGAGAATTTCAATTTGTGTTGACTTGCCCAAGCTTCAATTCATCGACAAAGGAACAAACTCGGTCGTAGTGGAGGCCACGCATCGTCCCACCCCCAAGCAACTCACAGGTTTGTCGGCACCGCCACATATATGTCACCCGAGCGCGCATTAGGCCAGGACTATGGTTACGGTAGCGACATATGGTCAGTGGGCATGGTCATATACGAGCTAGCGACAAGAACATACCCTTTCCCCAGTATAACGAGCTTCCCAGTATTGTTCGACTACCTGTGTACGCGCGACGAGCCGAGGCTGGATAAGGAGAAGTACTAACTGTTTTGATTCTTGAATAAGAGGAGAGCTTGAAAAACTACAAGAAACATCAACAAGCTTGATCCGATCAAAATGGTCGAACTAACAGTTCCGAGTTTGTTCAAGGTTCAAATGAATTCAACAATATAAACGTTCATTGCATCAAACCCAGGTATTCACCAGAGCTCTGTGAGTTTATCGAAAAGTCGCTTGTCCGAGACACTAGCCAGCGGCAGGGCGCGGATAATCTTCTAGAGTTACCTTGGGTCAAGAACGCCGCTTCAAATGAGGAGGTTGCGAAGTGGCTGGTTGAGATGGGGTTTACAGGGTGACGCTCGTTACCCATCTTCATGCTGTCTCAACTTCAGTATCATTCCCTGTAAATTTGTCGCTGGAAATGTTCTTCGTATCAAAAAATGTTGGCTTTGGGTTTTTAATAGCAATTTTTACGTCTCTTTGGTGTTTGTATAGATTTAAATAAATGAGAATGTATTGATTCTTCCCGTATAGGTATCATGATTTTCGATTAACCAGCTGTGGCACCTGTAAAATGGGTCGCCAAGTCTCTTTTGTTAAGCAGTGTAGTCATTTGTTGATAGATAGTCTTACGCCGCTGGACGACTTCTTACAGTCATCGAATTTTACGCTCTTGATTCTTACCGTAGAACATCTGCTCACCGTGCGCACCACGACATATTATTTTTACGCGAGCCAGTATGTAAAAAAATGTGCATGTGGCAGGTTGTTCCTCATGTATTGTGAAATAAGACACAGACACGTGTGCATCCCTAATCGAGTATGTTTTTACATCAAGAACAAATAAGATAGAAAAAAATAGCGCCTACCTGGAACGTACGAAAAGGGAGGACCGCGGGCCAACTGACTGGGAAAGCGGTTCATGAAATTGTTCACATCAATGATCTCCTACGTTAGCGGCAAGCCCACGACGATCATGGACGCGTGGCGAATCGCACACATAAAGATGCTGCAAGTGGAAACAACATTACAACGGGGGGACGACCAAGTGACTCAACTACAAGCAGCGAAACCAAGAACTTCAAAATGATGTCTATGTTTTCATCGTTTTCCTTTCTACAACTCCAAGGAAGATCAGCAAGATGACAGCGTTGCTCGTCGTCTTGCTTTGCTTACTAGATGTCCTCTGCGTCGTAGGCATCGTAGTCGAGGTCACGTGTGGGCGGCGCAATGTCATCGCGAGGAGAGCCAGCTATGTTTGCGAGAGGACTAGCAAAACCAGCGCGCTGCTTTTCGGGAGAAACGGTACTCTTGTATGATTTTTCGACTTGTGAGCCTTAAGAAAATTTCTCTCACATGTGAGCAAGATTCTAATCGCTGGATGACAACTGCAACATCATCATCAATCATCATCAACAGGTATCTTCTTCGAGCGTGTGCTGCTACTGTTGCTACGGTGTCACTTGGCCTTTCTCCTGCATTCACTCCTCTTGCTGGTGGCGCAGCTACCGGGTGTTGGTGCTATCATGCTATGCGCGCTTTTGCAGTGTGTTGCTGTGGACCGGTCACTTACCTACAACGTTGACTCGTACGTCGCATGGGACCTTCGATTTTTGTTCCTGCTGATAGGACTCTCGGGTTTGATTTTTGTTGTTGTGGTGACGTCGTGTGGGGGTGAAGACCTGGTACTAGCATGGGAGTCAGGAGCAGTAGGGGTGCCTAACTTCGCCAACATGGTCCTCTCCGACTCCAGCCAAGGATTGTCACAAGTCGAGACTTGCAGTCTCACAAAACCCGCATCAGCAACAACAGCTCTTGGTCGAGCCATCTTGACGCTTTTTGCAGCTGTTGTCCTCGATCGACTGTACCTCTTATTAAGGCTACAGTAAATGCATCTTCCCTGGCATCTTGGTCTCGTTTCTCAAGGGAAAACGGGAACCAGGATGCTCACCAAGATGGATTTATGCTAGGTCTAATCTTACAGAGAGCCTTTGCTGCGCGATTACGAACTTCCAGTCTGTTTGGCCACGATTTTCATAGTCGTACAGTAGGTTCTTTTCATAGTCGTCCTAGCAGAGGGCCTGGCGGAGGACGTTTGTCCCGCGTGAGTGCTGCACGACTGCAGGGCCGAGAGTCGACGGACGGCGTCGAGAGCCTAGCCTTATTACAACATGACAAGGAGGATCTACGAGGCACTCTCAGAGGAACCCTAGGAGGCACTCTGTGTGCATCTCTGCCTAGCGAGGTTGCAGAGATAGCGCAACAAGAACAGCGGAAACTGCGAGGGTCTATGGCTATGGGGGAAGAAGATACAGACTCACTCAATCAGCATGTTGACGAAAAAATCAAACGAACAATAAGAGATTCATCACCAGCAGAGGGAGGACCGCTAGTAGTAGATGAGGGACCACTACAAGATTTCCTCGATCCACAAGTAGAGACTCAGAGCGACGATCAGTCAGGCGTAGTTCAGCGTGTAATGTCTGGAACGAGGTGGAACAACATACACCATCTATTTCTAGGAGACGAAGAAGGGGATGAAGGAGCTGTGCTGAGTGAGCTGTTTCGAGCGCTGGAAGTAGGCGGAGGAGGGGGATTAATACAGTTGCAATCTCATCAAAGCAGCGCAAAAAAAGAGCAGCACAACAAAATTCCAGAGCTTCTCCAGTATGCTCTAGAAGCTCAACATCAATTTTCACACGAGCATGGGCAACAGGCTAGTATTTGGGAAAGCAGCGACGTGAACTCCGATTTGAGATTGCTTTTGCACGACTCCATCCTATCGTTGGCGAGCAAAGCTACTTCAGTGGGCGGGAACGACGAAGCAGCTGTGGATAACCTGCTCAAAATTGTCAATAATCGTCGTCGTGCAACTACGGAAGAGCGCCGTTCTGCACAGCGCCGTGAGCTAGCCAGCGTCGCTGCTGATCTAGAGACCGTGTTGCTGAGACCGTTGCAGACACAAGCAACGCAACGTGCTGGAAAATTTTTCGCAAGGCTTGCACTTGCCAGACAACGACAGCGGTTGGAAGAGGGGAAAGCACTGCGCATACAATCAGCGTTCCGGAGACTACAACAACAACGGGAGTTCAAATGCAAACGAAGGTTTTGTCTCGCACTGCGCGTGGAAGCACTACGCAGACTGCTTCAGCCAAGGAACTCGATTGTCCTCAACGTCTTTGCACGGATAGAGTTGTTTGGAGAGCAGAGTCAACTTATGAGAAGGTGAAGATTTATTGGAGGTTGTTACATTCTACTTGGTTATCTATCATGATATCTTCTGGCCTGAAGTCTAGTGAATGACTTTTGACCGATCACCCACCTTGAAGCCTATCCCCTTTTCATACCCCGCCCAGCCCTAGTGCGGACGACCAAGCTGCTTCCTGGAGTCGTTGACAGTGTCCGAGTTGAGGAGGACTTTCTTCTGGATGTTTATGAAATACGATATTTGCATCTGGCTGTTTGGTCTCTTGGTCAAGTAAGAGGCGATGAAGTTGCGAGTTCATCTCCAGCCGGGTTTCATACAACAACAGACGAATGCGCCGAAGATGTGGATTTAGTCGGTCGATGTGTCGTCGATCTTCAGGCTGAACTGCGCGAGGGGATGAGGAGTAGTTCGGTAGAGTCTAAGTGGTTCTCTTTGTCAGAAAAGCCTGGTGCTGATCGCGACATCAATACGAAAGGGGAAGTTTCTCTACGTTTGGAGTTTCTCGACGCATGGCGCGACGCAAGGGCAACGCGTAATGTGAAAGAGTGGCTATTGCCAGAGAACAGAGCTCGGTATTATCTACAGAACAGTTTCTGGGGTGTGAAATTGTAAATTTTAGATCCTTGTCTCTATGTTGTCGTAGTTCCATTTCGACAAAAAGAAGATCCACTCGAAGAAATTGCACAATTTAAGCAACGAATATTTTTTCGATTGTCGAAACTACTTCTCTCTGTCCGTCTCCGTCCAGAAAAAGAATCAAAATCCTTATGCTTCAGCTTGATCGAACAACCTATGCAGTTGTAGACTCAATAGATCAAAGTTTCAGTTTACACAAAATCGCTTGCAAAATCTGTTGATACAGTAATACAAGTGATAGTGAAGTGACAGTGTCACTCAGAAAACAAGAACTGTGAGCAATAATCAATCATGACTTAGTCCACGACTACGGACCCTTTTGCAAAGCTGTCAGACAACAAGATCTCCCAAAAGCTCATGCAGACCCTGTGGCTTACGCCACGGAGCATCAAGTGCATAGGTTGAGCTACACAACTCGAATAAGAATTACAATCCAGAAAACGACGCTCATCTGATGAGAAATGACGCTCTAGTGTCAGCACCGTCACTGTCATCTCAATGGTCCGGGAAAACCTGGTCTTGGTCCCACGGAGTGAACTCACTCATTTCTGCAATTTCTCGCTAGGTCATAAGCGTCTGCTCTTTTATCAAGTGCCTGTTATACCAGATCGACGTTGCCAAGGTGCCCCGATGATGTCAGTCGGTAGAAATACTGAAAAAATCAGATGTGAGTAGAGTTCCTCCATGCTGTGCTGGCTGCTCGGAAAAACCATGAAAGCTCAATTTGTTTGATTACAGAAATTTATGATAACCAAAAACCGGTCGAAAGTGAATTCAAATCAAGCTAGTTCACTTGCTCCTGCAAGGAATCCTGGCGCTTGGCAGAGGCTCTCGCTGAATATCTTAGGTACTGGAGACGAAACCAAAAGCGAGTGCCGCTGGCGTGAGAGGAACTCCAAGTAGGTTTTTAGAAAAGATGAAGGTTTGATCGGTGACAACTCACAGTAGAATGCAATAGCAAAATGCGGAGGACTAAGAAACTCCGCATTCCAAAGCAACTACAGGCAAATATGAAGACATGTGATTGATTATCAATGTTGATTAGAAATGCGCAAACGTAAGAACATGAATACTTGTTTAGCATGAAAGAGGATGAAGGTCGGTCGCATTAACCTGTAGCTTCTTCGCGAAGCCGGTGCACCTCCTACCATCAGGGGTCGGTGCGCGGAGCGACCTAGTATCAGGGGGCGAGGCGGAGCTATCCTGCACGTTCAATCTAAGAGAAGATAGCAGTTCTTTTTTGGAAACAAAATTGACGACTCTAGCGGCTTCATTAGTACAACAGAGAATTGCAGCGACCATTCCGCAACGCGGCTAAGCAACCCATTGCTTCTCCCGAATTTTCAATCCAGCTGGACAAATAGTAGACGACTGACTTTTTGAAAGTACAAGCGGCAAACACACTGAAGAAGCAGTACCCGATTATTCCCCTACAACTGGAGCAGGAGTCTCCGAGTAGAAACGGAAACAGATACTGTTTCGAATATTAACTACATCTCCCTTCCCTCTCAAAACAGCTAACAGTGTACTAGCAGAACTAAAATAAAGACAACAAGATGACGACCGTTTCTGATTTGAACAATCCGGTGTCACGCGCACCCTACAAGAAGACCAAGGCTGTGCGATTCACGGTCTTGTCTCCCGATGAGGTGAGGTGTATGTCTGTGGCTTTGATCCACAAGACCAACACCTACGAAAATGGTATGCCTGTGTACAACGGTTTGAACGATCCTCGTATGGGACCCATCGACTACAGGACAGCATGTTATGGTCAACATTTATAGTATCCATCTTTCTCGGCATCTTGGTCCCCCTTTTGCCTTGTATTCTCATGAAATACAGGGGGAGCAAAGGGGTCGAGATGAGGGGGGCAAGATGGATCCAAGCCGAGTCTAATCATGCGAGACCTGCTCACTGGACATGGACAAGTGTCCGGGTCATTTTGGGCACATAGAATTGGCGCAGCCGATGTTTTCGTGGGGGTTTTTGAAGACGACGCTGTCATGTCTGAAGTGCGTGTGTCACTATTGCAGCAGACTGTTACTGCCGGAAGACGATCTGCACTTGCAAGCAGCGATGAAAACGAGAAATATGAAACAAAGACTGGGACAGGTGCCAAATTTGTGAGATAAAACTGTGATCCTGACAAAGATTGAAAGCAGTGTTGATCCTCTTACTTCTTGTTTCGGAAGAGAAATGTGTTTTTAATCGCTCCTCTGGTTGTCAGGAGTTGCCTAGACAAATCTTGATACCCACAACCCCGACTGCCCCCATTTTTTAACCCCTACCGCCACCAGGTCTCCAAGCTTTGTTCCGCGAAGAAGAAGTGTCCGTTTCACGGCAATCAAGTGGCAATAGAGGACGCTGCAGAGGATATAGATGCTATGGAGCAGCAACATGCTGGTTGTGGTTACGCCCAGCCTCGATATGTCCAAGAGGGAGCGATGGTCTACGTCATATTTCCAGAGGACGAAACTAACGAGCAGCGTGATAGGAAACGTATTTCTTATGCTAATGATTTATCAACTACTTCTGAAGCTCCTGTTGGTTGTGCACTTGTTTTCGTTGAGTGAGTTAGTTTAATATCTTCGCAGGAGCTGCTGAAACGAATTCAAAAAATTTTTACTTTTTTTTTTGTGCACCACGGACGGTCGACAACAGTCAACAGTCACCCCTTTCCAACTACCCTACCGGACCAAATCAGGCCAGCTCACTGGTGAAGAGGCATACAGAATACTGAGCAACATTCCAGCAAAAGACAAGCGCGCTATGGGTTTTATTCCCGGAAGGAGTGACCCTTCATGGCTGATTCTGACGAATTTCCCAGTTCCGCCCCCACCAGTGCGACCCACAGTGAGTTTCGGCTCTGACCGAAGTGAAGACGACCTGACAGCAAAATTGCTGGATTTGTTGAAGGCAAATGACACCCTGAGAACGCAAATGCAGCAAGGCGCGGGACATCACGTGTGTCAGGAATTCGCGAATTTGTTGCAGTACTGACTCCTTACGATGAAATTGATTCCTTTTGTTTCCGGACACAGTCGAATTTCTGTATGACGCAACTGCATCTAGCTTCTCCGAGAAGCAGCACATTCGCTTGCCCATGTTGTTGCGATACCATTTTCTTTTGACCCCACGAACTTCTTCGTCATATCTTCCTCCCATCTCCCCAAAAGGTACCACATCTACACCCTTTGCGACAACGGTATTCAATCGCTCCCCCAAGCCACCACCAAGAGCAAAAAGCCTATTAAGTCTATCCGCGAGCGCCTGAAAGGTAAGGAAGGTCGACTTCGCGGTCACTTGATGGGAAAACGTGTGGATTTTTCTGCGCGAACGGTGATTGGCGGCGATCCTATGTTGGACATCGATCAAGTCGGTGTGCCCAGATCTATTGCGTTTAATTAAGGCCTCACTTATTAATCCATCTTTTACCGCATCTGCCAGCAGTTTTCAAGTAGAGAAAGAGAAACGGATGGGGGAAAATATGGATGGGAGTGAGTTCTAATTTAACTTGACGTTCCCGGAGCGGGTGACTACCATCAGTTATGCGCGTTTGATGGCTGCGGTGAGGAATGGACCGACGGAATATCCTGGCGCGAAAGCGGTGTTGACGAAGTCGGGACAACCCTATGATTTGCGATACGCGCACAACATCGAGTTGAAGATTGGAGATAAGGTGCTTTTCCTATAATTTATGTACGATGGATTCAATTGTTGTTTCGCATTGAAGATTGGATTGGAAAGAGGAAAGAATATTAACACTTTTTGCTGGGGGCTTACGAAGAAAATTTTGCAAATTGGTCCTCTTGAACTCCTCCCCATTTCCCTTTCTCTCCAAAACCAGGTCGAACGCCACATGGTCGATGACGATTTTGTGGTCTTCAACCGACAGCCTAGTTTACACAAGATGAGTATGATGGGGCACAGGGCGAAGATTCTACCCTACAGTACGTTTCGTTTGAATTTGTCGGCTACCTCTCCTTACAACGCCGATTTTGACGGCGATGAGATGAACTTGCACTTGGCGCAGAGTCACGAAACTAGAGCTGAGATCAAGCACATCATGCTCGTGCCGAAGCAGATGGTCTCGCCACAGGGTAACAAACCGGTGATGGGCATCGTGCAGGATAGTTGCTTGGCGGTCTCGAAGTTTACGAAAAGGGACACTTTGCTGAAGCGGGATATCGTGTACAACCTGTTGTTAACCTTGCCGAACTGGGATGGACGAGTGCCAACACCATGCATCTTGAGGCCAGAGCCGTTGTGGAGCGGCAAGCAGATCTTCTCCTTGTTGCTGAAACCGGGTCTGAACGTCATCAAGGACAATGGAGTAGCTGCGAAGAACAAGAGCGACAATACTTTGTTCTCAAAATCTGACCACAAGTGCATCATCCGCGATGGCGAAGTAGTTTGCGGTCGGGTAGACAAGAAGATTGTCGGAACGCAGTCTGGTGGCGTCTTGCACTTGACGTGGTTAGATCACGGTCCGGAAGCGTGTAAGATCCTCATCTCCTACATCCAGAAACTCGTCAATGCTTGGCTGTTGCATTTCGGTTTTACGTGTGGTTGCGCGGACATCGTCGCAAACGACGAGACAATGGCTAAGGTGGCGGAGACGTTGCGCGGCGCAAAGGACAAAGTGGCGGAAGCGGTCGCGAAAGCGCAGCGAGGTGAGTTGGATACGCAGCCGGGTAAAACGATGTACCAGAGCTTTGAACACGCAGTGAATCAGTCGCTGAACAGTGCGCGTGAAGAAGCTGGAGGAATCGGTACTGATTTCTTGTTAGAATTCCTTTCTTTGATACCGCCTGCATCTGCACTTCTTTCCGCTTCTGATCTTTCTACCCACCGTTGCTGACGTCTTTCACGACTTTCTATTCGTTCTCTTCCGCCCTGAGCTGTGTCGTGTGCCGGTGGCTCGCATAGTGCCTGTGACAAAGATTCACCAATTGTTTGCCCCTTCTTATACTGTGATGAGAAACGTTCGTTCTCACGATGGTCTTCTGCATGTCTAACGACACTGGAGACAAAGCAACTAACCCAGCTCTCTGATCGAAGGAAAATGTTGCCCGTTTACTTCTTGTACTTGATTCACATGTGATGAGAAAAGTTCACTATGGTCTTCTGAATTGTCCACGGACGATGAAGCCTAAAGAACGCACCCAGCCAATCTGACTGTAGGAACTTCACGAACCTGAGCAATGCTCTGCTCTTCTTGCCTAGGAGCTTCAAGTGATGAGAAACGTTCGTTCTCACGATGGTCTTCTGGATGTCTAACGACTCTGGAGACAAAACAACTAACCCAGCTCTCTGACTGCACCTTGAGACTTCACATGTCTGTCCGCTCTTGCTCTTGCTCGCCTGTCTCTCTATTCTAGATCCTACGTACTTGTTCACTTCCAAGTAACAATTTTATGTGAATTCCCGTCTTGTAGTTAACCCAAAAGGTCAATCATGTTTTACTAAAAGATGATAACCAGCGAAATTCAACCTTACGTCGATGAAGGAAACTCTCTCAAACACTCCAACTCCATTTCCCTTCTCCAATCCCAGGTTCCGACTCCCTGGACGAACGCAACAACATTATTGCGATGGTGACATGCGGTAGTAAGGGTTCGAATATTAACGTAGCGCAGATTATTGCTTGTGTGGGTCAGCAGAACGTCGAAGGTAAGCGTATCGCAAACGGTTTTCGAGATCGAACATTGCCCCACTTCGCCAAAGATGACTATGGTCCGGAAAGCAGAGGCTTCGTCGAGAACTCTTACTTGGCAGGTAGAAGGAGCTTTTTGGACTGTTTTGAGTTTGTAGATTTTGGGACTGTATTAGCCAGCTGGAACTTGTTGACTAGAAGTCACGGTCTCTAGCGTTTCGATTTAGCTACTCTTTGATAGTGACTATCTTTAGTATCAGATACATTCTTAAACTCATCTCACCACTAATCTATCCTTCAGTTTCCTATTTTGATTATATTCTACGCACCTTCGTGCGACCGCTTCTCAAAACGACCATAGGCCTGACACCAGAAGAGTTGTACTTTCACGCTATGGGTGGTCGAGAGGGTGTAATCGATACTGCAGTGAAGACGTCCGAGACGGGTTACATCCAGCGTCGTTTGGTGAAATCCATGGAGACATTGAAAGTTCGATATGATGGTAAGCTTGCTTTGCTATTGTTGTTGTTTGGACGTTTTTTACTAGTCGTAGCTATTATGTGTGTACTTAGCTCGTTTCCACTCCGACATAAACAGTTATAGCATAGTGTCTTCGAAAAAGGTACTGTCCGCAACGACAATGAGGACATTGTGCAATTCTTGTATGGAGAGGATGGTATGGATGCGGTGTACATCGAGGATCAAGACATCGATTTGATCAAGATGTCCCATAAACAAGTAGACGAAAAGCTTCAGCATGACCATCTGGATGCAAAGTACGGCATCAACTGGTTGCCAGGAAGGGAAAACTTGGAGTGGCTGAGGGCGTTGCAAGCAGGAGCGAAACGCGAGGATAGAATTTTGATGGATGAAGAATTCGATCTGCTGAAACAGTACTGGCCCGTTTTGCTTTTAGAAGGGCCTGTGATGTTTTTCGGATGTAGTTGTCTTTCGAATGTCTCACTTCATGATATCACGGTCATGAAGAAATAGTTGTAGAGGACTCTCTGACTTACTAGTTGCAATGAAATATTCGCCGCTCAATATGATATTATCCAAAAACAAAGGTACAAAAAGCAGTTGTGCATGGATATCTACAAGGACGGCGAGGTGAAACAGCACGTGCCAGTCCCCGTGGACCGACTAGTCAAGACGGCAACTGTGAATCAGCTCAAGATGGCAGGAGACGGCATTCCAGATGAGTTCTACACGCCACCAGAGATCATCCGCAAGGTGCGAGACCTCATGGATGGCCTCAACACCATCAAGGGTCTCGATATCAACGATGAGCTTGGCCAAGAGACTCTTGCCAACTCCATGATTGTGCTGAATGCGCACATTAGAACTCGCCTGAACAGTCGGAGGATTCTAGAACAGGACAAGCTGAACAAGAACAGCTTTGACTGGCTCATGGGTGAAATCCACGATAAATTTGAGCGGTCCTTGGCCCAAGCGGGTGAGATGGTTGGAACGATTGCAGCACAGTCAGTCGGAGAACCTGCAACGCAGATGACGCTGAACACATTCCACTTTGCAGGAGTACTTCCTTCCTGATAATTACAACTTATTTGCTCGTTCCTTCATTCAAAGTGTAAGTGTCTCTTCTTATAAGATTTTTTCTACGAAGATAGTGTCAGGGAGATCATGATGATACACCAATCATAGACCGTCGTTTCGTACCAAATCCCCTGTAAACTCTCCAGGTCGGAAGTAAAAACGTGACTCTTGGTGTGCCGCGTTTGAAGGAGATTATCAACGTCGCGAAGACTGTGAAGACTCCCAGTCTCACCTGTTATTTGCAACCTGAGATCGCCAGGTCAAAGGTGAATGCTAAGCATGTCCAAGCTCTCATCGAACACACGACCTTGGAGAGGGTCACTTCGTTCTCTCAGATTTTCTACGACCCCGATCCGGAGTCAACTGTAGTACCAGAAGACGCAGGCTGGGTTGGCGAGTACTACGAACTACCCGACGAAGAGGACAACCGAGACCGGTTATCTCCTTGGGTGTTGCGTATTCAGCTCGACAACAAGGTCATGACCGACAAGAAACTGCACATGCGTGAAGTCGGCGAGAGGATCATTAGCGACTTCATGGGAGACTTGAACTGCATTTTCACCGATGATAATGCCGATGACTTAGTCCTGCGCCTCCGTATTGTCAAGGAGGCACCGATGGGCCAAGACCCGATGGACGTCGACGCGGATATCGAAGACGAGGACAAAGATTGCCGCTTCCTGAAAAACATCGAGCGCGACATCCTCAAGGACATGGTCTTGAAGGGCGTCCACGGCATCAAAAAAGTCTTCATGCGCGAAGAGAACGTGATCAAGTACAACGAGCAAACGGGAGAGTTTCCGCCAAGACACAAGATGCTCAAGGAGTGGTTGTTGGACACCGACGGGTGTAACTTGGAGGAAATTCTGCAGATTGAGGAAATCGATTCGCGGAGAACAACTAGTAACGACGTGGTGGAGATCATGCAAGTGCTTGGTACGACATCATAGCTCTTTTTAGGATGGTCTGCCAAGATATTTATTTGTTCTTGTTGACTAGTGAATCTCAAATTTAGTATCCGTTCAACATTCTCGAGAAAGATGTTGAATACGTTTTTCTCTACGACGCACAGGAAGTCCCCTTGTAAAAATAAGTCTTGAAGAAAAGCGAAAGCCATTCTCCTCCATAAGCCGCACTTCACCAGGTATCGAAGCCGTCCGAAAGAAGTTGCACGACGAGGTCAAGGCAGTTATCTCGTTCGATGGCGCTTACGTCAATTATCGACATCTTGCAGTTTTGTGTGATACCATGTCTAATCGCGGCCACTTGATGGCTATCAGTCGACACGGAGTTAACAGAGCAGACCATGGACCCTTGATGAAATGTTCCTTTGAGGAGACGGTGGAGATGTTGATGGAAGCGGCAATGTTTGGACAGGTAACTTGATAGGAAGATTATCTTTCTTTTCCGGTACTATGAAATTTTCGAATATCTGACTTGAAGTCACTTCGAACTGTGTACTCCTCATTTTGTAATTCATTTCTCTCTCTTTCTTTCCACCACAAAAATTCGTCCATTATCTAAACTTCGCATCCCCAATGTCCATTCACAGGTCGACCACTGCCGCGGTGTTTCTGAGAACTTGATTCTCGGTCAACTGCCCAACATCGGAACCAATGAATTTGATATCCTAGTAGACACCAACTGCTTGCAAGAGGCCAAGCCGACCTATGAGAAACCACGCCCACCGACAGAGGACGCGGCGGATGCCTTTAACAAGGATATCCAGGATAGGTTCCACGATCTGCAGACACCAATAAACTTCATGGACGACTACACAGATGACAGTTACCGAAGAGTCAAAAACGACTCAGAAGCAAAAAGAGAAAGAGAAAAGGCGATGGTAAAGAACTTGACTACTATAACTTTTGCTTGCTAATACAACGAACTTTCCTTTTTTGGACGAACATTGTGTTGTATGAGTAGAAAAACGATTCTTGTTGCATACTGGGTTAGCAAGAAAACGCGTTTGACTCAGGCGCTCAAAGCGCAGGGCTGAAGCAGGAACCTATCTAATCGAATCTAATCTAATCACAACAATGGACCAAACAACTTCTCAAACCACTCCAGGCTTCCTTCGGTGCCATGGACGAAGATGTCGATAGACGTGGATCTGGCGGTATCAACTATGCTGAGATCCATCAGAGACCAGGCGCTAGTGTCGGCATCAATCCTGCCCTTTCTCCAGAACCCGAAGGCTTTGATGACTCACCGTTATCGCCATTTGCGGATTCTGTTAGCGGTGGATTCCACTTCGGTGGTGGCTTGAGCAGTGCTGCAAGCGATCCAGGTATGAGCGGCCACGCTCGCGGATCTAGTCTCGCAGGCACAGCAGCAAGACGCGCGAATCTACCTGGTCAGGGGAGTCTGACTGGCGCAAATCTAGCCGACCACTTGTCGCAAGATGGGCTTTCTAGTCGAAGTCAGAGCAGAGTAGGCCGCTCGCAGGTAAGAGCGCGCAACCGCGGATTGAGGGCGGCTGATGACGATATCGCTCTCGGTTCAGGCAACGAAGATGGTGCGGGATCCGACAGCGGTCTTTACAGCCCAGTCCCAGGAGTAGGAGACGGCTCTCAGCCCTTGCGCAGTGCCTACGACCGACCCTCGTCGCAACAGCGACGACCGCGACCAAATGCACCTGGCGAGGGTAGTAGTGCGTACGGCTTTGGGGGTTTTGGCCAAGGAAGGTACACAGCTTCGAACTATCTACAGCCGGACGAAACAGGCAGTGACGCGGGCTACACGCCAGCGCCAGGACCGGGAACAGAGCGGTCGCAAAGTAGGAGTCGAAGAGACCGAGGATAGGGTGTGTAGATATATATGTTCTTTTAATGAATATATTTGATACAGAGATGAAGGTCTACTTCTAGGAGTTTCTAGGAGTAGATCATCTAGATGAAGATGGAAATAGCACACAGATAGAATTTTTTAATATCCTTGTTACATATAATACTTTTTCAGAACGAGAACGCTTTCAAGGTTGGTTCTTTGCGCTCAAGAGTCGACTTTAGTATCACAAGTTTACACTCTAAAGTCACCTCTTTAAATGGATACCAAAACTCGCTCTATAAGCCAAAACTCGCGTTGTTTCAAAACCTTTCTAACTTTGATGAATAACGCAGAAACGATTTCTTCTAGATAGGGAAGATGCTTGAGGGATGCTCACACGTGCGTAGAGAAGGTAGCGTTTCGATTTTTTAGTTTGTTTCGTTTGTTGCACGATGGCCAGTGCAATTATGAGTCCTTTAATGTATGATAAGTCGTAGCACATACAGCAAGAACGAAATGGGTAATATATATCGCATAAAGACGAAGATGATTGAACAAGATGGTAATTACACATATATCAATACTAGGGAATGATTAGATAGGTGACTGAATTCCTCAGAAAATTCTTTTCTCTTTTTAACTGGACGAGGATATTGTTCAGTGACAAGAGGGATCGCAACAAAAGTCACCAAATCATGTTATCACATCGAAGCAAAAAATAAAAAATGAATCTTGATAAATGTAAGAAGGCTATTGGGATTATATGATGGAGGAGAATACCCGGTCGCAGGGCCAAAGTTTCCCTGACTGGAGCGCGATGCAAGTAGCCTTCGTTCGGGAATTGCAGGAAACAAATAACTCAAGAGCTTGTATCTATCTCTGACGCCCTAAAGATCGCCTTTGCGGACGTGCTGTTGTTCTTGTTTCAATTTTTCGAGGTGCTACAACGTCTCTCTGTCTTCTGCTCATGAAATCGGTTTTATTTCTTTGTCTCAGCAGGTTCTGCTTCTCTGTATCAGCATTTGTCGAACGTTTTCTGTGTCTCCCTTACACTCGTCGGTCGTTGTACAGGGACATTGCTTGTGCAATAGCGGGAAAAGATCGGTACTCCGGATGTCGTGATTGCAGAGACTAAGAAGAAACGATTCATTTCGGTGGAGGATACGCATACCTGGATTCCCCTCTCTCCTCCTCCTGACTCCTTGCCCTTTCCCCTGTCATCCCGTGGATAATCTAAATCTATCATCGATTCATGCATTGCAGAAGTCACTCAGGGTCAGGATCAACCACTCGACCTCGAGTAGATATATTTGAGCATCAAGAAGTATCTCCAACCACAAGAAAGACATATGTACTGTAGGCAGTTTGCTCAGGAATAGACTTAGTCACAAAAAATACTACGCATACTCGCGAGGGCCGTTCTTAGCCATTTTCGAGTTCCAAGAATACGCGAAGCGCTTCAATTTCGAAAGCGTGGGCTTTTGAATCTCCAGAGGGGCGCCTACCTCTCTCAGAAATTACATTGCGGAGTCTCCAGAACTAACACTCTCAAGAGCGCTCTCCGGTACTCAGAAACGCTTTATTTTGAAGGCGTTGAGAAAGTAGGTTGGCTGAAACACATCTAGGCTCTCTCCTTAGCAAATCTAGACCTTGCAGCAAAGCTAGGTGGACCTCTGTGGAATCACAATCAAACACACCAATGATCAGGTAAAACAGGGACGCCCTGCGGCTTTACAAAACGGCACTCGTCTATTGTCAGCAACGAACTGCAGCACTTTTAGAAAACGACTCTGGCTCACAAGAAGGCACACTAGAACGAGCTGCGTAGAACTTGCATCGGACTTGCATTGGTCTCGCAAGCAGGTACTATAACCAAGCGCTTGACTTTCATTGCATTGAGAAAGGGTTCAAACAAAAGGCTCTCCCTAGCGAAGCTTGGCCGTAGGTAGAAGTCACGCATCTTCGTGGAACGACTTTCAATCAAGTACGTCATTCACGCAGGTACCAGAACTTGCCGCAAGAGCATCAAACACACCAACCAGGTAAAGCAAGCGCGAACATTTCATGATAATCGCGAACATGATGGGGCCATTTGCTGTTTTGCTGCTCTCCTTCTCCTTGGTTTTTGCCACGGAGGTCAAGGAGCCTGGGAATCTTCGTGGAAGTAGTTTTCTTCAAAATGAATCAGACCAAGCAGGCTCGCCTCTTCTATATAGATGCGTCGATAATTCGTCTGATGTAGCCTGCAAGGGGAATTGGGAAGGCTACCAGTGCCAATTTATGATTGCATTGGAGCTATTTCCCGAAGGATCTGAGCGGCACTGCCTTGATGAAGCACTTGTCAGCCCTTTCAAGGCAGTGGCCTCACTCTGATTAGTTTCGGGAAATCGGCACAATCTTGCTTCATTTGAATTGACGAGTCGACTACTGGAACGTGTAAAGGACCACCGTCCCCGCGCTTCACCCGGCTCACCAACGAGGCGGTGAAAAGTTGCAAGTGCAGTCGGGGTTTGTTGAGGGCGGCCGCTAGCGTGTTGCGTAATCCGTTGCGAGCGATTCGCGCAGCGAGTATCAATAAGTTTTAGCTTTCGTTTCTTCTTTTCACCACCGCCAGCACTTTTCATATCTCTCCGCGGCCTTGTTGCTCTTGAAAGCCGAAGGCGAGAGCGATTGGGTTGAAAGCGGTGAGTTTAGGGCGATCGCCATCGAGGTAGAACAGGCAATCCGCCCCACATCGAGCAGTGCCCTCCTTGCTTCGGCTTTGTTTTTCTTGTGGTGCTCAGTGAGGGCTGCCCTGACTGGTTCACTGCGCAAGTCTGTCGATTTTGTCGGTGTTCGTGGACCCCCTTGGGGGTCGTGCTTCTCGTCTCGTGTTGGCTTACCGCGAGCTTTGCTAAGCGCCACAACACCAATAGAAAAAGCCTACTGTATCCAACAAAGATCAGCAGGAATAAGGTGGAACCGTAGCAAGACGCCGCCACTAGTCACAGGGCTCTGATGTTCGTGCCTAGCGTTGAGTGTGTTTATTTTTGTGGCGTGAAATCTGTAAGCGTGACTTTGTCTAACTTCCTTCTTGTTGGGTCTTCTTCGTTCTCTCGACGAGATCCTTCCGCATCTTCGTCTCCTTCTTTACCCGCAAGAACACCCGGGAAATTTTTTTAGGCTGCTGCTTCCCCTTGTTGATCTAGTTGACGTCTGGAAAGGCGCGAGCTAATGACTTTGATGCAGTAAAGAGCTTGGCGCTTTGTTTTTCAGTTGTTTCTTCTCCTGTTGAACGTCAGGCATTGCACACAAAACAGAATACATCTCGACAGAAGCATGATGCGGCCTCTTGGCTTTCCGACTAGACAAGCGGCGGTGACCAACATCCAAGCACTCTTCTCCAAATTCTACCCGCTGGCGAAATGCCCCTGAAACAAACCTGCTGAAGAAAACAGGGCTAAGGAGGCATGTGGACGCGCAGGGTCAAACTTGAAAAAAGGCCAAAACAGTGCGTGGCGCTCTGATTCGGGAACCCCCGGCGGCCATAGCTCAGGCGGTCACTGACAAAGAAGTCTACGGGCCAGCACATGCTCCGGCATCCAACAAAGGGAAAAATAGCAGGAGGGCTGCTGCTGACAAGAAAAAACCCGCTTCCGAACTAGACGCATATCTACAGGAGAACAACAGGCCGCGCAGCACGGAGATCGACCCCGTCGCCGCCTCCGTAGAAGAGGCAACTCAATTGGTGGCTGGCGCTGGTCGCGGAGCACCTTGCTTCGAGGTTGCTTCCGTCGCCTTTGGTGGGCAATTTTCCAACAATTCTGGCGATGTCCTAGCTGGTATTATCGGACTCCGCTTGCTTAGGTCAGACTGGGCCGCCAAGACTGCAGGCATTGGAGGGGCAGCCGTGTGGGATCAGTCAAAGGCGAAGCAAGTCCTCCAACAACTTCCATCAGCAGCGAAAAAAGGCCCAGGGCTTGCCTTGACTCCTGAGCAAGTGCGTCGCGCCCGGAAGCGGTTGAGTAAGAAGTTGGGTGCGCCCAACGGGCTTCGTGCGAAAGCCCGCACCGATGCCCCGGGCTCGGCTGATGATCTCTCCCGCAACGCGTTCAGCAACTTGATCGAGCAAACAACGGCTGAGAACTACGGCGTAGTAATGGGCAAGATCGTCACCGAGGCAGGGCGGTTTTTCACAGTTTCGCTTCGACATAAACGCGCGCGAATTCTTGAGGCCAACGACTTGAGACCCACGGGGAAACAAGGCTGAGCCGCCCACCGGGCCAGACTAATACGTAAGGAGAGGGAAGGGCATGGGTGACGTCGTGCTATCACACGACGCCCGCCAAGTGTTTAATTTAGTTGGCATCGCGATTGTGCTACGCTGGTTACGCTGGCTACGGCTTCCGCCTCAGCTGATCGCGTTGCGTTGAATCCTATGCGGCGAGAAGAGCATCCCGCCCCAGCTCGAGGAGAAGGCAAATCGAATGGCGGGGCGTCGACGTTGCCTGCGGGGGGAGCGTGATGCAATGCAGGCAGGCGCTGCCATCCTTGCCCCCTTTGTTTCTCAAATTGATGGCAGAGACCATCGTAGACACAGGAAAAGAAGGCGGACCCATCAACCCAAACCACCGAGAAGGAAGGCCGCAGGACTTTAGGGAAAAGGCTGACAAAATCGCAGAAAGCGGGCACCAGTGGGGTGTAGGATACGCTGTGACTGAAGTCGGTGATCTCTTCGTCGACCTGGACAACATGGATGCCGCCACTGCAAGGGAAAAGCGCCAACGGGCGCGACTGCTGCTCCGCAGGACGAGACCGAAGGCGCCAGCGCTTGCGTTGGCGATACGCCGACCGAGGCAACACGCTCGCGGATGGACGTAACCAGCAGGAGACTACCGAAACTACTACGCGCACTGTCATCCATCACATAGGAGACTTCCCCGCGAGTCAGCTGCGATCTTCGCTGCAACTGAGAAGGCAGGGCGCCCTCTCTTCAACTTCAATGATGGCACTGAGGTGGAACAGGGGCGGGTAGCATAGATGGCGTCCATCCTTAAAGCCGCCGCGGTCCTCAATGTGCCGCCGAAGCTCAAGAAGGGGGCCTTTGTTATGCTCGGCGCCATTCCGGGGCGACTTGCGTGGCGCAATGTTGACCGGCTTCGCCAGAGGGAAGCTTGTCGACATAGCGTGAAGCCTGGGATTGTTCTTCAAACACGGGCCCAGCGGTGTTCAACCAAAGTGGGCGCCCACGGTGGCGCGGTGGCTCTCAGCCTCGAAAGTGATGAGCGTGGCAGCACTTGCAGGCTGTGAACTGCAAGAGCAGCAGTCCGAAGACATCAGAGTCGCAATGAATGGCGCGCGCTGTTTTGCGCGGCATGGGTCTCAGTGATCAACTTCTACACAGGCTCGCTGCTGAGGCAGGTCGCCCGCCGGTCCGAGTACTGTTTTCCGCTGTCGGGCTGCGGATGGCTTAGATTATTGGCGCAAAGTGCTCGCGTAGCCAGACGCCAAGCAGCAAAGTGCGCCGGTGCCACCATGTCACGACGTGAGCGGCTCGCAGTGTGCAGCAGGGAGATAACCGAGCAGAGGGCGGAGAGGCTGTCAATGGATGAGGAAGCGCGCAACATGATCAAAGTGAGAAAATTCGCCGTCGAAAATATCAAAGAGGCGCCCCCGCTGGGCACGTCATCAGGCCCCACCAACGTGATCCGCGACTGGGCAAAGCGTGAAAAATGCGAAAGCAGCAAGCAGTGAGGGCATCTTCAAGGAGCATCCGTGGCGCGATAATCTGGGCGGATGACAAGGGCAAAGGGATCGCTTGCGCATTGAGATGGATGATGGCAAGCGGGTGGAAGGTGAAAAGCAAGCGCGTTCCCGTATTGGAATATGCGACACGATAACGATGTAAAGGGGAGGCCTGGACACATCAAGCAAAGCGGCGAGTCTTCTTACGAGAAGTAGTAACAAAAGAACTCGAACCAGCAGCAGCAAGAGGCGGCTGCACAATGTGGATTGCAGCTTTCGGCGTGCATGAGAAAGCGCTCGATCGACGTGCTGTTGCAAACAGGAGAGGGGGGGCCGCTGCCGTAAATAGGAAGCCGCTACTGCTCGCCAGCACGTGGGTGCCTCCTATGCCACAGGTCGGCCCATGCCGTAACAAGCCACGCAACTACATCAACAGCACGCCAGTAATACTCTATGGCGATGCATGGTTGTGGACAGAAGAGAAGACTGAGGAGCCTCGTAAGGGATCCAGAGAACAAAGTCAAAGAATAAGAAACACTTGCTGTCATGTTCGAGAAAGAGGAGAAGACGACACAGGTCAGGGACAAATCAGACGATACGTCGCAAATGCGCTTGCTGACCGTCGTAGCGGCGCAGACAAAGGAGGAGGCAGCAGATGGAAGAGAAGAATAGGCAAAATTGGGCTTGGAGGTGCCTTGTTGTGAGGGAGGAACTTTCGGAGTCCTCTTACTCACTTCGCCGGTTCACTGGATGGCAGGGCGGTTGTGCTTAGTTCTTGTTGGACCTGTGGCGCCCTTGGTGGAACTGTTGTGAAGCCATTTGTTCATCCACTCATCAGACAAGAAACGGGTGCAATGTTCCGGAGTCTTACAGGGAAGCCTGCAAGTAGAAAGTAGATAGAGCAGTTCCATGACAACGCGCGAAGTTACTTAGTGCAGGCGTTCTTACTGAAGTGTCAATACCCAGATCCCGAATGCAAACGTAAGAACCAAGCAACTAGATCACCAGGAGGATAGTGATGAAGATCATGGTCACCACTAGGATAATGATCAAGATCATAGTCGCCATTACTTAGGATCATGATCATCAACGCAACGATCACCACCAAGAACCAAGAGCAACAACCAGGTAGATCACTAACAGCACTAGGACCATTATGATAAGTACCACCATCATCATGATCAGCCTAGTACTGCACTAAGTAACTAAAGGGCCAGCAAAGTCATAGACAAGCACAGAAGGAACAACCACAACAAGGAGCAAAAACCTCGCTCATCATTCTTGTCAGTGGCCGGCCATTTGGGCTATTGCAAACAGCAAAAACCTGATCACGCTATTGCTGTGATATATAGAACGACTGCGCGTTAAGGGTGCCACTGTGTTCGCTACTTTTCTTATGAAGCTCAAAACTAGTTCTGGGGAGCTTGTTGCTACCGGGAAGCCTTGGGGGCCTGGCTGGGCGACTAGCTCTTGTCTTAGGTCTTGCTCGGTCCATTGCCCTCAAAGTGACAAACTTGATAGTAGGGACCCTTGAAAGTTCTGACTTATTATTTGACAAAGACGGGGGATATCCTTCATAGTAGGCTGGCTTTCGAGCTGCCTCGATCGAGTGATTGTTTCAACCCGAGTTGAGTGATTCGTTGTGTGTTTCTTCGATAGTCTTACTGTTATCTCGTATGGTACAGCCGCTACGTAGCCTTGTCCGCATGTACTGTGTCCGTAACCTAACCATACAAAACGAAGGTACGGCCGCTGCGGAGGAGTCGAAACAGGCCGTTGGGGTGAATTCGGGATCGAATTCTGGCGTGAAAGAGAACTGATGGTCAACTGCAAAGGTTATTATGCCAAGTCATAGCTTTCATTAGTCTAGGGGTCATCTTCTACCAGGTAGTGGGAACACCGTCTGTATCTGTTCACTTACACAATCGTGGCAATCAACATAGTGACTCATTGACTTTCGTTTTGTGCTTCCTGATCAATTGCAACATCAAACATAGAACAACATGAACATCTGTTTAGAAGAAATGTTTTCTCTTCTTCTAATCGTTTGGGATTCAACAAGGAGGTGGTAGAAAGGGAGATGCTACTGCCTCATGGTGTGGTTTAGTTCCAGTGGTGTGGGGAATTCAAGTCGTGGGCAATGGGGGCGAAAATCGATGAAGAGGGGAAATGGGTTGAGGCGAAGTCTACTGGGTAGGAGTAGTAGGAGAATCGTGATGGGTCGTTTTTATCGAATGAACAAGTTCTATGATCATATGGATAATATCGTGTTGTAACAAATAAGGTAAACAGAGTGAGTAATTGCAAAGATAGATAATATAAAATATATAAAGCTCATGAGAAAGCGTTTGCTCGGCAAATAAGAGTATCGTCTGTGAAGAGGCGAAGACAAAGCAAGTAGACACAAAGAAAGGAATTAGAAGACGCGGCATACGTACCTTGTCGACTGTGCCACTCTTACAAGACAAGCGCTTCTTTGTTGAGCTTCTGTAGCATTAGAAGTTAGCAATATGTACGTTAGCATTAGAAGTGGAAAGAATTGCATATCTATGTACGTAAAAACGGGACCGATAATTGAAAATGAAAATCAGAAACGAAATATAGCACGGCACGAACGATAAGAAATCTCTCTCATGGTATTTTGTTTTATGTTGTATCATGTCATGACTTCGAAAAAAGTTTACACACGAGACCACCTAGCTTTCGAATTTGTCCTGTACTTCTTCATAATACATTAAAAAGTTCCAGAAACCATTGTACATATTTTGAAACAAATCAATGTAGCTCTGCTTGTCCATCGCAGACGACAAGCCCTATGTAAAAGCTAGATTGGCGGGTAGAAATCGTCAGAGAAATCTTAAGCTGCGGATATCAATCTCAGGGAGGCACGAGATAGGTGGATGAATGCCGTAGAAAGTGATACTCTCTTGTTGGTCAGTAACAATCGAAAAGCAGCCTCAATTCAAGAGTCAACTTCAAATGATCTTATTACATCGAAGTAAAAAAATGAATCTAAACTAAAAGACGCTATGTATAATTGGTGTGATCTCGGAAAAACATAACTCAAGAGCATGCATCTATAACAATTGTTATGACAATTGTTGATGGAACGCACAACCTTGGTTCGATCTACGACCAAAGGCGCTACATTTATTGGCTCTCATGGTCGGTGATCGTCAGCTCATGAAGATCGGTGTGAAATTTAGGCACTAGTGGTACTTGTTTGTCGCACCAGGGTCTGCATTCTGTGAAGGCACATGGCTTCCTTTGTTTTCGGTGTCGTAACACGTATCGGTCAGTGGCATTGCTTGTGCAGTAGTAGGAAAAGGTCGGTCCGACTACTGATTCGGTGACGGATCTTTGGATTTCTCACTCTCCTGCCCACGTTAACCTTTTCCCTGTCACAACTTTCTTCACTGTCTGATTGTCGTCATAATTATACATAGATGTATAAAACTACTGTTGATTTGATATTGAAGCCGTAGAGCTGTTTTTCTCTTCTGTTTCTGAACTGTTGCTTAGCCTGTTGACACTCAGTTTGCATGAGCACTCTTACGTCAACATCATCCACCTATATCTATGTCGTTAGATACTTTTAGCCGCCTTGTACTCAAATTTCGATAAATGTAGGGTAATTACTGCTAGACGTGGTATGTTAGGTCAAGTGGGCGGTTTGTAGTATCCACCGCAATCCATTACTGGGTGGTTACCAGGTATTCATCTTCTAGCACATCTCCTTCCTGCAACTAAGAGGTCAAGATGTACTACGCAACACCGAAGGGGCCGCCGAATCCGGCCCCGCCTCTATGGCGTGCCAACGTCACAGAACAGGTGAGATGGCAGAAGGAGTGGCATGGCATGATGGATCGAATTCGGCATATGGACTCGCATATCGACAACGCAGCGCCACACTCTTGTGATGGTATTGTACTACACACCGCCACAACATTCGTGTGATGGTATTGTTCGCGCAGTTGTGAATGATGGACTATGAGTCTTTTGTTAATAATTTGTGACTTTCTATTTCTTGCAAGACCAAGATATGGACGACCAGCAACATGCATTGTACGACGTTCCATTTCTCGGTTCCATTTCTAGTTGTAAGTCTTGATGTCATCTATCTTGATTCCAACACAGGTACAAACAAGAGGATGATGGAGATGGCTAGGAAACACCGAGTCTCCGAACAAAATCGTGTGTTGGTCAACATCTCCATTCCAACACAGGTACAAACAAGAGGATGATGGAGATGGCTAGGAAACACCGAGTCTCCGAACAAAATCGTGTGTTGGGCAGGGAGAACAAGCGGATTATCGACAGAATAGTCTCGATTCGTAACGGAGAAGGCTATCTGCCACCACAAGGTAAGGATTTTCACTTGTTGTTTCGTCTTATATCTTGGAACATTTTTTTGGAACATCCATGCCGGTGAAAACGTTACTCTTCCCACATGCTGGGCAGTTTGTTACGGTTTTGATAGACGATGAAAATATAGTCAACCACAAGTAGGAGGACAAGCATGATCCTAACCAACCCTAACCTGTAGGTAAACCCGGAGAGATGATGCACCGCGCACGGTCACCGGATGCTAAGGCGCAGGGCGCACGAAGGATGGAAGCGCGCAGAATCTATATGGAGAATGAGCTCCTCGCTAAGCGGTTAACGACGGTGCAGACAACACGTGAAATCCGACGTGAGATTCAGCAGCAGGACTACATGCGATCGAGGAGCTACGTTAGCAGTGGGTAAAAATACTTGGGGATCTTTTTGACAATGATAAATTACAGATAATTTTCAGCCTGATTTTACTGACTATGTGTAACGCAAAGAAGTAAGGTTTGCACATTTTTTAAGAACAACTACTCGAAACATGTAGTTGATTCAGGAACCATCCTCTTTGCACTAATCCTCTACTGACACCTCATTCTCCAACATTCAGCATCAAGAAAGTTGTACCTTATCGAGCACATAAGTTGCCACCGGTGAAACGGAAAGAACCTATCGTCAACCTCATGGATGAGATGGAAGACGAGACGCCAGAAGAGGCAATGACTAGAGCAAAGACTGTCGATGTCCTGGTCTCAAAGAAGAATATTGAGAAAGCTGGTATAATTTTTGAAGAATACAACTCTAACTCAAACTAATCAACGTCTCCTTTTTTTCTGTCTACAGCAAAGAAGAAATATTATCGTACAACTGAACGAGAGCTATTGATTCTTTGCGCTTCTATTAATTTCATACAACTTACTTATATCAACTATCGGATTTCACATTCAAATCGCCCTCATCAACACCAGCGCCGAAGCCAGCTGCAAAGAGACGTCCTGTTGCTGCAGGACCAGCTGGATCCGCCATGAGGAAACCGACGAGCGAGAGTGCTGATGCCTCAGAGAAACTAGCTACGACTGTGAAGGTTCTATTTGTATGTTTTGATGCAACCTAGGCACAGTAAGTTGCACCGGTTGTTGTACTTCTAGATTTTTAGGGTGAATCAGTTCTGTGCTCTTTACAAACAATAGTCTATGAAAGTCCTGACTCTATTAACCTGAGAAATACAAACCCAATCTAAAATTTGACTAGAAAACGCAACAATTTTCTCACCCACTCGTCCAGGCTCCCGACGCTGCGGCTATTATGGTCGATTCCGTTGTTGCGGACGTGATGGAACAAATTACAGATCCAGTTACCGTCAATGTGTCAGAGGAGGAAGATCCAGCTAAGGGTTTGGCGAAAATCGAGACTGAAGTATCTCGATCTCCAACGTCAGGTGACATTCGGTTTGCTGAAGCCATGGTCGAGGAAGAGGTTGCTGTTCCGGAGACAGAGCCTCCTGTCGTGGAGGAAACTCTAGCAGAAGTGGTTGTTATGGATAACGATCTAGTACAAGTGGTCTCGTCTAGTGCTTGGGAATGACTATTGATAATTTCTTGGGTTTCTGAGAAGTTCTTTCCTACGATCCTTCTAATGCTGCATCAGAACCAGAGGAAGCACCAGTGGTCGAGGAAGCAGCTCCTGTCGCGGAGGAACCAGTCGAAGAGCCGGTCGTAGAGAAGAAAGAAGAAGTCGCTGAGGAAGTGGTGACGGAAGATGTTGCTGCTCCAGTAGTTGCCGAGGCAGATGAAGCAGCACCAGAGGTAGTGGAAGAAACTGCTGCTCTAGTAGAAACAACTCCTATTGAGGCAGAAACAACTCCTGTTGATGCTGGAGTAGTTGAAGAACCCGTAGTTGTAGCTGAGGAACCTGTAGACGTCGCAGTTGAAGAACCAACTCCTGTTGCAGAGCAGGCACCTGTAGAAGCTGCTCCGGTTGAGGCTGCAGCTGAAGCACCAGCTGTGGAAGTGACGGAAGAGGAGACTGCTGATGCGGGAGAGGCTGCGGTTGAGAGCAAAACGGAAGCAGAAGTGGTAGAGAATCCAACTAGCGCGGTTTTAGAAGAGGTAGTCGCATCAGCGGAAGTCACTGAAGAACAAGCTGCTGTTGAACAAGTCACTGATGCGGTAGTAGAAGCAACTGACGCTGGTGCTGTCGTAGAAGAAGCTCCTGCTGCACCCGCTAAAGAAGAGCTAGCTGTTGTGGAGAGTACTGATGTTACTGCAGCGGAGGAGGCAGTCCCTGCAGCGGCAGAAAAAGAGGTAGCTGCACGAGTTGTCGAGGAAACTCCAGTCGTAGAAGAGACAGCGCCAGCAGCGGAGGAGACTACTGTAGCAGCGGCAGAAGAGCCTGCAGCTGTAATAGAGGAGAGTGCTGCAGCTCCTGAAGCAGCGGCGGAAGTGGAAGCTTCAACCGCGACTGCTGAAGAAGAGGCTGCTCCAGCAGCTGCACCTGAGCCGGTTGCGGAGGCCGAGGGGGTCACGCAGTCTGCTGCGGAAGCGGCAGCGGAAGAGGCTGCCCCAGCCGCGGAGGCTGCAGCTGAAGAGACAGCTCCGGTCGCTGAGACAGTAACTGCAGCTGCGGAAGCTGAAACGGCGCCTGCTGCTACTGGGACTGCTCCGGATGCGGAAGCTGAAGCAGCTCCTGCTGCCGCGGAGACGGAAGCAGCGCCGGCCGCAGAGGAAGCACCTGCGGCGGAAGCTGCTCCTGCTGCTACCGCTGAGGAAACTCAAGAAGCTCCCGCAGCTGAAGAGAAGGCTGCCGAGGCATGAAGGTGAAGACTCGTGGAAGGGTATTTCTGAGTCAACGTTTCTATAGAAGATTATAATCGAATCGATAGAAAAGCAAGGGGTACGCTATTTTTAAGGTCCTCGAAATTCATCAAATCTTAGTGAACATCATCAAGTACAAATTTCTTAGTCATTATATTCACATCGCGTTTAGCTAAAATGATCAATCTTACTTACATACTTTCCGTTACGTGCTTGGTTACAATCGATAGTCCGTCTGTTCATTACTAAATTTCCTTACCACATAAGAAGGTACGAAAACGCTATAACTATAACATTCTGTAACGTTAGAAAGATGCATACGCACCAGCATAGTAGTGATTGTCAGAAAATGAATAGAGACCAAGATGGTTGAGACCACATTGTTGTTTTGATTTCGTAGGCGTTGAGCTGTAGAGATCGAGGATAGAATTAGCTAGAATTTAACAAGATACGGAAGCAGTTTGCGAATTGACAATTTCAAGTATTCTACAACAAGATCGCCCTGTACTGTACTTAATTAACCTCGTAGCAAGTGCTTGGTACGAAATCATAGCTCCTTTTAGGATGGTCTGCCAAGATATTTATTTGTTCTTGTTGACTAGTGAATTTCAAATTTAGTATCCGTTCAACATTCTCTAGAAAGATGTTGAATACGTTTTTCTCTACGACGCACAGGAAGTCCCCTTGTAAAAATAAGTCTTGAAGAAAAGCGAAAGCCATTCTCCTCCATAAGCCGCACTTCACCAGGTATCGAAGCCGTCCGAAAGAAGTTGCACGACGAGGTCAAGGCAGTTATCTCGTTCGATGGCGCTTACGTCAATTATCGACATCTTGCAGTTTTGTGTGATACCATGTCTAATCGCGGCCACTTGATGGCTATCAGTCGACACGGAGTTAACAGAGCAGACCATGGACCCTTGATGAAATGTTCCTTTGAGGAGACGGTGGAGATGTTGATGGAAGCGGCAATGTTTGGACAGGTAACTTGATAGGAAGATTATCTTTCTTTTCCGGTACTATGAAATTTTCGAATATCTGACTTGAAGTCACTTCGAACTGTGTACTCCTCATTTTGTAATTCATTTCTCTCTCTTTCTTTCCACCACAAAAATTCGTCCATTATCTAAACTTCGCATCCCCAATGTCCATTCACAGGTCGACCACTGCCGCGGTGTTTCTGAGAACTTGATTCTCGGTCAACTGCCCAACATCGGAACCAATGAATTTGATATCCTAGTAGACACCAACTGCTTGCAAGAGGCCAAGCCGACCTATGAGAAACCACGCCCACCGACAGAGGACGCGGCGGATGCCTTTAACAAGGATATCCAGGATAGGTTCCACGATCTGCAGACACCAATAAACTTCATGGACGACTACACAGATGACAGTTACCGAAGAGTCAAAAACGACTCAGAAGCAAAAAGAGAAAGAGAAAAGGCGATGGTAAAGAACTTGACTACTATAACTTTTGCTTGCTAATACAACGAACTTTCCTTTTTTGGACGAACATTGTGTTGTATGAGTAGAAAAACGATTCTTGTTGCATACTGGGTTAGCAAGAAAACGCGTTTGACTCAGGCGCTCAAAGCGCAGGGCTGAAGCAGGAACCTATCTAATCGAATCTAATCTAATCACAACAATGGACCAAACAACTTCTCAAACCACTCCAGGCTTCCTTCGGTGCCATGGACGAAGATGTCGATAGACGTGGATCTGGCGGTATCAACTATGCTGAGATCCATCAGAGACCAGGCGCTAGTGTCGGCATCAATCCTGCCCTTTCTCCAGAACCCGAAGGCTTTGATGACTCACCGTTATCGCCATTTGCGGATTCTGTTAGCGGTGGATTCCACTTCGGTGGTGGCTTGAGCAGTGCTGCAAGCGATCCAGGTATGAGCGGCCACGCTCGCGGATCTAGTCTCGCAGGCACAGCAGCAAGACGCGCGAATCTACCTGGTCAGGGGAGTCTGACTGGCGCAAATCTAGCCGACCACTTGTCGCAAGATGGGCTTTCTAGTCGAAGTCAGAGCAGAGTAGGCCGCTCGCAGGTAAGAGCGCGCAACCGCGGATTGAGGGCGGCTGATGACGATATCGCTCTCGGTTCAGGCAACGAAGATGGTGCGGGATCCGACAGCGGTCTTTACAGCCCAGTCCCAGGAGTAGGAGACGGCTCTCAGCCCTTGCGCAGTGCCTACGACCGACCCTCGTCGCAACAGCGACGACCGCGACCAAATGCACCTGGCGAGGGTAGTAGTGCGTACGGCTTTGGGGGTTTTGGCCAAGGAAGGTACACAGCTTCGAACTATCTACAGCCGGACGAAACAGGCAGTGACGCGGGCTACACGCCAGCGCCAGGACCGGGAACAGAGCGGTCGCAAAGTAGGAGTCGAAGAGACCGAGGATAGGGTGTGTAGATATATATGTTCTTTTAATGAATATATTTGATACAGAGATGAAGGTCTACTTCTAGGAGTTTCTAGGAGTAGATCATCTAGATGAAGATGGAAATAGCACACAGATAGAATTTTTTAATATCCTTGTTACATATAATACTTTTTCAGAACGAGAACGCTTTCAAGGTTGGTTCTTTGCGCTCAAGAGTCGACTTTAGTATCACAAGTTTACACTCTAAAGTCACCTCTTTAAATGGATACCAAAACTCGCTCTATAAGCCAAAACTCGCGTTGTTTCAAAACCTTTCTAACTTTGATGAATAACGCAGAAACGATTTCTTCTAGATAGGGAAGATGCTTGAGGGATGCTCACACGTGCGTAGAGAAGGTAGCGTTTCGATTTCTTAGTTTGTTTCGTTTGTTGCACGATGGCCAGTGCAATTATGAGTCCTTTAATGTATGATAAGTCGTAGCACATACAGCAAGAACGAAATGGGTAATATATCTCGCATAAAGACGAAGATGATTGAACAAGATGGTAATTACACATATATCAATACTAGGGAGTCATTAGATAGGTGAATGAATCTCCCCAGAAAATTCTATTCTCTTTTGAACTTTGACAAGAGGGATCCTAAAAAACATCCTCACGACAACAAAAGTCACCAAATCATTTTATCAAAGCAAAAAATAGAAAATGAATCTTGATAAATGTAAGAACGTTATGGGGAAGATCATAAGATGTAGGAGAATACCCGGTCGTAGGGCCAAAGTTTCCCTGACTGGAGCGCGATGCAAGTAGCCTTCATTCGGGAATTGCAGGAAACAAATAACTCAGGAGCTTGTATTCTGACGCCCTAAAGATCGCCTTTGCGGACGTGCTGTTGTTCTTTTTTTCGAGGTGCTACAACGTCTCTCGGTCTTCTGCTCATGAAATCGGTTTTATTTCTTTGTCTCAGCAGGTTCTGCTTCTCTGTATCAGCATTTGTCGAACGTTTTCTGTGTCTCCCTTACACATTTCGGTCGTTGTACAGTGACATTGCTTGTGCAATAGCGGGAAAAGATCGGCACTTCTGATGTCGTGATTGCAGAGACTAAGAAAAAACGATTCATTTCGGTGGAGGATACGCATACCTGGATTCCCCTCTCTCCTCCTCCTGACTCCTTGCCCTTTGCCTGTCACCCCGTGGATAATCTAAATCTATCATCGATCCATGCATTGCAGAAGCCACAGGATCAACAACCCGACCTCGAATAGATATATTTGAGCATCAGGAAGTATCTCCAACCACAAGAAAGACATATGTACTGTAGGCATTTTGCTGAGGAATAGACTTAGTCACAAAAAATACTACGCATACTCGCGAGGGCAGATCTTAGCCATTTTCGAGTTCCAAGAATACGCGAAGCGCTTCATTTTCGAAACAAAGCGAGGGTTTTTGAATCTCCAGAGGGGCGCCGACCTTTCTCAGAAATTACATTGCGGAGCCTCCAGAACTTATACTCTCAAAAGCGCTGTCCGGTACCCAGAAACACTTGATTTTGAAGGCTTTGAGAAAGGTTGGCTGAAACACATATAGTCGCTCCCCTTAGCAAACCTAGACCTTACAGCAAAGCTGGGTGGACGTCTGTGGAACTATTCTCAATCAAACACACCAATTATCAGGTAAAACAGGGACGCCCTGGTGTGGCTTTACAAAACGACGCTCATCTATTGTCAGCAACGAACTGCAGTACTTTTAGAAAACGACTCTGGCTTGCAAGAAGGCACACTAGAACGAGCTGCGCAGAACTTTCATCGGACTTGCATCGGTCTCGCAATCAGGACCTGAGGTACTAAAACCAAACGCTTGACTTTCATTGCATTGAGAAGGGGTTCAAACAAGAGGCCCTCCGTAGCAAAGCTTGGCCCTAGGTAGAAGTCACGCATCTTCGTGGAACGAGTTTCAATCAAGCACGTCACTCACGCAGGTACTAGAATTTTCCGCCAGAGCATCAAACACAGCACCCAGGTAAAGCAAGCGTGAACGTTTCATGATCACCGCCAACATGATGGGGCCACTTGCTGTTTTGCTGCTCTCCTTCTCCTTGGTTTTTGCCACGGAGGTCAAGGAGCGTGGGAATTTTCGTGGAAGTAGTTTTCTTGATGAAGAAGAAGGACAACAGCAGCGCACTCTCAAATGCAGCGAGCACCCAAGTACCGTGGAAACCTGCTATCCGAACTGGCCAGGGGACGTGTGTGGTTAAGAATCGCTAATCAAGCAGCTCCCTGAAGGTCCTAAATTACAAGAGAGAGTGCGAAAGGCCTCAGACCATTGGCCCAAGTGGGTCCGAAGGAGATCGGAGACCAGTCGACCCTCGTTGGGTCCTTGTCCTGATCCGAATAGCCAGCGCGATCTTTTTCGGGAATTTCGTGGGGGTCATGCAAATTCGGCCAAATTTGTGCGACCTCCCTGAGGAATTTGGAAAAGTTTGGCGGCTTTCGTAGCTCCGCACGGCGTCCATCTTTAAGACTGCCCACCCTCTCCTCTCTTCTTTTTCACTTCTTAGCCATTTGGAAGATAGTGAGGAAGCAAAGCCAGGCGTGTGCGTTTTGCTCGTTGTCATTCCGAGCCATTTTGGCTCACGGTGCGAAATTATGTCAGCAGGATTTGAAAGCGCCTCAGGGCTATCTCGGACTTGGCGACGAGATCTGAAGAGCGACAACATAACTTGAGTTACCTCAAAAGAACCCCAGCCATTCTCCGTTATTGAAACTGTGGCCGCCTTCGTAGTATTGTAGTAAAATATCCGACCCGGGCGGCTGCAGTAGTGTTCTTTCATTTTGGTGGAGGGCCCGGGCACTTATCTCCCCCAGCTTCATATCCCCGAACCCGCAGAACTAGCACTAGGAACGGGATGGAGCTCGAAGGAAATGGTGCCGCCGAACCAAGAAAACCGGGGCGAAGGACTTCCCCACGACGCTCAAGGAGGAGCGGCAGAGCGTCTCGGGGCGCAACGCTCTGGAGGGGAACCGCTCCGCACTTCGTCCGCAACGTCTTCCGGGCGTGTGTTTGATGTCGCAGCCGCAGGGTGCAGATTATGTCGCGGCGGGGCTCGCTTCGGGCGATCAGTCTCAAGAGCTACCCACGGCGCTGGAGAACGAGCCAGCGGGGCCAAGTGTCGCAAGCAAGAGCGACGCGGAAGCGCTTGGGGTAGATTTTGGGAAACTTGTCGCAGCTGCAGGAGAAGCAGCCGGCCACGCTGTTAAAGCGGTCGGGGCTTTCTTTCAGGGCTTCCACGCCACGCCGATCAAGGAAGAGCTGCAAGAGTAGCCGACGCTCTAGCAAGCTGCCGCAGCTTACCCGTGTCAAGCGCCGGACGTGGAGAAGGGGCAGGGGGAGCACTCCAGCGAGCGCTACAGCCGCGAAAAGTGCCCGCTCTTCACCCCGCCGGGAAAGGGCCCCCTTCTGGGGCCGGAGGATGAGGGCCGAAATTTGTCCGATTCAGCTGCCTGCTGTCTTGGTGGGCATCGTGGCCAGCACCAAGAAGGACAGCCTCAAGACCTGCAGCCGCAACGCAACGAGGCACGCCTAGAGCGCCATAGGATAGGCGCTCTAGGCTTCGTCTTATCTTTGGAACCGGGTCGCAGCTTGTCTTCGATGCCTACTGGAGACGCGGGAAGGCAGAGGCTCTGCTGTGGCATGGGCAAGCGAGCACAGCAGAAGCGACGCCCTTGGAGCAGGAACTGAAGGCGCCGAGCCCGTTCGGCTATTAGGATGCTGGAGAGCATTCGTTGCCCCGCGGGTGGTCCTCATCATCTTCCAGCAGTATCAGGCATGTCAGCGAAACCCCCCAAAGAGCCGCAGAGTGCGAAAAGTTACGCTACCGCCTGCCGGGGATGCTGGACGGGGCAGAGGTATGGTTAGCAGTTCAAGAAGCAAGGGCGGAGTAGGGTCAGCCGCGTACACACCTGGGAGAGCACTCCAACAAGATGCAGCAGAGAGAAAAACGAGACAGCGAATTGCAACGCGGAAAAAGCTCCAGCATTATGAAGGAGCTGCTGCCGACTGCCTTGCGGTTGCTTCTGAGAGCGTTCGCTCCGAGGACTCGGGGCGCCGGAGTTCATTCATTCTTGCCTGACAGCATCCGCACCACAGACAGCAGCGGGAAAACAGGTGGAATTGTTTGGCAGGGCTTAGACTATGCGGATTACTCGGGCTTGGCTCGGGAACACATCAAGGAGATGAAGGCCTGAGGGGCGGCCTCGCGTGTGTATGGCGTTGGAAGTATCCGCGTGGGGTTGCGTGCTAGTTCGCTTATCGCAGACCGGCATCGAGGAGACCTGCGTGACCTGTCTGCGGCAGCTGATGGAGATGGGCCGCAGGCATGAGGGTGGGGCGGTAACTGGCGCTCGCTTGTGCAGCTGCTGGCTGGAGCAATGAAAGGCGCAGGGGGTGACGGTAGTGGGGGTCTCGCAAAGCCTCAGCTTGTCGCCGCAGCTTAATTCCAAAGCAGCCAGGCGGCTTGGTGCTGTGTTGGAGCTTGTTGAAAACTGTCAGCCGTTGAAGCAGTACCAGGCTGGCAAAATCAATGTTGTGGCATGCTTGGAATGGGGTGCCGCTTGGTGACGTTGTCAACGGAATCAGGGGCGAAGCGCCTGGCCCGCACTCTAGCAAACTTCGGCGCGGCGTGAGATTCTGAGGGGCTCTACCGTGCTGCGCTCAGTGACTTCGTTGACCGTCTTCGGCTCGAATTCGGCAGCACAAACCAAGCGCGGCGCGACATCCTTCCGCACTGCGTGGGCTTCTCTTTGTTTGAGCGTGGTGAAGTACATGACAGCGGGAAATGAGCAGGGGGCGGCCTTGGTTGCCTTCGTGGGTTCGTATCGTGTGCGCTTCGAGTTGTTGACGCATGGAGGAACGCAGAGAAACCAGGAGCGGGGGCACCTTCTTCACCTTGGCAGACGTCGCGGGGAGCGATATGGAGCGGAAGAACATGGCGAACAGCTTGAAGCACTGCAGCGGCTTGCCGGTTTGGTTCGTCATGGAGGTCGGCGATTACATCGGGGACCGCGGAGACACTCTGGGGGAGCAGCCTTTGCAAGCCATTCCGTCTCGCATTGCGATCACTGGCCAAGCAGAATAAGCGAAACAACAGCAAGGCCCCGCGGCCATTCCGCCGGGGCCCCCGCTGCGAGCAGGAACAGGAACCCGAGCCGACGGGGTCAAGGCTGGAGCGATGACCCCACAGGCAGCGCTGGAAGAGCAGGACAGGCACGCGGCCGCCGTTTTGCAGCTGACGAACCGACCACAAGGAACGAGACAAGCAGGAGCAGGCTGCGGCGGAAACCACAGACACGCCTGCGCCTGCCATGTTAGTAAGCGCGTGGACGCCACTGACTGAGAGGCGCAACGGAACCCCGCCCGCGGTCGCTTTTTGCAGTCACTTCGTGCCAGAAGCACCACAAGACCACCGGAGGCCCCGCCGGTATCTTTTGCCCGGGTATTTTCGATCGCCGCAGGGGATTCGCGTGGGGGGGGGTGGCTTGCGTTGCAGCATGGCTCGCGCCCCGGACGGTAAGAGCACAGTGAAGACCTTGCCGAGATGCCGGCGCGCCGTTTCTTTCGGTGTGGTGAACAGTGAGCAGCACCAGGACCAGGGAGAACAGCAGCAGCAGCAGGCACAAGAGCAGAGAACCCAACTCATTGAAGAGCAGCAGCAGAGCAACAAACGACACGGCGAAGCAGGCGCAGACGGGTGGCAGAAGCTTCGGGCAGGTGTGAAGGGAAGGCGGAAAGCTACTCGGGAAGCCCTTAAGGCGATGGCCAGCCTGGAGGCGCCCGCGGCGGTTTTTCCACATATCGCCGAAGAGGGTTACAAAAAGCACGCAGGTGGAGCGGCGGCCGGTGGGCGTCATGAGTGGCGCCCGGTATTCTTCGGGCTTCGTGGGCCGCTTGTCTTCACGTTGAAAGCTTGCGCAGCGTATGGGGAATAGCGAGGGGCGAGCGTTCCCGAAAGTGGGCGCGCGCGCGCTGCGTTCTTTCAAGTGTTACGTCCTAGCGCTGAGGCTCGGGGAGGTTTACGAGACTCGCAACGCAGCCAGTTAGAAAGCGGAGAACGCGCCCAGGGCGAAGACGCGGGGCCCCGGCTGTTGGCTCTTTTAAGCAGCTGAATTAGACGAAGAAGGCGCTGACTCCTTTGGGTGTAGTGCACTCTGAGGGAGCCAGCCCCGGCGGAAGCCTTTCCCGGTGGTTGTTTTTTGGTAGGAGCCGAAGAAGGGGGCCAGAATTTGTTGGGGGTGGTCTTCTTCGAGCAACTTTGGAAGCGCAGCCCGAACGCAAGCCGCAATCTACGCGAAGCTGGTAGAGGCGTAGGCTAGGGCAGTTTAGCCAGGAGCCGCAGCCCGCCAAGCTCCGCACGCTCGTCGGCTTGTGGGAGTCTTCACTGGAGTCGCTGAGGACAAGAAGGGGCGGCGGCCTTTGTGGATTCCCTTTTCGGTGGTTCTGTGGCTGTGTGTTGGTGACGGGCTTGCGCTTTTTCGATGAGGTGTTTGAAGTTAAGTAGGCATGGGCCGAAGGCGCTGAACTTTATGGGGCTCGGCATCCTTATCCCGCGAGGCATGGGAAGTTTTGAAGGGTTTGGCGCCATGACGGAGAAGGAGAGCGCGGGTGAGCCGCAAAAAGCGCAGAAGCAGCTAGGGCAGGAGGTGGAGCAAGCCGCAGAGGACAGCGGCAGCGAGGTGCCTGAAGTCGTTGCAGCAGACTCGGAGGAGGCGCCGGGCGGCGTCTGACTAACTTAAAGTCCAAGAAGGGGAAAAAGATGCCGAGCCAGAAAGGCTTGCCACAAGCTTCGAAAAAGGTGAAGGCGGTGGAGGGAACTCCAAAGCAGCATAGGACGCAGGGGGCGAGGGAGTGAGAAGCGAAACCGGCAGCGAAGAAAGCCGACGCGCAAGGATAGAGCCGAACAAGAATCGGCAGAAACCTAACAGACAGAGCAGAACCCGGAGGACGGCGCCCGGGGCGCCGCTCAATGTGCAAAGGATCTGGATGCTTTCGGAAGGCGCAGCGCGCTGGCTCGTGCGCATCGACTTCATGAAGCCCGGACCCGGGGGGGCTTTTCCTTGGACAGCGTGGCAAGGGTGTGGGGCTCGTTGGCTTGAGCCCGATGCTGATTCTGCTTCGCAGGCAGCGGGGTTCTGATTGTTTTAGAAGCTTCACAGGGTTCCGAGTTCAGCAGTCAGAAAACTCAGCATCGGCCAGCCCGTAGCGCGCGAAGCTTGTGACTGGCCTTGGTCTCGACGGGGAGCCGCTACTCGCTGGCGCGGTGCTTGGTGTGCTCTGAAGAAGCTCTGCGGGCTTGGAGATAAGTCGGCGCCGCTGTTGGTGTAGCAGGAGCACGGAGGCAGAAGGTGGGTTCTCTATTTGAACATGTGCGGCGCTGCTGGGGAGAAACGTGAGCCATAGCAACCACAAAGAGGGCGAGCCGCGTGCGTTGGCGCGAAGTACAAGAAAGAGGCACCGCAGAACCCTGGCCCAGCGAGCTGACGAAGAAGAAGCAGCCCGGGAGGAGATTGCCAGCAAAAAAGCAAAGTGGGGAGAAGGCGCTGACAGCGACAAGATTCCGAGAGAACAGCGAAGAGCGAGGAGCCTGAGACGCACAAGAGGAAAAGCCGAAAAACGTCCCGGGCGGAGCTTCTTCGGGGTAGGATCATGGAAAAGACTGCGCGCAGCGCCGAGCATCTACACGGCGTTGGCTCTGGGTTTCTGCTGCTAACGGGGGCGCGCGCAGCTCATAAGACTGAGCTTAGGGGAGCTAGTTGCGGCAGCTTAACAGCCTGACCCTTTTGGATCCGCTGCGGGTGAGTTTCTTGAGTGGTGACGCCACTCAGCCCCAGGACTGAGGGGAGACGCCTCAGACACACCGGGCACCTAGCGCGGCACCCCCAGGGTGTATGGTTATGGATGGCCTTACTTAGCAGCTGAAGGAGAGCACAGAAACAGCACCAGAAAGAGAGGAGCGCCGCGAGCAACCTCCAGGAGGCAGCTGACCGCTGACCTCAGGGCGAGAGGGGTGCAACTACAACGCGCATCGGATAGAAGACGCAGACAGGCCACAGGCAGCAAGCCAAGGGCTTGGCTGTCGTTCGGTATCAGGATCAACAGGAGCCGCCGAGAGGCTAAGGAACAACCGGGCAACAAACTAGACTAGCGGGTGGAAGTCGTCGGGGAAATCTTGGGCAGGTCGCTGAGTAGATTCACGCCGTCAAGCTTCCTGAGCGAGGCGCACACCTTCGAAGACAAGGCCCGACCTCATGACGCGAAGGGCGAGCCGCTGCTGCTGATGGGCTCCCCAGGGTTCTTAGCTGACAGAGGCGGGCACGTGGTTCGCATGATCTTACAGCGCCGGAGGCTCTTGGGGTTTCCAGTTGGAACTTTGTCGGAATTTTGTCTAGTTTTTATCTTTCGACTTCTCAAAAAGTGAAAGCCTTCGGCGATAGACGAGCATCAGAAAAGTGGGGGGCTCCAATCAGACTAAGGCTGGGCCTCGATCGGCTGCAAGACTTTACCGGGGTGACATGTAGAGAACGCGCGTGGAGAATTTTCATCGCAAACGACTACCAGAACGGTGGAGGCATTTGGCTTAGCTTGAGCCCCTCAGACTCTGGAGCGTTTTGGCTTTGGCTGACTGTCAGAAAAGTGAGAAGCTTCCGCCGCTGGCTTCCCTCGTGTTGCCTTGGCTTGCCTTCCCTTATTTTCTTTTGCCTTGCCTTGCCTTGGCTCCGGCCTCCAAGGCCATCCAGCTGCGCGCCTTTGGAGGGCTTTTCAAGTCTTGGCGGCTTAGCTTTGAACGGTTCCCCGGGCTGTGGGGTGTCTGGCTGATTTGCCCAGTGGGCTTTGTGTGTTTTCGTGATTTGCTTCTTGTTATTGATTTACTCAGAGAGGAAAAAAATTCGAGAGCGCTCTAGATGCTTGAAATACGACCACGCGGGAAAGGGGGCACTCGCTGAGGCCTGCGCCTTGTACAGGTTTGGGCTGAAAGGCTGAAAACCTTGGAAGGCTCTGGAGGTTGGATCCTAATGAACCAAGTGGGCCGGCAGAATGTGCGCCATCTGTGTCCGGCTCTTGCGCTCAGAGTGAGGCTCTCAGCCGGTTCAAGCTGAGAGGCATAGCGCCATCGACGAAGAGGCGCGCGAAGCGGCCAGAAGTTGAAAAGCTTGCCGTGCTGCAATAGATAAGACCACAGGGGCGGGCCAGGATTTTCATGAGCTGGGCGCGGCATTAGTTTGGGGATGCAAAAAGTGAACGAATTCAAAAGACTGAGGAACGAGAGCAGGGCAAGCTGCGCCAGCTGTGTTCCGCACTTTTTAGCGGTGACACCTGAAGCGGAAAAATCTCACCGACCGCTTCGCCGCGTTTTGTTGTCTGTGCGTAAAAATGAGAAAAATGACAACAGAAAACTTTAGAAAGCTCAGGGAGCTGGAGGGAGTCGACCACAGTGGCGGGGAACGCTTCAGAAAGCTCAAGCAACAGGGGGCGCCGACATAGCGGCCCCTGGTAGGCTGGGCCCTGGGGGACGTGACTAAGAAGAGACAAACGGGAACAGGCTGGGGGACTTTGGTCCCCAAGTCGGGCCCGTCGGTCCATTTGTGGCCGCCTTGTCGTCGTGTTCGGGGTGTTGAATTTTTGGAGGGTTTCGGCGTGAGATCGTAATAGACCGCGTGGAGGCTTTATTTTGGACCATAGTCAAGGAAGAAAAGGAGCGAGGCCCTGGGGCTTTTTCTGAAGCTTGTCCGTCGTGGTATCGGCGCTGTGGTGTGTCTCTTTCTCTTCGTTGGAGACTCTTAGGCCCCGCTGACTCCTCTGAGCTCGGTGGCCTTCGAAAAAGCTGGCGGCGCCTGAAGTCTTTGCGGTGTGGGTAAGTACTTAGAGCCTTGGGCCTGGAGTGTAGAGACCTCGCGGCAGCTGTCGCCCTTATCTTTAACACAGTGCTGGCGTTGGTTTGCTCCTGTGGTTTCCGCCTTGTGTTTTCTTCTCTTCCTTTTTCTTCTCGAGTTCCGCTCTCTCTTCTTTTCGTGCGCTCGCTTTGCGCGTTGTTGTCCTCCGCGCAGGCATGAAAGCCCACACGGCGCCACGCTGTCAAGCTCTGAAGCCGGTCCAGGAATTCAGATGGTGCGCTGTCCATCGGGCGCCTTTGGTGTTTGGTGTTTTGTGGGTAGCTTACTTGTGTGGCTGTTCTCGCGCCAGTCTGTCTGCCTCCCTGTCTACCTGTGAGCGTGTGCGCGTGTCTCTCTGTGGGTGTGCGCGTCTGTGTGTGTGTGTGTGTGTGTGTGTGTGCGCGCGTCTGTGTGGGTGCGCGTCTGTGTGTGTCTGTGTGCGTCTTGTCTGTCTTGGTTTTCTGTCTTGTCTGTCTTGTCTGTGTGTCTGTCTTGTCTGTGTGTCTGTCTTGTCCGTGTGTCTGTCTTGTCTGTCTTGTCTGTGTGTCTGTCTTGCCTGTGTGTCTGTCTTGTCTGTGTGTCTGTCTTGTCTCTGTGTCTGTCTTGTCTCTGTGTCTGTCTTGTCTCTGTGTCTGTCTTGTCTCTGTGTCTGTCTTGTCTGTGTGTCTGTCTTGTCTGTGTGTCTGTCTTGTCTGTGTGTCTGTCTTGTCTGTGTGTCTGTCTTGTCTGTGTGTCTGTCTTGTCTGTGTGTCTGTCTTGTCTGTGTGTCTGTCTTGTCTGTGTGTCTGTCTTGTCTGTGTGTCTGTCTTGTCTGTGTGTCTGTCTTGTCTGTGTGTCTGTCTTGTCTGTGTGTCTGTCTTGTCTGTGTGTCTGTCTTGTCTGTGTGTCTGTCTTGTCTGTGTGTCTGTCTTGTCTGTGTGTCTGTCTTGTCTGTGTGTCTGTCTTGTCTGTGTGTCTGTCTTGTCTGTGTGTCTGTCTTGTCTGTGTGTCTGTCTTGTCTGTGTGTCTGTCTTGTCTGTGTGTCTGTCTTGTCTGTGTGTCTGTCTTGTCTGTGTGTCTGTCTTGTCTGTGTGTCTGTCTTGTCTGTGTGTCTGTCTTGTCTGTGTGTCTGTCTTGTCTGTGTGTCTGTCTTGTCTGTGTGTCTGTCTTGTCTGTGTGTCTGTCTTGTCTGTGTGTCTGTCTTGTCTGTGTGTCTGTCTTGTCTGTGTGTCTGTCTTGTCTGTGTGTCTGTCTTGTCTGTGTGTCTGTCTTGTCTGTGTGTCTGTCTTGTCTGTGTGTCTGTCTTGTCTGTGTGTCTGTCTTGTCTGTGTGTCTGTCTTGTCTGTGTGTCTGTCTTGTCTGTGTGTCTGTCTTGTCTGTGTGTCTGTCTTGTCTGTGTGTCTGTCTTGTCTGTGTGTCTGTCTTGTCTGTGTGTCTGTCTTGTCTGTGTGTCTGTCTTGTCTGTGTGTCTGTCTTGTCTGTGTGTCTGTCTTGTCTGTGTGTCTGTCTTGTCTGTGTGTCTGTCTTGTCTGTGTGTCTGTCTTGTCTGTGTGTCTGTCTTGTCTGTGTGTCTGTCTTGTCTGTGTGTCTGTCTTGTCTGTGTGTCTGTCTTGTCTGTGTGTCTGTCTTGTCTGTGTGTCTGTCTTGTCTGTGTGTCTGTCTTGTCTGTGTGTCTGTCTTGTCTGTGTGTCTGTCTTGTCTGTGTGTCTGTCTTGTCTGTGTGTCTGTCTTGTCTGTGTGTCTGTCTTGTCTGTGTGTCTGTCTTGTCTGTGTGTCTGTCTTGTCTGTGTGTCTGTCTTGTCTGTGTGTCTGTCTTGTCTGTGTGTCTGTCTTGTCTGTGTGTCTGTCTTGTCTGTGTGTCTGTCTTGTCTGTGTGTGTGTCTTGTCTGTGTGTCTGTCTTGTCTGTGTGTCTGTCTTGTCTGTGTGTCTGTGTGTCTGTCTTGTCCGTCTTGTCTGGTAGGCTGTTGCCCCCCGGTGGATTTCTGCACCGGGGACGCCTTTGATTTGGCCAGAAGGTTGGGGGGTGGTTCGTGTCGTATCCCTTCTACCGGGCTGGGCTGGAGAGTTTTCCAGAATTCGGCGCGGCAGGCTGACGGAGTTACTACTGCCAGCGGCTCCCCCCAGCCCCAAAGCTTTTCGACTTTGGGCGGGCGTTTTTTCTGAGATTCAATATCTTGGCGTCGAATTTCTCAAATTTCGGCGCTTCCCTGTTCCTCATTATTTTGCTCTTTTGGGATTAAATTCGCTGGGTTTGGGTTTCTCAAGTCCCAAAATTTTTGATTCTCGGCTTTTTTCCTGAGATTCAGATCTCTAGTGGGGTTTGAATCTATCAAATTTCGAAGCTTTCCTTATCGTTTTGCGCTTTTTGGATTAAATCCGCTGGGCTTGGATTTCTCAAACCCCAAGGCTTTTGACTTTAGGCATTTTTTCCTCAAGTCAATTCTTTGGGTTTGGATTCCATTTCTCAAATTTCGACGCTTTCTGTAGTATTTTGCCGCTTTGGGATTGAATTCGCTGGGTGTGAATGTCTCAAACTTCGGAGCTTTCTGCGTTATTTTGTCGCTTTGCTTTGGGATTGAATTTATTCGCTGGACTTGAATATCTCAAATCCCAAACTTTTTGACTCTGAGCCGTTTCGCTGAAATTCAAACTCTTGGGTCGTGGGCTCTTCTTAAGTTCTTAAGTACAGAATTAAAGAAGCTCCTAAGTTGTACAGAAGTGCAGAAGTTCCTAAGTGGTACAGAAGTGCAGAAGTTCCTAAGTTCTTAGCAGAGTTCCTCAGCCCCTTCCTAAGTTCGTAAGTTTACGAGTTCAAATGTGGAAGGGTGAGGGTTTGGGGCTTGGAAGTGGGGGAGTGAGAGTTTGGGGGGGTCGTTGTTGATTTTTAATTTAGCTCTTCAGTGCTGTGGGCTCCCCAAGTCATTATCGTGAGGTACGCACCGGCTAGGAGGCGGAGGGAGACCACCATCACGCGGGGGAGCGGTGGCGCAAGCGCCACCGGGCTCCCCGGTTGTCGGGCACCAAACAGCGACACACAAGGAAAAAGAGAAGAGCGGTCGAGAGTGTCTGACAGTGTTCGGCCTGTGCGCGAGTGTAAGAACCAGGAAGAGCAAGAGAGAGAAGGCAAGCGGTTGAGAAGGTAGCAGGGTCTTCGGTAAATCGACGAAAAGAACAAGACGAGGAACGAGCGCACAGGCAATCTGTGGAGTGTATAGGAGGGCTTTCTGTAGGCTGAGGCCGCCCAGTAGGTTAGTAAGGACCGTGATGGAGTTCTGGTAGCGCCGGCACAGAGAGCCGAGAACGAGAAGAGGAGAGAAAGGCGAGAAAGGTGAGACAAACAAGAGCAAGCAGGAGCAAGAGAAAGACAGAGAAAGAGAAAGAGGGGCGGCTTGTTGAGATGTCAGCGCTGACTCTGGTGAGACGGTGGAAGAGTGTGAGAACGAGGAAGAAGACGAGGAGGAGAAAGGAAAGACGAAGGCGCCGCAGGTTTCGCAAACTTGTGAAGCGTCTGGCCTTTCTGGTTACTCGTCTCTTGGGTACTTCGTTCAAAACGGCCCGCAGGACTACCCAAACGCCCCGCGGGTTTACCGTCACCCACGCGGGTGCCCCCAGTGTCTCACATGCCTCGGCGGTTCCGTGCTGGTTCGTTTCGGGGGGTTTATGTTGCTCCGAATTTGGCCCGGAGCACTGTCCAAACGGCTGACGGGTTTACTGTTGTGCGGGTGTCTCTGGTTTCTTATTTTTCGCGGCTGTTTGTCTGTATATGGAACCGCTTCGGGCTCTCTTTCGGAGATGAATGCCCGCGGATTGCTTCTACTTTGTGAGACAGAGCAGAGCTAGCCCTAGTGCTCTGGGTCCCTGTCAGTCTCGAACTGGGTAGACCTTGGGAAGGATTCGAGAGGGAACGGGGGGCACTGGGTAGCAAGGACCCCAAAGGGAAGGGAGCACCATAAGAGTAGTGAATGGACAGAACGAGAAGCCAGGTCAGTCGTTCTGTGAAGTAGACGGGGAACCTAGGCCAGGTTGTTCAATAAGAGAGAACTTTTAAGAGGCTTGGGTGAGTGTGCCGCTCGAAGGAGGAGATAGACATGGCTGGACCTTGAAACTGGTGGGGGGAACCCTTCTGAGGAGTAAAGGGGAGCTGCCTAGGCCAGGTGGATAAGGTCGAAAGACTTTAGGAAAACCTTTAGAGGGTTTAGAGGTGTTGAAGGATTTGAGTCGCTAGCATATGCGAGGATACTGGGCGCACTTCCTGGGAGCGGGAAGATGGCCAGGGACTCGCTTGATACTTGGGTGCCTTCGCTGTGGGAGCGATAGGAGTATGAGGATCACTGGGTGGAGCTTTTAGCAGGATGGCTCCGGCGCCTCACTGCGTAGGGGGGGCATTGTAGGACCTGGCCTGGGTGTAACAGGGCGGCCCTTCGTGAATGAAGTGCGCCAGCAATTGCAAGGAGTGGCCGCTGAATAACTAAAGACCTGGGCAGCTGCTGCTTGGGTCTTCCTGGTAGTGCGGCTGCTATTGATAGGATAGATGACTTGGAAAGTCAACAATAAAGGTTCCGCCCACACGGCGGCGCTCGCTGTGGCCAGCCGTGAGATGGTTGCCACAGCTACCAAGCTGTGGGGTGGGCTTCCTAGCGAGGTTGACTTAGGGCCATTCTTGGGCCCCGAAAATGAATTGTCATGAGCGTGCTCACGTGTGAAATCTAGGAGCACGCACATACCTGACTAGCGCGCGCGTTGCTTTGTCGTTGTCTTTTTTGTATGTCGTTCAGAACTTCACCTGGAGCACTATCCAAACGCCTGACGGGTTTACCGTCGCGCGGGTGTGTCTGGTTCCTCACATTTCTGAGCATGATGATGATACAAGTGGCCGGCCCAGATCAAAGAGCCACAAAGAAAGCCCGCCAGTAGGACTGAGGTCAAAAAAATGGCGCACGTTGTTCAGAACTTGGCCTGGAGCATTATGTTATCCAAACGCCTGAGGACGGGTTTACTGTCGCGCGGGTGTCTGTGTCTGGTTTCTCACATTTCTGAGCATGATGGTGGTGCAAATCACCAAAATGATCCCGATCCAGATCGAAGCAAGCGCCACAGAGGGCCACAGGGAAAACCTGCCCAAGGGACTGAGATCAAAAAAGTTGTGCGCGCTGTTCAGAACTTGGCCCGGAGCACTATCCAAACGCCTGACGGTTTTACCGTCGCGCGGGTGTGTCCGTCTGGTTTCTCACATTTCTGAGCATGGTGCCGATGCAAATGACCAAGCTGATCCCGATCCAGATGGGGGCGCCACAGAGAGCCACAAAGGAAACCCGCCCGACGGGCTGAGGCCAAAAAAGTGGCGCACGCTTTTCAGAACTTGGCCTGTAGCATTATCCAAACGCCAGACGGGTTGGCCGTCGCGCGGGTGTGTCTGGTTTCTCACATTTCTGCGCATGGTGATGATCTGAGGCAAATCACCAAAATGATCCCGATCCAGATCGAAGCACCGCAGAGATCCACAAGGAAAACCTGCCCAAAGGACTGAGAGACCAAAAAAGTGGCGCGCGTTGTTCAGAGCTTGACCCGGGGCACTATCCAAACGCCTGACGGGTTTGCTGTCGCGCGGGTGTGTCTGGTTTCTCAAGTTTCTGAGCATGGTGATGATACAGATGACCAAACTGATCCCGACCCAGATCGAAGCAAGCACCACAAAGAGCCACAAAGAAAGCCTGCCTGGGGGACTGAGATCAAAGGAATGGCGTGCGCTGTTCAGAACTTGGCCCGGAGCACTATCCTAATGCCCGGCGGGTTTACCGTCGCACGGGTGTGCCTGGTTTCTCACATTTCTGAGCATGGTGGTGATGCAAATGACCAAACTGGTCCCGATTCACATCGCAGGGCCGCAGAGGTCCACAAAGGGAGCCCCCCGCAAAGGACTGAGACCAAAAAGAGTGGCGTTGTGTTGTTCAGAACTTGACTCGGAGCACTATCCAAACGCCCGCGGGTTTGCTGTCGCGCGGGTGTGTCTGGTTTCTCACATATCTGAGGACGATGGTGATGCAGGGGGCCAAGCTGATCCCCGTCCAGGTCGAAGCGCCACAGAGACCCACAAAGAAAGCCCGCCCAAAGGACTGAGGCCAAAAAGCTGGCGCGCGTTGTTCAGAACCTGGCCCGGAGCATTATCCGCACGCCCGACGGGCTTACCGTCGCGCGGGTGTGTCTGGTTTCTCACATTTCTGGGCATGGTGCTGGTGTAAATCACCAAAATAATGGCCCCGATCCAGATCGAAGCGCCACAAAGAGCGACAAAGAAAACCCGCCCAAAGGACGGAGGCCAAAGAGTTTTCGCATGTTGTTCAAGGCTTGGCCTGGAGCACTATCCAAGCGCCTGACGGGTTTACCGTCGCGCGGGTGTGTCTGGTTTCTCACATTTCTGAGCATGATAATGGCGCAGCTCACCAAAATAATCCTGACCCAGATCGAAGCACCACAAAGGGCCACAAAGAAAACCCGCCCAAAGGCTTGAGGTCAAAGAAATGGCGCGCGCTGTTCAGAACTTGCCCCGGAGCACGATCCAAACGCCTGACGGGTTTACCGTCGCGCGGGTGTGTCTGGTTTCTCACATTTCTGAGCATGATGATGCACAAGCAGGGAGAAGATGAATGGGCGCAAGCGTTGGGCGATGCTGAAAACAATACGAGAACACGAGCAAGGCGGGCGCCTGCGAAACTTCACTAGCAAGCGAGCGTAAACTGCTGACACATGAGCAAGCGGCAGCCTTGGGAAAGTTTCGGAGCGATATACCTGGCGCACAGCCTGCAAGGCAGGCGACTTTACTGCTAGGCCGGCGCGGACGAGGAAAGTCGCTCGCTGGCGAAGTTTTGCCATTGTGGTGCATTTCTGAGGGCATTACTGTAGCGGGACTCGGCGCGACCGGTGCGGCCGCGATTTTGTTGGGGCCGATGGATGGCGACAGCGGTCGGCCCGCCGCCTGATAGGAATGCGCCTCCCTGCATAAAGATGACCGGGCGCCTGATCTTATGAGCCTCGCGGAAACTGTCAAACAGTCACGGGCTACAGACTCGCACCTTCGGAAATTGCGCTGCGTCATCATTGATGAAGCCTCCACGGCTAAGCGCGAATGGCTTGGCGTGGTTTCGCGTGAGCTGTGCCGGGTTCGTCATTGTGATGCTCCGCTTGGAGGGGTTCCCACGCTGGTCATAGGATGCCCAAGACAGCAGCGGCCGGTCTTGTATACGCGTGCTTGGGCTGGCAGTTGTCTAACACCGTCCGCGGCGGATATATGGCGCGAAAGCATATGGGGCGCGCATTGTATGCGCGACGCGCATCGTGTCGAGCTAGCAGCATTGCACCGGCGTAATGCGTGAGCTTTCAGCGCTTTTGCGGATATGGCCGCTGCGGTAGCAGATGGAGTAGACACTGACGACCTGGAGCTGGCACCCTTCCAACGGATGGCGGGCGATGATGTGACTGAACAAGTGGCGACTGATCTGGGTAGTGTCGTTGTTGCAGGTGCCCACAGACTCGCCCATGATTGGAACAGCAAAGCGGCCCGCTTGGTGTTAAAAAAAGCGCCGAAAGAAGAGCGACACACGCTACGAGCTTGGGGGGCGCGCGCGTGCGGCGTACCCCAGCGAGGAGACGCGGCGTTTCGGCTAACGGATAGCGCGTGGAAGTATGTCCCCCTTGGTTGTCTCAAGGTTGGCACGCAGAGGCATGCGGCTAGCGTTCTGCCGTCGATGGGGTCGCGCGCCGAAGCGCACTCGTGTGATATTTGACCACGCTGGTGCGTCTTATTTGCGCCTGCAATACGTTACGCCTCCGCCTGCTGGCGCTTCGGATGCGGTAGAGATCGCGCCGGGCACGCTTGCGCGATGTTTATTCGTGCCGCGCACTGAGTGGCGACTTCGGGACTCGTTGGGAGCGCCCCGCCATTTCTTTCAATTTCCCCTTGGGTATGGGTATGCGTGTGCAAGTCAAATTATCCAGGGTTCGACCATATTGGGCAGCGCCTTACTCTGGGACGTGGCGGGAGGCTGGCGGGAGGACGTGGCCCATGGGTCCACCTACGTCATTGCCGGAAGAGTCGAAGGCGCGGGCAGTCTAATAATCTGCGGCCACGACCGTGCGCGCGCATCATGTCCAAACGTGGTCGATCGTTCCCTCATCGCGGGCAGCAAGTGTCTGGGTGGAAGCAATAGCTGCAACAATACCGCGGACACCGCAAGAAGTGACTCGGGGGAATCATTCTGAGCGTGGTGGCGTAGATGATGGGGGCAGCGAACCTGGTGAAGACCATGAGACAGGGGACGAGATGGGGCCAGACAGTTCCACGGGGTGCGGCAATGAGGGCAGCGGCGGCGCTGTGGATGGCGTGCGGGTTACTCGTAAGGGGGGGGGGGCGCTCGCTTATTTGTAGGCGCCTTTGGCGGCGACATCGGTGAAGGGGGTAGCGGTGGCGATGGAATTGAAACAGAAGAGGACGGGCTTCAGAGTGGTGGCACGTGAATCGCGGCAGGCGGAACTTTTAACGGGGGACGCGCTAACTGTCGCACCGGCCCACGGTCGGGGGTGGTGAATGTGTGCCAAAGTTGTCAGGGGATGGCGCTGCTTCTTGTGCGTGGCTTTATCGCTTCTGCGCGCAGGGCTTGGCGTGCATGCTGTGCATGGGCGCTGCGCGTTTCGGGGGTGCTTGATGTTCCTTCTGTATTAGGCGCGCAACCGTATAAGACCCAGCAAGTGTGAAAAGATGGCAAGGGAATAGCCCTACAACTTAGCGGCAAGAGCGAGCGTGCCGGCGGGCCGAAGCGTTTAACGGGATGGCCACACTGCTAGCGAATACACGCAAGAAGCGGCCCGCGGGTCTCTTCACTGGGGACCTCTGCTGGCAGGTGCGTGCGTGTCCTTTTGGTGTGGTGCTGTCGTTGCTGTGGCGTGGCGCACTCTAATGACTTTCGTGGTCGCATTTTCGTCGGCTCGCCTCTATCGGTGTACTTTTGTGATTGGGGGAACACACATCGGCGCCGTTCGTCCTTGGATGTTGTCTACCGCGTGAAGCCTTTTGCCTTTTATCTGAAAGGGGGCAGCCCTCTTAGGTAAAACGGTTGCAGGGATGAGATGGCATCCTGCCCCACCCGATCGGAGGGCTTGCATCATCATCATCATCATCAGAAACAAAACACACCAAAAAAAGGGAGAGGGCTGCGCCGTAGTTGGCTTGGGCTGTTAATCTTGTCCACCATCTGCGCCGCCCGTTCGGAAGGAAGGGGGCATCCCACTCCGCGCACCTTTTGGGGCTGGCTGTTCGTATTTTCTTGCCGTTTGTTGTTCTTTGTGTTCGTGCTACGTCTTTTCTGTGGTTGGCCTCAGCCGTGGCCTTTGTTGTTGTTTCCATGCTTGGCGCCCGTTGCGTCTCCCTTGGTGTTTGTCTCAATTTTGTTGCGCGGCGTTTGTTGTTGTTATCGTCGTGGTGTTTGTTGTCGTCTCGTGTCTGTGCTGTTTGCTGTTGTTGCTGTGTCCTTTGTCGCTATTCTCTTGCGGTGTCGTTTGCTGTCCTTTCCGCGGCGTTTGTTGTTGTTAGTTTATGCTTCGCCGTGTGTCGCTTTTTGTTGTGTTCGTGCTGTTTGCTATTAGTCTGAGCCTGCTGTTGTTCTTCTTGTGTCGTTTGGTGTTGTTCTTCTTGTGTCGTTTGCTTGTGTTGTTTTCGTGGCGTTTGTGGTTGCTCCCTTGCCCTTTGTTGTTATTTCTGGAGCGTTTGTTGCTCCCTTCGTCTGACTGTGGCGCTTGTTGTTCTGTCTTTTCGTGGTGTTTGTTGTCCTGGCTGTGTCGTTCGTTGTTATTTCCGTCCGGGTTGTTGTCATTTTTTCGCCGTTTGTTGTTGTTTCTGAGCCGCTCGCCGTTCTCCTTGTGGCTTTTGCTGTTATTCTCGTGGCGTGTGTTGTTGTTTTTGTGGTGTTTGTTGTTGTTCTTGTGCCATTGGTTTACTTGCTTTTTTGCGTGCTCTGGTTTGCGTGTCGCTGGTTTTTGTCTTGTGTTCGTGCCATTTGCTACGAGCCTGGGCCCTTTGTTGTCTTTTTCGTGCCGTTTGGTGTTGTTTTCGTGGCGTTTGTGGTTGCTCTCTTGCCGTTTGTTGTTCTCTCTAGGTGATTCACTGTCCTTCTCCTCTGTGGTGAGTTTGTTTGCTGTTAGTTCTATCCTTTCGCGCTGTTTGTTGTCCTTGTTCTTGTTGTGTCGCTCGTTGTTGTTTTCGTGGCGTTTATTGTCATTCTTTTGCCGTTGCCTGCCAGATTGGCTCACGGGGCAAGTGCTTGCACTCCGCTCCGGGGGGTCTCTGGTTCGAATCTTGGAGGGGACTCGACTGGCAGGGAGGCGGCCGCCAGGCTGGTTGCCGCCCCACACCCAGGGGAGAGACAAACGGGGACCGCGCTGGGCCAGACAGTGCGGGGAGATGAGATCCAAGGGGAGCACTCTGAGCAGCTGACGGCACCGCGCCCACGCGGTCCATCGTGTGGCTCACAACCCTGGCCACAACTGGACGGCGCCAGCCCATCTGATGAGCAGCCGGGCTGGGTGATGCATAACCACAAGGGGCGCCACCTGGGCAAGGCCTCAGGGCCAGGGGCTGGCTGCGTGGTGTCCAGAGGGGAACCCTCTGCACCTGAAGCGCCAGCAGGTCGCGGCCAGGCGACCGCCCTCCCCAGGTCGGGGAGGTTCCTCTCTCTCTCTCTCTCTCTGGGCCGCTCGCTGTTCTCCTTGTGGCGTTTGTTGTTGTTTTGGTAGTGTGTTTCGTTGTTGTTGTGGTGTTTGTTGGTATGTGTCCTTGCGCCGTTGGTGTGTTTTGCTTTGCTTCGTTTCTTTGCTTCGCTTTTTTGTGTTGTGCTTTGTTTTTTTTTGTGCTGTGCTTTGCTTTTTTTTTTGTGCTGTGCTTTGCTTTTTTTTGTGCTGTGCTTTGCTTTTTTTTGTGCTGTGCTTTGCTTTTTTTTTGTGCTGTGCTAGCTTTTCTTTTTTTTGTGCTGTGCTTTGCTTTTTTTTCGTGCTGTGCTCTTTTTTTTTTCGTGCTGTGCTGTGCTTTTTTTTGTGTTGTGCTTTTCTTTTTTTTTTGTGCTGTGCTTTGCTCTCTTTTTGTGCTGTGCTTTGCTCTCTTTTTGTGCCGTGCTTTGCTTTCTTTTCGTGTTGTGCTTTGCTTTTTTTTCGTGCTCGCTGTGCTTTGCTTTTTTTTCGTGTTGTGTTGTGCTTTGCTTTTTTTTCGTGCTGTGCTTTGCTTTTTTTTCGTGCTGTGCTTTGCTTTTTTTTCGTGCTGTGCTTTGCTTTTTTTTCGTGCTGTGCTTTGCTTTTTTTTGTGTTGTGCTTTGCTTTTTTTTTTGTGTTGTGCTTTGCTTTTCGTTTGTGTTGTGCTTTGCTTTTTTTTGTGCTGTGCTGCAGTTTTTTTTCTAGCCCGAAGCGTTTAGCTTAGATGTGTGTGCACTAGCTGCGGGATTATTGTGACTAGCCTCAGCCTCTCTGTGACCATTTTCAAACTTTCTGCGACGGGCTTCAAACGTATTGCGGCTAGTTTCACTGTGGCTAGCCCTCCTCGCGCCCACTGTGACCGGCTTCAGGCTTGCTATGGATGGCGTCTGGCTGAGTGCGCGGGGTGTTCGGGTCTTCACATCGATAGGGGCTGGCGCTTGTGTATTTTTCTGATGGCGTTAAGATTCGAACAGCCTGACAAACCCAGCCAGAGACTAGGCCCGGCAAGTCTGGGGCTAGCCGCAGTGAGCGCGAGGCCTGTCGCAGTAAGTTTGAGGCTAGTCACAGTAAGGCTGAGACCAGTCGCAGCAAGTTTGGCCTTGAGGCTAGTCGCAGTGAGTCTGAGGCCACTCGCAGCGAGTCTCTGAGGTTGGCTGCAGTGGTTCTGAGACTAGTCGCCGCAGTTTTGAGACTAGTCGCAGCAGTTTTGAGGCTAGTGGCAGTAAGTTTGAAACTAGTCGCGGCAAGTTTGAAGCTGGTCGCGGTAGGTTTGAGGCTGGTCACAGCAAGGGCAAGCGCCACAGCCCCCAAAGCTCGGGCGCAACTCGTCACAGCTTCCACGGCTTAGGAGTAATAGGGCTGGGCCTTTTCGTAGGTGTTTGGCTTTTCTGTTTCCAGTCGTCGACCTCGCAGCTGTAGGGGGTAGGGATGCTTGCTCGCAGTCTGCAGCACCGACTTGAGACATGTCGGCGCTTGCTTGGGTGAGGTGTCTAAGCTAAGGATCAAGGCCCCCGGGCGGAATGCCTTGCGAGAACGGACGCGGGGGGCGCGGCGGACTCGTTGCCCAGCTTTTTCGAGCCTGGCCCTGGCCGTCTTCGAATCGTCTGTGAGAAAATCCGCGGGGCCACTGGCTTGCTGGGTTTCTCCATAAGGGGGCGCGCGCTTTTTTGGCTAGTCGGATTAGGTTCAGCACCAAGGAGGACACGCGGGACAACGGGCGGCACGAATTGCAGCGGCATTGATTGGCGAATGACTTCCTGACCCGCATGGGGCCACGTACATGTCTGCCGGCGCGTGGATTCCGATGCAATGAGGGGCCGCGCCTGCAGCTATCGGCATTCGCAAAACAATTGAAGGACGACGAGGACCCGACAGGAAGGGCCTCGGGCTGATTAGACCACGACCAGCGAGCCGCCGCAGAGATGTCGACAAAGCACAAGGCAGGACAGGGCAGCGCCAGCCCCCTCAGTGGTGAGGTGCAAGCAGCAAGTGGGCAGGGGACGAGCGGCGGAGAATTCAAGTGGGACGACGTCGCTTGCTATCGGTATGCGTGAGCAGAAGCGAAGTGGAATGACGGACATGCCGACGGTCGTGGACGTCGCCCCGCGTGCCCCCACGTGGCCGGGTAGAGCGAGACTGCGCCTGATTTCGTGCGATCTCTTGGCCGACTGGCGGCCGCGTGACAGTGTTGGTAGCGGTGATCACATTCGCCCACCCAGCTGGCCCGCCGCAAGTTCTTGAGCTGTGCGGGGCTACGCATTGGGGACCCCCTGGCGGACATCGGGGCGCGCTTCTGGGCTACGCTTGAGCTGGTCGGCGTGGGTGTCTTTGTGAGAGGCTACGACGCGCTTCGGCTGCGGTATACCTATGAGAAAGATGGCGTGAAGTACGCAGGAGAGAGACAGGGAGAAAGCAGAGGGGCCCCGTTAGTTTGGGCTTTCGGGAGACTGCTCTGCGGGTGGTTTGTGGTTTGGGGTCGTTGCTCAAGCTCCGGCAGCTCCTCGAAGGTCTTAGATCGCAAGAGGCAGCCGTAGGGCGGTCTGATGGCATTGGCCCAAGTGGTTCGGAAGGAGATCGGGGGCCAGTTGGCTCAGGTTGGGCCCCTGTCTTGATTCAAATAGCCAGCGCGCCCTCTCCTTTAAGGAATCCCGCGGGGGTCATGCAAGTTCGGCCAAATTTGTACGACCTCCCCGGAGAATTTGGGAAGAGGAGCCTCACGACGTTCCTAGCCTTGCGCGGGGCTCTGTCTTTCGGGTTAGTCGCTGGCCATTCGTTCCTTCCTCTCTTTTTTCTTTTTCACTTCTTAGCCATTTGGAAAATAGTAAGGAAGCAAAGCGTGGCGGGCTCTTCTTCCTTGTCATTCTGAGCCATTTTGGCTCAGGATTCGAGTCTACTGCAGCAGGATTTGAAGGCGCGCTAGGGCTGTTTGCATTGGTGATGAGAATCGGAAAACGGTAGAACAACTTGAGGCATCTCAAAAGGGCCCCAAATATTCCCCGCTATTGAGACTGTGCTGTGTTCGCTTTCGTGTTCATTGTATGAGGGTAGAGTAGTGGTAGGCTTCTTGCTTGGGGTTGGGGAGCTGCTGCAATCTTCTCTCATGTGTGCGGACTTATGACGGGACTGAGGCCATTTCTTGAAGGACATGGGCGGCACTGCCTTGATGAAGCACTTGTCAGCCCTTTCAAGGCAGTGGCCTCGCTCTGGCTCCGGGAAATCAGTGCAACCTTTTTCATTTGAAAGGGGACAGGCGAAGCTCCCGGAACGTGTGTATTTCTGTTCGGCGAAGTGAAAGGCAAAGGATAGGCAAGGACTGCGTAGGCGTTCGCCGTGCCTGACTGGGGCGATAACTTTTGCTGGCATCGGTTTCGTCTATCAATATCGAACCGAGGGCGCCGCGCATCTTACACGCAAGCGCGTGTATATCGAACCGACCTCCACTCCATCAGCCTCGTCATCACTCTGAATTTCTATCGATTTCGCTCTCGCTTTCGTTCGAGAATTTCTTTTGAAAAAACCAAGCGTGACTAAATTAATAGAAGCGCTACCTTTGGAGTAACATCATGCCAAGAGCGAACGTAGAAAAGTGGTTCTTTAGCCAAAAAACGCACATAAAGCCTAGGGATCAGTTGGGCAGGATCCGCCCCACAATGAAAAACTTCCACTCTGAGACGAATAACGTACAAAAAACGGAAAAAAAGCGCTTTTTTGTACATTATGTGGCTCAGAGTGAAAATTTTCCATCTTCAGACGAATGCTGCCCAACTGATCCCTGGGCCTTATGTGCGGTCTTTGGCTAAAGAACCACTTTCCCATGTTCGCTTTTGGCATAGTGTTACTCCATAGGAAGCGCGGCCTTTTTTAATATTAAGGACTGGGGGCCCCTCGGTAAATAAAAACAGGGACAAGACAATCCGCGCAAACTTGGCCACTTCCACTCCTCTCGTTGTTCACAGACTCCAAGACACCGCATCCGAATCTGACTACACAACGAACCGCGCTAGCACTTTGCTTACGAATAGCACTAGGGCTTGCGTGCTAGATTTCGAGGCCCACAAAGGCCCCGCCTCGTTCATCAAATTGACTCACCACCGCGGCGGTTTTTCCAAATATCGCGCCGGTGTCTTTGCTCTAAACTGCGTCGATTGGACTCATGTGGCGGACATCATCGACGGAAGGCTTCAGCCCTCTAGCTACAGCGTCGACGAAGCACTTGGAGAAATCTTGTAAGATCTTAGCCCCCAGCTAGCACGCCGCCACAGGTGGGGCAGTTTCGTCGTGTCATCTTTGTCCACTTATGACCCAGAACGCCTCAGCGCTAGCGCTGCCTTTCAATACCTAGCCAAAATCCGCGCCGACGGCTTTTCCAGCGTTTTCCCTCAGAGGAGCGGCACAAGCTGGCCACCGCTTTAGCGTCGCAGCACGGCCGTGCCGCTTATGGGGGCGGCCTCGCTCCTCTCATGTCCATCACAGCTTTGCGCAGTTTGTCCTCGACTCCTTAGGGGCTAGTTTATACTGCTCAGCGCGAACCGTTCGACGGGTCTGCAGTCGAGATTTGCTCCGGTGCTGGTGCTTTCGCTTTCCATACATATACCAGGAAGCACCTACCTCGAGAGGGGCGTAGCCAGTGGTTACTTCGTGACCCCAGCAAAGAGCTCAGCCTTCTCTTATCGCGATTCACACAACAGGCCCGCCACCTGGAGAAGGGCGACAGCAACTGCGCTTCAGCTTTTGGGCATCTTTCAAATCTTCATTGGCGTCGGCACTTCTTTGCTACACGGAGAAGAAAAAAAACGTCGAGCGCCATCTTCTCTTGGGTCGGCAGCATTGCTGCTGCCCAAGGAGATGGCGCGCGCGGGGTTTTCTTGTCATGGTCGCGCTTTCGCTCCCTCCAAAGCCAATGGCAGCGACTACTTCCGTACCCCGTGCCCAGAGGGCCCCAGCTTTGAAGGAAGAAGACGCCTCGGCGCTTTTGACTGATCAACTCCGCAAAAAAAAGGAGTGTGTGGCGGAAGGCTGTCTTCTCCTCTAAATACAAACCGAAACTGCTGGGCGAGTGGTTTCGCGAGACGAGGCCATCCAAACTCCAAGGAAATCCCCAGCAACAAGATCGGCGACACCTCGGGCAGCGTCTCGCCGTTCGGTGCTCTTGCGCGTCGCCAGGGTTCCCCGGATGAAGTCAAGAGACTTAGCTAACGCACTAACCCAGCTGACCTGGAGGAGGCGGTGGAGCTGGGGCGCTTTTAGGCGGGCTGCGTCGTGACTAACCGCCGACGCCAGCCGCAGCTCTTGCGCTTGATCTCGTCGCGGTGAGTCTTCCCGCAATAGAGTGGCAAGGGCCGGACTTTCAGAAGGCGAGGCGACTCGAAAGGCGCGCCGGAAAGTAGTAGGCGCAGCAGCCTCCCACCCCGTCGCCGTCTTTGTGTCGGCTTTTCCGTATTATGGAGCCGCGGCCGCCACCTTATCGGCCTCTGCGCCGTGGCTGGCGTTTCGTCAGTCTGTCGCTTTCTTTCAGTACTAGCGCACGCGCGTCACGATATGCTAACGCACGCTCACACCACAGGAGGCGTTCACCCCTAAAAAAACTACAGCAGTCGCAATCGCCTTCAGATTGTCGCCGCATACATCTCGGGGGGCCTCCAGCGCAAGGAGAGAACACCAGCAGCCCACGCTTTCCGATTATCCTCCGCCCCGCTTATGTTGTCGCCAATGAAACCAAGCAGAGCAGCCGTCCCATGCAGTGGAATTCTCGCAGCAAATACTTACCGGGCTTGGTTTCTGTGGAAGGGTGCTAGCCTCGCGCAGGCATCGAGGCAGCCCGCGCGGCTTTGCCTGATGCTGATGGTAAAGGCTTAGCTTCCCGCGATGCTGAGGCAGGTGAAGTGCCTCTGGTCGTCCACTCTATTCTGGGACAATGGGTCCGCAGCTTGGGCGCTGATCTCACCACCACAAAAGCCCAGCCATCTCGTGGGCCATGGGCTCAGCGCATCAGTGAAGACGAAGCGCTGACTCGTGCGCCGTCTTCCAGTGAAGGAGTCGCACCAGGCGGCCGCAAGTAGACCAGCGCGCACACCCGGGAAGAACCAAGAGGGCAAACCGGTAGGACGCAGGGAAGAGGCTGGCTTGCCATGTCGTTTCCAGTAAGCCAACGGCAGTGACCATCGCGAGCCATCGAGAGAGTTTTGGCCATGGTGCTGACGCGTGAGCAATTGAACACGCTACTGCCTCAGAAGCTATTTGCGCAAACGTCTGCGTGACTACATCAGGCCACTAGCTGTCCCGCGCTGCATGCTTTTCGCCGAAGCTATCGGAAATCTCCGGGGAACTCTCTGCGTGTCGCGTCTCTCTTTTCTATATGAGTAACCCTTCTAAGTGGGTCTATAGGTAAGGAGCGAATACATCAGCAGCAAAACATGCACGCGCCAGGGCCAGCCTGTCCATATTCGCTCCCACATCTCAGAGCATGTTGATTCGAGGCGGAGGCATCTTGCTGGGTGTCGTCGTTGGTGTAGAAGTAGTGTCCTCATCTACATACACAGTCGAGGCGTCGAAAGCTCTTGGGGAAATCCGTAAGCCCTAAGAAGGGCCCAGCCCATCAGCAGCCGACCACCCAGGCAACACCTGTTTTGCGACTACACCGAACAAGAAGGGCGGGGCAAGTGGTGGACCGAAAATGGGGACGAGAAGAACGGCGGCTACGCTTCTAGCCCTTCGGGCCCACATCCCAGCGGCGAACGCCATAACAATCATAGGCATCGTCAAGGGCTTGACTCTGGAGTAGTAGATGGCATTACTTAAAAAGTTAGTGAGTGTCGAGAGGTCAAAATGGTCGGCGGCGGCGTGGTTCCGGTCGCTGGGCCAGCGCCCGCTCTCACGCAGTTTGAGTGCGTCGCATGTGGTAAGCAGCGTGCCACTGCCAAGGAGTGCGTCGTCTGTGGCGTAGTAAAAGCGGGCGGCAACCGTTGCCGGAGAGGCATCTGCGAAGACTGCAAGAAGAGTGCTGGGGGTATCGCGTACTGCGCAACGTGTTTCGCCTTGTCTCCCTCGAAAAACTTGCGAAGGCCCTCTGCCTGATGTGCTTCAACCAAAAGCAATCCGAGCGCATGGGGAAAGCTGGGCGACCTCTTGCAGCTGCTTGCGGTGGCGTCACGATGGGCCCAGCGATCACTTCGGAGCGCCCTTGCAGTTTCGCCGAGTGTCCTGCGGCGTCCGTCAGATCAAGAGCGCCACTCACAATGCGTGCACAATCTTGAAGCGCCCACCGATGCAGGACCAGGGCAGAGCCTCGGCCCTTTCCGCTAACGTGCCTAGTAGTCTCTTCGTATTAGTTGCGAACAAACTCGAGCCAAAAGCTTTTTACTTCAGCCGCCATCTCTTACCTTTATCGGCCAAATCTTAATCCAGCAGGGCACGATAATGACGCGCGTGGGCTTCGGCGTTAGTGGTGGCCAAACCATGCAGAAAGCTGCAAAGCGGTCGCAGCTAAAAGGCAGCGATCGCATGAAGTGGAGCAGGGCCTTTCTGCTATCCCAGGGGGGCAGTCTCCTGCACTGTAGTAGCCGGCTCGTGCTCGCCTGTGTCATCGCTATGCATGCTCGCAGGCGAGCCAGTTGCCACCGTTGCCAGCTAGGCCTCGCTCTTCGTCTCTTTTGGAAAACCATGAGAACGAAGGCCGGCGCAAGGTCAGGGGCCTCGCCTCCATCGGGGGGGGGCGTGGGCCTTCTTACTCGCAGGCTTTGCTTTCGTTGTGAATCGTGGCCCGCTTACTTACAGCGATGCAAGGCGACGCTGGGAGTACTGGCGCGCCAAAACAGTAGCAGGCCTGCACGCGTTTTCGCCTCAAGTTGCAACGTTCTATCTCTGGTGGCGTGTTTAGCCGAGGAAGCCCCCTGGTGGCGCAGGGCGTTCGCCTGTGATCCAGCCAGTCTTTTCTTGAAAACTGCTGCAGGGGCTCTCTCTGGCGTGGAGAAGTCTTGACATTTGGGCAGCAGTTCCTGCGCCCAATTCCGTGCGATGCGGTGACTGACAGACTGCCATCCAAACCACGGCGACGCCGCAGCTTGTAGGGGTATTGGCTCGGGCGGAACTGTCAGTGGACTGAGGTGCCACGGTTTTCCTTGGATGAATGGGCCGAGTGCTCTATCAACGCAAGAGGGGCGGCCGCTCCGGTCTTTCTCCTCCCGGCCTTTCGTGAAGCGGTGCACCTTTTCACGGGCAGGCCCGTGGCGTATTATACAGATAACCTCGCCGCCAAAAAGCATGCAGCTAAGGCGCGCACTCATCTGAAGAAGTGGCCAGAGCGTCGCGCCCCATGTGGTCGCTCGTGGTTGGCAACTGCTTTGGGCTAGTTGCTTGCGGGGGAGGTCTTTGACAGTGAAAACCCATCCGTTGCCGCGCTTTCCAGACTCGGCGACGCTGCTCACGCAATGTGTGACGGCCGTGCCATCTTGAAAGTCCTCTGTCGGTCTGCGCTTGGAACATTATTGCCTTGAAACATCTGGGCTTGGCTCCCGCTTCGCGTTGCTGGTTTTGCGGTATCATTTCACGCCCCAGCATTCTTTCTCCTTGCTTTCCAGAACGCGGAGCATCCATTCCACGCGCAACTAGTGCTGGCGGCTCTCGCCTGCTTGCTTCGTTGGCTTAGTTAACTATCTGGCCCTGAAGATGGGGCTTGTAGATAAACTGGCGACCGGCGTTCTGGTAGCGAACCGCCCACGCTTCGCCGTTCTAGCGCCTCTTCTCAGCGGTCAGCGCCTCCCGCTTTGTGGGCAGTTTCTCAAGCTCAACACATTCAAACGGGGGATAGAAGTTGCTTCGTGAAGGCGCTGAAAAGCACGAAATTGGCACTGGGTGTGGCGCTTTCTCTTCGGTACCACAATCACACACTCACAACATTTGGCGCGTGCCTTTCTCTCTTCCTCTTTCTTTCCTCCCGCCGGTGGAGCTCCCGTTGCGCAGCGCGCGCTCCATTCAAAGTCACAGTCACAGAGCACTTTGCTGACAAAGTCACGCGCGGCGACATCGCCTTGGCGCAGGCAGATGCCATCGCCCACGGCTGCTTCTGCATTCCCGTCGCGCCAAAGAAAAGGGGTCGCGGCTAGCGTTTTCCGTGCCCATGCATATTTGTTCAGGTGCCGTTTACTGCCTAGCGCAAAGCCGTTCGGTAGTTTTGGGCATGTGGGTAACGTTATGCGCGTGGGCGTATTTGGTGCACTTTCCTGGCCCTCCGAGACCTCACCCTGACAGGCCTCATTTCATAGCCACAGACTCCTTCCACGCGCTTGCTTTATTTCACACCAAGTCGATGGACCAGATTCCATTACATAAATACTTCATGATCTGGCGACTCGTGCGTTGCTATTCCTCTTGAAGTTGGCGCTGGCTCCTGTGGAGACAAGGTCGGCGACTGTGCAAAGACTTTGGACAAGTTTGCTTTGAGGTGCAGATCCATGTCATCAGCGTAAAGCCCTACCAAGCACCGTCGAAGCGCTGGCGCTTTATGTTGCCTAGTTTGCCTCTGTCGCATTTCGATAAGCATTGACACCCTATGCCTTTTCATGCGAGCTTGAGCCTTGGCAGGCTAGTCTTTTGTGCAGATCTAGCCTACCAGCAAAATAGGTTATCGCCTCTTCATTGGCAGCGCCTGAGTTGTCGTCTCAATTGGCACTGGAAAGGGTGCATTTGCAAGGCTAACGGGGTTGTGAAAATGGCTGCGTCGAAAGTTTCAGCAGCTGCGTCGAAAGTTTCAGCAGCTGCGTCGAAATTTTCAGCTGCTTTGATGTCTTGGAAAGACGAGAAGACAGATGCTGCGGCCGCTGCGGGGGAGCAGAAAGAGGTAGGGGCCTGATGGTCAACTTCAAAGTTCATTATGTCAGGGAATGAAATGACGTAAGTAAGGTCAAGATAGCTTTCATTAGTGTAGGGGTCATCTTCTACCAGGTAGTGGGAACGCCGTCTGTATCTGTTCACTTACACAATCCTCGTGTGCAATCAACATAGTGACTCATTGACTTTCGTTTTGTGCTTCCTGATCAATTGCAACATCAAATATAGAACAACATGAACATCTGTTTAGAAGAAATGTTTTCTCTTCTTCTAATCGTTTGGGAATCAACAAGGAGGTGGTAGAAAGGGAGATGCTAGTGCTACTGTCTCATGGTGTGGGTGGCTTATTTCCAGTGGTGTGGGGAATTCAAGTCGTGGGCAACGGACGCGAAAATCGATGAAGAGTGGAAATGGGTTGAGGCGAAGTCTACTGGGTAGGAGTAGTAGGAGAGTCGTGATGAGTCGTTATTGAATAAACAGGTTAAATGAAGATATGGATATCGTGTTGTAAAAAATACGGTAAAGTAAAGTGAATAATTGCAAAGAGAGAAAATAAAGCTCATGAGAAAGCGTCCTCTTGGCAAAGAGTATCGTTCGCGAAGAGGTGAGGACAAAGTAACTAGACACAAAGGAACTAGAAGACGCGGCGTACGTACTTTGTTGACTGTGCCACTCTTATAAGACAGGCGCTTCTTTGTTGAGCTTCTGTAGCATTAGAAGTTAGCAATAGAAGTGGAAAGAATTGCATATGTACGTAAAAACGGGACCGATAATTGAAAATGAAAATTCAGAAACGAAATAAAGCGCGGCACTAAAAATGATAAGAAATATCTCTCAGAGTATGTTATTGTTGTATGAAATAGTTTACACAAAAGACCACCTAGCTTTCGAATTTGTTCTGTACTTCTTCATAATACATCAAAAAGTTCGAGAAATCATTATCCATATTATGAAGTAAATCAATGTAGCTCTGATTGTTCATCGCAGACGACAAGCCCTATGTATGTAAAAGCTAGACGAGTGGGTAGAAATCGTCAGAGAAATCTTAAGCAGCGGATATCAATCTCGGGGAGGCACGAGATAGGTAGATAAAGTGATTATACTCTCTTGTTCAGTAACAATCGAAAAGCTGCATCCGCAATTCAAGAGTCAACTCCAAATGAGCTTATTACATCGAAACAAAAAAATGAATCTAAACCGTAAAAAACGCTATGTATTGCTGTGATCTGGGAAAAACATAACTCAAGAGCATGCATCTATAACACTTGTTGATGGAACGCACAACCTTGGTTCGATCTACGACCAAAGGTGCTACATTTATTGGCTCTCATAATCGGTGATCGTCAGTACCTCCATGTCGCAGCAGGGTCGGTGTCTGTGAAGGCACATATCGTGCGTCTTCGGTGTGGTAGCACGTGTCGGTGTTGTATTGCTTGTGCAGAAGTAGGAGAAGATCGGTGACACTTCCGTGAACGTGATTTCTCAGAAAGCGGTTCATTTCGTACCGAGAACTGATTCGGTAGCGGATCTTTGGATTTCTCACTCTCCTCCTACCTACGCCTCGCCCTTTTCCCTGTCACAACTTTCACTGTCTGATTGTTTTCAGGATTAGAGATCTATAGAACTACTGTTGATTTGATATTGAAGCCGTCGAACAGATTTTCTTATCTTTTTTTTGAACAGTTGCTTAGCCTGCAGATACTCACTTTGCATGAGCACCCTTACGTCAACATCATCAACCTATTTCCAGGTAGCTAGATACTTTTAGCCGCCTTGTATTCAAGTTTTGATAAATGTAGGGTAAGTACTACTAGACGGAGTATGTTAGGTCAAGTGGGCGGTTTGTAGTATCCACCGCAATCCATTACTGGGTGGTTACCAGGTATTCATCTTCTAGCACATCTCCTTCCTGCAACTAAGAGGTCAAGATGTACTACGCAACACCGAAGGGGCCGCCGAATCCGGCCCCGCCTCTATGGCGTGCAAATGTCACAGAACAGGTGAGATGGCAGAAGGAGTGGCATGGCATGATGGATCGAATTCGGCATATGGACTCGCATATCGACAACGCAGCGCCACACTCTTGTGATGGTATTGTACTACACACCGCCACATTCGTGTGATGGTATTGTTGACGTAGTTTTGAATGATGGACTATGAGTCTTTTGTTATAATCAATTTGTGATTTTCTTGCAAAGATATGGACGACCACCAACATGCATTGTACGACGTTCCATTTCTCGGTTCCATTTCTAGTTGCAAGTCTTCATGTCAACATCTCCATTCCAACACAGGTACAAACAAGAGGATGATGGAGATGGCTAGGAAACACCGAGTCTCCGAACAAAATCGTGTGTTGGGCAGGGAGAACAAGCGGATTATCGACAGAATAGTCTCGATTCGTAACGGAGAAGGCTATCTGCCACCACAAGGTAAGAATTTTCACTTGTTGTTTCGTCTTATATCTTGGAACATTTTTTTGGAACATCCATGATTGCCGGTGAAAACGTTCCGCTTGCCACATGCTGGGCAGTTTGTTACGGTTTTGATAGACGATGAAAATATAGTCAACCACAAGGAGGGGGACAAGCATGATCCTAACCAACCCTAACCTGTAGGTAAACCCGGAGAGATGATGCACCGCGCACGGTCACCGGATGCTAAGGCGCAGGGCGCACGAAGGATGGAAGCGCGCAGAATCTATATGGAGAATGAGCTCCTCGCGAAGCGGTTAACGACGGTGCAGACAACACGTGAAATCCGACGTGAGATTCAGCAGCAGGACTACATGCGATCGAGGAGCTACGTTAGCAGTGGGTAACAATACTTGGGGATCTTTTTGACATCGATAAATTACAGATCATTTTCAGCCTGATTTTACTGACTATGTGTAACGCAAAGAAGTAAGGTTTGAGCATTTAAGAACAACTACTCGAAACATGTAGTTGATTCAGTAACCATCCTCTTTGCACTAATTCTCTACTGACACCTCATTCTCCAACATTCAGCATCAAGAAAGTTGTACCTTATCGAGCACATAAGTTGCCACCGGTGAAACGGAAAGAACCTATCGTCAACCTCATGGATGAGATGGAAGACGAGACGCCAGAAGAGGCAATGACTAGAGCAAAGACTGTTGATGTCCTGGTCTCAAAGAAGAATGTTGAGAAAGCTGGTATAATTTTTGAAGAATACAACTCAAACTAATCAGCGTCTCCTTTTTTTCTGTCTACAGCAAGGAAGAAATATTATCGTACAACTGAACGAGAGCTCTTGATTCTCTGCGCTTCTCTTTCATACAATTTACTCATATTAACCGTCGGATTTCACATTCAAATCGCCCTCATCAACACCAGCGCCGAAGCCAGCTGCAAAGAGACGTCCTGTGGCTGCAGGACCAGCTGGATCCGCCATGAGGAAACCGACGAGCGAGAGTGCTGATGCCTCAGAGAAACCAGCTACGACTGTGAAGGTACTATTTGTATGTTTTGATGCAACCTAGTCAGAGTAAATTGCACCGGTTGTTGTACTTCTAGATTTTTAGGGTGAACCAGTTCTGTGCTCTTTACAAACAATAGTCTATGAAAATCCTGACTCTATTAACCTGAGAAATACAAACCCAATCTAAAATTTAACTAGAAAACGCAACAATTTCCTCACCCACTCGTCCAGGCTCCCGACGCTGCGGCTATTATGGTCGATTCCGTTGTTGCGGACGTGATGGAACAAATTACAGATCCAGTCACCGTCAATGTGTCAGAGGAAGAAGATCCTGCCAAGGGTCTAGCGAAAATCGAGACTGAAGTATCTCGATCTCCAACATCAGGTGACATTCGGTTTGCTGAAGCCATGGTCGAGGAAGAGGTTGCTGTTCCGGAGACAGAGCCTCCTGTGGTGGAGGAAACTCTAGCAGAAGTGGTTGTTATGGATAACGATCTAGTACAAGTGGTCTCGTCTAGTGCTTGCTGGGAATGACTATTGATAATTTTTTGCGTTTCTGAGAATTTCTTTCCTACGATCCTTCTAATGCTGCATCAGAACCAGAGGCAGCACCAGTGGTCGAGGAAGCAGCTCCTGTCGCGGAGGAACCAGTCGAAGAGCCGGTCGGAGAGAAGAAAGAAGAAGTCGCTGAGGAAGTGGTGACGGAAGAGGTTGCTGCTCCATTAGTTGCGGAGGCAGAATTAAGGCTAGAGATAATCCATCTTTGAGAGTATTCCTGAAAAGTATGAGGGAGTATTCTCGGGCAATACTCGCCCATACTTTTCAAGGATACAGCAGAAAGATGAATTGCGGACAGCTCTAACAGAAGCAGCAGAGGTAGTGGAAGACACTGCTGCTGTAGTAGTTGCGGAGGCAGAAGCAGCAGAGGTAGTGGAAGAAACTGCTGCTCCAGTAGAAACAAGTCCTGTTGCAGAGGAGGCACCTCTAGAAGTTGTAACAGAGGAACCTGCTCCGGCTGAGGCTGCAGCCGAGGAACCTGCTCCTGCTGAGACGGTTCCTGTTGAGGCCATTCCTGCTGAAGTAGCAGCTGTGGAAGTGACGGAAGAGGTAATCGTTGAGAGCAAAACAGAAGAAGAAGTGGTAGAGAATCCAACTAGCGCGGTTTTAGAAGAGGTAGTCGCATCAGCGGAAGTCACTGAAGAACAAGCTGCTGTTGAACAAGTCACTGATGCGGTAGTAGAAACAACTGACGCTGGTGCTGTCGTAGAAGAAGCACCCGCTAAAGAAGAGCTAGCTGTTGTGGAGAGTACTGATGTTGCTGCAGCAGCGCCGGCAGAAGCGGAGGAGGCAGTCCCTGCAGCGGCAGAAAAAGAGGTAGCCGCACCAGTTGTCGAGGAAACTCCAGTCGTAGAAGAGACAGCGCCAGCAGCGGAGGAGACTACTGTAGCAGCAGCAGAAGAGCCTGCAGCTGTAATAGAGGAGAGTGCTGCAGCTGCTGAAGCAGCGGCGGAAGCGGAAGCTCCAACCGTGACTGCTGAAGAAGAGGCTGCTCCAGCAGCTGCGCCTGAGCCGGTTGCGGAGGCCGAGGAGGTCACGCAGCCTGCTGCGGAAGCGGCAGCGGAAGAGGCTGCCCCAGCTGCGGAGGCTGCAGCTGAAGAGACAGCTCCGGTCGCTGAGACAGTAACTGCAGCTGCGGAAGCTGAAGCGGCGCCTGCTGCTACTGGGACTACTCCGGATGCGGAAGCTGAAGCAGCTCCTGCTGCCGCGGAGACGGAAGCAGCGCCGGCCACAGAGGAAGCACCTGCGGCGGAAGCTGCTCCTGCTGCTACCGCTGAGGAAACTCAAGAAGCTCCTGCAGTTGAAGAGAAGGCTGCCGAGGCATGAAGGTGGAGACTCGTGGAAGGGTATTTCTGAGTCAACGTTTCTATGGAAGATTTTAATCGAATCGATAGAAAAGCAAGAAGTACGCTATTAAGGTCCTCGAAATTCATCAAATCTTAGTGAACATCATCAAGTAGAAATTTCTTAGTCATTACATTCACATCGCGTTTAGCTAAAATGATCAATCTTACTTACATACTTTCTGTTACGTGCTTGGTTACAATCGATAGTCCGTCTGTTCATTACTAAATTTCCTTACCACATAAGAAGGTACGAAAACGCTATAACTATAACATTCTGTAACGTTAGAAAGATGCATACGCACCAGCATACTAGTTATTGCAAGAAAATGAATAGAGACCAACATGGTTGAGACCACATCGTTGTTTTGATTTCGTAGGCGTTGAGCTGTAGAGATGATAGAATTAGCTAGAATTTAACAAGATACTGAAGCAGTTGCCGAATTGACAAGTTCAAGTGTTATACAACAAGATCGCTCTGTACTGTACTTAATTACACAATGCCTGTTCATGAATAATGAACCGAGTTGTATTGCTACACAAAAAAAATGTTGATAGAATTGCGTTTCAGTCGACAAAGATAAATATGTGCGCTAAAAGAAAGGGAAACTGTACACTTCGTTTGTGCTAGTAGCTAGTGATCACTGTATAAATATGAAAAAGTCATACAGGAGGAATCTGTCGTGCACAACCAAGCATGTGCATGATGCCGAGTGCTCCCTCGCATTCTAATGCGTCCGAGGTCAATGTTATTTCCTGGGCAAAGAGCAGTGATAGTGTTCCAACAGAACCTGTCGGTCGAAAAATTTCTTAGCTCATTTCTACTTGCGAAAACGTACCAGTTTTCGATACGGGTTAAGTTGTTGTTTACTTTCGGATTGAGCTTAGAATTCTGTAGGACGGTTGTAACGGTGAAGCAAAAGGCCCTTTACCTTCCTCTTTAAAAAGTGAATTATAACATTCTTACACTTACTAAGTAGCCAACATGGAGCCTGCGCCTTCGCCTTCTGCGCAAGAAGGTGCTAGAGCGGAGTCTCCAGCACAGCCAGATTTCTACGATTTTTTGCCTACGACTAAGTTAGCCTCCTTAAAATTTCCATCAACTGGCTTTACACCTGTGCTTGGTTGTTGGAGGCTACTAAGTAAGGGAGACCAAGTACAAGAAGGTTCTTTTCCTACACCCTCAACTGGAGAAAGAGAGGCCAGGCGTAGCGAAACATATTAACAGCATTGGATCCGGTACACAGGTTTCGAAAAGGATTTTGCAATCGTTGCTTGTGCGCTTCGTTGAGCATGATCATCGCCTAAGTGCTAACCGTACAGGCTATTCTGTCAGGGAGTTCGAACCCAACCTGGAGTGACGAATCGGCTGATGTTTACCCGTTTGGCATGTGGTGTCAACACCTGTTGCAGTTGGTGTGTCTTAGGGGTGGCACTTCTTTTGGCGGTACTCTTGTGACTTTAGTTTTACCGTTCTCTAGGACAGAATAGGTAGACACAGATGATATCTTCTGCCGTTCACTACCGCTTCTTACTAGAGGACAACAGCAGACAAAGAGATCTCTTTGTCGATCTCGAAACAACAGCACCAAAAAGCTTTTAGAAACTCTAGTATATATAGACGTCTAAGTGCCCCCTGGTACCGACCGATGTGTGAGGAATTTTTAGATGGGACGAGCTGGGAAAGACATGTGGAAGGCGAGGTTATGAAAGCTGGGATGGCTTCGATGGCCTCGATCTTTTTTGGTGGCTCCATCGGCGAAGGGTTGGAAGACTTACTACTTCAAAAGCAAGGAATTTCGAGAACATCTCTACCTGTCATGGCTAGGCTTCTTTATATGAAGTTACAGGAAGGCTGATAGGGAGATACCGGAGGATACCGTAGTTCGTAACGCGATCATGGCAATTACCTCATTTTCTCCTAGTGCATCTAATTTGCAATTCGAAGGCTGGAAGCGGATGAATCTTCCTGTCGAACCAAGGAGAACAACGGGGCATCCAGAGCATTGGAGATCAGTGAAATCCCACAAATGTGCTGGCGTTGTTCTGCAAACGCGCACAAACCAGACGTAGAAAAACACATCGGGATCACGGTTGCAAGAACGCTGAGGATGCCTGGCGCCTTTGGGCCTTCGCTGGTCGGAATACCTCGTCGAACGCGAATGCAAATGCTTATGTTGGAGAGGTTAAATTTTTGACTCTACCTAGTACATTGGAGAAGTTAAATGAAACCCCATCTATGTTCTTCCACATTGATAATGGACTCATGACTTTCATCTGGCAGCAGCTTGTTCCAAGATGGATTTGGGTGAGCTCCTCTAAGTTTCTGCTAGAAATTGACAACTTCGCTCACGCGCAAGGAGTCAGTGCGAAGTTGAAGGCTGCGTTTGAACTGACCGACAACGAAGTGGAAAGAAGTACTATCAGGAATCGGATCTACTTCATGTTCATCCTCGTGTCATTCCAGATTCTGGTTATCATCGGCATGTTGCAAATCCAAGTCGTCGAGGAAGAATTCGACGCGCATAAGAGACAAACGTAAGTACTTAATCGTGCACTTTGTGCGACACTTTGTGATGATCATGCTAGCGGGAAGCAGTCCAGCACTGGACGGAGATTATTTATGTGACAGAAGAGGATTACTGGTTGTTCCGAGGATCATTACCTATGCGACAGAAGAGGAGCCTAGTAGAAGTACAACTACAGACGTTGCACCTGCCCAGTAGGAGGTCGGGGTAGTACAACCACAGCGGCACGAAATAGCTGACGGTAAAACACTAACACCTAATGATAGCATTATGAGTAGGCGTGGTGGTGATCATGGAATTTGCAGTAGCACAGCGAGGACACTTTCCTGGCGCAAGCATTTGAAATATTTCATAATACGGACTGCAATCGGTTATATTGCAGTAGGCGTGGCCAGCATATGGACGTGGGTGAGGTAGGACAAGTGGCTAACAGATGAAGATGAGCGTGGGTCTGTCTCCATTGTGATATAGACTCGAGTCAGATGAGAGTCCTTGTGATCTGAAAGGTACATTAAGACACAACATAAGAACCACAACTCATACGAACAAGTCATAAAACGAACGTCTCAAACTTTCCAAGAATGAAACGAAATATTTCATCTCCCACAAAGAGCCGTCATCGCATTCAGTAGACACCGTCGATACAACTGTCGTCTTGCGCAGCAGCCTTTGCGCATGCTAGAGGAGCAGCGAGGAGAGGAGGTCGGTATCAACGCCATCCTTGATAGTTATCAAGAATATCGGTGCGTTTGATTATCGTTTGCCCTGTCATTTGAAAAAGCGAGTCGCTTTGTCGTTTAGCGTAACTCTTCGCTCGTTCATCTGTCGTAATTCAGTCCATTTTTAGGTATTTCGGTTCTCGTATCCATCTGCGTCTCATAATTCTCGTTTCGTCTGTCTGTGTGCTCGTGCCCGTCGGTTGTATCGTCATCTGCCCGTCCTACCTCTCTCTTCGCCTCTTCTCGCAAATTCTACGAAAATCATTAATCTTTTGTGAACCTTCCTACTACACAACGCCGAGTGACAAATAGACTTCAACACCCAGTGGCAAATAGACGTAAAAAGTACAAGTGTAGATAACTACTATAACTCCAAACAACTCTAGACAACTCTCATAACAAACTACTACAACTACTATTACAAAAAATAGAAAAAGAAAAACACGAAAAGGATGCCGTCCACGCCGTCCAAGAAACTCACTGGCATGCCAGCGGCAATGCGGGCGCCCAAGGTAGCCGCTGCCAAGGCTGCCAAAGACGCAGTTCGTGAAGCCGAGAAGTCACAAGCATTGGCGGATATGGTAGCAGCATCGAAAAAGAATAAGTTTGATCCTCCTGATGTTGATCAAATGGATGTTGACGAAGTAGATCCACCTAGTAGTGCGGAATGCAGCAGTAAACAGAAAAACAACAACAACAACGACAGCGAGTTAGTATTCGTAAACTACTATGAAGTTCTTGGTGTTGCGCCAAATCCTGGTCTCCGAGTGATGCAACAAGCCTACGAAAAGAAGCTACTGTTGTCGCATCCAGCTAATGCTGATGTTATGGTCGGCTTTCATCCCACTCAGCATCTTGACCCCCTTTTCCCCTGCATTTTTCCCAGCAAATCCAAGGGCTTGGGTATCAAGATGGGGGGGACCCAGATGCATTCTAGCACACGCTAATGATGGGGGGGACGCGGAACTTTTCGCCTTGGTCACCGAAGCGCATGACTGTTTGCTTAAGTTAAGAGCACGCGGGACTGAACTATGCGGTACAACTTTTATTATAGATAGATGGGTGATCTACTTGATTTTGTTGAGTTTGTTCTAAGAAGTTAGTCCCATATGCGTGAAGTTGTCTATGTATCGACTTCTTTGCCAAGAACGCAATTCATCTGAGACCATGCAGGTTGCTTGTTGCAGTGGTACACTATGTTCAATCGCTCAGAAATCGACCATGAACATGAGTTACGTGGAAACTTCTAGAGGGACGAGCTAGCGCTAATCCCAAGTACGTCAGCTCGAGAGGCCTATGACAGGCGATGGGCTGCGGAGTTGTCTGCGTGGCGTCTTTCTTACCTAGAAAACTTACCAGGAGTCGTTTGGAAGCGAGGGAAAGATCGGGAAGCGATATGCGACGATAAACAAGGTGTGAATGGGCATAGTACTAGGATGAGCAACTGCCTAGAACTAGAAGATGGAGAAGATCAGGACCCTGCTGAAAAAAATGCGAAAAGTTAAGGTTTTGTTTGCTGAAAAGTGAAGATGACGTTAGGTGAAAAATGATGTGTAACATCAGCTTTGTAGGAAGCATGGAGCTATAGATCTCCTCGTTCTCGACCTTCGACCAGTTCTGCCACAATAGAGCCTCATACCAGTACTCTCTAAACGAAGCCCCGCATCTCTCCATCTTTTGTCGAAGAAGCAAGTGGCGACGTAGTCGATGGGCTTGGCCTTCTAGATGGAGACGATTTTGATGGCCTAGAGGACAACGATATGTTGTTAGAGCAAGGCGAAGAACCTATGGAGCAACTACCTGTGGACGCTATGGACGAGGAGGAGGAACAAGAGGATGATAGTGATGTCATTCAATTGCGCAATTTGTTCGACGTTTACCTTTCGCGCAAGCCAGCGGAGCAAGCGCTCTATCTCCAGAAGGCAACACTGCGTGTCCGAGTCCTCTTTGAGGCGCATAAAAGTTAAGAACTGCTCCATGATCTTCTGATGTAGAAAATTGGGTTTCTGTTCATTCACTTCAATGCAGTATTGTTGTTCTGCTCTAAATGAAATATCGTAGTGTAACATAACCGAAATCCAGACTCACATCAGCCACCGCATTCACATGATGGCTTCACATTCCCTTTCCCACTCACACAGCGTCTTTTGCGAAAGTCTAGTGCTCCTTCTACGAGTGTGCTATTCTTCTTCTAATCCCTAGCCCCCTTAGCCGACCACGCGGGGTTTATTGCCAATTTACGCGACGTCCGCACAGAGCGTATGAAGGCGCAGCTGAAGTTGTCTAGTCAAAAAGCCTTGCTGGGACGTAAACAAGAGGTGTTGCGGACATACGATTAAGGCTAAAAAATAAATACCATTCATTTCTACAAGTCATTTTTTTCTTGCCGTCCTTTCCTTCGTTCTTAGGATCGTAAGGCATGGTGCATGCAAGAAATGAATTGGGTTGAGCTCTAACGCGAGGCTGGATGTAAAGCGTTTGATAAGGTCGAGCCAGGAAAATTACTAGTTCCCGTAGCAAAGCAAACGACCTTGGAGTACAAGGATGAAGAGCTCAGAGCACTGAAAAGCTTCACTGCCTTGAAGCGTTGCGGCAACGATCAGCAAGGAGGAGTCCTGTGTCAGAGCGTAATCCATGCATTAGCTGGTGGAAATGTTGAGTCTTCTTCCTCTTCTTCGTCCAGCAGTTCTTCTGGTACCGCTTTGAGATCAAAGAACTCAGAACATCTTGCTGCTGGCAAAAATATTGGACAACTACTAAAGGGAAAGACCATTATTTCATCTTCCGGCGCGCACAAGGAACATTTTGGAGGTAGAAAAAAATCACCGCAAAAATCATTGCAAAAAGTATCTCAAAAAGCAACTGCAGGAGGAGGCGCAAGTAGTAGTACTAGTAGTAGTTCTTTCCTTTTTACAAGGCAGGGCTACGAGCAAGTGCCGGCAATGATGGTCGCGCCAACGTTCGCCCTCGCCAAAAAAATGGAGGACGACGGCTACTTACAGACAGCTTCGACGCTGAAGAATGGAGTTACAGGCGCATCGATTGAGCCACTAGAAGACGAGATGGCCAGTCGCTTGGAGGCACTGAAAAATGGCAGAATTGGACTGAATAATCTCAAGAAGAACTACTACAAGACCAGTGCGTCCACTAGTGGAAAGAACAAGCGAACAGTGACGTTTGCCTTAGAGGACGGGCAAGGTCAAGAGGAGGCGATATCTTGGAACACAGATAGCATGGCTGGTCCTTCTTTAGGCTTGCTTGACGGTGAAGCAGGAGCAACTGAAAATCTTCACACAGCTCTTGTTCGTCCACAACAAGGTGGTAAAAGAGCAGAAGTAGGACAGGAGGAGGAAGGCGCGTTGGTGCTGGAAGAAGTAGGAAAGTCTAGCAGCAAGAAAGCAGGCGACAACATGATCCTAGTGCCGGTGGCGGAAGGTAAGCTGAGGGCATGCTCCAAATACACAGGGCAATTGCTAACTCGATATCGCAGCGTGTCCAGCTTACAGTGTTAAGAAACCCACAAGGATTCGAACTTCTTTGCGACGTCTATTGGTGATTTTCTTGTACCGCTAATGTTACTAGTTTACAGGTTCTCTAGCAGGTAAAAGTATTTGAATTGCCTTAGCAATACATCAGTCGTATTCTCTTTTCCAATCTCCTTCCGCTAAGAAAGTAATGTCTAATGTTTTCAGACTATATCAGAGCCAGAGGTAGTCTTCTGTGCCTTGGCTTTGCCCTTCTCTAACACGATGGGCCTCGCTTACGCGTTTCTGCCACAGGGTTCGAACAGGCTACGAAGTCGCCTCAAGAGTGCTATGAAAAAAATACTGCTTTCCGCAAAATCATGGTAAAGATGAAAGAAGCCGTCAAAAGCCTCATTAACGACCCAAAACGAAAAACAGACGTCATCCCAAAAGAAGAATTATGGCTCGAGTTGTTTCGCTGATCATTTCTATCTGTCAGTCTGTAATTGATTACGAAATACTTGCGTTTGAGAGGATTCTACTCTATACGCGCGGACTGTCTTCTGGTGAGTCCCTACTTTCGGGCTTCTAGTCGGCAAAAAACCCTAGACAAAACGCAAAAGCTAGATCTTTCTAGATCTACTTTCTAAGAAGGGTAGAAGCTGTCTGGTCGGACGTGCGTATGGCACTCGAAGCCTTGGGACTGCTATTACCTGTGCCGGAACCAACAACTACTAGTCTTACGATTAAAAATACGACGGCCACGGCTTCTACTACAGGAAAAAAGATGAATAAGAAAGAAGCGGCTTCTTCTTTATCAACTTCTTCTTCATCATCGTCAAAAAAGGCTACCGCTGCTAGTACATCGTCATCATCGTCAAAAAAGGGCACTAGTTCAACCAAGAAGACCACAACCACAGACAAAACCTCGTCTTCTACGGAGTCTGCTGAGATCAAGATTTGTTTTATTACGGCTCACAATAATTCATCTTGGGAAGCATCTTTGGCCCCTCTTTTAAGGTGATAAAACGTCAAAGGTGCACTGCAAGATGAATATGGGCGAGGTCTAATATTACTGTGTCTATGTCGCCACAGGGTGCTTCCGCGCTCTGTCATCATAGAGCGGATTGGCGAGAAGAGTTTGTTTGGTCTACCGAAAACTTTGTGCAAGCATTTTGTTATGATCAAATATCGTAGAAATTCGAATCAATCAAGAACACTGCGTCGTTATAAATAGACCTCTGTCCTCTCTGGTGACTACCACCAGGTGAGCCTTAATACACTTTCCTTCGTAGTTCTCTTCTAATGCCCGTGGTTGTACTGTCCTTCTCGTTCTTCTCTTCTAATTCCTGTGGTCTCGTATTGAAGCGGAAGACATGTTAGATATCTTGTCCATGCACGATGAGGAGTTCGTCCCCAACTTGATCCCGGCTGACCGCATCCGTCGAAGAACTTTACGCGAAAGTCGAGAAAAAGAAGCCGTGTCAGCTGCGATCTATAATGAAGTACTATTTGATTTGTGAAATTAGAGGTACAAAAATTAACAAGAGCATGATGATGCAAAGTTTGGAAAAAGTGACTATAACCTCCTCCCATAAATAAAACAGAAAGATAGTGGTTTCCCCTTATTTTCTCTTAGAGGTGTGCTGCAAATCTTGATTGGCTTTCACCTTTTAGGTGAAGGTTTAGGTCCCGCGACGCTCAAAGCACTAAGTAAAACAACCGGTTAGTTTTCACCTCTACAAACTTAGGCTTATCCCGTGCAACAATAAGGAAGTACTAAGTATTTAACTTGTGAAATTGAGGACTGAACCCTGACCACTGAACCCCCTGAAGAATAGCTAAAAACTAACTACAACAGGCCTTAAATCGCAATCGCGTGAAAGCTGGCTTGAGGCCGTTTTTATATAACGCTTACGAACGATGCTTGCAGGGTCAGGACAAGCAGAACCCGTTCTTCGAAAATGATGGACCTGCATTTGCTCTAGACCGTTCAAAACTGCAACTGGAAGTAGCAGCGCGCTTAGGTCTGAACGAGGACGACGAGCTTGATTTTGACCAACCACATGCTACGGCTCAACATGAAGAATGTGATGATGATGAGATAGTTGAGCAGAAAGTTGTAAACACTACATCTACCGCAGAGACACGCGGCGGTAAAAAGGCGCAGACGACTGATGAGAAAAAGAGTAAGAATAGGGCGAAGGTTGACAAGAAGAAGGTTAAGGGTACCGCTGCAGCTTCCTCAACATTATCCTTGGCTCTTTTTCTACTTGAAAAGGAAGCCAAGGATGCTCTCAGGGATGCGACCGCGGTAGCTCTAAGAAGGGCCCTGTATCACTAGAAAGAAAGAATGGAGCTCCTGAACGTGAACCCCCACAAGATCATGGAGACGCCCATGAAGGACTCGTTGCGCGCGCAGCGACTGGAGTTGGTGGCTTTCGACATGAAAAACGATGGATCCCGATAGACTCGAGCACATACGCTTCTAGGCTGGTTTTCGATTTAAGGCTCAATATCTTAATTGAATTATCTTAAATTAAGAAGTATCTTAATTGACACTGCAGGATCCAGAACCTAACCTAACCTTTCTAATTTCGGCTGTTTCTTTTTTTTTCCATGCATTCTTGTTAATGGGATTGTTTATTACGACTGACAGGAGATCGATATTAATCGGTGAGCAAGGGAACGCCTAGATGCCCGGGATTCTACACTGAGCAGATTGATAAGTGAATAACAGTGAAAAAATGAAGTGTCGTGAGCTCAATGTATGGTGAAGAATGATGTGATGATGTCGTGAGCTCTAATCTATGAAAAGACAGGAAAGTTTGCAGAGGTCTTACCTGACGCAGAGGACCCGTTTTGCCTGAAGAAAATGGGTCTAGGCGGTGCCGGAGTGGTTGCCGCCCGAGAAGAGCTAAAAGATTTGGCGAAGGAACTTGTAGTTTTAAAAAGTAGTACAGCTGCAACAGGAACAGCATCTTCGTCTATGAAAAATAGAGCGACGACAAGAACTTTTCATGGTGGTACAGCAACATCTTCGACTGCGATGAAAAAGGCGACAGCCGCAAGTAGCAATAGTAGTGCATCGTCGAAAGCAAAGGGCCAGGCGATGGCGAAAACGAAAAAGACTGTTAAGATTCTTGGGTTTCTCAAAAAAGGAATTATAGGTGCTCATTTACTCTGGTTTTTCAATAATAGGAATATGCACTAATTCTTCTATGTAGTCTATCCTCTCATATCCACTATTTAATCTAACGAATTCTTTTGACAAAGTAGTAGACCATGATAGATACTCCAACATCACTCAAATCTAATGACAGCGGAAAGAAAAAGAAAACGACGGGAAAAGGGAAGAAAGTTCTAGGATGGTCTTCGGATGAGGACTAGTAATTTGAGGACTAATATTAAGGCTCAACTTTCATTGGTCATTGAGGTTAGTCACTGAGATCGAAGAGGAGACCCCTGGAGAGAACAGGGGAAAATGAAGGGAAAACAAAGGGAGACACACTAGGGAAGGCTCGAGGATGTTGATGTGTCCTAAATTGATTCAGAGAACTTACTGAACCCTCTAAAGATGTAGTTTCCAAGAAAGAAGATGACTGAAAACACTTCTAGCCGTGTTGAAATATAGCTGCTCTGATTTCATCTCTGCTTCATCAAGCTCAATCGATTTCACAGTTACAATTTTGATAGCTATAATAGAAAAACTGAGTCCTCGCAATTTCCAAGAACAGTGAAATCTTAAGCAGGGAAATACTTATTAGGCAGATTGCCGAGTAGATTGACTACAGTTCTTTTGCTATACCTCTACAGGAGACAATGAAAGGAAAAGCGTACTTCCTGCATCTGTCGTCCGAGAGGCGAGAGCTGATCTACTGAGGATGAATCATTGTGAATAAGACGTGAATTTTTATACATGCATAGGACTACAATCGCTATGAGTATGACAGAGATACGGCCAGAGAGCGCAGCGCAGAAGGGAAGCTCTTTATCACGAACTCTTCAATGAGTCGGTCTACCCATAATTGTGATGGAAGAACCACCTTGACGAGGACGTTGCAAACCTGACAAATTGTCTTACGAAGGTACTACGTCTTCCGAAGATCGATAGTATCGGTTTTGCACTATGATATCGGTACTTTTGCACAATGATGTCGGTGCTGCACCAACTATGATATCGCTGTTGCACAACAAACTTGTCGGCAATTTTCATGTCTCTCTCGACTTTTTTTTTTTATCTCTTCATTTCTCTCTCGACAACTGCCATCCTCACCCTACAGGGAGTCTTGAATGACGTCGTATCCTACTGGATAAGCCAAGTAAGCACCGAGTAGGTGTGCGTCGTGAGCTTACATTGTGCATGGTCTACAGCATTGACTGGATTGGTCGTTCTCGGCGAGTGAAACACTTCTCGTAACACCTCATGCTAGGCAAAGGTAACATAGCCTTAATAGCAATTCTTCGTGACTGGACAACTGACAGTATAGAGGACTGCTTCTTCTTCGTCGAGTAGTTTACTCAACGAACCAGAACGACGCTAAAGCCTTTAAGGGTAATGGAGAGGTTGTCTCTTCACCTCGTATAATTGTATGTGGTCTCTATCGACGTTCATAACTAGTCCTCCATGTGGTCGTCTCACGGTTGGATCTGACTCATAATCATCGAAAACAATGGGGTTCCTCGTCAGACGACTTCTGATTAAGGGTAGTTTATCACTATCCCGTGAGGACTATGCCGAGTGGGTTCCCACTAAAAGCATTCAAGGGGAAAGTAATGGGAAAATGTGCAACTACTCACTCGGCAACCTGGATGGTGAAAAGACTAGCGTTAATCTAGTTCTTGCGTGTTGGTGTTGGGAGCAGTACAGCGTGTTCGTGTTGGGAGCCGATGGTCATGGCGGTGCTTCATCTTCTGTGTTCCTAGAACGAAAACGGCGGGAACGACCCAAGCAAGGGACAGAACAGCCTGAAGAATCCAAGAAAGAGAGTCAAGAAGAAAAAGCACAATTATTAAGGCTGTAGCTAATTCCTCTGTCCACCTCCTTGTGGCAGTCTGCGCAGAAGATCTTTGTGCGAGATTCTTTCGCTGGATTGGATTGCATGTTTGAATAAAAGCTTGGGGAAGTGTCGCAGGGAAATAATCCCCCACTGTTTTCAAGGATGCAGCTGACAGACGAATTATGAACAAGAAGCGGTCTAACATCACAAGCAGAAAACAAGAAGAGTGAAAAAGACAGGAGACGGAAAGAAAAAGCAGCGAAGAAGAGGCAAGCAGCCAACAGAACGGCTGAGATGTTGGCGCTATTAAGGCCGCTGGATCTATATTTCAATTCCAATTTTGAGCCTCTGTCTGTGTGTTGTTTTTCTACCTCTAGGTGTAGTATTGCTCATTTCATCAAGCACTGTTCTCTCCGCTTCAAAGTTTATTAGTATAATTAGAGCAAGCCCACTCTGGTGGCGTTGTTACTTAACAAGGCTGGACCTACATCTTAGGATACACCCACTTTTTAAGCCTTAACCAATAATGTTGGCGTTATTAAGGCTGGAGCTTCTATATTCGTAATTAGCGCCATCCCGTCGACAGTTTCCGAGTATTGATCTGGGCAACTAGCTATGGCTCTGGTTAGGATTCTATATCCAATGAAGATCGACCCTGATCGAACCATCCATCAACATCATTTCAAAACCATGATAAAAGTATGAAGATGCTAAACGGCTTAGGGAATTGGTAATACATTTACATGGATTATTTTGGCATAGGCTAATCAAGGGTTGCTTCCAACTGTTACTACTTGTCATGGTTCCATAAAAGCACCTTAGGGCTTTTTAGATATAAAGAAGTATAATCGCCTGCGGAGAGAGCACACTAACTAATCATTGTTAGATAAAAGCGCCTTAAGTTGTATAGACCATCGCCTGAGCGCGCTAAAAACTACTTCGGTATTAAATGAAGTTGCATAGACTATCGCCCGAGCACACTAAAAACTATTTTGGGTAAATTAAGTTGTTTAGACTATCACCTGAGGCTGAGCACATCACGCCTGAGCACAGTAACAACTACTTATCGGGTAAAAATTTTATACTACCAAAGCTGCTCCCTGTCATAAACTACCTCCAATTATGTTGCTGCTGCATCCTCGTTTCTAATCCTTGGTGATATGTGGGTAGTGGATTCAAAAGTGGATGGTGCTAACGCTCGCACGGAGAAGAAGCAAAAGTCCTCTGATGCTGGATCGAAAAAGAAGCAAAAGTCCTCTGATGCTGGATCGAAAAAGAAGCAAAAGTCCTCTTAGGCTGGATCGAAAAAGAAGCAAAAGTCCTCTGATGCTGGATCGAAAAAGAAGCAAAAGTCCTCTTAGGCTGGATCGGAGAAGGATACAACTACTAATGCCAATGCCAAACAAGAAGCGAACAGGAAGAACACTGATGATGATGGCGATGAGTAAACTTCTTCCAGGTTGTGGACTTTTTGCGAACCTCGTTTTTTAGGGTTCTTTGCTTCTAGAAAAGAAAGATGAAGCAAGGTGGAACACCAACGTGAACATTGAGGCAGAAGTGAAAGGAGGCAGAAGTGAAAGGTGTAATCATGCTGATGCAACTCTCAGTGCCGAGATCTTGAACGGAAAAAAAAGTTAGTCGCACTCTGAAGAGAGATAGTCAAAATTTCGACAACCCCGTTTGTGGTCAGAGGTGAGCGAAATCTGTTTTTGAGAGATTTTGAATATTTCTACAACTCTGTCCGTGAGAGATCAAAAATATGTTTCTACAACACGTTGGCCTGTGGTGAGAGAACTCTGTTTGTGAGCTGTGCGCGAAGGATTTCTGTAAGGGGGAAGGAGAAAGTCTTCTAACCTAAGTTCAGGTTGGATACCCATAGATACTATAGATTTTGGAGTTCAAAGATCACTGATTTTCAATTTTCTGTTTCGCAGGTTCCATGAAGATTAGAGTCTATTCCTTCGCTCTAGAGACCCTTTATCCATTTTTTTATAGCTTCTTCCTGTAGTTACTAGCCATAACTTCAATTGCACATGCACTTCTACTCTTCCTTGGTCATTCATTCAGTATAGGGAATGGTTATTGAAAAAAAAGAACTCTGTTTTAGTGTTTGGCAGCCTTTAAAGATAATAGTTTGCTAGTAGCCTTAGCCAGAAAATGCAGGAACAACAACACGGCTCTTCAGCGTTGCTGCATGAGTTTCTAGGGTACAACACAGCCAATCGCAGTAGTTTAGTTGACCGCAGCAGTTTAGTTGATGAGGAGGACCAGGAATCTACATTGAAGGGGGTAGCCCACGGCGAAATACAGGAGGAGGACCAGCACAGGGACGATTGTAGGGTGCTTAGGGTGGATAATGAGAATGACTTACTAGTAAATGCACAAGAGCAGGAAGATATGGAAAATGGTGATAAGGAAAGCGTTGCAGGTACTCCACTACAGGACAACGCCACCAGTTTGAAGATAGTAATGGGTAATAAAAGACCGCCTGCTGAGGAGGAAACGGAGGGGGAGCAGAAGGATTTCACTTCAACATCGACTAAGCAACAACCCCCTCCGAGGACTAGCACTAGAGGGGGAAGCAATTTTACGAAGAAGAAAACGCTATCCTTTGCTCCTTCTGAAGAGATAGTGGACAGCTCTTATCAGAAATCGTCACGAGAGATGGATCGGAAGGACTCTTCTCGGAAATCTACGTCAAAAAGATCATCCCGAAAAAACATAATTGGAAGACTGGAGGCTCCACCAACTCCACCGAACATATTGTTGTCCACAAAGCAGTCCAGGGAGAGTAAGAAAGACCTCCCTGTGGAGGAGGGGCTAGTAGAGGAGTCGCCTGACGCTGACGACCTGACACCACGAAAAGACTACCTGAAAAGACGGGAGAAGCGACGAGAAAAAGCAAAAGACACTAGCCAAAAGCCAGAGTTTCAGAATCCCACTTTTTTAACCAAGACGAGCAGAAGGAGGAGCTCTTCTTATGGCGTGCGTGCTCCTCCTGAGGGAGAAGGTGAGGTGGCAGAAGACACGGCTCTTGCGGTTGAGGTTGAGGTTGCTGCAGGAACGGATCGTGGTGCTGGAGATACGGAAAAAATTGAGACACCACGATTACAACTGGTTGAAGTTGCGGATGCCAACTCGACTGGGGCACAACAGACCTTTATCTCGAAAAAAGCTTTGAATACAGTAGTGACTGGGCTTACCAAGGATTTGTCACGCGTGATCGATCGGGTCTCGGAAGTTGAAGCAAAGCTTGACTCTGTTTATACCTCGTCAGAAACTACAAGGAGGGGTGCTGGCCCTTCAGCTGCAGCTCCGGCTTTCGTTGGGGGTAAGCCAAAAATGGTCGTACCTTCACCAAGTAGCAGAACAAGTGCTGGCGCATCACTATCACAATCGCCATCACGTTCACTGCCGCGGCCGACAAGTGGGTCAGGGTCAACCTATGATCGTACTTCAAAAGTAGAAGTTTCTCGTTCCGAGGTGAGTGAGATCCTTACTGTGGCAAGGGACACTGCCATATTAGGGAAGTTTGTGACTGAGTTTCAGCGTGGAGGTGCCCAAACGGCATCACGACATATGCATGCGCGGTTGGCAAAATTTTCAAAGGAACAATTGGAGCTGTTGATTGTCGAGATGTGCTTACAAATGGCAGAACAAGCTGAAGCGGGACAAGCTGAAGAGGTTTTCAAACGTTTGCCTATGTGGAGTGGGGATGGAGCTATGGTAGAGGGGGAAAGTCGTGGACAAATAAGTGGACAAGTGAGGCCTTCGAGTTCCGAACGAAGACGTTCTTCTAAGAGCAAGAATGAACTACGACAGAGACGCTTATCGCAGTTGGGGCAATTTGATGCTCCTGGAGGAGGGGGTGCACCGGATCTGCAAAACAAGATGAAGAGCAATGCAGTTGATGCAGGTGTTGTGGCAGGACGCAATAGAAGGACGATGTCGGACGAAGCACTCTCAGAACAAGTCCCAGATCAAGGTAAGAACCCCTATAAAGTTGCTAGCAGTTTCCAAGTACAAGAACTGGGTTCTCCACCTCCACGACCCCCAAGTAGGTCGAACAACTCTTCTATCAATGGAGGTAATAGACGAGCTCCAGAAGGTGAGAGACCTTTTGCTGACGAGGAGACGTACGAGAATGCTATTGAATTTAATGAATTTCTAGAAGACATTGGAGACGAACGAGGAGCTGTCGACTTGCTACAGGAAAAGCTGGAAATGCAAGCGGTTCAAGTGAAGCAGCTCTTTCGTCACATACAACGACTCCAAACCCAGATTGAAGACGTTGAAAGAGAAAACGAAGCCCTAAGAGAAGAGCGGGCACAACTATTGGAACGTACTATTTGGTTTATTTCTTTTTGAATGACTACACGGAAAGAACGTCGTGTACAGCTGTTACCACGCACTCCTTCCCAGTAGCTCTAGCATCCATCTTCTTGATAGATTTCCATCGGAGTAATTTCCATCTCACAACTTATTCAGTGGCGCATCCTCTACAACGCCTCTTCAACAACCTTACAAACATCTCAATCGATCTACTATTTCAAAACCCAATATCCTCCAGTTGTCTCTTCGTTGCGCCTAGAGGAGGATGCAGAGGTTAGCGTAGCGCGAGACGAACTGGAAACATTTGCTGAGGATATGCGCAAGCTCCGAAGATCTCTTTCTCAAGCGCTGAGCCATCCTCAGGAGTGAAGATTCCAGGGAATTTCTTGGGTGGAATTGCAAGGAATTTCTTAGGTGGAATTCTAAGCATTTTCTTTGGTATTAATTTCATCAAAGAAACTGTATACCACGCGGCTTTCCTCGCTGGGGGGGCAGACCCTGCAGAGGATGAAGGGCATAACCATAGACATGGATGATATCGCTGCAAATTTGTAGGGTTAGGATGATGTGTTGTACAGCGCTTTGCGTTTTCAAAGAAGTTGAACAGAATTGGAAAGCATCAGAGTTCCTATTTTCTGGCTCTTAATAGCTACAAGTGTATGATGAAGTACGATTATTTCACCCATGATGCGAACCGTCTACTCCCGCCCCGACAAATGTTACACTCCTGGAGAGAAAACCAATATCAATCCCCATACTCGTGAATATCGAGCCTTACAGTATAATGCCACCTGCTTTTCTCTCAATGCGAAACGCATGGGATCGATGAGGACCAAGGGCAATTTTTGCTGTCTAGAAGCTGTGTGTTGTAGCTCTCTCGAAGTTTGTAAGGTGTCTTGATCAACGCCACGATCTTCATGTTTGTCGGTTTTATCTCCACTAATCGGTGTTGTACTAGAGCCTTCGATGTTGAACACTCAATCGGTGGTTGTTCCTCGGTTTGTGGTATATCTGGAGGAGGAAAGAAAACTATAGCGCTATACATCTGTCAAGGTGCCTTACCATCAGGCATCGGTCCAAGTGAAAACCTGGCAAATCTTGAGGTCCTGGCCACAGACAACTTGATCGTAGTAGTAGTAATGGAGAAGCGCGCCACCCCTTAGTTACCCACAAAATGCCAAAATCTTTATCTTAAGTACAAATAAGACAGTATAGCGTGAATAATGATATGTAATAAGGACTCAAAACTACAGTACGAATGGCCACTAGCACTAGAGTCTGTCCACGCTTGATGATTGCTAGAGAGCTGCGTACTGAAAAAACGCTTCAACTTTTTTCAGCGAACGTCGATGAAAGGCGTGTCTTTGTTGTAAGTTCGCGTTTAGATGATTTACCTCAGTGTGCAACAACATGCAGCAGCATTACCACACTGGATGAACAAATGGAGAAGTCATGGCGGCTTTTGTCATCTCGTTATTCTCGTCCTCTTCAGGCGCGTCTCCACCTTCCTCCTTCTATGGTGGGACACGACACACAGGAAGCGCCAGTCGTGTAGTTGAGCAACACCAAGTTGTATCAGCTGACGAACCTCCTGAACATCTACTACAGGAAGAGGTCGAAGCTCTAAGGCAACGCACAGACGCTTTACGCAATGGGAGACGGGCACGAGCCAAGATACTAGACAAATTGCAGACGGATTTGAAGCAAGAGCGCGCAGAGTTATTGGCATTCGATAGGGCTTCGGATGCTTCTCACGAAGCCCTTCTTGGAATCTTAGGCCACATTGCGCAGCAAATGAACCACCTGGAACAAGAAACGGGACAATTCGCAACGGTTCTTAGACCTATAATATTATAAGATGAACGACCACTAGGGTTGAGCTTTACTGGGTCATGGTATAAGAGTGAAAATCTGTTCAATTTTGTTTTCCTAACATACTAGATGTAGATCCTTACAATTCTGACTGCATTGATTTCATTTGTTCTACTTATCTATCTTTCAATCATCTACTAGGAAGAACAAGAACTACATTCAAGGTAGATCATCGTGTGTCCCTAAAACAAGTTCAGAAACTGTGTCCTATTCAAAATGAAACCCAGACCGTCCTCGCTGGCCCGCGCACAACGGAGAGGGTCCAAATCCTTCAAAAGCGTCTCACCCGACTGCAGGTAGAGATCACCGAAGCCACTGCAGGTCGTATACTAGACGAACGCTGTGGAATTAGTACTAATACTACTTCAAAGAAGGGCTCGTCACCTAGAAGTAAGACTAATTCACCGAAACATCCACAAGCTCCGTCTCCAGTACGTGTCGATCACGCAAAATTGCGGAGTATGGTCAGACAATGGCCGTGAGCGAGGAGTCGACGGAAGAAAAGGAGTCACGCCTTGGGGATTGACCATAAGGATTGGGCCATATTTAATTCAGGGATTATAGATGACTAGATGATACTCCGCTGATGAAACAAGTCAACGACTTACGCCAGTGGTTCTAGCACTACTGCGATTTGACAACTTGATCACTCTCTGTTGCACAGGAGAACCGTAGTAAGTGTTTTTTCCGACAGAGTAACTAGTCTGTCATCGTGAAAACTGAAGAAGCATGGTTCTAGAATCTAGAGTTCTAGGATAACGGGCTTTCAATTTCATGTTCTATGAGGCCTTTCGGGTATCGTTTTCTGTCTTGACCAGGGGCGGATCGGTGTCGAATATTGTAGTTGTCCAACTGAAAAACGTAACTGACGAACAAGGGACGTACGAGGCCAAATATCGATGAGGATCTGTAAAGGATGCTCTGTCTACAACTGGCGTTTGTCTAGATTTCCCCTCTCCTTTCTTGTGTCCCTCCAGTACAGTTTCCTCCATTGAATTTGTGGCATGATAATTTCTAGAAGTTTGTATCTGCCTAGTATTCTCAACCAAACGTTGTATGCCCTTCGATGACACACTGCGATACTCAGCCTCGACATGTCAACACATTTACAGCAAGCAATAAAAAGGACTCCAAGCTGCACCAGCTGAATCTCCTCATGTTTGATCGTGAATAAGCCTCCATAGCTTACTAGCCATGTGGTTGTAGTTTATTAGCAAGATGGCTTTCACGTTGGAATGCAAGGACCGCTATGCGGTTCCTACGGATCCGCTATGGGATGGGGGATTGAGAGCCAAAGACCCAGGCCCAGGACACTATGATCCATACCCGTTCCTGAATCCAGCGACGCATCGCATGCGGAGTGCGCAGAATTATCTTATGGTCCTCGAGACAAGGACAACTTCGGGTTTTGATTTGAACATTGATTGTAATTGCAAGAGTCTCGCCATGATCTCTGGTAAGTAAAAAACACGACTAGGTGAAAAAGCTCCTGAAGGGTAAAAATATGCATTTAGAATAACTTCGTGTGGTGCGTGCTGTCCTTGAACTGCAGAAGCTAAATGTAACAGCTTCAAATCGTACATAGGTGATCTTGGTGTCTCATCATGATCAACATTTCTACTACGGTCACACATTTGATGAGACAATTTACTTCTCCCTATTTAAGACATCATCTTTCTTCGTCCTTCTCGCATCTTCTAATCCTTCAGACCGAGAATGTCAGGACTCCTTTGCAGGTCGTAGTTTGTACGCCCAACAGCCGATGTTTCTTTCACTGCCACAGAAGGAAAGAAACAAATTTTGGGCGAGACACCGAGATATGCTCGATAACAGGAAAATCAAGAAGATGGAAAAGGTTTTCCTAGACTGGAAAGACACAATATTAAGGGTACAAGAAATCCATCTTCACTCTCATCTTCTTGGTCCCCTTTTTTATAAGGGAAAAGGACACCCAAGATGCTGCTGAAGATGTATTTCCCTCAGTTCTAACAATAGCACCACCGCCAATAATCAACGGACAACTGGCTACGTCAGGTTCGGGATCGACTAGTGCAGGAGGTATATTCTATGCTGGTTTATTCTGTAGTTTCACTTTTTTTTTGCTTGTGCATCTGCAATAATAGGCTACGTTGAAAAATTTGAAGTAAGATGTGCTCTTTTCAACCTCAGGAAGTTAACAATCCTCTTAATGTCGAGAAAACCCACCACAATTACCGCAGGTCCCGGCAAAATGCGCAAGGGTAGTGGTACATCTAGTGCTCTGACACTTGCTGCTGCTGAGAAACTGGGTTCAGGCAACATTGCGCCAGGCAATGCGATGGCCCGACAACAGCAAAGGAAATTTTATGCCTGTTGGACTTTGTTGTATCTCAGAAGTTTCAAACCACATCAAGCATTGGGTTCTGATTTGATTAGAGATCGTCGAAATCGAAATGTGAGTACAGCAAGTGAAAGATAAATGGTTTGGAAGTAGAGGACGAAGGTGCAAGATCTTCTGATTACCACAACCACCACTGAAGAGTCTAAGTTCCTGCCTACCAAGACAACAATATTGCAACGGAAGTGATGAACAATAGCATGCCTGGTGTGGGTCGGCCGACACAGGTAGAGCAGATGACAAGAACCCTTCCAGGTTCCTTCTTCGAGGCAGTCGAAAACACGGGAAGAAAAGATGGAGACTTTCTGTTGCAGAATTAGGGCCAACGTCTTCGAACAGATATTAGCATAGGTAGCTACCTAACAGATATTAACATAGAGGCCAACGTCTTCGAGTAGCTACCTACATATATTAACATAGGTAGCTACTAGAGGTACCACCTTACAGAAATTAATAACCATTGCATGTTGAAAATTGTCCCCTCTCCTCCCCGCTCTAAAACCCAGCAGCTGCAGATCTAGTCTTTACGAATAGAGACTTGCCGATAACAGCTTTTGCACGCGTACCAGCAAATCTAGGGAATAAACCTCTGCTAAAGCGAGTAGCGCAAGAGCCCTGTCACGAAATCTACGACACGAACACGAGTACCCTCTCCTTCGCTGAAAGAAGAGCATTGCAGAGGAAATTCAGGTACTACTCGTTAGTAACAACAAGCCATCTCCTGAGAAGTCCTGACCCTGAGCAACGCCACAACGTCATTCTTATCAACAAAACAAAAACACTGCGTCCTTCCTAACAAATAACAGGTTAACGCACGGGTTGTCGAAGATTCAGAGGAAAGTCCTAGAAAGTCGAAAGACCGTTGCTTCCATAGCCAGTTTAGCGCGAGACACCGCGAAGAACAAACAAGCATCGAAAGTCGTGGAGCCAGCGTGGTACATCCCGCCGCTGCCGAAGGAAGAAGGGTTAGGCGACATGCTGGCTAACAAGAGTCTGCGTAACTACAAGGTAGTTGCTAGAGCGCGTGCTTTGGAACCGAACTCGCCGAATCAGAAGGATTGTATCGCGACTAGGTGGACAGGAATTGGGAGTAGGGATGCTTAGGTCTCGACGTGGCAATGTTTGGAGACTTGATGATGCACCTAGTAATCGACATCGGGTTCGCGTCACAGACACAGACACAACAACATTCATCATCAATTTCGTCATATTCCATGTACGAAATACATTCCACCGACCACTTGCTATAATTTAACTAGCACTAGAAGATTGATACAGTTCCAGAGTCACTCATCAAATTATACGTTTATGTTCATGGGACATCCTTAGCCAAATCTTACGAGCATCGAGAAGTTTTCGAGGAAATTAGAAGAAACTCAACATTACTGCAAGAGATAGAGATGACAGAGTTTACTGATACTGCTTTTCTTGTGTCATGCATAGAGTTACCAGTTTGTTACTAGGATCACTTAATATAATAATGTAAAAGTTGTACTTGTACGTGTTTTCACCATGATCAAGAAAGACATATAGGTAGTGATTCTATCCCGAAAAGAATCGCCGTTCGAGCTCATACATAGAAGACTCCTCGAGAATATACTTGGACAACATGACTTGTAACAAACTACCACAGGCATATCTGCAACCCAAAGAACAATAGCAAGAGGACAAACATTTTCAACCTGTACAGTGCTTGTACGCCGTAAATAAATTTAGATGTATATTAAATCAGTAGCATGAGTCGAGCAGGAAGTTATGGACAAAGTGCAGGAACTCTCCTACTATGTATTGACTGCACCATCCGAGTTTGGTGGTCTACGAAACTTCATTCAGGGTTGTCATGAGTTCTCTCGACCAGTCGTTTCGATTCAACAGAAGAGTTGCGATAAGACGGACCCACGCACGAGCGACCGAGTGCTTCTTCGAATTTCCATGAGATGCCTACTGACTGCATTTTCCAAGGGTCCGCGTTTTTAGAAACATTAAACTAGTACGGCAAAGTCACAAAAATATCGGCATGCTCGAGTCCTCACCGTTGCCTGCTAGGAGTACTACGTGAGTCCTCAGGGTGCTGTACTTTCGACGTAAGGGAAGGAGGAGGCGAACATCACCAGTTATCCACATCAAGTAGTTCCGGCGCCTCTTTTACATCATCAACCTCGGACAAAATGCAGAAGATACAAGAGCAAAGTGTGGGAGACGCACCGGACGTGGCCACCGGAGTGCAAATTTCCGAAACTTTGCGTGACTGCCGGGACTTCGTCTTGCAGCAGAGTCTCTCAGCTTCATGCTCTGAAGTGAACGCATTACTGGGTCAGGTGTCGGAGTTCGTGCGCTCGAAGGCTCTGGCGGCTGTAAACGAGCAGGGGGAGGATGGGGTATTAAGTTAGACCCAATATAGATACCCGTTTGTAATTGTTTTATTAGTACTACTGTTCATTTGATCGTCTTTGCACAGCTGCAGGATTCAAAGAATAAGTCCGCAATTACCTGCAAATTTCACCTGTCCAAACCGGACCCAACTTCAGACGCCGGAGACCAAGAGTAGCCCACGCCCAGATCCGTGGTTCCGAGGTGTCGTGCAAGCTGGTCTGACTGTGCTTGAACTACCGACGAAACGAGTAGGATTCTACTTGGAAGAAGAGGATCATTCCGGAACAACAAAAGTAGAGTGGTCAGCACAAGCAGACAGTGAAAGTGAAAAAGAAAGTTTCACCGAATTCGCTTTTGCTGTGCCTCCAGCTACAGTAAGTCGGTTTTTGAAGCGACCGCTCGTGCAGAGGGATGGAAAAAGAATTACAGCCATGTGGGATGAGAAACAACACATGCGCGATGATGGGTATTTTGTAATGGTATCGCTATTTTTGTAGCTGCTAATTATGTGCTTTTCTCTTTTTTCATCTGTCATATCAGTTTTGGCAGTGCTTCTTCTGGAGGGGAAGATCATCGTGGTATCACGAGAAGCTTTTTCAGTCAAATTTCAAACTTTCGTGAAATGATCAAAGCATCAACCAATGTTGTTTTAACTACCCCCCTCTTCACATCCAGTCCCGGTCTTGGCTGGCGGTGGGATCTCGAGAATGACGAGACATGTCGGATTTTTTCAGTCGTCGACTTCTTGTCAGATTTTGCGGAAGTCGTTACTACTCCTGTGCTACCTCCATGGGAAGCTGCTACCTCTCCTGCGCCAAAATCTGGTATAAGTGTGAAATAGAAATTCACATTGCTGCTCTCTAGTCCTGTAGCTAGTGCTGAGTCCACTGCTTCCATCATTTTTTCATCGTCGAATACTATGCATGGAGAAGAAGAACAAAGAGAGTTTCCTCTATTTGGTTCTGACATGCAAAATTATAAGTTTGCCAGTAGCAGTAGTGATGTAAAATCTTCTATGGATAAAAAACCCCTTCTCAGTAGAAAACCCTATCCCGGGATTCGCCCCAGTCGCAGAACCTGACGCAACCCCCGCGGGCACAAGAGCAGCAGAGCAGCCTTTACAATTACATGCAGGTGTAGGTCCTTTGGCTTTAGACGACGAGAGCGCTTCTTCTTCCTCCTCTAGTTGTACAGAAGATGAGAAGAAGCTAGATCAACTCCATGATCACGAGCAAGAGGCACATACTAAGATGAGTTTCCTAACCACTGAAGAGGAGACCACATCAAGTGATCTGAACACGTCGAAGCAAGAAAAGCGGCCACTTCTAGTCAGGCACAGACACGCAGCTTTGTCTTCCTCAAGAGGAAAGCAGCGGGGTACACGTGGACCGGGGAATAGAGGACAAAAAGGAGGAGTACTAGGTGTAGGAGATTTTCTGCTTCCAAAGATGAGCAGTGTGGAAGATACAGAAGCAGACCCTCTAGCGTTCGTGCGCGAGACTGCCAGACTAGTTGGGAATCTGACGTCATTGTCTGAGAAAATCGATCAAGTCAGTGGTCGTACGGGTAGTACGTCTTCTACGTCGCAGAAAAAGACTAAACCGCCGACCAAGTTACACGTTGGGAATATAAAAGGCGCTTCTTCTATTACATCACCCCCAGTCGGTACGTGTAGTCCGGCTGGCACCGAAACGAGCGGCCTGTATCTGAAAAGCAAGAGCGCGTATAACAAGGTAACAAGAGAACAACAAGCAGCTGGAGTTACCAATAGCGAGACAAGCCCTGAAGACAATACCTTGGACGATATCATGCGCGAACTGAGGCACACGCGGAGTCCTCTTTTCTATACCAAGGAGTCGTCGAAACTTCTTTCTTCCTCCTCCAATGAGACCACACATCCAGAAATTGCGACGGCTGAAGCTGAAGGCGTTGGAAGTGGAGATCAAACTCAAGCAGGTGCAGGGGTCGTTAAGATGCTACCTTCCGGATCGTCTACTAGAGGCAAGCCCGCTATAATTTTCTCATCGAAGTAGACTTCATTTGGTATTCGCAAATGCAGCTTCCTTGAACAAGATACTCTCTGCTGAGTATGGAAGTGCCAATGGTGATACAGCTTGATGTCCTCTAGCATTCAAAGAAGTCCATATTGATGTTGTTGATGTTGTAGCTCTCTAACAATACAACTGTTACAACTGATCTCACGCCGACGAGCTATTCGAATGTTGGAGGGGATCATCTTATGAATGGTGGTGGCCTTGTTCCTTCAGCAACTTCATCCTTGAGAAATGCATCAGCACAACGGAGACGGCGCAAGCCTCCACCATGGTCGCCTGCGGGAGCGGCTGCGCGAGACGGTTTAGTCCCTTCCCCTCTGAGAAATTTACGCGATTTAGCAGCAGACATGCGACCTGAAGACGCAGCCGAACTCCTCTTGTCTGGTGGTAGAGGAAACATATTGACGACGTCGAGTAGTTGTAGGTCAAAGAATGATAGCAAGCAACATACAAATCAGGGTCAGGAGGGAGGTCATGACGATTATCTTCATGGCAAAACTGATCCTGAGGGAACTGTAGCACAGCTAGGATCATCTGCAAGCCTCGTAGTTGTAACTCCTGCTTCATCAAGTTCTTTGCTTGCCTCAACAGTGTCCGCCCAAAACCCTGGTCGCGCCAATTCAGTCCGACGTATGGCTAGACTTCAAAGGGAATTGCATAGTGCATCCCGTGGACCAGGTAGTCGTCGGATGACACCGCGTAGTGGTAGAACAGGTGGTCCAAATCAAAGTTTTAAACCGCACGTGAGGCAACACATAGAATCAGAGCTCCAAAGGACGATGGAGATGAAACAACGGATGCAACTACAGCAACAAGGTCGGTCGCTAGAAGGATCAACATCATTTATTTCGACACTAGACCACGAACACCAGGAACATGATCAGGCTTTTCTATACGACGAAACGTCAGGAGGTGCTGCGCATGCAGGTGACAGACTCGTTGGGCGCTTGTATCCCGACTACCTTTCACGAGGCCAATCTCCTGGGCCGACGAGTAAGATTACTTTTAGCTAAGGATTTCCACATTACATTCTTCACAGTGAACTACACTCAATTAGTGACACATCATTATTCTCAGTGACACTACCATTCTGTACTTGTTGTCCAATAGGAAAGAACTCAGGGTTAGGAGGTGGATGTTTTGAAGAATGCAATGCTCCAACCTCTAAGCTAGTGGCGCGTTATCAACTAGCTCCACGTCATTGCAACAACTACAAGGGAGAAATAATACGTCGCACACTGCTCCTCTTTATCCGGCGCACAAGACGTCAAGCAGGCCCCCACTTCTTGCAGGTGGGTCACGGTCCTCACAAAGTCAAAGAGGACAACCTACAACGATAGGAAAGCCGCCACGGAACAAGAGGTATGACTTTGGTCAAGCAGTTCCTCGAGACAGTCAGAAAAGCGCAGGGACTATGGTACCAGACGAATTTGGAGACATGGTTGCGCGAGGGATGTCTAGTGTTGCTGACGAAGGTCTCTTTGACGGGCAGATGGCGATGGGGCATACAACAGAAATAGGAGGACGAGGAGATGGGTTTGCTAATGGAACAGCAATAGGAATGGGAACCGTTGGAGTGGGTACCAGTTCCGGCGCTTCTATACTTGGTGGCGCCAACAACAATACTAATGTCTTGCTGCAACAAGGTCATGGTCAAAGTCAAGCACCACAAGCAGCAGGTACAACAAAACCACGACCTCCAGACACTTCACCACCACAAGAGTCATTATCAGGTTTGAGCTTTTTTTCCTATACCCCTAGTCCAGCAAAAGAGCGTGGGACTGCGAGTCCTGCAAGGAAAGAGAGCCCACTCGCAATGCACAGTCCCAAGAGGTTGCAGAGTCCGAGACAAAACCTACACAGTCCAAAACACACACAACATGCATCTGCAATGTTGACGACAAGTACATCTACGAGTAGAGCAGATTTAGTACGAGGAGGGGGAGCAGCTGCAAAATCTGGTATGAGAACGAATAAAGCTTCTAATCCCAATCGAGCAGGTGCCGGACCAGCATCTTCTCTAACGGCCATGTCTGGTGAAACTTCAGCTTCTGGAACAAATAGACGGCTTGAGGAGTGGCTAGCGTCGAAACGACAAGTGCTAGAGGTTATGCGCAATGCAAGTCCAGAGAAGGACAAGAACATCGTACGTCTATATAAAGAAGTGAGGGAGCGGCCTGCAAGTCCGAAATATCTGCTGCCACAACGTGCTGAAGCGATGGAGGCTAGGAGACGCGAGGAAGTGGCTGTCGGAAAAAGTATTTCATCTTTGTGACCGTTTTTTCTAGGTAGAAGATGAAGTGTACTAGTTTGATGCCCAACGACAGATGAAATTATTCTTCCTGTCTGTCGGTGTCGATCCTACCCCTGCAATTTCTATCCTACTTTAAGTCATAACACTCATAACACTCACCCTTACTGTACTAGGTGCTACTTTATCTTCCGGTGCCACCGCGAAGACTAACTTGGAAGCTCTACCCTCCTTTGAGGAGCTTATTGTGAGCCCTGCAGAGTTGCCATTGGCGACGCCACTTACACCAGCTAACGACATGGACGAGTTCTTAGAAGGCGAGCCTCGTCTTTCCACAATTGCGACAGGGACAGCAGGCACTACGAGCACCACAGGTGCTAGCGCAACGATAACTGGAGCTTCCACGAGCACCACAGCCGCGACAGAAATGGAGCGTGCTAAGCTTGAGTACTTGCTTCATAGTAGTAAAAACACAACACCAACGCCAAAATCGTGGACTAGAGCTCGAATTGAATCTTCAGAAGGCAGCACAAGCGAAGAAAAGAGCGCAACGAGTGCGGCACCGCGTGCTGGAACCAAACTACGACTAGGGAGTCCTGCTTGCTGTCGCCCAGACCACTTGGTTGCCAGTAGTAGTTATGGGTGTAGGGAATTCATCATCCCCAAATGAGTCAGTTGAGAGAGATGAACGAGACAAGAGGAAAAAGGCACCCAGATCGCTGATCTTGTTCCCTGAGATGAATTTCCTTTATCTCTAAAGCAATGGCTCCTCTTTGTCCATCGTGCAGGCGTCTTTACTACGACGTGTAAGTCCTTCTCCTGCAGTGTCGCTTTCTGGGTCGGCGAAAAGTCCCGCAGAGATGCTAGCTGCGGCCGTTGGGCCTCTGTCCTTGAAGCCACCACGTGTCAATGTGCCACCTCCGGCGTTTGCGACACCTCGAACTTCAGCACGGTTCTTTCATCAAAACGGAACGCCCGTCGGGCAGCAAAGTCTTGTAGGCGATGGGAAGCAGAACAAGCGTCTATACATCCCATCAACGAAGGAGGAACTGAAGGCGGAAGAAGAAAGGATGAGAAAGATAAGAACAGAAGGCGCTGGTGGTGCTGGTGGTGTGGTCGAGGAAGAGATCACCGATCAAAAATCTCAAACGAATGCCCAAACAAGCCCAGCTCCAGTTCCTCACAAGCAAGAATCTTTAGAAGATGAAGTCGCTAGAAGAAATTCCAAGAGTAGCGAGAGTACAACATCCTTTGTAGAGCAGCTGCCTGTGGAGGATCGTGCAGTACGAGTGAACGTTAGACGTATGCCCGGAGGTGGGTCTCCAAATTCTCCAGGGGTACCCGATGAATTCGTTAACGACCATTTTGGAGGAAGCGAAGACGATGGACCACCAGTTCCACCAGTCAAAAGAACAGGTAGTGGCACAAATCACAAGAAACTACAGAGAGGTACTTCTAGTGCGAGTGCTAGCCTTCCAAGTACAAGCAGTGCCAACTACGAACATCAAGCTACTCTTGAAGAGACAAAAACTATAACTACTAGGACTATGACATGCTCTTCACAACAAGCACTGGTGGATCCACCTCAAGTGGGCTCTTCTGCGTCTGAAGATGCATTGAGCACTTCTGTATACCTGGAATCCCGCACAAGCAGAGTACAGGCTGACGATACGGCTCTTTTGATTCCCTCTAGTCCCGAACCCGCCGAAAATACGAATAAGGGTCTGCTGGGGTGGCTCTTTAGGAGATAGAAGGTCAAGATATTGGTTGTCATAGCATGGCCGCTTCTGCTCTCGATACGTTGCACAGAAGTTGTAGTTGATTAAAATGAACCACTTTTTCCAAGACGAGTTTGGTGTTACTCACAACGATACTCGTCTGACTCTGCCAGATGTCACGATTATAGCCGCGCATGCTTGCATACATTCATAGCATGATCTTCGAAGGACTCACATATTGTACAGGAGTTGTTGTAGATGTAGCTTAACAATCAAAATGTTCATCAAGATGTGATAAAGATAATGTAGATTTTTTGCTCGGAGACACAAAAAATCAATAAAGGTCTATGTCAATTTTTCCTTTTCGAATCAACCAAAATGCAAAGCGAGACATCATGTCTTGACGGTGCGTAGCTTCTCAGTCCAAATTTGTGTGAATCAGTCCAGAAACTTGTTAGGTAACAGAGGGATCGTGCAAAGGTAATCATTTCTACAGTCGCCGCACAAAGCCTGCTAAAAAAAGGTAACAGATATGTTGAAAAGCAAAGTCACATACCGATGTGGTTGAAGTCTAAACAGGGTAACAGGTGGTGATAACTACAAAATGCGCCATATGGTGCGACAGATAGTTTCAAAAGACCTTCAATTGTTTATATATAAGGGAATGGCAAATAAACAACCTCTCGAAGGCAACCTCCGAACACCTAGACAAGCTGGGGACCTCCACTGCATAGTTGTCAGTGACAACGACATAGCCCATCTGGAGTGACTGAACGCGAAAGCAGAAGAAGGACAACCAGTCCTCACCTGAGTGTGAATCGAGTGAAACGGTTAAAGGTTTCTCACTATATTAAACGAAAAGTTAGAAAGTGAATTTTGCGCTTTGCTTTTCGAAAGGCGCGAAAAAGTTTTCAAGTGTACAGATGCTGCTGAAAAAAGTCCTCGGTTAGTGCATATTCGCGACCGCTGTGTGCTAGTCAGTACAATTTTCTGCTAAGTAGTAAAGCTAGTGCACTAGTACGTAATATTGAGATCTTCATCATCATACATCACCTTGTCGAAAATATAAAGCACCATGTCCTATCCGCATCCAGTCGTCCGCGAGGGCTTCGTCCAGTTCCTTGCCGACAAAGGGGCCTGGAAGAAACGGTATCTCCGATTAGACTCCTCTACATTGTCCGTATTCAAGGATGCGCCAGGCGATAAGAGCCCGTCTAAGCGGTCGTGGTTTGGATCCTCAAAAAAGGACGCCCAACCTCGAGAAACCGTCAGCATCGCGCCAGGTGGTCCGTCTGCCGTGAGTATAACTACAGTTATGTTGACTTGAGGAATTCCATCTTGTTCCCTAGAAGAAGCATCAGTCTCAGTCTCGTCATTATCAAGGGAACAAAGCGAGCACTGAGATGCCCACCAAGGTGAATTTCTGCAAGTTCTAATACAGGAGACGCAGTGAAGAGGAAGTTCAAAAAAGAGTTTGTGATTGAGGTGGTGGGGACAACGTTATGGCAGATGATGATTGTGTGGGATCTTCTGGAAGGAGGGTTGTTTTCGTACTAGGAAGGAGGACGTAGCACTACTAGATGATACGAGAAGATTCAGATGTGTGAGCGTGACAATAGGCAAGGCATCATGATCATGAAGTTTAATAGGGGTTATCTGTCTCTTCTAACGTTCGAAAATGGACCCGCGAAGCCGATCGTTTTTCAAGCAATGTCAAAGCAAGAGTTTTTAGAGTGGAAAGGGGATTTGCAGAGTCTTGCGACTCCGCCTGTTGCGCCACCAAGGAAAAGCAGTCGGGTATCTGAATTTGTTTTTTCTATTCGTACATGACTGGCTTTTTGGTGGAGCCGGTTTTGTTGAGTGATAAGAGTATTTGTATTGCTATTGCCAGGACTTTGGGTTGTTTTGTTTCGTCTTGTTCTTTCACAAGAATTCATTTGACGTAGAAGACGAATTCCCTTATTCTCAAACTATCAAAAATCCCCTCCCATCATTTATTCCAGATTCTGCAGCATCCACTCCAAGGAGGCTCCAGTTCGTCCTCTTCTTCAGACACGTCATCTTCCTCGGGAGATGACTCCTCAGAAAACGACTCCTCCACCTCAGAGGTCAGCGCAAGCGATGCTGGTGCAGGCGGAAAGAAGATGTCCTCAGCTAATGACTCTTCATCTAGCAGCAGCTCAAGTTCGGCAACTGAGCACTATGCCTAGCACGTTGAGTTTAGCTTCACAGCGTCACTTGATGAACATGATGAAAGTTGTAAAATTTACAAAAGCGGTCTATAGCAAGTAGACCAAGGTGGAAGTAATAAAATTTCTCGTACCCCTCGAAGAAACGAAGAACTACTTTCTCGAAAAGAGACCCCTCTACCTCTAACAAATAGAGATATCCCAGTCATCGCGGAGGAAAGACAGCAAGAACTCCGTTCGATCGTCAGCGTCTTCCATGGCTAGATCTTCGATGGGTGGTGGTGCGTTGAGGGCTCGCGGAAGTCCTACAGGCGAGCCCTCTGCAGTAGGCGACATTCGAGCAAGCTATGTCAGCGAAAGACGGGACTCTGTGAGGGATAGGGTAGTTACAACTGTTGACTTACGAATTCTGGTACAGGATAAGGATATTAATCGTAGCAGACGAGGTACGTGCTTGGTTTGTTGGAGCTGGAGCGCTCTTTGGTTCGTTGGAAGGACCTTCGGTCATCCGTCCGCAACATCATAAAAGTGCTATACCCCACCAGGTTCAGAAACTCGAAGAAAAGCTCCACTCTGGTGCCCCCTCTCCGACTGAAAGCCGTAATTCTGCTGGTGGCGGGGGATCGGTGCCTTCTTCAAGCTTGGACGGGCTTGGAGATAAGCTTGTGCTGGACACGAACCATCTTCGACTCGACATGCCTAGCATCAAGCCCGTCACTTCGGGATCAAGAGTAATAATTTGTTGTGGAATAATGTTGTGACTGACAGTAGACAACAATAGCTACATAAGTATAAGAGGTACCATGACATGACATGACATGACATGACATGACATGACATGACATGACATGACATGACATGACATGACATGACATGACATGACATGACATGACCGTTGTAAGTGTACTACTTGTGAAGCTCAGAGGATGTCATAACCTGTGATGTCGAAGAACTCTCATATATAGTTTCCTGATGCTCACCAGTCTTTCTCTTTCATCTTCATCAACTACGGAGTCCACCAACGATACTTTCTACACAGGCAGTATCGCAGAGGAGTGCGGTTTCAATACGTTCTTCGGGTACCCTAGGAACGCTGGAGAGTCGAACAAGCCCAACGGGGTTGGAAGCAGTGACAGGTACTAGTGTCGTCACTCAGCCTCCATGGGTCCCTACAGAAAAGCCGGTGGGTGATACACCAGCAACGACGCCAGGTACAGTTTTTGGTTGTTGATGAATGCCTATGAACCTCCAACACTGTAGAGATCTAGTTCTGCGGCCGAATACGCATACCTTTTCCTCTTCGATGTTCAGCCTCCTGACCTGAGGCTAGGATTATTATTTAGGAGGCTGATAATACTCCTGTTTTCGTATTTATTCCGAATATCCCCTCAGGCGTCTTCCCACCTGGCATGCCAGATCCGAAGGACTCTTATTCTCAATTCGCGCAGGAGCTTGGGAAAGAGTCTCTCTCGCATTCTAGAGTGTCCAACTTGGGCAAAAGCGAACTGTTGTCCAAGAGTCGACGCATTACCGATCCACTAGCGGAAAGCGGTTTGGACGGCCTAGGTGTGTCACTTCACAACGTCTGTCATAAGCGGACATCTATGAGTAGGACTGATAAGTTGCCGACCAAAGAGGAAATTGCGGCTATCATGAATGATGAGGATGAGGAGGAGGATGGACAGGGACATGGAGAAGCAGCAAAAGACTTCTCATCTAGTACAAAGCAACTAGACGGCATTCCAGAACACAGCATCAGTGGTAGTACAGCCTCCATCTGCGAGCAAGAAGAGGTTAGTTTCAGGTGGGACGATAGGTTGCGCTTCTACATCAAGATTATGGGTTTCCGAGTTGCATTCCTCACTCCCATCCCTGACTCTCTTCCTAGTAGAAAAGAGGCCAGGGGTGTTCGTTCTGAAGAATGTAATTCCGTAACCTCTAACAAGAACAATCCTGGGGCTATATCGCAGCTGCTGGGGGAATTTTGTACGGAGAGTGTCGACTTTGCGAGAAAATTCATCGACCATTTGTGCTACAACATCGAATCAGAGGATGTGGACCGAGCAAGACAAACGGGACCTGGGATGCTTTGTTGCGCATTGAATAATGGGATCTTTTATTATGCCTTTTTTTTGCATGTTTACTATGACTAGTATCGGGAAGATGTATTCACCAATCCCTTCTGAAGCAGAATGCCTTTCACTTTGTTTCGCTTTCGTACGTACAGATGATGATTCTACTTCATCTCCATTTTTCACTTTTAGGTGGGTCTCGTACTTCTGCGCGCTATTGTTCCTCTTCTAATCCCCCAGACTCATTGTCGACGCAGACGATCATACAAAAGACGAAACAGAGCTAGCTCTCAACGGCGCAGAAGTTCGTTGCATCCGATACTTAGTCGCGCATATGACAGACCACTTGCAAGCGAATCAAGACTGTCCTTTTAATGGACATTTGACGGTACTAGCTATAATCTTAATCTTTGTAGTTTTCGGTGGAATTGTTCCTTTATATCCTTTACGTTTGTTCTTGTAGTTAATGACGACAAATAAAGGTCGTTCTGCTCAATCCCACCAGGTTACAGTCGACTATGCAGGATATCGTGTTTTCTGTCAAGCTGTACAGCCTCTAGAGAATTGCGGTATTGCGTGTGGCTGGTTTCCAGACAAGTCGGGGAAAATGCGCTACCTAGAACCAGACGCCAGTACGAAGGATGCTCTGAAACTCATTCAGGATACGCTGAATCTGAAGAGGACACTCTGTACTGAATCCTTTGAAAGACTTTTTGGTTTTTCCTTTATTATCGGCAATTTCAAGATGCAACATGTGATATCAGATATCCATTGATAGCCATAGCCTCTAGAAGTTTAAGTTTAGTCCCATCGACAGTTTCGGAATACTGATCAGGGCGAAACTCCATTCCATTTATGTCAGTTTTCTGAAAATAGAAAGACTCTCCAACTCAGTGAAGCTCAAGGACAATCCGAACGCTCGTCGGGTCCGACTATGTCCTTCGCAGCTTTTACATCGCGATCAACAAGGGAAGTACTACTTGGGAAGACAGCGGACGTCGCTATTGGTCCCGTTGGCAGAGACAATTCAAGACGTTGATCCTAGTAGCTTGAATTTCCTGCGGCCAGAATTGCAAGTAAAGCTACCGTATCCAGTGAGCTGCATTCCAGGATTTGACTTTTGCTTATGTTGACATGGACCACGTACTACAGTTTTTTTGATGTAGTTGACAGTTACGTTCTTGTTCTAGACTGAGCTTTCCGGTAGTAGGACTGCTCACCTCTTGGTCTTGCGATCCTAGTGCGTCATTCAGTTTACAGAACTCATCTGTGAACGACCTCTTGCTAGGTAATTGAATGAATGAATGAACTCTCTTCTTCTAACTCTTCTCTCCTGTGTAGACGGTTGTCCCCAGAGCGACACGCTGAAGAGCGAGATCGTTGAGGCATGCACCACAGAACTGCGGGAAAAAGCAATACGGGAATTCGTCGAGGAGCTAGATAGTGGGCGACGTTTCCCAGTCGATAGTGCAGACCTGCGCAAGCATTTTCACGCAGCGGGGATCAATTAAGGCTCCAGCCTCTGCTGCAATGATGTCGTCCCTCGTGTAGTTGCAATCTAAATCAGCCTGTTAGAAATCCGCGCTGCCAAAGCCAACGTCGAACAAAAACAAAATAACCTGCTTTGAATATTAAACTCAATGTAAGTAAGCCCTCCATCCTCTAATCCACCATGACCTTCCTCGGCACCGTGTACCACCAAGTTTCCCTTCCCTACATCAAGCACTTGTGTCTTTGTGATGCAATAGCGCGTGTGATCAAGCGTGGAATCCGCGAATGCTGTCATAACACGCAAGATAAAGGTTTAGCACTGTCCTATGCGACTACGTGGTTCGCAAATGTAATGCAGTATGAGCCAAAGGTGTGGGGTAGTGTCCGCGACTGGCTGCGCGCACATTACACTTTTGCTGAAACTGACGTGTCTCAAATCGACTTCTCGAACAGCATTCATGCTCCGATATTGCTGCAGTGCATGTTATGAATATATGGATGCGTACAAGGAAGTGTGCGCTTGTTTCGTCATCATTCTTACAACTGTAACCGGGCTCCTCAGGACGAACGATGTCATTTGAAACATTTCCTCACCACCGATGCATGTATACCAAGACAGAGTACTATCCTTTCGCCCCTTCTAATCCCAGCCCACCACTGCTGCGTCCGTGTCGACACGGAGAACGAGATGTATCCTACTTTGCGTAAGGAGTGGCGTAAAGTTGGCTTATTCCTAGACTTTGTGCCAGGTGTGAAGACGTTGTGTTATCGCAAAGCAAGTCACGCCATGTTGGCCAAAGAACGATGGGCGACGAAAGACTTTGTGTCCTTTGTAGAGCACGAGCAGAAATTGGCGAAGGTATTTCTCTAATCAATAGCAAGGATTGTGTGGACAAGATCAGTAGACAGAGTACTTTTTAGCTAAAAAACCCTACGCAAAGAGAAAATGAAGAAGCATGATCCACTCACTTTATCTCTTGTTCCCCAAAATTTCTTCACCAGGCTTGGCTTGGCTTGAACCGACAATTCACGAGCAACACGATGAGCGCCAGCGCAATTCAGCAAGCCCAACAATCGATAAATCCCGCTGTTGGTCGCTCTTCAGTGCTGAATCTCGAAGGGACTCTGTCTCAATCGAAACCCGCACCGATGCTGAGTAGCGCAAAACTGGCACAGAAAATCAACCGGGCAAGTAGTGACTACTGCGTCATAGTAGATAAAAGCGGTTTGGAGCATGGTTTAGACCAGGCTTTGCGTTTGTACATCGACCACATGCACGAAGTAGACGCAGAGGAAGCTGGTTCAGCTTCACGGTTTGCTCTAGCCTTGTACGAGGAAGACCCCAACATTTGGTTGCAGTTTGCGACGCAGGCTTATCAGTATAACTTATGATTGGAAGATGAAAAGAGTCCTTAGGAGCTTTCGCATGTTCGACTTCGAGCGAGAAAGCAACTTCTTCTTGACGGTTTTTTATATGAATCCTCGTTCCCTGCCTGACCCCAGCTGGCGTCTAATTGCTCTCGTCGACAACCTGAAGTTCGAGGATATCAGCAACCATATCGCGTTCAACTTCGGCAACGACCACCCGCTTCTGCTTGACTTCTGGAGACAAAAGCTGGATTTGCTCTTTGCAGCATTGTCGATTATGACAAAGATTTATTGTAGTATAGTAAGTGTAAAGTAACCCAAGCACTAGAGTTCTTTGTGAGGACTTATTCTTTTTGCCTCCACAAGAAGCGATCAACCAAACACAATGAATCTCGTCAAAACAAAAGGTACCTTTGTGCTTTTATTTCTACTCCCCGGTGTACTTCTACGTCTACTTCTAACCCGAACAAGCCCGATGCTGCAGCTTCCAAGTCCGACAGCACCGAGACGAAAACCGTGGAAGAAAAAGCTAAGCTGCGCGTAGAAACTCTAGATGTCGCCAAGAGATGTGTAGAGCTCAGCAAGGCAGCATTTGGACGGTCACACGCTACTACAGCGTGGTACCACAGCCTTTACGGGCACGTCTGCGTTCGCGCTGATAGCCTGGACACAGCAGTCGAGCAGTACAAAAGGTCGCTTGAGCTCAGTCTCAAAAACAAGGGGCCAGAAAGTACAACTACTGCGTTCTTTGTTATTGTGTTCACATAATGAGAGAGAACTTTCAACTTTAGGCTTCATTGTCGTTCAATTGCGCGAAATAGAATTTGTTCTACTCGTCCCATAACCATAGTAGATCTACCAACGCGACCACTCTCCGATCACCACGTCTACTAGGCACCTTCGTCGCTGGCGCTTACTCCTGCCTAAGAGATGCTTTCTCCAAGAAGGGAGACCTCGACGCAGCCTTTGACTACGCTATCAAAGCGCAGAACATACTGGTCAAATTGCCGGATAAGAAGAAGCTGCTAGTGAATCAGAAACACATAGCGGATATTCAAGAAATGAGAGGAGAAGTGGATGACGCATTGAGCTGGACGCAGAAGACACTGGTATTTATAATTGTATTACTAACTTATTCCCTCGATTTTTCGGAGCCGGAGGTCGTTCGCAACCCTATTCGCAAAATATTACTAACTTGTAGGTGGTGTGGTTCAAAACGAAGTAGGAATCATGGTAGCAGTGTTCTTGCAGCTAGAAATTTGATAGGAAGGTCGTAAGTAGAAGGTGTTGAGAAGAAGTTCAAACGGTAATCGAAGAAATATCCTCCAATGAATACCCCAACAACAAAATCGTCTCACCAACTATCCAGACTTTCCTCCAGTCCATCGGAACCGAGTTGGAGTTGAGTCGGACAAGTTTCGACTTTACCATCATCAGTCAAGCAGTAAGGCTCAGCGTGTGTCAGAGAGAGCCTAGCCTGCCCAACCGTATGAAGTGGGAAAGGAAACTCCGTGACGTAGAACGGCAAAAGAGAAATGTCGTTCAAATTATCGAGTACAAATGGACCATTTCAGATTTGTCTGAGTTGCCGGCACACGTAGCAGAACTACTACATATTTCCCAAGCAGCAGTGTTTGGCGAAGATGGCGGAGATGGCGCAGATGCAAATGGGAATTATGAGCTAGTTTTAAACTCGTTTTCAACTTCAATTTCGACTAGAAGTAGTTGTATCTCCTATCAAGAATCTCTAATCCCCCACAACAACACCCGCTGACATCGAACTCACGGATCGGGAAAAGGAAGCCTTGGATGAGCTGTATCAGCTGGTCAAATTCTGCGACCCAGAATTTTCTTCTGTCTTCGACCTACAACTGCACGCACCGCCAGTGCTTGCTGCTCCCAACTGCTAGAAAAGATGTGGTAGTTGCTGTTGGGAATTGCGCTTCGGACGAATTACATCAGCTAGTAGGTATTTCAGAATTTTTCACAACCACAACCAGTCCTAGTGGAAGGAATGCGCATAATTGAATACGTAGAACAAGGTTTCAGGATGTAGTTTCGCAAGCACTCGCATACCTACGTAGAAAAATCTTGGTGTCAAAGCAGTCTGATTCAAAATTCTAGCTACGATAATAACAAGGGGCTGTCGACGAGTATTTTCTAACGCGCATTCATCATGAGATGACAACTACATGTTGAATTTTTTGTTTCACTTTCACACATTGGGTCATACAACTATCTTCGCTAACGCAATTGTTAATGTCTACGCGCATCATGCTGGAAAAAAAAAAACCTCCATGTTTCTTTATCAGTACATACGTAGATACCCATTTTAATTCATCAACGAACATCATGTCTCTGGCTCTGCTTTTAAACCTGATCAAGATCATCTTCGGACTGTTTTTTTCTCGCGAAGAAAGACTTACATGTATGCGCCATGCGAGGTGCTGGTGAGAGTGGGCTACTAGACAGGGATGGAAAGGCCAGGATGTTGTGGATTTCTTCTTTGAACAGGATTCGTGCGATGTTCTCATGCATGACTATTGAAGACCCGTGACTAACTACTACTACTACAGGAAAGTAATTATATGAAGAACTGCCTCAAAGCTCCTACAGCAGGAACTTTTGAAGACATCGCCCACCGCCTACTCTCTCAGAGACTAGATTGATGTCCTTTCTACACTCTTACTCCACCGAAATACTGATCTTAGAAAGTCCTAGGCTCGTCTTATTATATGAAGACCTTTTACTAGACCACTATCATGCCTCCGTCCTCTGCCTCGACACCTGCTATAGACCAGTATCATCCCTGCTACCCATTTTGGCTCGTGCGTGTTCTTTGCTCCTGTGGTCGCCTGTGTTGCGCTTATCATCCCCTTGTTCCTCGGGATTGTGGACGCCCCGACAAAATCAATACCTCGTCCTATCCAAAGAACCCATAATCCTGGTGACTGAGCGGCAATGGGGAGCAACGGCCTCAGCAGTGGAGTGGAGACCGGCAGTCGGGGTTCTTCTTCTGTTGAAGCACCAATGTTTTCGAGGCTCAAGAAAAGCCTAATAGAAGTATGGCCCGCAACCGTCTTGGTTGTTGAGACGCTCTTTTTCCTAGTAGTGTTTGCAGTGTTGCTAGAAGCATTCGGGTTTTTCCGGAAGAAGCCATTGATATCTTTTCTCTCCAGTATATTTTTCCCAACTACTGGGCGAGATGAGGGCAGGAAAAATAAAAAGGGAGATGAAAAAGTCGGATTACGGATGCGAGGTATACCTCATGAAAATTGATGGCAGATGACCGAAAAGACAGGGTCTTCTACTTATCGTCAAATCTTTAATGTACTGTTCCTTGCTCTTCGAACACATTCACATACAAAAAGTACCTTGAACTACACCTGTCTGCACCTGCTATACCCAGGTCGCCCCACGAGTAGGCGTGTGATATTAGATGGCTCGGACTCAGAATCGGAACCCTCAGTGGCGGATGAGCGCAGTAACGGGTCTAGTGCGAATATATTGCCGCTTTGCATGCGCGTGCTGGATCACAAGGTGGAGGACGACACTGGATACTATGATTATGGCAAAGGCAGTGATGTAGCAGAACAATGGGTTCTAATTATTATAGGGTACAACATTGCTCAATTCGAATCATAGTATTACCGGTGATTCTATAATATAGTGTTCATGCGATTGTGGTCCTTTTAATACTCGGTGGCCTTGTCGCGCGGACTGCAAGGAGAGGTCTTGTACAGCGTTTGGAAACGCTATAGCGAATTCCGTGAATTACATCTCGCTTTTGGCGGTGCTTTCCCGGATTTTCCTGGCAAAACCCTTTTCCCACTCAGGAGGCGTACTATTAAGGGTGGCTGACGGTAACACAATATATGTCTTATAAGAATAATGTACTGCATTTGCAGCAGCTTCATTACACGTCTGACAGGTTATTTGCGCTTGCGTTTTTTAAGGGTAGGTTAAAGGTGCTTTTCTTACCGCTTTTTATGCCTCTCCTAAGGGAGAAAGCCATAAAAAGCGGGGTAAGCAAGCACCAAAAACCTACCTCTAAGTTTTCGTAAGTATCTTCCTTTTTTTATGGGTACTGCTCTCTTCTAATCTCCTGGATGAGAGGCGAATGCTGTTGGAAAAGTTTCTGCAGCAATTGGATTTTGGGAATTCTCTATCACACTTGAATCCGTTTTTTGGTTTTTATGGCGAGTTTGAGCTGAGTTCTGGAGACGTGCGCGGCAACGATATTAACAAGAGGCGCCGCGCGTCCCCTGAAGGCGAGGAACGCGGATTCGTTCAAGATTTATGATGCTGTGGGAGCTTACAACTTCTACTTGGCTACGATATAATTGATTGGTGTGAATGACGATGTTAATTGGTGTTTTGTACAACTGCAGGTTGTTCTTCTGTATCCAGTGGTATCACTCGATAGGAAAAATGATCCCGCATTTAGTTTTTTGATTTGCTGGAAGTGCCCCAGCTCAAGCAGGGCCGCATGAGAGTTGAATCAGCTGTCAATCACAAAGTAAGGCCATTTTCATACTGCTTGACGCCAGCCGGAATAGCAAAGCAAGAGCTTCTCAGTACGAAACAGCTACCGAAGATAGTCGAGGACCGACTTCGTAAAATTCAGGACGTTTATCCTCGCCTGCTGAAAGACGTTGATAGCTGGATCCTAGAGAAAAGTGGCGCAGATACACAGGTAGTGCCACTTTTTTGTAATAGTTCGCCCAAGACTCTACTAACGAAGTGCGTGGCCGTGTCGCTGCATGCGGGATTGCAGCGCGATCTGCGTGCCTGAAAATCTTAGGAAGCCGGGTGGGCTGTGGTGCCTGACCAGCAGACACATACGTGATAGCGCAGAAATGGAGGGCCGGCGGGGGTCGATGGGGCTGCCCAATACACACGGGAGGCCCAAGACGTGAGGCGAATCGGTTCCCTTCTGGTGCAGACTGCTTCGGATTACTTCGGGCATACAGGGGCACGCAAGCGCCTGACAGAAAAACGATGACACAGGGCGCAGCGCGTGCACGGTTAGGCAGCTGCTGAGGGGAGCCCGCAGCTCTCCGGTGCTGGGGGTTGACTGCTGTGCGTATCCCGAAGCGCACACGGGGCCGATGTGACAGCTTGAGGACTCCTGGGCTTGGGTTCGCGAGGCGGAGAGATCCAGGCAGCAGCCACGAAAGCGGCCGCTCCACGTGGCGGGCCTCTTCTCTCTTGTCGCAGGCTATCATCGTGGAGCCTACCTGCCCGGGCGCTTCTTGTTCGTATTGGTTTCGTGGCCCTCCAGCGCGTTGGGACGCGCCTGGAAGGAAGCGGGGGGGCGCGGCTTCGTGGTCGTGGGGGCTTCATGTTGAGCGCAGACGCGCCAAGGCTTTTAGTTTTACTTGTTTATTTCGGCAGGGAATGAGTCTGGTCGAGGGCTGCGTGATATTGTTGAACAGGCTCGCTGAAGAGAATCAAGCGCGGGCCCGCCGACGTAAGCAACGGCTGACAACTCAAAAGCCTACAGCTGTGGAAAGGGATGGCGGCGTTGGTAAAGAGCCCAAACAGGACAGGCGCGCGATGGCGGCGGCGGGTCGTGCTGCTTGGACAAGATGGGGGGCCCATAGACCTTCGCGCGCAGTGTGTGTGTGTGCGGGCGTGGAAGAGTGACAGGGACCGCCGACTGTCTGAAGGGGAGGGCTGCCGGTGAGGGGTAGGGAGACGAAAGGGGGAGACGCTGCCGCCTTCATTATCAGCGGCAGGCGCTGTCCCAGTCTGCTAGCGGCGCTGTGTCAGTCTTTTGGCTGTGGCGTTTGCTGCTGGCGAGCGCTTGTGTGTCGCGTGCCCATTTCGTCTGCGTGTCTCACCTGCCATCATGCTGTCGTAGAGTTTCTTCTTTCTTCCACTTCCCTACTTAGTACCTAGCTACTGGTTAGCATTTCAGTCCAAGCAACTTACCCTACCAGATTTATTCCCAGAAAACGGACAGGGGTATGCGCAGATGGCGTGTGAGTCAGAAGATACGAGCATCGCTAGACATTGTCCGTAGAAACGCATTTTTGTTGGACAAGAGAAAAGTCTGGGACCCTAATGTGGAGCCACAGTACTATTGTCTACTTTTGACTTAGATGGTGCTTGCTATTGCAATTTCGTAAAAAGAATACACAGAAGTGTAATGGTTAGCGACATGGTACCAAGTTGATGTATAGGCTCTGCGAGAACCTTTGTTTATAACGAAATATTTTATCTTTGGTCTTCCTCGGTTCTTCAACATTATTAGCGACAGGAGAGGCTTATATTTATGATCACTTTAGATCAACGTCTTCGCTCTGAAGTTGTTTCCACCTGATCTTCCCAAAGAATCAGGTCTAGCGAGTTGATAGCGTTTGAGGAGGATGCAACGCTTTGTGGCAGGGTAGACGTAAGCGAAGTGCTAACAAGTAGACAAGGCCCTGTGAAGAGTAGGCAAATTGTGACAGCCACACTGACTAAAGGCGCCGGCCACGATGACGAGGATGAGGCAGAAGGGGAGGGAGGCGGCTCTGTTGCAGGAAGAGGCTCAGTCGGTGGCGGCGCAGTATCTTCTGGAGGAGCCACTATGAAAAACATTGACATGAACTTTGACCTAGAACAGTGGCACTAAAGAGATCGGAATAAATTAATAGGCCTAAGACGAGCTGCGTACACTGGTAAAAAGGTAAAGAATCTATATCTAGCTCTAGGACATCTACAGGCTAATCCTATGGCATCTTCATCAATGCAAGAATGGCTCTAACTCACGTCGACCGATGCTTCTGAACGAAGAGAACAAAAATAATGCGGACCGCAATGCCCAAGCAGCAAATGGAGGATCGAAGAAGAGCAGCAAAACAAGTGTTGCTTCGATTATGGCTCTTGTTGGTACTTGTTATCTTTCGTCAACCTATCACATGAGTAGACTCGAGTGGGAACTTCATGAACAAATATGTGATGATCACGAAATTGCGTTGTCAGACTTCTGCATTGTTTGTGACACCCTCTGCCAAAACGTTGGAGGCTGTCATATCTTCTAACTCCCACGGCGGCAAATTAGAGCAGTTTGGCGCTGGCTTTCCCGACTGTTCCTTCAAAAGCAGTCTAGAGAGTATGGTTGTCATCGATGATGGCGAGTTTTACACGTGCTTGACGCGACGCGACGCTTACGTGCATCTTGAAGCGTTGTCGCTAGTGAACATGCAAATCTTTCCGCAGTTTGTAGTAGATCAAGCGATGGCGGGAGGTTTGTTCGCCAGTTACTCTGCGCTTTTGCGGCAGTGTGAGGAGGAGGAAGGAGGACAGGGATGAGGAAGGAAGTGCTGTGGAAGAACAAGAGATAAGTCTTCAAAACTAAATCATAGATTTTTGAAGTCACGTTTTGTAGTATGTGGATGAAGTATGTCTAACTTGTATCGAGTTATTGTGAAAGAATTTCTTCAGCAACACGCATTGCTAATTGATTTGGATGTCCGGACTCTGTGTAGTGGACTACTCAGTTTCGCGAGCAGCAGCGACAATAGGGTGAACACCAGTAGCATGTACTCAAATTGGTGACACCTACATGTAAGTTTTTGGTTTTCGCGTATCCATTTTTCTGAAAATGAAATATGCAAATACAATTGTAATTGGGATATGATATCATATTGAATTCATCAATGAACAATACCAGTACATCAATGCCGGTGCTGAAAGAAAGAACATGTTAGTATTTGTCATGATCTATCATGATCGACCTTGATGGTCGCACGACATGCGAGCAACGTGTAAGAAAAAAGTAAAAACGCGTCGTTACGAATATTGCATTAACTAAAAAACTGGGAGTATGTTGCATTCGCAACTACTTCATACAAAATGAACCGTTGCAATTCCTTCGTTGATACCACACTCAATTCTTTCCTATGTCATTATGGTGATGTTAGCTCAATCTCCTCAACAGACCCAGTGGTTGCAAGAGCTGGACCTTTCTCGGCGTCTTTTCCCGTAGTAGATCCTATTCCTCGGAGATAGCAATCGGTCAGCGTCATAGAAAGAGACGAGGGAGAGCACAGCGTTTAGGGTTGAGTTGCGAGAGGATCAGCTTCACAACTTGAGAGTACAGTAGATATGATTCAAGTTTCACATAAAAGATCATGGATTCATCCCCCGTCCTCGAAAGCAACGCTTGCCCTGAGTTGCAGCGGGACCTGACCCCAGGGTGCGTGGTCATACCAGGTGTGGCAAGGTCTCCGATCCTGCACGAGATCCAGCCTCGAACTTGATCAATAGGAGCTGCCTGCTCTTAAAACTTCATCCGTCATCAACCATCTCCACCTGCGAGGTCTCCGATCCTGCACGAGATCCAGCCTCAAACGAAAAGATGAAGATCGAGGCTCACCACTTGCTTCCGCTCTTGTTCGCGGGACACGCGTTTTCCTCAGTGACATTGATTTTGCTGAACAAGAATATCGCCCTAGTATTTCCGTATGCCTTCACGACCGTGTTCCTGCAGAATTTCGGTACATTATTTGGCGCGGCCTTTCTCCACATCATCAGAGTGCATCCACTGCGGTTCCCGCCTAAAAGATTTCTGCTCAGGTTGCTGATCAACGCCGTATGGCTCGTTGGAGTGCTATGGGCCAGCATCGTGGCGCTGCAGAAAGTGAGCGTGCCACTGTAATTCTGTTTACTTTGATTTTGGATTTCTGTTGATCGATGAAGAACTATCTTCTAACAAACTTCGAGTTCACGAGAATGATTTGCAAACTGACTCTACTTGTATCTACAACTAGAACTACTCTACGTACATGACTATAAATTTAATATACTAGGTCCAGCGGCGCTCAAAGCACTAGATAGAACAACCGGCTAGTTTTACCTCTAGAGGCTTAGCCCTTCCAACAAAATATACTGTGCACATCTTCCACATCCACACACTACCTACCACTGCAGCTACGTCCTCGCGCGTAATACAGTACCGTTCCAGACTGCTCTTCTCGACTGGGCCATACTCGGTAGTGAACTGAATGCAAGGACATTGTGGGGACTGGCGCTCACATTTATCGGCACGACAATATACACAACTGCCGATATGGAAGTCGATAGCACAGGGATCAGCTATGCCATGCTGAACACGGTGCTGGTTGCTTCGATATGCGTGTATGAGTCAGGTATCTGGTTTTTAGAGACACTCTTGTGATAGATGACCACACTAGCATGGGACGAAGATAGACAACAGAACTCAGGGCGATGCTGAATAGAAGTACACTACCCAGATCATACCATTCTTTCAAAACAAACTTCACAGCAACAATGAAGATGGTGAAAGCGGAACTTTCACCTATCCAGATGAACTTTTCGCGAGTCCTCTTCACCACGCCTTTTCTTGTCCTACCATTGTACTTCGAGTGGTTTCGCGGGGAGGAAGGAGCAACGACTTTATGCATGATGAATGTCATCTGGTTCAAGACGGTCGCATCATGTGTGTTCTGATTACAATTCCTCTCCGTTGAAGGTTATCTCAACTTACCAACTGTCAGTTGACATGTCGCAACTCTGTAGTCACTCTCTCTAATCCCCCTTCCTTTCGACGAGATAATACGCATCTTGCGAAACGAGCCCGTCGTCACATTCCAGATAGCAGTTTCCGCGATCCTGGCTTTCAGTATCGGAAATTTCTTGCTTTCTTTACAGGCGCGAGTGAGTTACGACCCAAACTTTTTTGTAGTACATCAAATATTTGTCATGAAACATCTATATCTAATTGATTTCGACGTGTTGTAGGGTATAATATGCCAGCTGCATACACATAAAATTACACTCTGGTACTTCTCTCTAATCGCCCGCTACCACGATCCAGCTAGCCAATATGGGTTACAAGTTTGCCACGACGCTTTTGTCGCGTTTTACGCATCCTTCTGAGGTCAAGCTTGTAGGCTGGCTCGGTTACGCTATCTGTACAGCAGGTCTCGTCCAGTATGCTGTGCGACCATCTTCGAAGAAGACCAGTTCTGGAGGGGCTACTCCATCTAAAAAAGGTACTGGTACAGCAGAGTTTACAACAACAGGTGGAGGACGTGAGTCACATACTACAACTTCTTCCAGTGAACGAAAAACGAGGAATAGATCGTCCTCGTCCCCGGATAAGAGTAAAGCGAGAAATGGCACTAGGAGAACCTCACCAAGGGAACGAGTGGTACGGCGAGAGAGGTCACGGAAACGCAGCAGGCAGAAAGAATAAACAACCTACTGCAGACTCGTTTTTGTATTCTGAAATTTCAATCTGTTGCAGGTTCTTATCCTTGTTTGCGACAGTGCAAGCATGGAAAACATTCGGGGTTGTTAGGGCATATCACTTACATTTTGACAGCACGGCTAAGGTCACGTTGGAAATTCTATTCATCGCATAGATACTCATCAGTGGGATCAGGAACCGCTTGTGTTGGCATCTTCACCGTAATATCCTACTAGGCCAAAGATTCTAGGTTAATGTGAGGTAGAAAATATCATACCAAGATCTCGGGAACGAGATGAAGATGCATCCGTTTTGCCTGGAAACGAGTACCCACGTCGTTTTCTAGAGAGAGAAACTCTGAGGGAAGGCTCATCAAAGTTGTAAGTAATCATTCACTGAGTTTCTGTCTTGTGATGCCTGTCTTCCTTTGGCCTTGCGTGTTTCATGCAACTCTGAAAATCTGTGAAACACTAAGAGAGGCATCAAGACCGACGTGCCCTTAGAAGCATCTTCTTGCATCACTGAGTTGCATGTCTGTGGGAAATGTTTGATAGATGAATACGGGTCCTTTTTCGGTAGAGCGACAATGAAACTGGTACCCTTCTGTCAGTAGAATCACAATCAATCAATTATCCTATGTATAGGTATAAAGCCGAGCCTCTCTAACGACAATGTAGACACAGGCATGTCAATCAGGAATTAAACTCTAAACAAAGTGGTCCTGTGATGCCGTATTCGCTCTGTCCTGTGATAAGGATTTTTTTCATCTCTTGTGAGATAAGTAAGACTTTTGACTCTCTAAGGTAAGGCGTGCTACATCCAGCATATCCATGGTAGGTGTCATTTCCTCTATTCATCATGCCCTACCTTGAGACAGCAATCTTACTGACCTTTGACTGAGGATCCAGTCTCTCATTCATGAGAAGAGGGACACGGAGAACAAGCTCATTGACTGAGTTGTCTGAGTCTCCCCCTACGCTTATCCGTTTACGAGAAGGTTGTCGCCGAAAAACACTTTGGCAGTATTAAATGGATCGAACTGTACGAAGAACAGGGTAAGTAGAAGGGATCACGAGGTGGAAGAAGAATTGGTTTGGGAGAAAAATGGGAGGATGGTGGAACAATTGGTTGGAAAAGCGCTAGCCTCTACATCGCAAAAAACAACGACAAAAGTGATCGCCATCGACGCTCAAACCACAATTGATTCCACTCCCACCTTCGTTGCTGAAAACCCTTTGGAATACGATGATGCGCGACGCCTACTTGTTGGCGTGGCCCAAGAGATGCAAAGAGCCTTCACCTTGAAGAAATAGCGGGAATCGGTATTTGTCGTTTGTTTCAAAGCATTGGTAAGAGAGCCGCAGAAAACAGCAGAACGGATCAGAAAGGCTAAGAATGAAGACAACAAAAAATCTTCAGTCCGAGCACAAGTCTCGCGACAGCATACTCAAGACAATCTATTGGATGACATTGGTCACGAAGAGTGGGCAAAAGAGGTTGCGCCTTTGGTAGAGGAGGAAGCCAAACTCCGCAAGATGTTTCGATGTGCTAATGATGCTGCTTCACCTTAGAAGAAGATTTTCCGTCTGAAGTTATTAGAAATAGAATTTTTCAATCTTTCACTATCACTTTCTGAGATCTATAAATATGTTCCACCATACATAGTCATAGTCTGTAATCTATCACTGAATTTTCCGAAGAGCAGTGTCGATCTAATACTGACACATCAGTCTCTTTCGTTACCCATGTTGCATTTATTTTCCTGACATGCAACAGGTTCATGACGATGATATTAACAAGAGCTACGCATCGTTTTAAGATTATTAAGGTCATTCTGAGACTATAAAGAGGGGGTTTCCTTGAAGGGAAAAATCTTTCTAATCAGATTTTTCCGCCCATCTATACTTCTCTAGCATTTTCCACTCCCACCCCGTTCTATCGATTCTTGCTTTCGAAGATGGGACGGGGAAAAAACTGCGTGCTCCTAACAACTGACGCGCGATGACAGAACATGGGGCGAGTATCTATTCATCATGGAACCTAACAAAGTCAATGCCAGGGACCAGATTTCCACGTTATGGCATCAACTCTTCTACTAGGCTCACCCTAGCTGATCAAAGCTACTTGCTCTGTCTTGAGCAGCCTGAGTGTCCTCGTGATTGTGTTCTATTTTGGAAGCAAGGTGGAATCGAGAGATCATCCACGGCATATATATGTGGTTATAAAATAAACGCGTCAAGCCGCGTACTACTAGGTGTTCTGAAGAACGGACCGAGGTGGAACGAGGTCTGAATTTTTGGATAAAACGAGATAGAAGGCACGAGCAGACTTGAAAACTTGGAATTCATTCTCACGTTTCCAGGCTCATCACTAAATCGTGGCCATCACGACTGTCCTTTTCGACGCCGATATCATAGCTATGCTCAAAGAGAGTAAACCTCAATCTCTACGATTTGACCACAGGGAAGTTCCGTCTTCTAGATCTAGCATCGCTCTTTAGATTCTGGTCTACTATTTTTGCGTCTACTCGTCTCTGTGGTTTTGAAAGCCCACGCCTGTCCCAGCCCACTTTAGTTGAAGTTCAAGTGCAATTTTTGGTGTAATCTCCAATTAACATCGTGATTTGTCGTTCTACTTTTTGACAAAGATAATTCTTATGCTTTGATTCAGAAAGTATTCGCTTTACTTCGCATACTATTCAGATTTTCATTCTTCGTGATTTCGCGACGTCATCTGCCAGCACATGATAAATGACAAGTTGATTTTTAGACAAATTCATTCCCTGTGCGTGTTTACCATTGTGATTCGAAAATGAGCTATCCAAACGGACCTCTCCTCCCTCACCAATCCCTGACCCACAAGACTTTCCCCGACAACACCTCAACAGCGCCGCTCTCCGTAGCAGTCGATTCTCGTTTCGCTTCCGGGAATGTTGTGGTGGAATCAATTAATTTAGTAGAAGATGACTGTGCCTCTTCTACCTCTACCTCGACTAACAAGAAAAAACAACTACACTTCGATCTCGCCATCGGCGCTGATCCACACCGAAGCGTGAAGCACCCAAACAAGGCCACCTATTGGTTCTATTTTGCTATCGAAGTAGTTGATGATTGCAAGGCCAACAAGAACATTCCAACAGATTGCTTCTTCCGATTACGAGTTCGTAAAAACGAAATCGACTCATGGCAAGGATTCAAAGTCTGCGTGTCTGAAGATAATACAAACTGGCACAGACTCGAGGACTCTAGTACTGTTGTGGACAAAGCGTCGTCGACTGTATGTTGGCGGATTTCGATACCAAGCACTTCGGGTTCGGAGCTGGCTGGTCAAAATAAGCTGTGGTTTGCCTATTATCCGCCATACACCAGTCAGGAGCACTTAACGCGTTGGTTAGGCAAAGTGGAAAGAGAAAATATCTTCGAGCAGTCTTGTCGTGATGAGAAGAAGATGCCAGTATTGACTCTGAAGAGGCCTTGCGCAACCGCCACGTCGTCCAAACGCACGATTTGGATTGTAGCTCGTCAGCATCCTGGAGAAAGCATAGCAAACTGGATGTTAGAAGGATTTGTGGAATCCTGTAGTTCTGCATGGAGGAAGAGAGCAAGTGTGACGCCGGCCTATAGTGCATCTGAAAAGACAACCGTAACGACGCAAGAAGAAGATTTCTTTTTCACCCACTACACCCTAAAAGTCATCCCCATGGCCAACCCCCGGGGCGTTGACGCTGGCTTTTGGTATACTACCCCAGAGGGGGTCAATATGAATGCCGACTGGAACTTTCTAAATTCCGTGGAGACGGGTTTGATTACACGATTGCTATCCTTGGATTCCGGCGTGATTCATCTCGATTTTCATGGTGACGAATCGGTGGGGAACAACAAACATTTCACGTCAAGAGCTAGCTTTTGTGGGTCGCCTATAGCTTCTTGCTTGATTGCCTCTACGAATATCAGCACGATATCCTCTATGCCTAGTTTTGAACTAGGAAAAATGGACGTCGTGGACGACAAAGATAGTTGTGGTAAAGGGGACAATCACAACGATGGTGGACTCACTCCTTCGACGTCATCACCCGCAACGAGTGCCTGTTCGACCTCTTCAGCTAGTTCTCTGACAAGCATCGAGAACGGCGAAACCGAAAGGTTTACTGTTCGGAGCAAGAAGTCGACTACCCGTAAGAATTCCACCGCTATGGCATTGCGAGCACGACTTACGAATGGTTCCGAGTGTGTGAAAAACCATACAAGTTGTACAAGTATGCCACCCATTAAAAAAACGATGAGCAAAAGGACACTGAGGAAAGAACCCCAAAATACCCCTCTTTCCCCAAAAGCACGCTTGAATGCCATGCATGTTGCCGAAGCAAACGACCTCTTGGTTCTGGCAGGGTCTGCTACACCAACGTTTTCAACAAAGATGCGAAAAAGGAAAAGTTGTCCTCAACAAGAATCATGGCAATCACGTATGAAAAAACGACCTGTAGGAGCTGCTCGCCAACTGCGGGAACATGTATATGATGACTTTTACCGCAGATTCGTCGGAGCACTAGTTAACAGAGAAGGTGAAAATGAAAACCGATGGTGGGATCGTGAACGACGAGGTGAAAGAACGGATTATTATGGCCGGAGAAAACATAAACATTGCTAGCAGTAAGGGTTACTTAAAAGATTTGTTTTTTCTTTCTCCTATTCTTGGTCAGCAACCTGTTTGAGTATGTCTTCTAATTCCCCAAATCCTCCGGGTGCTTCGACGGTCGATGGCGCAATGCGATTACTATAGAGGGCTGCATGAAACACGCAGATCGAAAAGACGCCAGTCTAGAAGATGAAGCACGAAGAGCTGGGGCAGATATCTTTTCAGCTTTATGCAAAGTGCTGCCGCAATTTGGGGCTTCATTATAATACTAGTGTTATCGTCAATGAACTATCTCTAGTCGTGCACTGAAAAGATAGAGGAGTGTACAGTGAAATTGCACAGTGACATTACGCCGTGTGAGTTTGAGAAGTGAGAGTCCATTGAAAGTATGTATTCAAGATTGTCTTCCTATGGTCGAAAGTTTTCGACGGAATCGTAATATTCAGCTACAATCTGACAACACGAGGCGAAAAATATTTTCATGACTTCAACAGCATGATTCATAAGTTTAAGTTTTAAGTCTGTGCACTACGCCTCTCGCTTTGAGGAGGTGAATGAATAAAGTGAATGTTATTTTTAGAGTTGAAAGCACGATTAAGATCTGTCTTTGAGAGTAGAAAACGCCACATTCTGTCATCAAGGAGTTGTAGATAGATGTGTCTGTGAAAAATATGTAGCTGTGACGACGTGTTGAGAGGAGAATTTCTCTTGATAGTGCTCTGTTGCGAGAAGATTCTCCAGTAGGCAGTCTGCACTGTACTTTGTGCGAGATAAATTGTATTGTATCGTAACCTTAAGAATCTGCTTTCTGCTCTGTCTTCCGAGCCTCAATTAGAGTGGATTTCAACAACATCATCATCTCTGTTTCCAAAAACTCAGAGATTCTTACATAACTTGTGGAGGTCCCTATTAATTTTGATTCCTCGAACTACCCTTGCTACATAATAATCTGTCCCTTTATAATTCCTTGGTTTGTAATTTGGATACCAGGAGGTGGACTCCATTTATAATTCCTTGGTTTGTAATTTGCATACCAGGTGGAGGTGGACTCTCTCCTGTTTCTTCAAGTAACCAATCGGACTCAATCCGCTTGTTTATGGAATAAGTACCTGGACTATCTACCACTCGTCACAACTTTGCTTGGATTCAAATAGAGACAACATGGCCCCTATCGACGAAGATATCGTCCCTGACGATATCGCTGAAGATATTGCTGAGGAAAATATGGAGGAAGACATCTACGAGGAAGAGGAATTTGAAGAGGATGAAGATGAGGCTCCTGAAGAGCAGCTCGAAAACAGTAGCATGGCCAGGGGCAATAAAGAAGATGCTTTTGCAGCTTTCGCGGAGGAAGAGGAACCCGAAGAGAGGCCATCTATTAATACGGAAGAAGACAACTACTCAGCGGCTTTCGTCGAAGAACGAAATGTTTCTTCACGTGGGGAGAAAGTGGCCCTAGTAGAGGTTGAGGAGGACTTGCCAGTGGGAGTAGAGACTCGTCCACGACGTGTGTGGAGTCCACCTGCTGAGGGTACGGAAAGTCCAGCAGCGCCTGTTGCTGATGAAGGGAGTCCAACAAGTCCTCCTACCACAGAACTACAGCAAGCACCTGAGCAGCTCGAAAACAACAATGAAAAAGGAGAAGATTCCTGTGGCAATAAACGACGAGTGATGCAAATGGAAATGAAGCGCAGTGGCACCATTGCGGTTGCTGACGAGGTTGCAGATTATATCCAGACGTCGAAAGAGGAAGCTACGCAGTACCACGGTTCCGAGAGTGCTGGAAACAAGTTGAAGAAGAAAGAAGCCGAACAACAGGATGATGGAAGATCAGCATCGGATGATGTTGGAGGAAGTCAGACGTCGAGTCCATATGATTCTCGTCCAGGAGGTTTTAGTGAAGGAGCACGTCCTCTGAGTCCAGACCAACAAGCAGTGGAGGATCCAGGAGCGGAAGAAGCGTGGCGTTCCGGAGCTTTGTGGGCTTTGGATGGCGAAACTTACTTCAACAATATGGAGCGTCGTTTTGAGCAACGTTTTGTGACGGACAAGAGCTTCTTGACAGCCTTGAAGACTCGGACGGAAGAATTTGGAACGGTTGGAGCGATCGTTGGCAGTGGATCCCCAGAGTCAACTAAGATGACTACTTTTTACGGTACTAAAACTGCGCCTGGAGGATTTGATGATGCTGCATTTGTCGACAACTTTCCTCCACCACCGAAGGATCAGGAGAGCATTCGCAAGGCTATCAGTGGAGACGAGTCTGGCTCTTCAGGTGCTCTGATGTTAAACGAGGGAAAGAACGGGAAGACCAAGAGCAGCAGATCCACTATTTCGATGTTTCGGAGTATCCAAAGCGTTTCCCAAGCTTTAGACGATGCTAGAAAAATGGTCCCAGAACAGGAGTATTTCGCTGCTTTGAAGCGTATCCAGGATGAGGAGGAAACTTTGCATAAGGAGTTCCAGAGACAGAGACAGGCTGTTCTTGCTTTACGGTCGGGGGAAGAGACTCGAGAATGTCGCTTGCGGCGAAAAGGGAAAGCAAGATTGCTCGGTAAAAAAGCAATCCTCGAAGGCAACGATGGTCGTCGCCAATTGATTGTTCTCTCGTCGAACCAAAAGCAATTACTCAAGCATCCAGCTTTGGCTTCGGTGCGTGCGTTCCACCTGTTGGAGGATTTCTCCAGTGCCAAGAACTACCCACGCATGCGACTGCCCGGTGGGGATAAGGCGAATCGCTTGGCTAGGTGGAAGCGCATGTCTTTAGAGAGTGGGCGTCGCAAATCCGTCGCCGACTATGAAGAGTTGTGGGAACAATTGGAACTCCTACAAAGCCGCGTGAATTTGAACTACATCGCCGATTTCTTCATCGAGTACTACTTGACGCAAACGCTGAAAAAACACCAGTTGGTGAAAGAACTAGCTGCGAGAGAGCAGCCAGCGCCGGAACCAGTGCAATTGCCGCCAGGGGAGGGAGCAGCATTGAAGCAGATTATCGAGACGAAAGACACGTACTATTCCAAGCCCTTGAAGGTGATGCAAAAAGCCGTCTCCGGATGGATTCGATCCTCCAGAGCCATCTCGAAGATTCGCGGAAAACTTGGAGGCTTGAAGAAACTACAAGAGAATGGAGGAGAGGCAATTACTGCAGGAGGAAAGGATGCCAATAAAGTTGTTCAAATTGGTGTTACTGTTACTGCTGCAGATGGAACTGCAACTACTATTCCTGCAGAAGAACACAAGGGAAGAAAGTCGGTTGTATTGAGAACAAACACTGGGAGACCTGATTCTCCTTCAGTATCGCCGCGACCAGGCTCTCCGTCTCAGCAGACGAGAGGACGAGCATCATCACCCTCCGCTCAGGGAGGACGTCCCTCGTCACCTTCTCAGGCAAACCGGGGTAAAAGTGGCTCTCCGGAACGCAGTAGTTCTGCAGGCGGCCGTCGTCCAGGTTCGCCTAAGTCTGGCTCGGCTCAGAACAAGAAAAACGGAAAGTTCAATCGTTCTATGACGGTCGTGGCTCATCATGGTGATGCGCCGTCTGGTGCTTTACAGTCACGCCCTCTGTCGCCATTATCTGGTCCAAAAGTCGCACAAGTTCGGTTGACGGAGGCGCAGGAAGACTTCCTTCTGAGGCAAGTCGTGGATCCGCAAGAAACTCGTGACCTTCGAGTTTTGAAGCTGGGCTTCGTTCCTCTCAACGTCTTGGGTCAATTCGTCTCTGTCTATTTGGGAATGCTGTATCCACACTTAAATCTACAGAACCCAACGTTTTGCTTCACCCAGCAAAGCTACGATCAAGTGTTGGATTTGGTTTTCGTGTTGTCAGCTGAAGAGGAAAGAAAGTCCATTCTCGCTGTGCAACAAGGAGACACCCATGTGAACCTGGACGAGTACTCTCAAGTACCTCTAGAAGTCGCCTGTGTCGTTCTTGAAGTCTCTCGCTTGCTCTGGCTGCAATCGCTACAAGGCACAGCCGCTCTGTCGCAACCCGTGGTCGAGAAGATGCGCAGGGTGTATAACCGTCAGACCCAACAAGCAGGCAGTGAAGATGGGATCCCGTTCAAGCTGTTCTTCCAGTCCATGGAAGCAGCTGGATTTGGCCTTTCTCCGGATGAACACCGCGTGTTGAAAAACCTAGTCCTCGAATGTGATCTCAACGGTGATGGCGTCACTTCCTTCCCGGAATGGCTCTACATCTTGCAGCGTTTTACGGACCGCAAGTTGGCAGATGCCTTGCGGGAGAGCAATTGGTACGCACGACGTCTGGAATGCGATGATTTGGCGGATGAGTTGATCTTCTTCATGGAAATCGAGCTTTCTAGGATGCGCGGTCTAGAACCAGGAACGTCGATGACGCAATTTTCGATGGCCGACGTGAAGGAGATCTTCAAGCTGCTAGGGCTGTCGAACTTGCCTGGTTGCATGCAGGACTTTGAGAAGGTACTTGTTAATCGTGTTACTGTTACTTGTTGGCGTCTCACCTTCTTCTACTTCTTGCATAATTGTGTTTCTATCTTCACCTACCTCCACATCTAGATGTTGAAATTGAATTCACCAAAATAATATGAGAAATTACAACAACATGAAGAAATCTCCTTCTCCAACCAATCAAATCAGATCACGCAGAAACTCTTTTACTCGTTCGATGCGGAGGGTCGTCCCAGCTTCCAGGAGACGTTCTCCAAAGCCGAAGTCTTACGCGTCATCGCCGAAGCTTTGTGGCAAGAACTGAAAGGCGAGAAGGTCCCCGTCTACGACGCCACCATGGAGGACAACATATATTTCAAGCACAAGCAAGACGAAACCGACGGAAATGCCGCAGTTTTACATAGATTGGGTGACAAACATGTGACGACGGATCGTGCTGCGGCAGTGAGGCGATTGAGGCAGCAGAGGGAGAAACAAGCTGGTGGGAAGAGGAAAAGAATGCTGGATACAGAGGAACTAGTTGTGGAAGATCTGGTTGCGCCGTCGTTTCGTAGGGAGATGGAGGAAGCGGAAAACAAAAAGAAATCAGAGTAAAAATCATTTACAAGAACTTTCTTGCACGATCTTATACTTGAACTTGATTTTGTTCCAATTAAAAGGTATTTCCACAATTTGAAGATCGTTCTGCTCAATGACTTTTTCATCGTCGAATCACTCCCATGATTAAGTACTTAGACTAGAATTAGTACGTCGTGTCTTCAATCTTGATCTCCCCCTATCTTCTCCTCCTTCACCCTCTCACCAGGCAACTGCGCAAGATGTCCATCTTAGTAACCGAGCTCCACCAATGGATCGAGCGCCTAGATAGACCAGGCGCCTACGTCGGCGACGAGCTCCAGCAGTGGCTCAGAAAGCGCTGGGTCCTGAGCGCAGAACAAACTAAAGCCGCGATGAAACACTACGCCGGACGACGTGATTATATCTATGCCCGCATGCAGTACCAGACGAGGAAGACGCATGCGCAAGCAGCTCAGAATGCAGGACAGGCAGTCGCGTCCCAAACCCAGATGGTCACGACAACAGAACAAACGCAAGGATTATTGGGGAATATTCACAGGCAGTTACTGGGAGGAGCAGAACCAACAGCTCCGCAAGTGGCCGAAGAGAGCAATGGTAATGCTGGTAGTGCTAGAAACGCTAATGGAAGTGCCGAAGGTGCTGATGCAGGAGCTGCTGTGGCTACGGCGTGAATTGTCTGTGGTAGCAATGTCGTGCGCATATTTTTTATACTTAATGATAGATTATTTCTCAAATTTATGTTATGCAGCATGTACTGAGATGAAGCAAGCGCTTTGCAAATTTTAGGAATGATGCAGCGGGAGTGATTACGACGATAAGCAAGATATTTAGTGCTGATTTCTACAACTCCTTGTCGTCTACTTACCCATTGGGAACCGAAAATGTACAATAATGAAATTTTTCCACGAGAAGCGGGAAACTCGGGGACACAACGAACTGTATATACGCCGGCTTCTCTTGACCAGGCAACTCAATAGATACATCGTGCATAAAAATTATGAACAGCTAAGAGTAGTAGATAACAATTACGCACAGGGAAATACAATCCATGATGAATACTTTTACTTATTTCAGCTTGAAAACGATCACGGGCCATTGAAAAACAAAGCATCTCCGCGCATAGAAATACCTACTGAAGATTGAAACATATGCAGGCTTGGTACTTGAAAGACTGCACAAGACTCACGCATCGCATTTATTCTTCGAAAACTTGTACATGAAGCGAGCTGATCTTGGAACCTGAAAAAGTCAAGATACTGATCTGGGAACTGAATACAACGTAGATCTCGCGCTACCATTCTACATGATCACAATCGTTTTGAAAAATCAGACTTCAAGAACTCCGAGAATGTTCACTTCGCTTGTTCAAATATAGAACGCTCTGTCCTGTTCTGGAGATGCTGCTGGTTTCCTTGTTTAGATCCTTCTGTTGATCTTTCTGACACTCCCTCGGTTCTTGTAGAAGATCCTCAGCACTCTTCTGATGTGACGTTACGCTGAAAAAAGATCAGAAGATGATGAAAACGGCTCTTGTAGATGAAGTTCTAGTTTAAGAAAAAGAGGCGGATTTATCCCTAACCACAAACAGCAGGAGCACGAGTACTGGGAGTAGGTTCGAAAGAATCATGTTTCTACTCAGTTACAAAAGACCCCTTTTTCATTTATGCACTGCTTGCTGAGTATGCGTTAAAACAACTTGCTCTTACCACAGTACTACATCAAGAAGACGAACTCTTTATACAACGTCTTCTACAACCTTTCTCAGCTGAGCACTCCCGTCAATCAAAAAAAAATGTTGCGCAAGAGTACGCGTGAACGCAAGGAGTACCTCTTCCAGAAGGCCCTGGAGGACCGCGAAAGCGCCACGTTCGAGAAAAAGAAGCGCCTCAGAGATGCTCTCGAACAGAACAAAGCTCTACCTACAGAGCTCCGCAACAAGTCTGGCGATGCACTGCGGAGAAAACTGGATTTAGAGGATGACGTGACCAAGGATCAACACCAGGTCTTAGATGACGAATACGCCTACATGGGCGTCAGGGATCCGAAGATCGTTTTGACGACAGCGCGAGAGCCGTCAAGTAGGTTGATGTCTTTTGTTAAGGAGTTGCGATTGCTCATGCCGAACGCACAGAGGATAAATCGAGGTATTTTCTACTGATATTAAACTACTTGAAGTCTTTTTTTTATATATACACGTTAGTGTGGCGTATAATATGGTGAAGATGACTTTTGCCTTTCTTAAGTAAGGACAAGCTTCTACTTAGTACTTCCTCATCGAACAAAATGAGAACCGAAAACAATAAGAACCTGTTGTATGAAAATATCCATGTGCAGGATCCCTAACCTAACCTAACCAAAACCTTATTTCAGGTAGCTACGTAATGAAAGACTTGGTTGAGATGTCTCGCAAGAACGGCGTCTCCGACATTGTGATAGTCCATGAGCATCGTGGTGAGCCAGATGGTTTGATCATTTCCCACCTTCCCTACGGCCCAACCGCCTATTTCGGCATGAAGAACGTAGTTTTGAGACATGATTTGTCCGAAAAGCCGGACAACATGTCCGAAGCTGCGCCTCATCTTTGCTTCCACAACTTCGACTCCAAATTTGGCCAGCGCGTTGCCACGATACTCAAGGCGTTGTTTCCGCCACCTGCGCCATTAGGCAATCGCGTGATGACATTCGCGAATCACCGAGACACAATCCACTTTCGACACTACAACTATGGCGACAAACGAGGATCTTCAAACAATGGCGAAGAGGATGGAAGCGCGTCATCTTCTGCCACAAAGCTAGCAACGAAAAAGCGGAAACTGATGAACAATGCGGTAGCGAACAACAATGGGATGCGAGAGCAGGATGTGGACTTGCGCGAAGTAGGACCACGATTTTCTTTGCAACTTTATCGTGTCGAACTGGGTACACTGGAGATGAAAGACGCGAAGGTCGAATGGGTCTTGCGACCATACTTCAATAAACAGAAAGACGTTTTAGCGGATAGCTCATCTTTGGGAGGCGGTGGTGCAAAAAAATAATAGAGCAGAACACCAAGAGCAAATCCAAAAAAACAGATAGATTTAGATGCATTGTTTGGAAGATTGTGAAAATTTAATTTTTTCTAGTCTAAGGATGGAAAGTCGGACCATCCTTTGTCGACGTCCTCGCGTCGGCGGATGTAAGCAGGTAAAAGGGCGTGTTCGTTATAAATGTGGCAAAGAAGCTTTCGCTGCTAGTGTTAAGAATTCCTGAACCTAACACTAGCAGCGACTCAGCTTCTTTGCCACATTTATAACAGAGCGATTTATAAGGTTTCACAGCTCGCATGGCATGGAGTAGCATGGAGTGCATGGAGCGCAGAGCTTTAAGGGGCGCAAGAAGCTCCCCCTTTAGCTCCATGCTACTCCATGCGATCCATGCACTCCATGCCATGCGAGCTGTGAAACCTTATAAGTTGCTCTGTTATAAATGTGGCAAAGAAGCTGTCGCTGCTAGTGGTAAGTTCAGGAATCCATCTTCTAGTAAAAATCGTCTTGTTTTTTCGAAAACAACGGATCTATCCAGATCATCAAAATTCCACTGTAGAAGATCGCGATCATTTTTGATCATTGGGTCGTCTACTTCCGGTACGTAAAACCTAAAAGTTAGTTCGTTGATGGCGATGGACGAGAAATCATATTGAGTGACGATGTCTGTTTATATCCAGGCTCTTGATGGACTGCATGATTTAGATGGATTCTAACTACTAGTATTGCATTCTAACTTGTTTTTTTTGAATCAATTTCATTGTTTCATTACAATTACATAGGTATGTTTCATCATTGCGAGTAATTTATTATTTGTATGTTTTTTTGTTGTGACAGTGACACAGAGTCCTGCAGAAGTAAGTACATGTTGATTGTTATCTTCCACAGACCTCAGTACCTGTAATCGTGAAGAATTCAAAAAGATGTCTGCGGAACCAGTTGTTTATCCAACTGGTCAACAAGGCAATATCGGGTTGTATACGACCATGCCTACTCATGTGGCTACAAGTCCGAGAACGGAACGTGGAAAACAGTCGTGTACGGGGAAATGTTGTAAGGTTACTCTCTGGGTTATTGGCAGCATCGCAGCTCTAGGCTTCATAGCTGGTGGCGTGATCTTTTTCGTGGACCTGTCACGACAAGAGAAGACTCGTTGGTCTTCCTCTCCTCTTTCCCGCAGCTTCCCAAGATCTTCCTTGGACGCAGCTTCCTCAAGTTCTTCATCAAACACTGCGAGAGCTGGAGTTGGAAGTGGAGTCCCCCCTATTATGAGAGGAGGAGGAGGAGCAAATGCAATTGCAAACTACGAAGATCATGGACGAGGAGAGACAACTTCTACTGTCGGTCCTACTACTTCTGGAGACGAGCAGCCTCCGAACAACTCGAGTCCCTCACCTACAAATAATCAGGACGATGTGCCGCCCCCTACTGCGGGAACACGGTCTGGTGCGGGAACACGGTCTGCAAGCACGTCTTGTTCATCTGGAAGTCGTCAACCTCCTGTTTCTGCCTCGTCTCGTGAGGACGAGCTAGAAGATGAAGAGCAGCAGGCTGAGCAGAAGGAAGAGGAGCTAGAAGAAGCGCAGCAGGCTGAGGAGTTGCAACGGCAAGAACAGCAAGAGAGGGCTAGGGAGGAGGAAGAGGAGAAACGTTATCGCCAACTCGAACATCAGATGTATAAACGGCGCCACGAAGAGATCAGGGCAAGAAGGAGAGAAGAGCAGCGTGTGATAGAGGAGTCTCGACGCGTACCCGACTTATTGCCACTTCATGTCAGAAAGCAGCTTGCCTTAAGGCTCAATATATTTCATTTCTGAGAGTCATTTCTCGCTGATTCCTTTTTGGAATGACGGAAAAATGAAGGCAAGAAATGAAATGTTTGAGCTCTAATTCAGGAGTTTGATCTCTACCGCAAGGCAGCAGAGGACGTGGCCGAAGCACTGCAGTGTGCGTACAACTTTGGCAAGACTCTTTCAGAACAGTATGGAGGAGAAAGTCCAGCCAATGATTATCATCGAGAACTGTGGGAGGCAGAAGCCCATAAGATGTGGACGAAGGAACAACAAATCAAAAAAGAACGTGAGCGTCGCAGGAATAGGCAGGTATAGCAGATTCAAATGCCTCAAGTTGTATAAGACCGCCTGCTGTCGTGGGTGGTGGAACAACTCTGTGACGGATATAAGACGAAGATCTCTCAAGGAGACTGCGATTTATAGTCATGAGTTTGAGCAGTACCAAAAATTCAAAAATATGTTGGAAAAATTTTTTATTTAAGAATATTATACGTTTAAGTAAGTACTAAAAGAACTAGAAACTACTAGACGTGCAGCTATGAAGACGCTATGATTCTAGTAGCCGTGCTATGAAGTAGATGCTATGAGTATCATAAATCCCCTCTAATGATAATAATAAATCAGTATCAGTATTTACCTGAGCATGGATGGCAAAGCTATACAATGAATGGTTTTTTTAAACTACGCAAGGATTTGGTCGGCCCTCGTAGTACATTCATGTATAAAAACTCGTTTCAAGATTTTCTTTTAGATATTTATACGTACTACAGCTGTGAGAGTATACAGAGGAATAAGTTCGCTTCTATCACAACTGCTGGCATGTCGTATGAAAATGTTTTGATGTCGTTTCACTCCTCCCCTTGGTCGTATCAGCAGCATCTTTCCTCTGAAGATATGTATTAGAATATAGTGCAAAATGAAAATGTAGAAGATGCAAAGGGAATTTATTTTCTTCGGCTTCTTAGAAAGGGCAACAGGAGACAGGTCAATGCTAAAGAGGTGCACACGCGGCGAGAAAACGGGGAATGCGTTGCTGCAGCTTGGCGGAAAATGCAGCCATCCGATATCGAGGTTCACAATTTCTAGGCATTCCTGTGTCCTGGCTATCATTTAGTCTCATAGTATATGTGCGACTATGTGAGACTCGTGCCATGCCATGGGACGGCGCGGTGGACTAAAGGCAGAAACGCGATGCTGCAGCCTGGCTGAAAATATAGCCATTCGATATCCTCGGACACATCAAGATGGAGGATCCGTCATGTTCATCTCCGTCTCAGTCATAGACATCAGCAGTAGTCAACTGAGCAGTATGGACGATCCATGATCTTTACAGGATCTTATAAAGACCCTACAAAGACCTAGAGAGTAGCTACTAGTAGAAGATCACTACAGGAGAAGATCAAGTTCAAGGCTTGTTGATCTCGAAGTCTTTCTTTTTGTAGACAGCAGCGCTTACCACTTCCCCGCCGCAAGAAAAAATGGATGGCGGATCTCTAACTTGTTTTGTAAATCATCCTCTTCCACAGGACCCTTCTTGTTTTTTTTAGAGTTCAATAGTAGTGGTCGCTCTGTCTCGTGTAGAATCAGTTACTTACACAGACGAGAGAGAAAGAAGATATTGTTAGTTTTTATCTGCTAGGTAGATGAATGAATGAATGAATGAATGAATCTAAGCCACCGTAGTCTTTATTAGTTTTTATCCAAGCCAACAAGTTTCTGAATCTCCCTTCACTACTTTGGAAAAAATGTCAGGCCCAACTACTTTTGTTGCGAATGGCAACAACATCGGCGCATATACAACACAACCTGTCATAGTTACAACAACTCCTACGACACGACAGAGAAGACAGTGTATGCACCCATGCTTGGTTGCTGTGTTGGTTATTCTTGGCGTCGGAATCGTAGGTGGCGCAGTCGGGTTGGTTATTCACTTCACTCGGCCGTCCACGTCCCCCTCTTCACCCATTACTCCTCCGAGAGGTCCAAATGCGCCAAGTAGAGGAATACGAGGTCCAAACACGCCATCAGGTTCAACGCCACCACGAGTTGCTGGCTCAAATGGAATTCCTCCTATTTTTATGAGAGGAGGTAATGGTAATCGTCATGCTAATGTTAATGCTGGAAACGGCAATGTTCGTGGAAATCCGACAAATGGCAATCGTGAGCAGGAAGCAGCAGCGCGTCAAGGTCAACGTGAGCAGGAAGCAGCAGCGCGTCAAGGTCAACGTGAGCAGGAAGCAGCAGCGCGTCAACGACGCCAGCAGGAAGCGGAAGCAGCAGCGCGTCAACGTGAGCAAGAAGCGGAACGGCGCGTCGCAAGGTCGCGACGCGAGCGTCACGAGGAAGAGCAGCAACGACGTGAAGAGCAGAGCAGGCGAGAGCGGCAAAGGCAGCAGTCGATGCAACGCGATCCCGAAGTTCGCGGACCTGGTCCGTTGGACGAGCTGATGGATGATTTGCTGGGTGAGGTGGGAGAATTGGAATCGGCAATACACGGCCAGAACGCAGGCTTGGACGGACTGATGCAGTAAGTTTCAAGCTTATAATAAATGTGGTGCGCAGGAGCTGAGGCAAACAAGTCCGTTGTTGAGGTTATTACTTAATTGCCCGGTGATGGTGTGAGCAAGGTGATTTTCTCTTGACATGCAAATATCATACATAGCAACTTGCTCGGCAGAGAAAACGAGCAGGATGAAAATGGCTTGAAGTTGAATTCAAAAATCTCGTCATTCTTTTTGATGGAGTTGCTGGACGTTTGGAACTCAGAAGTGTCGATTATTTATTAGTCCGAGAAGGAGTAAGAAAGTTCGGAATCTAAAGGTTACAATGTTCGTTACGAAACGGCTCAGAATGCGGGTCCATCTTTATCATTTTGTTTTTTTAGTATCCATCGAAATCGTTCTTCATCTTCCTTGCTTGTGGTTCGCAAATTATAATAGTTTTCTTTCTAATTTTGTCTAAGTGGAATGGCATGCATATCAATCCATCCTAGGATTATACTCAGGCGATTTACAACTATTCTTGTAGTTGCAAAGTTTCTTGTCTTAAGTAGTTAATGTTTGTTCGAACAGGATACGCTAAGAAAGCTCTCAGTAGTTGCATTAAGACAGGAGTTCTAAACTTAGTTGTACGCGGTCTTTGTATGACTTCGAGGATTCTCTTTGCATGCGTGATGAAACATCGTTGTATTGGAGCGTGAGTGTCTTATTTTATTGTTGGTTTGTGTTGGTTAGTAAGCTTGTGATGTAGATGATGAAAATGACCGTGGTCGATTTCTTCTACGTACTCCTGTCGCACGTAGTCAAACATCCATAGTGGAGTCAATCAATCACGAAACACAAACGTCACACATCTCCAGCGGGGGAAATTCCTCGCGTATTCCCTCGAGATAGAGCCGCCCAGGCCTCTACCTCTAAGGACCCTGTTGTCATCATTTCCACAAAAATCCACACCCACACCAAAACTTGTAGGAAGTTGATTCAGGTACATCCGCAACGCGGAAGCAGTAACCTAAGCGCTAAGAACACTGCGAAAGCACAGGACTAACTAGGGGGCCGTGTTGTAGAAAAACGAAAAATAACAGGAGAGCTTGAAAAACAACAAAGGCATCAACAAGCCTGGCCCGATCATCACTAAAGTCAAAATTTTGGACATGATATTACGATGGTGTTATCAAGAAGACCTACTTCCTCCTCCAGCACAGAGGTCCTTGATCAATTTATCATCAATATCATGATCAGCAGGAAAAGGTAGAATTCCTATCGGTCCGTTGCTATCTGTGCCGGTCGCAATCGCTTAACAGAAGAATCGGGAAGAGAAACGATCGGTCAAGAATATATCCAGAGTGGTCTTCGGCACTGAATATTCGGTCTACTTTACCACTTACGACTACGAGTTTCGTGGATCTATCCTCTCCACCCCCTTAGACCAGCACCCGACGCTAATCTGCTTCACTTCTCCACGTACATGATGGATCTGCCTTTTTAAGATTCATGCACTTGTATTCAACATTTTTCCGATTCATTGGCTCACTAATGCACGACAGTAGAACTAGGCGCGGTTATAATTTCATGCGTGAGACATGATCGTGATATCATGACATAGATATTGTTCATAGATTTTTCTGTCTTCCTCTACCCCTTCAACGGCATTTTTATACTTAGTGTACACTTAAAGGCATTCCAGTACCTTCGAACTACAAGATGCCAGAGGGTGCGGGGAGCCCTCGAAGCGATGCTTCCCACCATGTTGGGCCTCACAACAAAAAGATCGGGACGGCTCGCGAAGCTTTCACGCTTTCAGTTAAGGAAAGGTTGCTCTCTTAGATAGAAGAACGTTGTAAAATTATTTCTTCTCTAATCCGCCAGGACTCAGGATATGTGGGGTAAGGTGGCTCGTCTTTGCGCCAGATATTGTTGGCCGCTGGATGGAAGAGTGCTGCTTTCAAGGTGTACATGGACATGGGGGAGCTTTGCTTCCTCGGGTCGCTCTTTTTTGGTGATCTCTACTCTTGTACTGATTACCCGCCCGCCCTTTGCCCTGGTCTCGTTGCGCCGCTTCCTTGTGTCGTGGCCAGCGAGATGTGCGCCCACCACGGCAACTGAGGGCCGGCCCGGAGAACTTCATACTATCTTTTTGTCACTCTTCCTCTAATCCCCAACTGTTCGATCGGCGGGCCAGGACTCAGGATATGTGGGGTAAGGAGCCGATGTTCTATAAACGAAAATTCGATGAAGGCCTAGGCTCGAACACCCTCGTCCACAAGCAGTCGGGATTGCAGTTATGAGAGATTGATTCTTGTAGTTTTTTCGGAAATTTTCTTAGTCCAGCTTGTTGTAGTTTACTAGCACAGTTGTACTTATAGCTAAGCATCAGAATAAAGCCGCTTTGTGAAGATTTCAAATAATAGGCACGGTAACTCTGGTAGTACAAGTACACAGCACTGCTGGAAGATTGAATTAATCTAGCAACGAAAGCACGTGGAAAAGTGTAGAGGCAAGAAGAAAGAAATGTTATTAACACTTGAAGAAGAAGTGGGAAGGACTTACTTACTAAATATTCCTCAATACCCCTCGAATGGGTACACTACTACTAATCCTACTACTACTGAAGAACGGCAACCTTCTTCGTTTTTCTAAGTCACGTGTTGAGAATATTCGCGGATATAGTGAATCGCACCGATAAGCGGTTTCCACCAGAAGGGAGGGACAATGTCTGTGTCTTCCTCTGGACAAAGAGGAGTGAAGTGCCAAAATTGCTCAAAGTAGGCCAAAACAAGCAATTGTGGCCTGATGTCTTGCGGAAAGAATGCAGTGTGTGGGAAGAAGAGGTAACAAGTATCTAGATACTCTAATTTCAAGTGTCGATCTAGTTTTTCTTGTGTCGCTGATGCTATGGAGAGAATCACCGTATCTATCATGATAAACAGGTTTCTCAGCATCACCATTCCTTGCACGAGGCTAGTACGGCAACTCGAACCTCAGCGACGACGCGGACAAGCGCCAGCAGCGTCTCCATGGGTTCTTTAGGTGCAGTGGCAGAAGAGTTGGGCCCGATAACACGAGTCTTTCTGGGCAATTTCACTACTCTAGAGGTCGAAGACTTTCACCAAATGGCGGAGAAGAATGGCGTCAGACCTTTCAACGACAAAGAGGGCTATGCGCATGCAAGTACTATAATTTGTGTCTGATAAAAATTTATCACGTTGATCTGAGTAAATTGGTTTGACCAACACAGTCACACGTGTAAGAAAAAGGAGGTCCACTTGTGAATGTACATCACAGCTAAAGTCCACCTAGTGGAAATGCTGACTGGGAGGCCATTCCGGGACTGTCTTCGTGACGGAACTGTAGAGAGTTTTGAGGTCGGGGTGCCGATATACGTGCCCTTCTCCTTTCTCGCGCAATGCAGGGATGCGTATGGTTAGGGCTAAATTAAATTAGCAAGCCTGAAGTTGCAGATATTATTAGCGGTCGTTGTAAAAATAGGAGTGTCTCATAGTATGTAAGCCGAGATGAACTTCTTGATGCGTCCAGACATAGAATACGCACACCAATCAATCAGGCAATCAACCAATAATTCAGTCACTCTCACTCATCTTCTAACATCTCGCCAGTCAGTTCCCAGTGATGGTCAGCGTTTGTCTCGCGGATTATTCACGAGAGACAGTGACCTTTTGGAATGATCGACTAGTTGACGCCTGTGCAGCAGGCGATCCGGCAAGAGTAGAGTTATGTCGTTGAAGGATCTACTTGGCTCAGAATTCTTGGCAGATTTAACACGCTGTAATCACGGAGAGGAGTTTCTATCCCCCAACTGTGAGCATTTTCTACTGAAGCAGACGATACCGCCTTCTTGAAAAACTGTCTTCGTGAAAAGAATTCACGCTGTAAGCCTTACATAACAAATAAACTATCTACTGCACCTCCTTCCACATCCACACACCTCTAACATCCGAGTGTTTCGCGAATGGCGCAGGAATCAACCATCAAGATGTCAAAGGATGGACGCCACTTCATGTCGTAGCCAATATGCTGCATGACAGAGCGTTCAGGGAGAAAAATAGGAAGAAACAAGTCCTCGACATCTTGTTGAAAAGAAAGCCGAATGTACTTCGTTACAAATTGTTTTTTTTTGGTCACCGTTACAATTGGTTTAGCAGTAGACCTCTCCACAATAAAAAAGCCGAGGCATAATAAATTTGCTTGTCGAATTTAATTTGCAGGGCACGTCATTCTCTCTCTACAGTATTTTGATTTTCTCTCTACAGTTTTTAGATGATTATGAAGCTCTGTGTCGTCCACTCTACACACAGATGCACATTCGAACCTTGAGAGGCGACTTGGCTGTTGATTTGGCGGAAGCGAGGGGGTTTGAACTCTGCGCAGAAGTGTTACGAGCAGAGAACCTGATACGTATCGGCAAAGAAACACCACCGGAGATGAAGCAGGATCCACCTTTGAAGCGAGCACTTCGGGATGCGCTGTTGTTTTAATGCATTGAAGACAATCATTTCATGTCATATCTGTGAATTCAAAAGTATAATTTCAGTTTGGAACAAAAAGTTCAACGATCATCTTCGTGCGGTGGTGCTTTTGTTTCTTGTATTTCATCTTTGAGCTTGATTTTCATATGCTATTAAATGTAAATGTGAACAGACTGAATATTCGAGCAGCACTGGCTTCCACCTCATATTTCTAACTCGGGAATTACATGCGTATCAAAAGGATCTAGATATTAAAACTCTTTTCATTAGATACATGCTGGCAGTTGTTGCATTATCAACTAAATGTTAGGGACACCTCGCGCACCATTGGCTGGCACAGCTACAATGGGCAATTGCTTGAGAGAGGATGTCAATTAATCTTCTGAACTTGCTGTGAAGAAGGCTTTGTTTGCACAGTAAAGGACAGTTGCTTTCTTCCGTGTGTGAAAGTGTCTGATCAAATTCTGTGCTACATCAGAGAAGTAACCGCCTCGCTATGCCAGTTCAATATGTTCCCACGGATGGGACTGGCACAATGGCGTTGCACAATAAGTGGTCGATGAGCTAATAATAGAACAGGATCATGAAGCAATATCACGAAGAAACGGTTTCGAGTTTCATTCCAAAGATGATTCGCAGTTGAACCTGCTGTTGGGTGCATTACATGCAGCCTCTTTTTCAGCAGGAGAGTGCAACTCCATGATGTCCTAGTAGAAGCGACTTCTCCCTCGTCTAGAATTGTCCGTCCGACTTAAATGGGTTGAGAAATGGGGTAACTAAATAGAGGCGCGGTCAACGGAGTGGCCGTGCCTCTATTAAGCTATCCCATTATTTCTTTCCCATTTCTCGGAAAAGTGAATCGAAAAGATCAAAAATGAACTCGATCTCCTGAACCAGATCTGCAGAAGTTAAGTTTTGTTATGGCTCTCGCTCCACCTTATTCACTTGATGGGCCTCAATGTCTGGCTTATTGAGGTCGACTGTAGGAGTAGAATAACATGCTTGGCGCAACCTGCATACTCGTTCTGTGGTGTATAGCATCTTTAACCGAGCAGACAGATCAATTATTTGTGCATTCACCGGACAGCACTGCTGGCTTTCTTATGTTGGGGAAGGTGAGGCAATTCGTGTCCTATCCTAGCCAATCGTTCGAACAGATTAGAATGACGAAGATCTCCACCTCGTAGTTCTACCGATCTTCAGTCTTTCTTTTTCCCTTGATATGCGATTCCGTACGCGATTGAGGTCCCCAGAGAGACAAGACGAAGCGGTTTGATGTAAGACCTAAGTGTTCCGGCACAGACCTAATTGTTCTGTGTCGGACGTCTATTCCATTCCGAAATTATCCATCTCTAGACTAGAAGATGGTCTTTCAATAACAATCTTCATCCGTCCTGTGAAAACAAAATGATGACACTTACTAAAGTACAGTTCTGCTTCTGATGCAAAGTGCTGAACCTTTAACCATTCATCTCTCATCGCTCTGATAACCTACGTCTCCGAAAATTTGCGACCCAGTTCTACGATTCGTCGTAATTGTCATCTAGTCTTTTCCTAGTTTGCAACCCAGTTCTACTATTCCTCGCAGTAGATATCTGGTACTACTGTGACGGTCACCAATGTCATTTACTTGGCTTCTTTTATGAAGCCGTGAATACGTAGTTGGTTGTACGCTGCTTGAATCCCGCCCGTGCCCGTCGGTCTCAAACAAAAAACCAGGGTGGAGCACCTGGCGATGATGATAATTTTTCTGCACGATACACTCTGTGCCTCATTACCCTCGCTATGGGGAGGAAACAATTTCCATTCTTGCAATACTACTTCTACTCTGCTGCCCTCCTGAACTACTCTTCTTCATAGCATGCTCGAAGTGCAGCGGGGTAGTACATCCCGCTTTCTACATAGAAGCAGCTCTTTTTACTCTGAAATGTGTCTGACTTGGAAAAGTCATCGGTATACCTTATCATACTGCCTTTCTTTCAAGATGATTTTCTGATGTAAATAGACGAAGACTTGAAGGAAACTGGCTGTTCGCGTTCGCCCGTCGCTTCTGTCCGCCTCAGTCGGTCGCCCGTCCTGTTCTTCTCTGCTGCCCTCTTCTCCACGATTTGTTCTGCTCCCGATTTCGACGGGCGTAGCTACTTGGTGCGAATAGACCAACCATCCGTCTGCAAATGCTACTGCTTTTGTACTTTTCTTTCTTACCGGAGTAGTACTAGTAAGATGAGTGTCCGTTGTATCTATCTATTCGGGAAAAACAAAGTCGGGGCGCGCCTTGGTCTAGGAACATCATTCTCTCAGAGCAGTGGGACCCCTAGGCCGCGGGTTTAGTAGGTGCTTCCTCTAGTTCTTTCCCTAAATCGGTTGAGTCAACACTCCCTGGGAAGACATTCGCCTTCTGGTGATTTGGTGGTCCTGTCCCTCCTTTCGTTCACTCACAATCAGATTTTACTACAAGAACAGTCATCCTATCACTCGGCACGAGAAGTTCTCTTATGTTCATCACGACAAGATTATCGTGGATAGCTCGCTGTGTCTGAGCATACGAAAAAGTGCAACTCTAACATTCAAAAACAACCACTCCAGTGATGACAAACCTTTTGTCTTTCGCCTCTAACTGATACTCAGTAAATGCGGATACGACTAATCCTCTAAGAAGTTCTGATAATGTTTCATTATTCTGTGCAGTACACCGAAGAAGATCTCTTCCGGGAATGTTCGATGTGCTGGATTCACAACCTAATCTAAGACCTTAACCTCACCGCTCTTCGTCTATATTCGTTGCATTCCTTTCACTCGGTGGCTGCATCGCCATCCGCTGATTCTTGGGTCAAGGGGTCGTAACCACAAGTGCGGCAGGGGTCTTCTCGAGCAGCCACTTGCGCTCGTGCCTTTAACTTATTCTGCGTGAAAGGCAGACTTCCGCAGTGATTTTGACTAGATGACGCGATCTATTTCTCAAGCAGCGAATTACTCGGATGATGACATATCGCCGCCTCGAATACTCTAAGCCTTCTGCATTACCTCTGAATCTCTAACGAGATCTGACTTGGTGCCACCCTCTTTTTCCACAACTGACTCCACTTTATGCATCTGTTCTGCAACAAGCACCTTTACATGCGCGTCTTCCGATGAACAACAAGCTGAAGTCGCCGCGCACTGATGATACAGTAACCTTCAAACTTTAATATACGCTCTGAAGTTAGATGAGGAAACATCATACTGGCACCAGGCTGATCGTGCTGTGACTACTCTTTCTGTTCCAAGGACGCTCCTGATGATAACAATTTCTAATCTGTCAATCCTCTTAGCTCTAGGGCGAAGATGACACACTGAAATTTTTAAGACTACGACGATCTGACATGTTATTTACTATTATAGTTCTGCTCTACTTCTCAGGAGGATGACAATTTTTTTCGGACTAGAGTTTTCGAGGCCCTAGTCGATGATATACACAAATATTGACTCGGTCTGATCATTTGGTCACTGCTTTCGCTACATCGAGCTCCGAAAGAAACTTCATGTTTTATATTCCCACAGACAGGGACGAGTGCTTGCCAATATTTCCATTTGCATGCTCCATCAAATGCTGTGGTAAACCGATACGCTGGTGCTGTTCGCAATTGTTTTTCGAATAGATGCGTTGCGGGTGTTTTGCAAACATCTACAGCGCGTGTCTATTTCGATTGCGTGCGGTCTGCGGACAATTTATTTTCTTGGCTTCCAGTCATGACCAATTAGATTCTCTCTTATACTCCTCCTATCGTCTCCTGACGTAGAGCTGCGGCAGTCGCAGCTGCGGGAAATCGGCGGGTTCGTAGGGAATTAGTGCGCGGTAGTATAAGGAGGCGAATGCACTCCACCCGTCGCCGGCAGGTACACCGGATAACACTGGGATCTCCCTTGCGACGTTCTCGGACTACAAACAAAAACACGGTGCCCTGCAGAGGCAAGCTGATTGATTGGCTGATACGTCATGAATGAACCCACTGCTTCCACTAATGCCTGCGTCGATTATTATCTCCGGGACTGGCAGCTGCGATTACCTGCTACTCTGCGGACAAAAGTCTACTCTTGACAGGATGAGATACCTAAAAAATGAGAATAAGTCGAAACTGAGCAGGAAGTTCTTGCGAGTGACGATTAGCGTTTAAGCATCCCCATCTGAGCAAGATACATATAGATGCAACTCTCTTTCTACGTTAATTGTTCCGCATTTGATCAAGATGCGGCTCGCTTGTGAAGGGGTTCCAAACTTGACCGAGGTACTTCCTTGTGAAGAGATATCCCACTTTGTCAACCATACACTAAGTTCAACATTGTGCTATGTTGCCTATCCTTGTGGATCGATGTTTCATGCCCTGTTGTTGTTCCCCCACAATGCTATTGCTACCCAGCGGCAGCCCGTCACTGTGTGAGTGTGACAGCAACTTCCCTCCACTGAGTGACAAACGAGTCGAATGATGTCTGGCGGAGCCCTTTATTGATGCTGCTGTTTTATTCCCTTGGCTGGATTTCTATTTTTCAACAACTCAAGCTGGAAAAAATGGTAAATGAAGAAGCTGCGGCAGCAACGTTTCCAATTTCGCCAAGTCTGTCTTACTCATAATAAACATACAAGCAAAAAAATGGGTGAGGACACTACTTAGTAGTAGAATGCCAGCACATCCGCAGGCACAGTTCTCCTGAAGACCTGGTGAAGGAATTAGCGTTATACATAGCAGTACGTTGTTTAGCTGTAGTAGAAATGTTTTCAACAAAAACAACTGCGTTGATAATACCTCAGCAAGAATCCTACGTGACTGTTACACAAGAGAAAATGTCATCTCAATCCTCAGCCTCCCATTTTCAATCTGGTGCGGCTTCTTCGCACCACCAGAAGAAGTCGCCCTCGCCTTTCCGCATTGAGGGTAAGAATGGGAGTCTCGATATTCGGATGGAAAAGCGCAAAAGAGGAGTCGTGACGATCCTAGGTCGTTGTTACGGGAATGTCAAACGTCTTCTGACTCTCTTGAGGACTAAATTCGAGTGCACCTGCGAAATTTACGATGCGGAAGGAGCTGTAAGTGCGGGGACTACAGGGAGAACGGATGGGGCAGGGAAAGATGGAGAGTTATGAATGATTATAGTCAAAATGCAGCGGCAGTGCTGGGTTACCACGATCTAAATGAGTATGTATGACCTGTTAATTCAGGTTGACTAGGAATTTTTATGGGATGAAGAAGTGCTAGCGTTCCTACTCTAAGTCGAGCGTGCATAGATATGAGTAGTTTCCGTAGTCGAGGACTGCCTCGAGTTCGTTCTCTTCATCTCTACACTATCATACCAATCCGAGGCCTACAGCATCTGCCTCATGGCAGGCGATATACGGGTGGAGTTGGAGTTGTGGCTTTGGGACGAATACTTCGGGCCTGATGTTGCTGTGTCTAACCGTACTTTACCAAGTAGCGGTGTTGTACTCTGCAACCTCCGCAAGTTGACTACATTGACCCGATCAAGTGCTGAATACAACTCGCGCTTGGTTGCATATAGAAAAGCTATCGCTGCTGCTGCGGCTTCGTCTTCTTCCTCTGGTGCTGCTGCAAGCTCTTCCTCTGCCTCGTCGCCGACAAAGAGAGGAGACCAGAACAAAGCCAGGCCCTTGGTAAAAGACGGCGTGATCAATGTCTTTACTAGGGATGGCGCGACGAAGGAATACGATGCAGTTTTGCGTGGAGGTACCCGTAAGCAAATCCAGTACGAAAATCCGATGGAGGCAGCGCCTTGCTTCATCTGGCATGGATATTGGCCCTATTGTACTGGCAATTGCGTCCAAACAGATGACGTTGATCTCTTCCATTGCATGGAGGCTGAAGATTCGAATAGCGTCTTCATTGGTGGAGAGCAAGAGAAAAACAGTAGTTGTACAGGGAGCTCATCATCATCTTCTTCATCTCACACGGAAGGACAAGAACCAGGTCCCGTTCCCTTTGATTCGTCTGAGGGTGACGCCTTTTTTCGTGAGTTAGGGCTTTCCGCGGACCTAAACAGAGAAGCGATAGAGGAGTACAAAAGGGAGGTGGGTGAGAAGAAGGCCTCGAGTACTTCACGAAGTACAAAGCTGATGAAGGAAGGTCGTACTGCCGCTTCATCGTCTTTCAGCTCATCAAGAGCTCCTTCACCTGATCGTCGAAAACAGGAAGCCTACCTGAAACAGCTGCTGGCGGAGAGGCAAGAAAGGCTTGAAAAAGCGGAGAAAGCGCATGTCTGTAGCTACTGCGGTCATATCTTTGGACTGCGCAAGACACTGGCTTTGCACATGCGCAATGCCCATGGCGTTACGCTTTCAGTTTCGAGAAGTAGCGCGACACCAGCATCTTCAAGTAGGAATAGGCCTCCCAGAAGTGATTCTTCCTCAGCAGCTAGGTTTGTACAACACCGATCCTTGCAAAATGCGATCCCTGACCATATGAAGCCTGGAGCTCAGCCTTCGAGAGTACAGAGCAGCGGGTGGGCTGCTCCCGAAGCATCTTCATCTTCTACCACTCCGAACAGACATACTCAGGATAGCGCATCAAGAACTAGTCTACCTAAAAAAGTCAGCCTGAAAAAAGGAACGACGTCCATTCAAGAAGAACAGGCACCAGGTCCACGGAAACGGAGTACAAGCCACCTTCCTCCAAAGGCTGTTACAGCTACCGAAGCAAAGAATGCCTCTGCCTCAGATAGAGAAGCTACATTGTCGAAAAGAAAGCAGAAGGAGCTACTGCGCCAACCAAAAGTTTTCCGTCTCGCGGAAGGCGCAGACGACATATACGTGGACGCTTTCGGACAGCCTCTAGACGTGGAGTCTGAGCTATTAAGGCTATAAATATATTTTTGATTTTCTCCTTTGATCGGCTAGTCAATACTATAATGGGTTTGTATTGGCGGGGTGGAAGGGGCACCAGTTCCAGTTACTTGAGTACTCAGTACTATAGCGAAAAACTACCTACAGGAGTTACAACTTGAACATTCTAATTTCAGTACAACAAGCGATGCTGCGTCTGGTGGAAACGGGAGAGGAAATACCGATGCTGCCAGTGGCGGCTGAACATGACAACTCCACACTTTCGAATGATCATTTCGAGGCTTTTGCGGGAAAGAGCAGAACTTCATCTGTCACGGAACCGGAACAAGATGAACAGACACCTATTAGCGTCCCTGGACCTGGTAGTCTGAAAATGACTACGCCTAAGAACAACACTAGTACGACTAACAGCACTAGCATTACTAGTTTCTTTGTTCCCCCACTGCGCGCTCATGGGGGATCAGGCGTAGACAAAAGGACGTCGACTGCAACAGCTCCTTACTCTTCTTCCACCAACCCTTCATGCAAGGAAGCTGCTCAACTAAAAGCCGCGATGGAAGAGAGCCAGCGCGAAGAGGAGAGACGTCGACGACAACTTCAACTGGAAGAAGATGCAGATCTAAAACTCGCAATGGAACTATCCAGAGCTGCTGAGCGACAAGAAAGAGAAGATCGGATTTTAGCTGAGATATTTGAAGGACAATCTCTTGCTCCTTCGCCTGTTCATAGTGACGATGATGTCGAAGATTTGTCCGACTTTGGAGGCGAAGATGAAAAGTTATGGATCATCATAATATTGGAGGAAGTCTGGCTAAGAAATCACATAGTTAATATACTTGCTAGAGCATGCAGTGCCTAACTACGCTTTTGTTTTTCAATATGCGTTACCTGTACTAGTCCAACACGGTATACTAAACAGTGCTTTTCCTCTCGCCCGTAACAGGACGCAAAAGAATTTTTTTCTCCTTAAGGTAAGAGGTGTGCTGCAAATCTTGCTTGGCTTTTGTCTTTGAAAAAAGGCGAAGGCTTAGGTCCAGCAACGCTTAACGCACTAAGTAAAACAGCCCAGCGGCTTGGTTTTTCTCTTTCTCTAAGCTAGGTCTACCCCTTCGTGCACTATAGTGCCTTTCCTCTCTAACAAACATCCCTCTGGAGGTTTTGCTGGAGTCCCTGGAGCTATTCTCTGCGAACAGTACGAAAGAAGCAGCTCAAGCTCATGCTGATAGAATTCTAGTACCAGAAGAAGGAGTGGGAATGAGTGAGCAAGTAGATCTAGCTGCTTTCCTGGATGGTGCCAGCGATGAGACAGTGAGTCTCGTCATTACCTTGCTGGAAGCGGAACGAGAAGATTTTGGCCTGGACGAACGGTTTTGCTGAGGGTTCCAGGGAGTTGCTCAACAGAGGGGGAAACTCCAACTTCCTCCAAAGAGCACCTGAAGTTTTTGATTCCATAGTACAGCACCGAGCGAGAGAAGTTGTTCTTAACCGTCGTATGCACGTACAATCAGGAGGATGCTTGTTGATGCTCGCATCAAGTTCTCTTCAATCTATCAATCATCTCCGGTACATCAACACCAAAAAACCACATTTTTTATACATCGATCCTTGTACGTAGCATTGATGCCCTTCAATGAAGGGCCTTCATCGATCCCCATCATCCCCTTCCCTCTCCAAATGAAGATGTTAGCTCCTCCTCTTAACATGAACATGACAGTTGAACAAAGAGACCAGGAGCCTTCATCCTCTACGTTGGACCCATCGTTCTCTTCATTTGAGTGACAGACCAGAATGGATCCTGGAACTGTACTAGTTGTATCTGCAGGCTGAGATCCTTTCTCTCTTGTTCTTGAAGTAAAAGATCACTCTGTTGTTCTCGCCCATCCAGCTTTCTGATCTGTTCAAAGAGAAATCTCTCTCTAATGTTACATTCTTGCCAAGAAAGACCCTCTATTGTATGATAACTGATGAATTCGAACGACTTAGGCAAGAGCAGGACGGTAATGAGGTATATCAAGGTGAAAAGAAGCAAGAAATTTTGATAGGTTGTACACCTACACGCCCCCAGTACGCATTAATCCATCGATCCTATTTTTTCTGGTCTTTACGCGCACCTGTTCCTCTTTTTGCCTGTGCCTGTGTTTGCGCGCGAATTGTATATTATGGCACTCTAAAAAATTTTGTTTTTGAGAGAAATCCACACTGCGCCAGTCTGTTGGAGTTGTTTGCTTTTTATCAGTTGAGAGTTGAGCCGCAGGCCCTGGGGCGATTTGGTTGAGTAATTATGTGAACAAGAAAAACGGACTTGAATAGCAACGCACTGAAAACAGACACACAAGACAGACCCACCTTTTTTCGCAGGCGTTCTAATGCATTTGAACCAACACCATCACCGCTCAACCCAGCAAAACAGTTGGCGTGTAGCGTGTTCATTCATTGGAGGAGGAAGAGCCCAATAGAAACCCCGAGGCATTTAGTTTTACGGTTTTGCTTTTTGTCTCTTGGCCCGCGGACATCCTAAAAGGACAACTAGGACAACTTGAACCTCCCACATATATTACTGTTCCTAGGTAGTTGGTTATAGTTGAACAACAAGATTAAGATAGTACATATCGAAGGATGGGTGCAGCCAATTCCTGTTTTCTGCGCCAGCAAGGCGACGAACAACACTTGCGACGAACAAGAGACCAAGGTGAGCCTATGAAGAATGTCAAAGACCCATATCCCGAGGACTTACTCCGTACTTTTAGCACCAAGGTATTGGACCACGCAGCGACTGAAGGGGGTATTAATAGCTGCAAACTTTTGAGTCTGGTTGTTCTTTGGCAAGACCGATTTCCTGATGGCTGCTTAGATCATATTACATGGCAGCGGGACGCGTCTGGTTGCTTAAAACTTTGTTTGTCGAAAATACATGAGATGGAATTATCGGCATTATTAGCAGGAGATGAAAAGGTCGACGATCCTAGTGTCGATGAGCACGTTTGGTTTTCTTTTCTATTGCGCATCTTCGAGTTTCGAAGTAGCTCCTGGGGCTGCGATACTTATGTTGACCCCTGGGACGAGGATTTCGATTTTCAAGGAGCACAAGGAGATTCAGAAGGAGCAGCTTCATCTACACCAGCTGATCGTTCTTGTTCGGACGAAGACGACAAGCTTTTCCGGAAAGAGATGATGAAACTTCGCCAAGGTTTGGAAGCAGAGGGCTTGTACACTTGCAGTGATGATTTCACAAAACTTTTCCACGAGATCGGGCTCATGCTTTCGCCCAGCGACTACTTTAACAACACTGAAAATTCCCCGTATAAAGTCAAGACGGACCATCCGTTGGCAGGTTTACGAGAACCTCCTGTGCGGTTGTGGAATATTGCAGTTCACATGGATTTGGAGTTAGTTCCAAATGATGCACCCGATGCAGACGCACAGGTTCAGATCAATAACGAAAAACACGATCATGGTGAGGAGAAGATTTCATTTCGCTTGGTATCTTCGAAGAGGTCTGCTACTGCTGTTGCTGGACATGCCCGCTCCGGAGGAGGTGACGAAGGTTCTCAGACGGATGTTTCGACGGAAGAATGTCAAGATCCTGTTGGAGCAACAACAGCCTTGCTCGATGATGAAGAGTGGAGCTTTCATCAGAAAATGTGGGGACCGTTTTTTCTAGCTCGTATTTTGAAGAGGCCTTCCGCGCTGTATGAGTCACGTTACGAATACCCGTTCGACGCCGCGGGTAAGAAGGGTCGTATTCCTGCTTCTAAGAATTATGGTGGTAGAAGTACGATCTGCACTACGACCTCGAGCTCAACAAAGCCGAAGATGGAGCAGGATGAAGGCGGAGTACGATACTACCTACGCGACTGCAGCAACGGGTACATAAGGTACAAGTGGCAGTATTATCACCACTTCGACTTGCACCTAAGGTGCTTAGAGCATCGAAGTTTCCAAATGAAGATAGTCGATCGGCTCTTTCCTCAACAGGGACAAGGTGCAGAGACGCATGCTGACGAAGAAAGCCGCCACATACCTTTCGGCGTAAGATGTGCGATTCGAGATTTTTTGCTAGAGTATCCTGTGATTAGAACTTCGCCGCTCCTGGGTGACAGGAATGACAGGACGAAGATCACGTCGTCAAGAAGGTCTTCCGTTTTTGTGCCCTTCCTGGGTGACGTTGAAGATACGAGCCATGATGATCTGATAAGGGATCCAATTTTACCTGAACCTGAAGCGAGTAGAAATTACGCGCCATTCCGAAGGTGGTTATGGCGAGAAGCGTGGAGGCGTCCCACACTGATGGAGGCCATGACTGCGGTACACAGCTTTCGCTCGTCAAATGGACAACAGTACTGGTACAATTTGGAGGGGGAGAGACTAGGGCCAGTGGTCATGTTGAATCAACAGGGAGGTGCATTTTTGTCTGGCACGGTCGGGCAGAGACAACCGCCTCCACATTCCCCTCCACCGACTGTACAAGAGTTAGGTCAGATACGGTGGGCTTGAGGAGGAAGTGAAGCCATTCGTGGTCGACTTCTAAGGTGAGTAAGGCACAACGCGAAGGAGCTGAGAAGAGAAAACTACTTGTTGTACAACTTTCTACAGACCAGGTGTATTTGCTGAAATTTATCTCGTTTGCTATTCTCATTTCAGCCTTTCCAACAAAATGAAGATGCTTGAACAAACTGTACAGGTCTTAGATGTTTACTGATAAGGAATGACTACAGGTAATCCATTGATGAAACGCACGATTTCAAATTTTGTGGACAAAAAGCGGAGTAACGAAGTAAGGTGTTGTGATTTTGATTCAACATTTAGCTGAGAGGAAAAAGTCTCTTAGTGTTAGTGAAGGTGTTTGACATGCATTACACTGAATTTCTGCGCACAGTTAAAAAGAAAGCGAAGAGGGCCCTCTGTTGAACTTCATCTGTAGAAGAAAAAGCAAAACCAGAAAAGGCATCTAGTGAAACTGAAAAGAGAGCATTATAATATGGCCTCAACGACAAGTACATCCAACTCAGGTGCGCTCCCAGGAGGTCCATTCTCAGGTCCACGCACCTCTCCGAAGATGCAGGACCGCTCACGACTCGTAGAAGATGTATCCGCATAAGTACAACTTACGCTTTTTTAGACCACGCGCCATAAATGAGAAGACGGATCTTCACTTCGATCCGAGACGATCGAGCCATCGGAACCGGAACTTTCGCTAGGGTGTACATAATTGCCAGGTCTAAGAACTTGAGTGATGTAGTCGATGCAGCCACAAGTACCAGGAGTAAGACCAGCTGCAACAACACGGTTGTACCGAGTACTGCTGTTGTTCCCGCCGTTTTGTCGTCCTCTAGCAAGAGGAAGAAGCTACCGCCCGAACGTTATTTCACGCGTTCCAGTCTCCAACCAATTTGTTTCTGCTGATGGAATATTGCGTGAGCGGCACCAGAATCCTTGGTCTCTTTTGTACTTGGAAAACAGCAAGGATGTCGCTAGTTACAGAACGACATGCGAATGCGAAAGCGGTACACCCAGCAGCTCTATCGGAAGAAGCGAAAGTTTCCCGAGGCAGACGCAATGTTGTACATAACTGCTGAGTGCTTCATCGGATTGGCGTCTCTACATTGGGCGTAAGGAAAAGGATGAAGCGTTAAGAAAAAAGCTACGAGAAGACGAAAAAGTAGCGGGTACGGGTTCGGGTTTTTTCTCGAATTTTTGGTCGTGTTCTTCGAAGGAAGATTTTACAGCTTGCGTTAGCGGTGTCTGCGGAGATCCGGACTTAATTACACGAGAAGAAGCTCTTCTTCGATTTCTTCCAACAACAATAACGATGCTCGTGCTTTCGACTCCGACTCCGACTCCTGCTTCGATCCGGTGTCCTCCCTAAAGGGACAAATAACCGACGTAGATTGGTGTCGAACATACACATTGTGCGGAACGCCGGAATATCTGGCACCAGAGTGTATCAAGAATAATAAAGTTATGAAAAGAAAATCCTTACTATTACTCGTACTTCTCATAGTCGACCAAGAAGATCTCCCGCACTGTTTTTTCCATTAGAATCCAACGAAAAGCTGTGGGGGTCTTCTTTTCCACTACGAGTAAGTCAGTGAGCTTTTCTCTGTTATAAAAGGGTATGGCCGCATGGTAGACTGCTACTCAATGGGAGTGTTGTGCTACGAGACGATACGAGGCCAGGCTCCATTCTGTGGTAACGATCCGTTTGAAATATACCGAAAAATTTTGAGTGAGGATCCGACTTAGATGGTATACTATGCATTTGTGTGCCGATGCCGAAAATTCACGGAGATGGATGTCGATGATGATTGTCATGATTGTGCCTAAAAAGATGTAGACTGCGTTGATCGTGTACTCCTGACTCTGACCTTGATGCTGTATCGAAGAGTGTATCCACAACTCGCACCTCAGTGACTGACGAAAACTCCGGTTAGTTACTGATCTTCTCAGAGATGACGAAGGCGGTCCGACCATGATTCTTGGAAGCTTTTGTTGCATCTTCCCAAGAGGAAGAGGATGGCGGGAAGTGGTGTGCAGCTCTTCAATTTTCAGAAACAAGTCTTTCTAGAGACAGTGAAACGCACCGCAAATAAGTAAGTTGTGTTCCTCTGGAAAAAAGAAGATAAAAGGAGAGCTTAAACAAAAAATAAGCACCAAAAGCTTGATCCGATCATCATTTGTTTGAAAAGATCTACAAGGGCAGCGCTTCTTCTTGGGAAGACATCGAGCAAGAAATGTGCACTATGCCATGGGATCCTTGGAAAAAAATGCAGGAAGCAAAACTTGGAAAGGAACTAAAGGGTCTGACAGAAGGATTCTGCGACTCGTTGGTTCATATGGAAAAGTATTCTCCAGATACGACTGAAAATGCAATTATGAGAAGCAGGTAAAAGAAAATGCCGATGTCCTCGAGGAACAAGATTTATTGAGGAAGGAAAATTTTCAGATTATGCCATGACAGACTGGGTATCATGGGATGAGCTATCGAAGGAGAGAGAAAAATAGATCATCGATCTACTACGGAAGTAAGGACACTTCTGCTGTCTGACTGTTCTCTGGCTCTGTGCAGATGATCAAGTGTTGTTGGGTCCAGGAAGGACGTTAAAATGTCGGTCCTCTTGTGTTGTCCTGAGGGAAATTGAGAGATCCACGATTCAGTGATGTTGATGGCGACAAGACGCATCGCTTAGTGAAGGAGTGGTCATTCCTTTTTGCTGGTGGGGTTGTATGCGAGCGGTCCATAATGAAGGAGAAGCAGATAAAGGAATTCCAATTCTAGAACAAGAAGAACGTCAAGATCTAGAACTTGTGATTCCCACTAGTTGTGGCACGACTTCAGAACTAGAGCCGCTCCCTAAAAAGAGCAACAGCATGTACAACAACTCCTCTTCATCTCCGCGCCAGGAAGGGGCAAGCGCGCGTAGCAGCACCGGGGAAACGCCTAGAAGTATCCTCAAGGGCGCTGACTCTTCGCTTAAGGCTCACGTACTAGAGGAGGTGTGTCATTTTCAGACAGGAGCATTCCAAAAGAAGACTCAAGAACTACAAGTTCTTCTTGAGAATACATGCTACTTGAGTACTAGTTTTTTACAACTGCTGTAGGTTATAATATATCATCGTTGTCTTGCTAAGCCTGAGGTCCTCCTCTAAGCCTAGTCGCCTCTCTGGAGAAGGACCTGGGGTCAGGATAAAGCTCGGAACAGATCAATCCCCACAACAAGAAGCTGCAGATCCATCACAAGCACAGCCACCACGGCCTGAGGGCGGGAACAGAGCGCTGAATACTGTTGATGAGGGAGATCTGGAACAGTTAAGGATGGGCATGGGAGTTTATTAGTAATTGCACTACTATGGACAAGGACAAAATCCGAAGCATTCATCTAGTTACTCTCTTGAAGTGAACTCAGTTTCTATTTGCTCAATGAGATGAAAAACTTCAACATCTGCTAAAACATGATGGGCGGTCTGCTGCATCATCGAGCTGGAGGGGGAGAGCAGAGGCACCCTCAGACCAAGGGGGCGGACTATCAGCTTTTCCACCCCCTCCTGGATCCAATACCTCAGGAATGCTCTCTGGGGATTCCTCTAGTTGGAAAGGGAGTGCAGAAGCACCGTCAGATTAAGGCTTGGTTCAAACACTGATGCATGCATTGTGGTCGGTATCTTCATCGTACTTGGTGAACTTGTACTACTTGTTCAACACAGCGTAGTCACTTAAAATGTCGACGAGGATGAGGCTAATCGAAAACTAAAAATAACCGAGTTACTGACTGAAATAAAAGAGGTAGCTTGACATCAAGGCTACTCTTCCTTCTCATTTAGTATCTCGGTTATTCCGATCAGTTACCTGCATATTTCAGTTTTTCGAATACTAGATAGTACCACAACAACCGTGACCTAAATCTTTGTTTTTCTAGCTCCAATGGCCCCAAGGAGCGGGACTGTCCGCTTTTTTGCCGCCACCTGCATCGAATACCTCGGCATCGACGATGTTATCTGGCGCGTCCTCGAGTTGGAAGGGTAGCGTAGAGGCACCCTCTGATCAGGCAGGCGGACTGTCACTCTTTCTCCCTCCTCCAGGATCGACTACTTCCGGAGTACCTTCCGATCCAGCAGCAATGGTTACAACGGAGGACGTCAAAGTTGCGGTCGTCGATGACCCAGCAGTAGTTGTAGTGCCTGCTGACGAAGTAGGAGGACTTCTGAAGATTATAGGTACGGCAAGACGAGATGATGAGGAACAAGCAGAAACACCTAGAAGAACTCGACCAACTCTGACGAAGGTTCCAATACCAACGTCAGATGGTGAAAATCTTCGACTTCAGATGGTGGAAGACAGTTGTAAAAGTCTACCGGCAAGAACAAGTGCTTCCGCGTCACAGACACGACTAGGCGGTATGTTCCGAGGTGGTTTTTCCCCTGACACCAGCACTTCACTGCTAAAGATGAAAGCTGCTGTATCGGGAACCAGTTTTCTGACCGGCCTCTTTCGTACAGCAAACGCAAAGAGAGCGGCAGTTATGCCGGAGCACACTGTTTTAATGACTGCGGATGAAAGAATAAAAGTTTCTCCAGAGGTCGAAACACTACGCAAAAATAAATCTGCACGCAGACTGGAACTGAAGTTATGATGAAGTAACTACGATCTAGATCATGTCGACACGATTTTTTTGAATTTTGGCGAAGTTGAAGTATGCACTGCGGACTGGATGAGAGTCAAAACCAAAAATTCATCATCATAATGATGATGGTGATGATGAATATGATCTTTAGATTGTTTGACGAGCACTCTTATTGTCGTCCTTCCTTCTTTCATTTCCGTTTTCCAAGAACGCCGCTGCCCTAGACGAGGAAGAGCGCGAATTACGTCAATGGCTCAAATTCGACCTCTTTTTTGGGATTTTTGTACTTTTGAACGCGGTAGTGATGGGAATCGAAGCTGGGGATCCACATTTCCGAGACAAAGATAGCGCTTTCTTCGAGAACAGACCTGCGACTTGGGTCGTTGGGCAACTGCTTCTCCTGGTTTTCATCCTAGAGCTCGCGCTCCGATTTTACTACGATGGGAATCGTAAAGCATTCAGCCGTGGATGGGTCCAGTTTGATTCCATCCTTGTGTTTGTTGGTGTAGTGGATGAGTGGATTATCGCGAACATAGATTTGGGCGCAGACTTGACTTAAGGGCTGGAAAAAGATGAGAAATCCGCTCTATGTTGAGCATCTCTATGGTTTTCTTCAACTAGGAAGGCCGTAGCAGGTACTATGCGAGCTAGAACTGTCAACTTTCAACCTCTAACTGACGTTCCTAGCCATTTTACGTGTTTTGCGACTGTTGCGCTTGATCCGTCTAGTGCGTTTGATGGATGCCTTTAAAGAACTGTGGCTACTGGTGTCCTCTCTGATCAACACAGCACGGGCTATGTTGTTCCTCATGTTTCTGCTGCTCACTTTGTGTTATGGAACTGGCGAGAGAGTGCTTGTAAAAACACTAACTGAGACAGATACACTTGTTACTCAATCAGCGACGCTTACTTACTTTCTTGCGTCAAATCAATGGCTTAAGATAGCCATGGCACTTTGCCAGGCTCTCTTCGTCTTCTACTATTGATGATCAGTGCCATTTTTAGCCATCCTACCGCCCCCAGCATCGCTCTCTCATCTTCTAACCGCTCTACATCGGCGCCATCTACCTCGTCCAAACACTTGGAGACAAGTATCCGCGAAACGTCTACGCTGGAAATTTTGATACCATTGGCAACGCGATGTATTCGCTTCTGAACGTGGTTACGCTGGACAACTGGATCAGCATCATTCGCACTGTGGGTCTAGACCCACCACAACTGGTTCTCAACACTACAAGCGCAACAAGTGTGATCGCGTATTCTGCGACGACGGTAGAGGGGGCTTCGGCGTTACGAAATTAGTTCTGAAATACCGACTACTCAATTTTCCGAATTCCGATGAAGAAGATACTAGCAGAAGTGAGACAGTGACAGAGCACTTCGCGCCCATGCTCCTTTTTGGGATTGGTATCACTTATCACTTGTAAGATCAGCAACAGCATTATAGATATGATTGGCATTTCTCCTTACTTCTCCACCTCTAACGAGAGACAATGCCCTTCTCTTGACTTCCTCTTCCACGGACCTGATACGCCAGCCAGTGCACGAAGCTTCGCCATCTATGATCGTCTTTTTCTTCATCTTTGCGCTACTCACCGCTTTTGGCATAATGAACTTGCTAGTTGGCCGAGTCGTGCAGACGATTCACACAGTTTCCGAGAAACAAGACCACGTAGCCCATGCCGAACGAATGCTGAACGTCGCTCAATCACTCGCTTATGTGCGCTCTTGGCTGGAAGAGTATAACGCAGAACGCGAAAGAAACAGAGGTAGCATAGTTGTTGAGCAACACGATATTCCAATCGAGGACCCTGCTGATGCACGAAAAGAAGCCATCAAAAAGTACAACGCTAGAGAGCAAACGGAAGATACTGCTCCTCCAGACCGCCAAAGTAGAAAGAAGTCCAACCACGTTGAGGTCAACCTCGGGGGTCAACGCCAACAAAATGTGAGGCAATCAACAAGTATGGGTCTGGCGGCTAAGGAGGCGATAATTGCGGGAACGAAAGAAAGGAGTGTGACAAAGGAGGGCTCAACGGCCAAAAACAAGAGAAAGGATTCTGGTTCTGGAGTTGAACAGAATAGGAAGCCAATAGACGAAGCGCATGCGCAGGAGTTAGAGGATGAAGCGAATATGATCCGGGAAATGGGCGAAGATAGGGCCGCAGAGCATCTTTACAACACTCATAATTATGGATTTGTATAACTATATGCATTGTGAATCACGACCACGAGTGTAATTCATGATTGAGTGAGTAACTGTTGTTGTCGCATACTTACGAATCAAAATCGGAAGAAGTTGTGCAACATTTGCACGTTTCTAACACGAGGCTGGCGAATGGTCTATGGCGGGTGCTTGGTCGCAGTTCAAAAAGGTCAAAAAAACCCAAGACCATGACAAGGGAAAGGAACACCATCCGAAAGAAAAATCGTATTTTTGATAGTTTCTTACAGTGGCCTTTTCTCGCTTACAGATGCTTCTTACATATTGCATTTTCTTGTTGTAGGAACAAGGAGTACATAGTTTACGAGTACATAATGCTTGCAAGCGTTTTTAGTTGTAAGGGTGGGCGTCCTATAAAAATCCATTTAACAGACAACTCTTCTCATGGAATCACCTTTCCCAGGTTAGTCACCCGCGACATCCTCCAACGGCTCTGGCGCGATCCGAAAGCACGAGAACTTCTCGATAAGTGCGACGTGCAACTTCGAGACCTCCTGTCTATTTTTACGGCTCACAACAATTCATCTTGAGAAGTATCTTCTTTGCCGTTGTTGAGGGGAGAACACGGCAAAGATGCACTTGAAGATGAATATTCGATAGTTCGGAGGTCGTTCGTAACCGTATTCGCAATATATGTAGTAAGGTCTAATATTTACACTGAGATGCGCGAAGCCTGGTGTGCGGATAGTGCTGCGCCAATTCCGGCAGATGAGTACTTTGAGGCTCTGTTGGCCAGTCTGGAGAAGATATCTGCTTTGAAGGTGGTCCAGATCAGTACGTCGATGAACAAAGTCTCGAAGCACATGAACAACATGGAGAGGGATCTGGTGTTGCTATGATGGGAGATCATGTTTACCTGAGGGGGGTCGTGCTGGCAGAAGAGAACGACGAGAGCTTCCTTCTCTCTTAGTTGCTAGTCCAGCTTCAACCATCGTCCTGCTGACTAGTACTCACGCTCTAATTCTCAGCTTCAATTGTTTGCGAAAGTGCTCCTATGACATCTGGAGATCCATGGGTCCTTTCGCCGAACTTTTTGCAGTGGCAAAGCCAACTCTTGGTGGCATGCCGAGCATGGGACCTGGGTTTATGGAGATGAGCATAGGAGACCGTTGTACTAGAGCAGGGTTGTAAGCAATCTTAGCCAGTGGTTAGATGTCTCTACTTTCACCGTCTTTGGAAGAGTGAACTGAACAGAGATGCTGATAATTCCTCTGCTGAAAGTAACAAGCTAGCTAGAGAAGCTAACTACTAGTCCCGTCTTCATTCTACCACCGCCTCGCGATAGCACGGGAGGGTTCGTCGCAGCTGTAAGCGGAGGTGCGTCGGCCACGACGGATGCAAATTCACAAGCTTCACCCATCAAAAGATCCCTGCATTCGTCAGAGGGCTCAAAAACCGGCATAAGCAGGCTGTCCTCCGGACAATTCAGACAAAATCCAACTGCTGAACCAAGTGTACCACCACCAAGAAAATCGAGAGTGCATAGGAAAGGTTTTAGATTTTTGTGCATAGATCATTGAAGAAGTTGTTTTTCATTGAAGATGCCGAGGCTCCTGCTGAAGGATGATAGTTTTTTTTGAAACATAGTTTGGTTTGAGAAGTTAGCTTCGGTAGTTTCCATTCAAAATTCAAATTCGGCTTGAGAAGTTAGTTTCGGTAGTTTCCATTCAACTCAAGAAAAAGAAAGAAAAACCCAAACGCAGTCCGAACGCTCTACGATAAGGATGCTAACGCCAAGGAGGACGAAGTAGCACCTACTGCGGAAGACGAGCCTCAAGAGGCCATGGCAATGACACATGGCGAAATTGAAAATGCAAAAAAGGAGAAGCAAGTACTGCTGATATCTTCTGTGGGTTGTACTTTCTAGTAGTGAATATTTATAATAAAATAAGAATGTCGTGAATCATGCTGGTTTAATTTTTCGCGCTCATACCTTCATGTCTATCTGTGGTCGTCACCTTTGATTGCGGAATAAGAAGGTTTAACAGATCAGCGATGTTAAGCTGAAGCTCTTCCCAACACTGCACAGCTCGAATCCGACGCTTTAATCTGGGATCGCTTTGACGTTTTCTACGGCATATTCGTCATTGCAAACGGTCTCCTGATGGGTTTACGCGCAGATCGCGTTGCCGAAGATGCCACTACACTCTGGACACTCATAGACAGTGCGTTTTTCACCATCTTCTGTTTCGAACTCCTACAGCGTGCCGTTTTGGTCAACCAGTTGGAGAACTATTCGGACGATACAGTAGTACTAGGACTTTTTCCAAGGATGGAGAGATCAGAAATCATGCAGTGGCTACCGGACACATTCCGCAACACTCGGCGTTTCATGCGCGATCCTTGGGTGGTGTTGGATGTTTTTATCATCCTACTAGGCGCTTTGGAATACGTCTTGCGCTGGTTCGGGGAAAGTTTTGACGGAAGAATGGCTTCTGTTTTTCGAATTTTCAGGTTGCTGAGGCTTATTCGGATAGTCCGGTTGTTCAAAGTGCTAAAGGAGCTTTGGCTATTGATTTATGCTGGGGGTTTCAGAAAAAAAAGATAGAAGACCTCCTCTTCTTGCGTCGAGCAAATAGGTGCTGTAGTTTCTCTCAGCACTCTGCAAGAATGTATCATCCAACATCTTCCCTCTCCTTCTAACACTTGGAAGGCATGGTCCAGGCCATCGGCACTTTATTCTGGGCCACCCTCATGTTGGGTATCATGGTCTACGTAGGGAGCGTCATCGTGAAGGAAAGCGTGGATAAGGAGGACTTTATCACTAAGTGGGACACGTTAGACAACAGCATGTTCCGCATGCTGCAGATCATCACGTTTGATTCCGATAGTACGGGGATGGTGTGGTTTTCGATGATCACGGAAGTGTCAGCTGGCAATTGGCTGATTTTTCTGTTTTTGATTTATGGCCTCTGTTTGAACTAGTTTCATGGTAGTTCTTTTCTGGAACGAATGGTCCAAAGCCTGTCTTCCCCTGGTGCAGCATCAACATCATACTTGTTCATCTTTTTGGGGCTTCTACCTCTCAAGTAATGGTTTTCTAGTTATAGGTTGTCGCAGCATTCTGTTCCACCTCTTCATTCCTCCGGTTTCGTCGTTGCAACAGCCTTGGGTCTGATGAATCTGATAGTTGGGATCATGGTCGAGCAAAGTTACAACATCGTTCAGACCGAGAAAAACAGGCTCCGAGGTGATGCGATTATCTTTATGCGTCGTGGTTTGTGCGTTCTTTAGTTTGTGATTGTTCATCATGATGATGGCGTTTGGTCCGTAGCAATTCTCTAGGATGTAAGTTCGCATTCTACATTCCATCACCAAGACAGCTGCGTCGTCTGCCTAGCACAATGCACCACCTCTAACCTCTTAGCCAAACAGGCCATGCTTCACGCCAAGAGTGCCTTTGCCAGTTTGCAGGATCGATCAGCGACCAAGAAAACCAAGAACATGGAGGAACAGGCGCGGTCCATCATGGTCACACCAGCTCAGTTTAGAGACGCCATGCGCGCAGATCCGCATCTAAGGGCGGCTTTAGAAAGAGGAGGCATCACGAGCTATAGGATCAAGCATATTTTCACCAAGCTGAGGTATAAGTAATTTGAATCAACATCATGAGTAGAAGTAGTTGGAAGAAGTAGGTCGTGTAGTTTTCGTGTTTAGGCTCGTTGATTTCTACTTTGGTCATTTTGAAAGAGCATCCGGAGGACAGCAGCAAATAACGGGTACCGTTATTCAAAACCAACTCCCCACCAAACACAAACAGTATCGAAGGACCGCAACAGCCGATCCACTTGTCCGACTTTATCGAAGCCTGCTTGCGACTCACCCAAGGACTCAAGCCTGTCGATCTCATCGCGTGTAAAGTGAACTTTAGACGCCTAGCACAGGAGTTGGAGAGTCTAGAAACCGCTTCCCACGAGATGCGTGCTACTCTGCTGGACTTCCCGCATAGACAGCAACACTGGATGCACACCCAGGAAGGTTCTGGTGATTATATTAAGGCTCAACTTTCATTGGTCATCATTTAGGTTGCTTGGGGTCACTGAAATCGAAGAGGGCCCCCTTGAGAGAACAGGCGAAAATGAAGGGAAAGGGGAGACGAGCCTTGACGGAGGTCTCTTCCGTTCAGCGTCATGATGACCAAGGAATGCTGAGCTTTAATTATAACGCCGAAACGGCAGTTGAATATCGGTTACCGCCAGACGAACATCCGGCGTTTTTGGATATCGCGAATATGAAGCTGAGACAAGAAAATGACGGAATAAGGGATGAAATTAAAGCGTTGCAAAAGCTGGTCAAAGACCATTTAGGGGAGTTTGCAGATAGTGCGAGCTTAGACGAGTTCGCGAAACAGAGGGCGGCGTTGAAAGCGAAACATCAAATGTCACCGAGAGTTGACTAGTAACTACAGGGTGGATGCTGGTAGCGCTTACCAAGTACACAGAAATGAAGACTTTTTAGACACACAGAGATGACTTCACAGAATTCTAGTTTGGATTACGATGACTTGACACTGGTATTTGAATATTTCCTTCACAGAAGAAGAACAATCGTTTGATGAATACTTCACAAAGAGATATTCACCTTGAATACTTCACAGAGATGAAAGAATTTGGATTACACTTCACGTTCACAGAGATGACTCCACAGAGACTAAGAATCAACAGGAAATACCAGGTATTTTTCGGTAAAGATGATATCCGAAGATTTTTGCTGTATAGATGTTGCGGAAGACTGTACATTGTTGGTAAGAATGATAGCAAACACACTCCTCCGTGGACAAACATGTGAAAGAGAAAAACACGAATGCTTGACTATGATGACTAAACACATTTGGGATGTGCAAGCTAAGAACAATAAGTACTAGGTTTCCGGCTCGATGAACGTCGACGTCCCCCCTCCCGCGCATTGCTTCGTGCTCTATAGCGGTGCCCAGTGTCTTATCAGCGACATCGGTTGTCTGTCACGCACTTGATGGCTGGAGCTGCATATAGGAAAAAGGAGGAGCTAGAGACGAAGAAGTCCGTGAGTATACGCAACCACTCCCACTGCGAAGAAAATTATGATTACTTAGGCTCACATCGTCGAAATTTTGATATCCACCTTCTTCACGACCTAAAAAATTGAGACATCAATGATGAAGGTAGGCATTATCGGAGGTGATGGCGCTATGGGTCGCGTGATGGCTACGATCTTTGGGCCCCACGCTGACGAATATTTCCTCGTAACCCACACTCAGAGAGACATGTCCCAGCAGCATCAGGAGAATGTGCGGGTGGTCGAGAAGTCTGATTTGGTAGTTTCAGTTATGGCATTCGAAACTGAATTTTTCTAGATAGTGGTACATTCATTTTCACAATCTAGAGACACACCCATCCTCTTCACCTTGCAGCAGCATCCTCTAATCCCCCGTTCTCCTGCATCTCTCCGAACGTGTCGTGGGCCAACTGGGACCTCATATACGTGAGAGCCAGATCAGTATTGACATCGCTGCCGTAAAAACCGCTGTCTGTGAAGCAATGAGGCGAGCGAAGGCGAGGACGGGGATCGGAGCACATCCTATGTTTGGCCCGAGTGTGTTGAGCGGTGATATTCAGAAAGGAAAAGGAATTTCGACTAAGGGACCAGGAGGTGGAGGAGCTACTTCTTCTTCAAGTAGTGAAGGTGGAACTGCATCGACAGTCTTAGAAGAGCCACATCAGAAGCATGCAGGCACTACAAGTAGAAGCCCTGCCTCTACTCTGAAAGCTCAACTAAGTACATGAACAGAATTTCGTACTTTGTCCTGTCCGCATCGCCATGGAGGACCGTGAGATGTATGACAACTGGCTACGGGGTTTGGTCCTCCAAGACGCATTTGTAATCGAATCGTCACCTCTGTAGCATGACCAACTTGCAGCCGTCACGCAGAATCTGGTACACTTGCAGAGCTTTCTGTTTGCGGATACGCGGAGCCTCTCGTGTCCTGACTATGCCGAAAGACCTGTTCGCGTCGCTTCAAGCACAAAACAAAGCCTATCCGGATTTAGTGCGTGCCATGAAAGCCAGTTTGGAGGGTGTTGCGGGGTTGTTGCTTGTTTGAAGCAACAACCCCGCAACATCCTCCAAACCGTCGATGTTGCACAATTAGGCGCCCGCTTTGAGGCTGCGAGCGCATTTCTCGCTCCTATAGCACCAGCAGGGTCAGCAATGCTTACAAGAATTACTCCACAAATTGTTTTTTCAAATGCTGCTGCGTTTGATGTTGACAAAAATACGGATAAAACGCCAACAAGGACAATATCATAGTAGTTGCAGTAGAGTTTTTAATGTCGATTTTCTTTGGAATGCTTACTAAAAAAGATAAATTCTTCAATGCCTGCTAGACTAGGCATTCACATCATTTTTCCTCGGTTTCGACTAGCCACGAGGACCTCCCCCTCGCAACAGTAGGAGCTGCTGTTTTCTGCCAACTCTGGGAAAAGTCTGAGTCCCCTCCTTTAGAGTAGCGAGAGAGAGACGAAAACAAAAGGTGGTTATCAGGAACAAAATCGCTACCTACTACTTGCCAGAGGACAAGATAGACTTCAATAGCCACTCGTATCGTCTTTGCAGGAGAAAAAAATGTTCAAGATTGGATATGCCATCCTTACTGGGTGTGAGCGATTCCCGCTCGTGGCTCGCCAAATCGCCAGTCTGCGCAGTATGGGCGTTGCGCAGGAGGACGTACATTTGCTCCTCAGCATGTGTGGCGCTACTAAGGTGTACGCCACAACCGTACTCGAGGACTGTAACACGATAGCAACCGGCTCTGTCGTTGGGCAGTATTGGACCAATGCTGAGCTAGAGGAAGGTCGGCATCTGGCGCACAAGGTGGAAAAGAAAGTTGTAGATCAAACTAGTACGACTACAGCAGAGCCATCTGCTGCGATCATGTACAGGTGCAGTAATAAACGAGATTTGGAAGTGGGACCGCTTCAGGCTCAGTCGGAGAACGAAAAGAAATCGACACCGGATAAAATTGCAGCTAAGAAGGACCAAGAAAAAATAAAAGAAGTCGTGGATGAAAACACCTCTTGTCTCGACTACGTCGAAGAGATAGACGACACAATTCACGAAGCAGACTTGAACTGGGACGTTCGACCATTTCCTGGGAGAGATGTAATTTCTGATGCAGCTAAGAAGACACCTCCTGTTGTTGTTTCAAGGAAGGACGCTCCACCAGCATCAAAAGAAGACGAACAACAAGTGCAACTCGGTCACCAGCTCACTCTCCTGCCATTTGAGGCCGACCACAAAAGCACTTTCCCGGAATTCAATAAGCGATTCTGGAAAGACCAAGCAGATGGATTTTTCTACGAGAACGTGGATGCTCCGAATCTGAAGGAATGGAAAGCACAAGGACAAGCAGGAACCCATTATAGAGTGACGAACTTCTTCATGTGGATGTTCGGATTGGTGTTTTCACGCTACGAATATGGGGCTTTTCTTTTATGGGAGATGTTTGGCAGGAAGGTAGGTTTACTAATACGTAGTTGATGGATGAAATCTTCCTAGGAGATGAAGATGCTGGACCAACTCTTTCTAATCCTCGAAGACGATCTACAACTCTCCCCCTTTTTGCACCAGTATTTTCACCTCGGCGTCGAGGTAATGCAGCTGGACAACAGTTTGGCCGGCGCTTCCGCTTGGCACGATAACCAAGTTGATGTGCCAGAAGACGGATTTCATGTGCTGCGCCAAAACCACTTTGGCGGTCTGGGTTGGCTCAGCTCGGCTCGCGTGTTTCGAAGCTACATCCTGCCATTTGTCCGATCGGACGCGGCAGATAAAGGCTGGGACAGAATCTTGAGCTTTCAGGTGGACAAATTGATCGTGGAAACAGCAGAGTCTTTGATATCTTCCTCTGCAAATACGGCTAGTGGCAGTGAGGGGGACAGCGCATTATACGCAAAGGATATTTTTCAGGATTCAGACTTCTATACTGACGAGCGCGGCTACGGAGAAATCAAGTTGGACGCCAAATTGCTGAAACTAGGAGCAGCTGTCGAAAAGATTCTCAGAAGACGAAAGGCTAGAAGTACCGTGGAGAAGGACAAGAAGAAAGATCACGAGGTGCGTAAGAATAACGACCAGAAAAATAAAGATGTAGTTGAGGTAGCGACTACTGGTAGGCAGTTACCAGCACGTCAACGTTTGAATTTTCTTTACCCCTCTGTTGGCCTAACCGGACATCGTACGACGAGCACGCATATATCAGGCAATGACGCTGAGTACAGAAGATTAGAAAGTCTTGGTATGTGGCCCGCGGATCGATCAATTCAATGGCCAGCTCCAGAGAACCTTACGGCGTGGAACTACGACTCGTACGTGCTGGGTAAGCAGATTCTGCGCTTGGAGTCAGTGGATGATGCGGCCACACCAGCTACTTCTAGAAGCAGTGCAGGATCTCTGCTCAGCTGCAACAGCAATGAGGCTCCGACCACCTTTTCGTTGGACACCTCTCTTTGGGGTTCCATAAAGCACGCAGCGACGTACATTCTGATACTACCAAAAGTGTTTGAGTACATTTTTGACGCTTTGGATGGAGGAGGATCGTCTTCGAGAAGCAAGAGCAAGCAAACGAAAGGACGAGACGTAGAACATTCAACTACTTCGGCTGACGAATCAACTTCATCTACTTCTACATTTGACAACGGTGACGTCGATTCTTTCGACGTCGACACGACTAAAACCCAGTCACCAATAAATGCAAATGGAAAAGCAAGTCAACGGCCGCTCCTCCATGCTCCTGGAGTTGTGTTGCATTGCTTAGGGGATGTAATGGGAGATTCTGACCAATTTGGGTGGCACTACATGGAGGAAAAATTCGGAATGGTGGGAAGGGGATGGGGTGAAACACCTAGACAAGGGTATAAGGGAACGATGTTAGTTTACGTCAAACCAGATCGACACTTCGTGGTAGCACGCTATTCGCCTTACTATGAACTTCTATGTCGATGAACATGAATTGTGAGCAACCTAGATGAAAATACATTTAACGATCCATGATCATGATGCGTATTCCGATTGAATGAACATGAACATTGTCTTCCATGTTGCAGAGACAACCTCTCTACTGCCCCTCTATGGAAGAACGACGACGATACCAGTGTAAGGGGAGAAATGAAAGAGCGGTAGAGCAGTGATAACGGAGCGATTGAGGGTGAGTGCTCATACGCTGATTACTCCTGACTTTGTGGAAACAACGAGCTAGTGATCCATGACTGTACTATAAAATTTAAAAGAATGGACCCACGACGTTTTCAGTTTCACCCTCTCCCGGTGCTCCTCGTCCTTGCTCCGAAGCGGACAAGAATGTACGAGCGCACTCTTGAAGTGTGATAAGCGGCAGTGTTACACCCAACGGTCCTCCGATTGGACCTGGAGGCATGGAGGAGGATGTTTGTCCGGTTTCTGGGCTTGGTCATGCTCCTCGGCTTGGCCGTGCCAACCTCGGGAGATCCACCGAACCAGCACATTGAGGAAGAAAATAATTTCAAGATGGCCTTCGAAAGAGCTACGGCTGACGTGTTAGGAGAAGTACAACAAGCACATCGCTCTGGTGCTACTGAGGCGCCAACTGCTGCTGACAATGAGATAATGGTTGTCATTCCTTCGTCTAGCTATACAACTAGTACTGCTTCACCATCGACGACAACTACCGTGTCCGCAACGTCAACTGCGCATCATCCGCCTAGTAAAGCGACCGTGGTGTCGTCTACATCGTCTAGTGAAGAAGCATCATCTGGCTCATCAGAAGCATCACCAGCAAAACCTTTACAGAAGGACGAAAGAACATTCAAGGGCTCGCCTTCATCAACGTCTTCATCATTCGAAGAACTACAAGAAAAACCTTCGTCTAGTTCTGGTTCACGACCTTCTGCCAAGAAGAGAATGACAGAACGAGAGCGACATGAAAAAATAGTGAAGGAACTTATTTTATGGCGACGGGCTGTGAAGATAGATTCGAATTCATCCTCAATCAATCTCATCCACCTTTCTTGGTCATTTTCCTCTGTGTACGGGAAAAAACCATCTCTGGCAGCTACGAGGGTAGTTCGCAGGACCAGGCTCTAACGGCAGACTACGACATTAACGCCATAGCCAAAGCCAGCGCGCCGTTTCGGAAGCAGCAGAAAGAATTGGCTGACACTTTGCAGTCTCTGACGTCAGACCTCAAGGAATCGGAATGGAACGCCTTGTTCGATATTCAGGCTCAAAAACGTGCTGAGTACAGCATAAAATCAGCCTTAGAAGAAGTGCGGGAGCTGCTCTTGCACCAAATCACGAAGAAAGATTTGTATCGGGTACTAGAAGTAAGATCTTTCGTTCTTTCACTCCAATGTTGATGATGAAGATAGATGTTCATCTAGGTGGTCGTGGTTCTTCTTCATTGATTTAAATACTTACACAGTTGTTCTTGTTAGCTGCTCGAGAGAAATCCGTATCCGTACGATCCGTTTCTCCTTCCAGGTCCATCGCGCACTCCTGAGTCGTGGCTTACTCCCAAGACAAAGGATAACGGCTGTCGAAGTAAGTCGGAAGATACCTACTTTCGACGACTTCTATTTCGATTGGCGAGACGCCTTTGACAATGAAGCGGATGATTACCGGAAACTACGTCGCGACTTCCAGAAGCAAGCTAGAAAACATGCTGCGAAAGCTGCGAAAGCTAGAAAGAAACAGGAGAAGGCCAAGGACGAGCAAGAGAATAAAGAGGATGCTGGTCCAAGTAGCGGAAGTGAAGAAAAAAAAGCAAATGCTGTAGATGACTCTGGTGATTGGTTGACAAAGGTTCAATATGTGAAGCGTGTTTTAGTAAGTCCGACTGAAGACGCGGATATTTTGCCACTCATACAACCGGTATTTTCATCGGATTCGGATAGGACAAAAACTGGTGCAAGCGACCTCGGCGATTACTCGGAGGAAACGGCTACAGAGTTTTGGAGGAAAAGACGAGCGGCGCGGGTAGGTACTGGCAAGGAAGATGGGATAGGAGACGAAAAGTCTGAAATAAAGACAGATGCAGCAGAAGAGAAAAAGAAGTCGTCAGTTAAGAGACTCAATCGTTCATTTCCGAATCGACAGAGGTACGGAGGTTATCGGGTCAGATTCTCTATGTTTGGTAAAAGAGGGATTCTCAAACACGACCTACACCAGTAAGGAGTGAACAATTTTCTTTACAGCTCTAAGAAAACCCTCGAGCAGGACAAGCTCAGCAAGGCTGAAGCTGCAGCAGCTAATGCGGTTCTGAAACAGTACCGTCACGAGTGGCAGGAGTGTAGTGCAGAGGAGGCTAGATCTGGCGACAACTGCTATGCTGTTGAGGATTTGATGTCGCCAGATGGACTAGAGCTCCCTCCAGGAGGGCCTGGCGCAAAAGCTGGATCGACTCCAGCAAGTGCAGGATCATCTTCATTACAGAAAGAGGAGTTGAATATGGACCACGAGGAAAAGATGGACACAAGAACTCGTCAAAAGGAGGGCAAGCTGTCAGAGGAGGAAAGGGTGAAGAAGGAACTAGAACATCTAGACGGAGAACAAGAACGATCTACTGCTTCTGCAACTAGTACAATAAAGGATGTTGCGACCACGACAGAGGATGCGACCACACGACAGGATAAAAGAGATGAAGACGAATACGAAGAAGAGCGTTGTGTCGTGCCTCTTTTACCGGATAGTTTAAAGCCAATTTTACTCTCCATCTACGAGCGGTTTGCAGAGATTCCGACTCAGTTTCCACCTGTTCCAACAGACGCTTCGACTTCGTTGCGAATTTCTACAAATAACAAACTATGGGGCAGCTCTACGAAAAAGGACGGGTCCACCACCGAGGAGACAGGTGCAACAGAGACATCCTCTACTAGCGATAAAAATCCACCACCCCCTTGGACCGGCAATTACGTTTTAGCCCATACCAATTTTCTCTTCGACCTCCCCGCTTACAAGCGCGAAGGCCCTGGGAAGAAATTTTACCTTTTTTCTGGTGGTTCCGCTGGAGACATCGTCAATGGCGTATGGGTGATCGCAGATAGCTTGCCGCGATCAGAAAAAAATGCACGTGCGGTAGTCCGCAAAGATCCTGCGGCTTTTGCTGCCCGATCATCCCATCATGATGGAAAAATGCCGTATCAACTAGAATCAGACGACTGGTTTGCTCCGCCACAAAAGAAAAGTGCAGCAATGGCATCCGCGTTTGTTTCAATATCTTCGGAGACTAGTACAGCTCCCAGCACGACTACTTCCACTTCTTCGTCGCCATCATCATCTTCCTCTACCTCTAGTACACCTTCTTCCCCTTCTTCTAGTCCAACTTCGAGTTTAATACAATCACCGACTAGTTCCTTTAGTGAAGAGCAAGGTGGACCAGCTTCTCCGACGCGACGTCCATCTACAATTAAGGCTCAACCTTCATTGGTCACCATTTAGATTCGAGTCACTGAAATCGAAGAGGGCCCCCTTGAGAGAACAGGGGAAAGGTGAGGGAAAACAAGTAGAGAGATGTGGGGTCCCTCTCGTTCAGAGTCAGTGACCAATGACTCCTGCTGACCTTTAATACAAGGAGTCTGCTAGAAGACACTCGTCGAGTCATCTTCGTCAAAGCAGCTAAAGACGTGGACGGAATGTTGCCACCAGTTAGCAGGCTCTCCACAGCGCCTTTGACGGAACGCCTAAAACTCTTCGCTCGTATAGTAGCGCAGGGATATAAGGTACGATGTGTGCTTCCAACGATTAGAACCCCTAGTCGTGGTACTGCAGCTTCTGAAAGTGGTACGATAGGAGGTGCTTCTGAAAGTGGTAGAAGTGGGCTAGTGGAGATCAAGAGTGGAGGAATTGGCCACGGAGATCGGGACGCACCGCAGGGTGCAGGGCCACAGCAACACGAGGCAGAGTCAGCTTCAGCTCCAGATGTCGCAGTAGATTGGGAGTATGGCTAGTGGTCATCTTTGATTGAAATTTTTTGATTGAGTCTCCAATTTCAAAAGTTATATATTCCCATGATCCAAGCTAAAAAATTCAGATCAAGATACCGACGACCATTCTTTCCCTCCAATCTCCCGAAGCCTCCTCATCGCACCACGACACTGAGGAAAGAGACGAAGAAATCGAGAATATGCTAGAAGACGACTTGGATGCTGTCCTTGCCGGGTCTCGTGCTGAGCTCACGCACAAAGAGCTGACCAAACGTTTCCAGACAAGTCATCACTATGGTTTAGCGGTAACCAATCCCAGTGACCCCACTGACAAAGTAGTCTTAACCCCACGTGATTTGGAAAGAATGGGTCTCTTCAAGAATCTAGGGAACAAAGTTCTCTATGAGGTGCAGGGTGAAGGAGCAACGCAGCGGAGTCGAGATGCAGAGGAACAGTGCGAGATGTTGTGGATGGACCTGTTTGACTCTTCGCCTGATTACGGAGAACGTGCACGGCTAGCCACTCTGACAGCACCGAGTGAAATCCTATCGTCGTATCTCTACGTAGACGACGTGGATGGATCGCCGATGTTGGGAAAACCAGGATCATCAAGAAAGGGAACCACAACACAATACGAAATTCCGACGCCCCCTGAGATTGCTGACCCGAAGACCGATCTCTTCGACAAGAAGGAGATGAAAAGACTCGAAGCAGCCTCTGAGCCAGGCGCTTTGACTATTATGCTCGACGGTGGATTACTAGAGTAGTTGTGATCTCAAAAATCCTTGTTCGGAGCACATGAAGAAGGAGGTCTATGATGTGCTTATACCATATAGTAGTAACATGGAGGTCATTGATGTTCTTATAAAAATCCATGCATTTTTATAAGTTTCCGTTTCTTTTCCTCGAGACATTTTTTTTTCAGTTCAAGAACACGCACATGACATCAACCGACAGTTTATTTTTGTCATGGTAAGAGGTGCATCGTCATGGTAAGAGGCCGCTCCTTGAAATTGAAAAGGCAACAACAAGAAAATACAACTTAGTTAAAGCAACTAACTTCATACCAACTGTGGTTTCTAATGTTCGCGAACTCAAACCGAGACCGGAAACGAAGGCGGCGGGGGATGCGGCTTCCGAAGTGACAACGAGCAGACATCAATTTGAATGATGTCGTATATTTTGATACGAATACTTACGAAATACATTAAGATTAAACGACTTTTCTATTGACCATCAATCAATCCAATTCTCACCGATCAAGACACAACTCGTAGTGGTGCAAAAACAACTTTCTCAAGAAACAACTGCTTACAACAATAAGATGAAGATTTATCGACTATGTTTTTACACGAACTCTCTACCGCGCAGGCAGTCAAAATATGTCTTTCTGTGAACAACTTCATAAGTAATCACATGTGCCAATGCACGAGTACGACTGCAATCATGATTTTAAGCGCATGTTGATGAGAAATCCGTTTGATTTTTGTGTTTCGTATTTCCTGCTCAGCGAAGATAGAAGAACACTGGATGAACGAATCTGTAAAAATACAACAAAATCTGTCGATTAATAGAAATAAGAGACGAGAGATAATTGAGCTATTCCATCTGTCTTAACTGTAATGGAATAAAGATTATGGTACAATCTGTCATACCTTACTTAAACAGCAATCTGTAACGATACGAGTGTCCGAGAGCAGCACCCGCCACTGTTCTGACGAGCGAATAAGACCCTCCTGACGGTCTTAGGATCATCACCTGTGTTAATCGAGAAAAGACGAGGTCCTGTGATTTGTTCCACGCTGATCTGGCTGACCATTCGCATGAGGTAATGAAAAACCTCGACACATTTACGTCTTTGTAAGTAGTTATTTTCTGCAGGTGCTTCCCGCCTGAAGATTTCAATATTCCCCAGAAGACATCCCACGACTTCCTTCTTTTTGTGTCTCTTCATCTTTTGCTCAGATTTGAGTGTAAGTAACAAATACGTCCCGAATTTCAGACTCTTCTTATTTGACTAGTCAGCCAGTGTAATCCATATCCAGTGTAATCAAAAATCACAGCACTATTATCTACATCTTCTCCGTTCTTAAGCTTGTAGAAGTTAACAACTTCTACCCAATAGTTTTTGACAAGTTCTTGCACTAGAGTCCCAACAACTGCTCTTAAATCACAACCAAAATGCCGCCTGCTTGTGGTGTCGGAATTACGTCCATTGCCCGTCAGGGTGATTTGGAGGCGAACCTGAAATTGTGCAGTCACTTTCATAAGTCAAGCAACTGCAGTAAACCAAGCCAGAAGGTATTTCTTTAAGCAACTGCAGCAAACCAAGCAAGAAGGTATTTCTTTATTAAGCAACTGCAGCAAACCAAGCCAGAAGGTATTTGTCTAACTAAGTAATGTCTGCTGTGAATCATTCAAGAAGCCAGCAACGGTTGGCATTTCCTACATAGTTGAAAGCTTGTTTCATCTTTACATGTTGACTAGGAAACAGAAACAAGGGCGATACTGTTTCTGGCATTGCACAAGATCGATGTGTATCTACCCATAATCTGCTTTCCCTCTCGCTATTTCTTGCACTGCTCAAGCTGTACCCTTGCGGCCCACGCTTACTTCAAACCATCAACCTCAACAGCCTCAAGTCACCAAAGTACGTGACGCGGCGTGGCGGGATAACAAGAAACCAGAACTCTTCTTTGATTCGCGGAGGGTGGTGGCGCAAGCGGTGGTAACGAAACGCGTATCAAGTACAGCATCAGCCTGCGCAGGAGGATCAACATATGTGGATACATTGATGAGGCAGATGGGAAATTAGTGCGTGGCATCAGAGGATTCTGATGCAAAGCATAGAGAAAGTAAACATCTAATGAGCAACAGATACGATGGTGCAAAACGAGTACCAGAATGAAATATCAAGTCTTAATATGCGCAGGTTCTGTGAAAAAATAAAGAACAAATGATAGAAATAAAATGATTAGAGTGTGAATTACAGTACGTGATTTATTCAATAAGGTCGACTGAATATTTTCCCTGTATAAAAAAGCTAATGCCATATTCTTGAAAAATGAACCACTTACAACACATGGAAATGCTTATGTGCATAGGGATGCTGTAGACGTCCGTAGAGCTGAGAAATGCAACCTTCTAATGTAAGTGAAGCATATCTGTGCTGTTATCCAAATGAAGCCGTGCACCATTAAGAAATCACGCAAAATCACAAGAACCACTTTCCCGTACTGGTGTTCGCAGAAGGACGTCGACGTTGACGTCCACTGTTATCGAGAGACAACGCTTAAACGCCTAGACGCAAATACCGTAAATTCTGGAGCGAAATATATGAAAATGGTGGAATCTGATACATTCCCAAAGTGTGGTATCATAGTATAGAGAAATTGTTGTATCTGTGTCTTTATGCGGATCCGTATTATCTGAAGAATTAGTTGACGGTGCGATGGTGTGAAAACGAAAACGGCCAAAAGAAGGAATTGCGAAAAGAAACTCCACCAAAAAGATGATAGAAGTTGCATGTCGGAAGATGAGAGGAAGACGAGGATACAACTAGAAGTTGTAGTTTGTTGTACACTGCGGCAATAGCGTGCCGACTTGTTCTAACGGCTTTTTCGCGATGAAGATGCAAACAAGTTAAAGTTTGACAATAGGTAGAGCACGCCAATAGGGCAGCTCTTTACCTCACACTTCTACACTGGTAAGATCAGAACGACCAGGTGTCACATCAAAAACATGTCATCCTCCTCGTGCGGAGTCCTTCTTCGGCTCAAGCTGGAAGGGCTTGAGGTTGCATCGGATCTCTCCGTCTTAAACTTGGACTGGCAAATTCGCAAGTTCTTGCTGGGCCTCGATCGTCAGCCATCGACTGGAGCATATTTGGTAAGACGAAAAGGAGCTCTAATATCAATCTAGTTTTCTATGAAGAACTTGAACGTCTCTACGGTCACTATGAAAGGTGATAACAGGGACAATAGCATGCATACAAGTACAACTGCATGCGTACTTTCTAACTCATTTATTGCAATCTTCGACTTACTTCCTATGTTTCCCCAATCTCGTAAAAACCAGAGCGTCATCCCTGGTACACTAGCAGAAGTATGCGATCACTTGTGGAGCGTTCAAGAGCTTTTTCTCAAGCAGACGAATGTAGAAAGCAGTACAACTACCTTGCTGACGCTCTCCATGCGAGAACTGCTGGATCCGACACTGAACTTGGATGGGGGCTTTTATGAGAATGCTGTTTGTCTTGATGACAACAGCGCACTCGTCGTCCATTTACAGTTGCAGCAGTTGTCACAGTGTCGAGTCACGCCAAACAGGCTCCTGGATTTACCAATGCTGCAAAGGAATGATGAGCAAGTACTGCTATTTGTTTCGGGAGTTTTGCTTGATCATTTTTCTCAAGTACAGGAGAAAAAGCCTGTTGAATATTTCACCACTTAATACTGTCCTCCACAACTGCTCCACTCTCTGTCCTTGTTATTTTCTCTGTCCTTTAAAATCTTAATTAATAGTAATCCTTGTGTCTTATATACACCACCCCAGATCACACCTCCAACCTCTTTCTACGTGCTGAAACTGCGCATGGTGAATAGTGCTCGCAACGTTCGACATCTCGTCTGCCCCGTGCCCGGTCCCGATGCGCAACAAGGCGAGCACCAACTACTCGCACTCCGAGTGCGTGGCATAGTGCAGAATGCGCGGGAAGCGCTCTTTGCTCTGGTCCTAGCTGGATCCTGGGAAGAAGTGCTAGAAACCTTGCGGGAAGTGCAGGAACAGTGTGTGGTGCTGGTGAATCGTGATGCGACACAGGATGATGGACGGTTACCGCCAGTCAGGGAAGAAGATGAAGACGAGGCTGCGGAAGCTCAAAGTGGGGAAAGGAGAAACCTTCACGAAAAAGTCAACCGCTCATCTTCGAGTCAAGGGTAAAAGTAGGAGTTTATTTCAGTTTCAGTATGCTCATCTAGTGGTCCCTCTGCAGATCGATGTCTATCAACCTACTTAGTAGTTGTAGTTGTAAGAATACCATATAACTAGATCCCATGCATGTCGATCATGTCCCTCTCAACACCACCTTCGCAGGTACTTCGTCTCTCCCGACGACATTTCACCTACTGTGGCTTCACAGTCAGCCTTCGAATTCGGAGAGAGGACTTGTTCCTATCCGTTGGACGTGAGACCACTTATCTCGCATGTCCAAGATGCTATGCAAGTCGACGATGGCGTCTCAGACTTGCTAGACAAAACTGTGCAGCTTCCGGTCACACTGACGGTTCCTGCGCTCGCAAGACCAGCTTCTGTTTCATCGGGGTTATGATGGAGGAGATTTGATATAATTTTGGTCCTCTTGTTGTTTGGCATTTTTGTATCCCAATCCCAGAAACAAGTAGTGACTCAGTAAAAACTACCCACTTTTACTCTCATCCTGACTAACTACCCACTTGTTTGAGTCTCATCCACAGACATGTTCATTCCCATTCCCTCCTTCACTTCCCTTCGACGGCGAAGCAGAAGAGGACGAAGACGACATGCACGTTTTGACATTTGAGGCTCATGTGGAGCGCAGAAGCTTCCCCGGACGCGGTGTAGCATCGCCAGGGTCCTCTACGCAGTCTCCACGCTGGTCACCCAAACGCATCCACTCGAGTGTTGGAAGCAATTTCCATTCAGCCCGTGACACAGAGGGGACTTCTTCAGCGGCTGGGTCGCCACAAGAACAACAGAACTTCGCGATGCAACAGTCGCAGCAGGCCTTGCCACCAAATCTTCAAGTTGGTGGGTCATCTTCTTCGACAGCGAGAAATCCAGGTATCCAACATGCGGCTGGTGATGCAGGTGGCGCAGGTTTACTCACGCAGAGACGGAACAATCCACCACAGCCGATGCAGTTGTCTCAGGATTTTGAAAACGGCACCTTGCAACAAGGTGGTGCAAGTGCAAACGTTAATAAAAAAGATGGCACTGGCAGTCCGCCGCAACCTAATTCTTTTTATGGTCAGCTTTTTTCCATCATTCTCGGCATCTTGGTCCCCTTTTCCCTTGTATTCTCCTGAAATACAAGGTAAATAAAGGGACCCCAAGAAAAGGGGGGCCGAGATGCAATCTAGCAGACTCTAATCTTTCATCTTGGGTTCAGCAGCTGGCGATGTCTATGGTCCTCCAGGGGCGAATAACGTAGTATCTTCAGCAAGAGGTGGGGGTTTTCATAGTTCATCCGGTAGTGGCTCAGCGAATGACAACAGTATCGCCTCATCCATGATGGAAGAGAGTAATTCCATGGCCATGGCGGACCCTCCATTACCCAATGCGCCACCCGGTGTCGGTCATGTTTCCTGGGTCGATGCTGACCAAAAATACGTGCCCTCGTTTCTGCCCAATCAAGACGCATCAATTGACGCGTCAACGCCTGGAGACCCGAATGGTCCGGACACAAAGCCATTGCCGCAAAGAATACTGAAAACTGTGGACGACGCGTTTGAGGAAATCGAAAAACTACCACACCAGTGGAGACTGTCAGTTGAGTTGCGGTCCGCGAAATTGACACACTTTCAGGCGAAGATATTCGTGAAATACTTCTATCCCTTTGTGCAGCAAGTGAAGCCCTTTCGGACGAATCCGCCGACCGTCTGCAGGAAAAATTCGATGACGTACTACTAGACTACCTTCAGATTTTCATCTACTAGACTACCTTCAGAACTAGATCTAGACTGTGAAGATGGATGAACTCGTATTGAAGGAGTGCACTCCTATCATGATGATAACTGCCAACGCCAGCCACTTCTCCTTACTACATCACAAAAAACTTTTATACATAGGCATCAACACTCACCCAGGTACCTTCCCCACGGTTTCGCCGCGTACCATTTCACTGACATAAGCCCAGCGAAGCTGAAAGAAAAATTTGCAGAAGGCATGAACAAGGTCTTACGTTGTGAGGTGTGGCAGAGGGATCCTCACGCCAGTGATCAGATCATAGGCTGTGCAAACATAGACGTGGAGCAAATCATGGACGTACCGGAAGTCAGCAAAGCGCCGAGTGAAGGTCGTTACTTACTTGGGGAGTACTTAGTTGGTTTGTTTTACAACACTCTGCCCAGGGTATTGAAGCTCTAATTCGTCAACGATTCGGATTCAAATCCATTTCCATACTTGCTATTCAAAACTCAATACGAATACTACAGGTTTCAACCAATCCGGCAACCTCCTACCCAAAGTAAGGACTTTGGATCAGACCTTGCCGATTCTGTCAGCAAATGGGGAGACTCACGGGACACTTCGAGTCGTGATATTCCTAGAAGATCTAGGGGAGATGCCGGAGCAAAGCATTGCTGCCAAGCTTGGTGGACAACTTGGAGGAAGTATAGATGCAGCTATGCCTATGGAATTTGCAGATCGGGGCGGTGCTGGAGGTGCAGCGTCTAATATGGGCGTGTCGGTGTCGTCGAGTGTTGTTAAGGCAGGTTTTGCGTGATACTAGAAGAGGAAGAGTACTATGTATTTTGGATACCCACAATACTTAACCTCCCCCCTGCTATCGTGTAACTTCCTACTAGCTTTAGTGCCCCTCAACACCACCACCTTCTTTTCTAAGACAGGTGCAACAAGTCAAATGCCCAGTGCGAATGCCCTGATTGGCACTGGTGGTCGTTCAACTGATGAAGTAGCGAGAATGCGAAGTTTACCAGCATATTCCGCAGCGTACGAACTAGAGCTCTGGAAACGAGCAGAGGAAGCGAGTTTCAAGGTGAAATTGCAGGAAGACGAACGAATACGAAAAATGAAACTGCAGGAAGAGTACTGCATCACATGATTCACATAGGTTCTTGCTTCCAGTACGTAGTAGGAGTGTTGAGCAGGTGTTGGTGTTACTATTCGCATCATCATCAGTGTTACTGATATACTGCGCATGAGCAATCCTTTACAAGAGCGATCCTTGACCTTCTTCTAGAACTTCACTCAACCAAACTTCCCAGATACGAAGAGCGCGAGAAGAAGCGGAGCAAAGAGTTCAACGAAAAAAGGCAAGAAGTGATGCAGCTAGAACAAAAGCTGAAGCAGAAGCTGTTACAAATGCAGCAAAGAGAAGGCGAGTTAGAAGCTAGAGACAGCGCATTTTTGCGCAGAGCGGAGGATACAGATAGGAAAGCGGCAATTTTGGAAACCGAAACCGAAGCCAAAGTTAGACTTTTGAAACAGGTAATTTCCTTTGTTTTGTTCAATTTCTTGAGTATGAACCCTGTAGTTTTATTCGACTACCTACGTTACCCTTTATTTCATCCTTTTGCTGTAGTTTTTAGTTATTTCATCCTTTTGCTGTTGTTAGTACGTGGTATTGCTCCTTCTCTTACTAGGCTGCAGTGCAGCAACTCCATTTCCGTCTCCCCCACTTTTCTCCCATGTCAATCAGGAAATGGCCGATGAGATCGCTTTGGAACGCGAGAAGGCTCGAAGATGGGAGCAAAAGTACGTTTCCCTGGAACAAGAGTGTCGACAGTGGCAAGAACGGTACACCTCGATCGAAGCTGACTTCGTCAAGTTCCGAAAACAGCAATTTGAGGAGACCAACGCCAATCCCATGGAACAAGTCCGCGCCGACTTGAAAATCAAAACTTACGAGTGCAAAGAAGCCCAGAAACTGATACAGCAACTGCGGTCTAGCAGAGACCACTTCAAAGAATCAGTCACGAAATTGTGCGCACAAGTTTCGACGTTGGAAGAGGAAAAGCGTACTTTGGAGAGGGAAGTGATGCATCAACAAGGCGACTTGCGAGCTGCGAGAGCGCAAGCTACACTGCGAGGAGACATGAACTTAAGACTCCCACTAATTCGGCTTTGGCCGCATCCTTGAAAAGTATGGCTATCACGGGGAAATGTTTCCTTGCGATACTGTTCAAGGATGCAGTTGAAAGATGAACTACAACGGGCGGAGAGGTCTAATGAACATGAACAGCATGGCTCCTGGCGAGCAAGATGCTTTAGATGCTGGTGGACGCGGTGGGTCTGGTGGAACGACGACACCTGGGAGATCGAGAATGTTCAATAGAACCGGAAATTTAGGCGATCCTTCATCTGCTACAGGAGGACTAGGTGCATTGATGGGAGGTGGACTAGGACAAGGCGGATTCGGATTTGGAGGAGGAGGAGCTAATAATGGTGCAGTGTTCCTCGGAAATCACACTATTAAGGCAACCAGACGAGCAGCCTCAACATCATTCTTGGCCATTTTCCAAAGGGAAAAGGAGGCTAAGGATGGCCCGAAGGATGCGAATGCGATAGCTCCAACACTGCCTCTACTCGGGACCAAAATGTTGAAGAAGGTATCTCTCTAGCTTTACGCAAAATTCAGGAGGAATTACGGAGTCTCCATCAGAATTACGCAGAAGAGGCACCGCAAAGACCACCAGTTCCGCTAGGAATTGCGCCAGGCAGCACTATGGGGATGCAGCAGATGAATTTCTCAACTCCGAATGTTGGCATACAGAGAGGAGTGCAGACACCATCGAATGGCCAACAACAGCAACCTGGTTGTGCGACCACTCCGCCCGTTGCTACTATTAGAGGCGGAATGGTAATACCTGGAGTAACCGGTGTAATGACAGGAGGACTTGCATCTGGACAATTTGGAGGACAATTTGGAGGAGATGCGTCTTCCTCTGGCACAGCTACCAGAGTAGGACCTTCTAGTGTACCTTTTGGAGGTGCAACGACTAGTGGAGGTCTACCTCCGCCTTCGAGTATGCCTGTACAGCCAGCACAATCACAACCGCAACCACAGACTAGAACTGCCCCAGCAACAGCTCCAGTTCATCCGACAGGAGGACCTGCTACAACTGCATCAACAGGAGACGATGTAATCGCACAGGAGAGGAGGAGACTGGAAGCCTTGAGAGCAGAACTGCTGGAAAGTGGCCTCTACAGCGAAAACGATGCTATCTTCCAACATATGGGGTTCTGAATTTCAAAAATATGAAGAATCTCAGGAACTCCATACTCTAAGTCTAGGGGTGTGCGAGGAGTAACTGATTACTGATAAATTTGAATGTACATGTAGTTTACGCAGTTCTTTTTTTGATACTACACCAGCCTCTCTTCGTGACGAGGTGGTAAGAAGAAGACTACTTAGAGAAGAAGGATTGAGCTTAGGTTTTTTGATGTATACTTGAATTACTTGCTCTAGTTGAGCATCTTGAAATCGAACAGTAACTAAGTAGTTAGAGCATGTCTTTTTTTACCTTTCGTCTAACCAATATTTGTCTTTTTTTCCTTTCTCAACTTCAACAAGTAGTGATCGCGAAGAGCTTGGGTACTGAAACTGACCAAAGAGTACAGAAGTACCCGTAGCACTAGTACAAGACGATTTTCTATTATTTCTTCTGTTATGATGAAGTCTCGCCTTCCTCACAGAAAGGATGTCTTTTCTTAATCTCTTCTGTGCAATGGTTTTTAATTTTTTTTGACTATCTAAGGCTGAAAAGGTGATTTTTTTCTTCTGTTACGATCAAAATCGAATATTTAGTATATATTCCGAAACAACTACTGGCTCACTTTTTTTCCAATCAACTGAACAACTATGGAAGCCAAACTGGCTCATTTTGTCTTCATACAACTGAATAACTGAATCAAGAAAAGACCCGAAAAAGAAGGGAGCGAGAAAAGACCCTGTCTGCGAAATAGATGCAGATGTTTACTCAAACAAGTGGTTGATAAGTGTGATTGAATGATTACTTTCTGGGAGTCTACTAGCTCTAGTAGTACTGCTAGCTGCTACGTCGTTGTAGTTGTGGTAAAGAAGCAAGGTATATCTCAGGGTAGTTCTGCAGGATGAAAAGGAGCACGGCTTCAATGATGAAGTACTTGATTGTACAATGAATCTGAGTTATAGTGGTAGTATCGCGCAGAGCTATGTTTTGAAGCAATTAAGTTTAACTTTTGCATCTTTTTCTGTAGTCTTCTTGCTGAGTTCAATGATCCGCTCGTTCTCTTGATAGATTGCTGACCTTGGGGAGACTCCTATGTATATGGTAAAAAACCTTATATATATTTTCTATCTTGGTGATGTGTTGAGTTGTGCAGTATTGAATTACCGCCACTCGCGATTCATTTTGATTTTGCGCTTTTTTCTCAAGAAGAGAAAAAGTTTCTTGAATTCTAAGGCCAATGAAATTGTTAGACCTTCATCGTTCAACTAATTAAGGAGGCTTTCAACTAATTGATATTGATTTTGATGTCGGGAAAGAATATGATTGAGTTTCACAATGAAACTGAAAGCTACTTGTCCTCTAAAATATAGGGTGACATAACTACAGATGGATTGACCATGACAATCGCGCAAAGATCGTGTATTTGAGAATTTCATGTGCGAATTAATTTGCACCACGCGAGAACATCAACCTACCTCCACAAATCGGTATTTTTCGCATGGTGTCACACACTTAAGATGTTCTCATTCTTGCTTGTTGTTAGTGTGAAACTGGCGCCTGTTATTGTGTATGGTTGTTGCTTCATCAAAGTATGAAGGGTCCTGGGTTGTAGTAATAAATGATGACACGGATCATTTGAAACTTGAAAAATCTCGTCCATCAACGTGAATCAAGAATCCAACAAGCAATATTCATCGTGTGGCATTCCATCATTCTTCTATAGTCAACAGGAACTACGACCTCCAAGAGGATGGCAGGTCTAGATACCGAAAGGATGAAGTTGTGCGTCGAGCTCATGGTTCGAGACGGGTGGCTGTACGAGGGATTGCAAATTGCCTTGCGTTGGGAACAGGAAGGGGTTTATGGTGAGTCTCAAATAGGTGGCGCTTCCTCTACTTCAGCCGCATGTGTCTTGAACAGAACGACCTGTTTGCAGGATGAAATGCGCAATGCGAAAATTCAAACAACCACTAGCAAGAAAGTTTCGAAGCAAGAAATCATCGACAATTTGATTCTTTTTTGCCTATTAAGCGCTCCAAACGCAAATGCAGTGGCAAATGCCTTAGCACAAGAGTGGCAACCAGCGCAACTAGGGCGATTGACCGTGGCAGTCTACAGGGGTTGGCAAGCACTGGCGAATACAACGACTCGTCTTACGACAGCCGGAGAGGTTGTATCATCTGAAGGGCACATCAGGCAGAACAACAATAGTAAAAACACAAGTAGCATCCATAAATATCAAGGACCACTAGTACCATCCTCCAATCTCATCTCTAAAAGACAGCATAGCATTCTCTTTGATTGGCATGAAGGTCTCTTGCGAAAGTCTGGACCAGGTGCGATCCTCAGGGCTATGTTTCATCGACCCGCTATCTCTGAGAAGGATGCTGTGAATAGGCTGATTCTTGGATGATTGAAGAGGAACGACTGAGTAAGTTTAATAAGATCAACAGTTTGGCGTTGCTGCAATACTAGACTTTGCAAGAAGATGAAGATCACTGAGATCCTTGTTCGAACAAGAAGATCATTCAACGACGCTCTTTGCAAATGTCTTTATTCATACAATATCACCTTCGTCCTTCGTCTTTTTACCACGATGTTGAGCTTGAGCAGGCATCTTTTCCCCCACTGGATCAATCTACCCGCCTCCCGATTTGCTTCCCAATACGCTTTGAGCGCTTTATCCGAAAACGCAAACGCAAAATGTAGGGTAGTCATTTACGTCATGTCATGGTACCTCTTAAGTAGCTCACGTCATGTCATTTACGACCATGTTGCACATTTATGTACAGTAATTTTTCGCATTCGCACAACTTGCTTGCACTGGTAACTGTAAGGCAATTACATTGACATTTGGTTGTTCATCTTGTTTCATCCTCAAAAAAGGACTAGTTTCTAGCACAAAATGACGACATCAAGTTCTCTTTTAGTACCAGACAAGCGCGTCTTTGTTGACGTCTGCATCGCGGGTGGCGGCATCGGAGGCTGCGGTCTTGCTCGGTATCTTACACTCTTGAATTGCGAGCATGGAGTTCAGTATCAAAATGCATCTTCGAGCACTGGCGGTAATCCGGCTGGTAGATCTGGATTCGGAACAACAGCTGGTGGCTCAACATCCAGTTCGAGTTTCTCCTCTTCATCTGCATTGGCTAGTACAACGGCCAGAAACACACCGACTAAGCCAAACCGTTTGTCTTTCCTCCTTATGGAGAAGGATGCGAGCTTCCACCACAGAAAACAGGGTTACGGCTTGACGATGCAGCAGGGGTCGCGTGCGTTGCAAAAACTACACCTAGCGGAGACGATTTACACAGAAGACACACCGAACGACGTCCATTACGTTTTCGAGCATGATGGCCGGTTACGGAGTGCTTTTGGGCGATTAGTCAACCATGGAGTTGAAGAAAAGGAAGCGAAGGAGGAAGTGAAAACTACAACAACTCCTTCTAGTACATCATGTGCACAGGAGGAGACCGCTAGAAACAAGCAAGTACAAGATGTAACAGCAGGTGCAGCAAGTAGAGCAGACGAAAACAGTTGTACCAAAAATGCTGCTCAACAAGGTACACCATCGTCTCCAACACCACCCTGTTGTGCTCCCGCTGTCGCCAAACCAGCGAAGCAGTCCTGTAAACGCCACAACTTGCACATCCCCAGGCAGAGATTGAGAGAACTTCTCTCCAAAGATCTGGATGTTAGTTGGGGCTGCACTTTTCGAAGTTTCGAGTACGATGAGCTTCTAGATGATTACCCTGTGCGGGTCTTTTTCGACAAGGAAGTTGGAACTTCTACTTCTTCTATCCTTCTAGAAGTTCGCTGTCGCATCCTCGTGGGTGCAGATGGGATCTACTCAAGGATACGAAAGCAGGTTATGGCGGATTTTCCCAGCAGTGGATGTGGGAGGACAACTAGTGGGGATCCAACTGCAGCGGTGGGAAGCAACCTGCTAGACACCGGGGCGGTTCCTCCTACCACAAGCGAGATCACTAAGACCACAAAAGAGGACGCCCATCTGCCCTTCTCGTCAACGACTAATGCTGAGACGAGTATCGCGACTGTCCATTTTTCTCCCACTACGACCACCTCATCCACGCCCATCGCCACACCAACAAGCGACAAACCTTCGACCATCCCAGATACCGCAGTACCAACTCAATCTTCAACTACACCTACCACCACTACTGCTAACTCCTCGTCCTCTTCCTCAATCACTCGCATTACGCATATAATTACCCGTCCTCCTGCTTGTGACAACATGAATCCTGCCGCGGCTTCAGTCGACCCCTTCAACTACCTTGGCGTTCTCGTCGTACTTGGTATGGCGCCAAACCGCGATCACTTCCTCTACAACCGAACGACTTTTCAGACATCCGATTTGAACACTTCGACACGTGTTTTCATGATGCCTTTCACCGAGTCTGAGATCTTCTGGCAATTGTCCTTCGCTATGGACAAAGCAGAAGTCGACGATTTGATGAACAACTGCGATAAAGAAACTAGGGAGAAGCGTGTGAGGGAACTGATTTTAGAACGATGTGGAAATTGGCACGAGCCAGTAGCGGAAATCTTGCTGAATACACCTGGGGATCGAATCTCGTACACTCCGGTTTACGACAGAGGAGAATCGTTCCCGTTTTTGAAAGGTAGTGCGGATTCTTCCACCACTGCGTCAACGTCAACGTCAAGAGACTCCTTCCCCTCCTACTGGGACGCACAACAGCTGCCAATAACTCTCATCGGCGACGCGTGTCATCCCATGAGTCCATTCAAAGGGCAAGGTGCAAATCAAGCCCTGCTGGACGCTGTAGAGCTAGGAGATGCGATTTGGCAATTGTTTATGGAGCCGTTGCGCTATAGAAAGCAAATCTCAGAACAAGGCTGTCTCACGAATGTGAGGCCTGGCGTGTATTTGGGAAAGCGAGGGAAGGAGAGGAGAAGGAAAAAGCTTCTGGAACAAAAGGAACAAGGGGAAGTGAAAGCAGCAATGGTGCAAGGAGAACATCATCATCAAGAGGAAGTGGTGCAAGAGGAAGTGAAAGTAGCAATAGAAGTGGTGCAAGAAGAACATCAACATCAAGAAAGGACGAATGCAGCTTCTGAGGAGAAAACCACCACTGTTGAAGATGTCTTACCCTTAATATCAGGTGTTGTACAAGAACAAGAGGGCAGCTTTGCACAGCTACAACACCATCAAGTTCAAGTTCAAGCGGAGAAATCCGGTGGTCGAAGACAAAACCCTTTGATGTCTCGTCAAAGTTCCATTGGTAGCACGATCAGTAGCGTCACTGGAGGATGCGATAGAACCGCACGCTCCTCAGTACTCACCACAACGATGACCGGCGCAGCGACTCCTCGTTCTGTCGCCAGCTCTACGGCTAGCATCACTTCGTTTGCGCCTGATGCTGCTTGTGTCGCTACAGCTTTAAGAAAGTTTGAACGGGAAATGTACACTAGGGGAGACGCGAAACGTCTTGCTTCTGCACGAACAGCGCAAAAACTACACTTCGAATACACTGATGCGGATGATAGGTTAAAAGCATTAGGCGTGAACTCATGGGAGGAGTTCAGGGCTGAGGGCATTGGCGTCTGGGACGGACCAAAAATGCGAAGACGTATGGTCGACTTTTTACAGAGGAAGAAGAACGAAGCAGCTAGTTGTTCAACATGATGAGTAAATCTTCATAGGTCTTTCAACGCACGTGCATAGGAGACATCTTCATCTTCCACATCTTGATGAGGCTGACTTTGTTTCGCAAGTAATAGATCATGAAGCGATGTCCCGTGTTGTTTCGTTTTCAGTATGTACCTTTTCTGGGATACACTTACTCACTCTCTATGCAGCAACCTTGCAGGGGCACGCTATGACTATGCAGCCGCTTGCAGCACCTTCATGATATGTTGAACAGGCGCATAATTGCACAAAAGATTCATTTAGGTAAGCTCCCTTGTGGAACATTATGTAAATTACATTTCTTTGCTGCATCACTGTTTTTTTCCCGTTCTCTCAGATCGTAACGATCTTCAACCGAGATGAAATCTCAATGCCTCCGCTTCTCCTCGAGAGACTGCTGCATTCATGTCCTCTCCCTTGTTGTTGCGTGTCACTCAGGCGGATCTTGGAGACTTTCAAAAACAAACAAAGTTCCTGAAATGCGAGGGAGTGTGTTAGTGAGGCTTGCTTGGATTTGGGATATACTAAAAAACGTAATCAACATGATCCGCTCGATAACGAAATGCAAGCCTGAAAATTTACAGGAGGACAGTTACCGTTAGGTTAGTACTCATAACCGCATATACGTGATAGTAATTGCTCGCTTTCATTGCCTTCCACTTTCAGCAGCATATGTACTTAATTGAGTTAGCTTGAAGATTCAGATACAGATTCCACTCACCAACAGTGACGAAAGTGAAACATGGACGATTCGCCATTTTCACCTCCAAACGATGGTAATGCCAATAACACCAACAATGCCAATAACACCAACAATGCCAGCATCGACAACAATGCCAACAACAATGAGGATGCTTCTATGCAAGAAAATGCTGTTGAGTTAGCGTCTATCTTCGGATGTCCTTTAGATGTTGCCAAAGGGTTGCTCAGCGTTTTCGACAACAATGTCGATGCCGCGACGCATGCTATTTGTGAGGATCCGTCGCTGTTGCCGGGAAGCGAGGGTGCGGCGCTCGAGGAGGGTGCGGAAGAACAGGCTAGAGAAGCGCTCCTGAACAATACAGGTGATGCCCATCATGGGAATCTTCATCACGACCAAGATCTTCATCACGACCAAGATCTTCAGCAAGCCCATCTTCTAGGTGGCGAGTTATTGAATCGATCGGGGGACTTGCTAGCAGAGGACGATGTTCCAGATGGCGAGTATGACCACGAGGGAGGTGAACAGGCTAGAGAATCTCCTGCTGATGGATCCGATGATGGCGAGGAAGATGATGAAGACGAAGAAGAGCGCATTCTCCAACAAGTATTGGAGCAATCCAAGTGGGATACGGGAGGTGGTCGTGGTTGTACTAGTTGTACTACTTATTTTTCATCTACTTCTGAGCCAGCACCTCATCATGCTGCATTTGGAGGAGGACAAGGACAACACCAAGGAGGACAAGGAGGCGTGGTTCCTGCACGACCTCCAGTACTACAGCCAGGGTCTTCGTCATCTTCCTCAAGTAGTAGTTCGTCTAATAATCTACGACAACCTATAAGTCTTGAAGGACTAGGACAACAGCCATCGTCCGCTTCGGCAGGCGGGTCTTCATCTCAAAATGATCTGCTATCACGCCTCGCCGCTTTTAGCACCGAAATGCAAAATCATCAAGCTAGAAATAGAAGAAACAACACAACTTCGGCTTCGAGTACTAATGGGCCAGTTTGCTCTACATCTGCAAAAAGATCCATCCCACCCTGCAAAACATGTCTCCGAGACGACTTTGTTGGGCCCTTAGCAGCAACTGCAAGTAGTACTTCTAATGGTTCAGCGACGCCATCTTCCTGCACATCGTCAGTGCGTCTGAATTGTGCCTGCTACTGTGGAAAAATCAAGTTCCAGACTGACGCGATTCCTGCCAGCCCTTTGGCTTTGCACGCGTGTCATTGCTGGTTCTGTCGGAAACATGCTGCTGCCGCATATGCTGGCTACTTGGATCCGGGAGAGAGCTGCTCGCGTGCTCTACTGCAGAGTGTGGAAGAAGCAGGTCCAGCAGGTAGTGGCACAGGTGGAGGTCTGAATCAAGGACCTCCTGTGGAGATATCCGCTATAGGACTTGTAGGACTAGGAAATCAGCAACGACATCTCATCGGACGAAGAGACACGTTTATGCGGGTTGACACACGCTGCTCTGGAGTGAGCGGGATTCTTAGCAGTTCAGCTTCATCAAGAACACCTGCTTCTACTTCATCCTCTTCTTCCAGCAATGGTGGTGGTCCAGTGGTACTAAAGAGAGAAGATCAAGATTGTGGCAATAACAACCAAAACCACAAGCAGATCCAACGACAAGAGTCGGAAGAAGCGTACTCGTCTAGTCCTCCTGCAAGTTGTAAAGCTGTGGCTAAGTATATGTGCTCAAATTGCTACACCTTAATTGGAATGACGTTGCGGGATGAGCAGAGTACTGAAGAGAGGAAAGATCAGAGTTCTGCAGAGAGGAAAGATCAGACTCCTGCAGAGAGGAAAGATCAAGATCTCCAAGATCAAGATCTCGAAGTCCAAGAACGCAAGGGAGAACATAAGAGTAAATTTTTGCTATCCATTGGCCTGGTTGTTTCTTCGTCTCCAACATCTTCAAGTCTCTCTTCCCCGACCAATGTTAATGTGCCTACAACCACGACGGCTGGAAATTTTGGCGCGTTGGCGGTATCTACCTTCCTCCCGAATAGCAGCACTCCGCCAGCACCCTCCGCGCCGTGTTGCCGCACCTTCAATTACGCTTACCCTGAGCAAAGAGCCTGTTGGGCTCATATATTGCGTGCGAGGCAGACGCAAACTATGCTAAACCGAAAGATGGATGATTAAGGCCCTTGGAGGTTGTTGACATATTATCTAAAACAAAGCATATCTATGACGACCTTTTCAAGGGGAAAGAGGATAGATATGCGACCTAGATCGGTCAACTTGCAACCCCTAAGATGAGGTGGAACAAAGGATTATGCTCCGACTCATGTCCGAGAGTGCTCAGGCGAGACATCTGGCGCGCACTAATTCAACATCTGCATCTTCTAGAAGATCATTTGGACTCGGAGGTGGGCGTATTAATCGAACTCCTGGTGTACAACAGTCGAGGGCCAACGAAAACACAAGTACAACAACTCTTCTTGGTAAAAATATGTCGGGAAACATCAACGCCAGCATTGAGCATCAAACGCTTCCTCCTAACGGGGCAGACGGTGGTGGATTGAATGACGTACTTGACGGTGGTTTACTGGATGATTTAAGCAGTGACGAGAACGACCTTGTTGTGAGACGGCCTGGTGCGAGAAGACCTTCATGCAGTAGTAAACCTCCTCCACCAACCGACTTGTTCTATCGTGGTTCTTGTCTTTGTGGACATTCCGTTTTTGAGGCGTTCTTGTTTCCACCTGAGATCCAGCACTGCTATTGCAGTATGTGTCGGAGATTTTCCGGGTCCGCGTTCCAGACGTGGGCACCCACACAGTTTGGCTTCTTCAAGTGGGTGGAGGCGAAAGATTTGAAAGTTTTGGAGACGTCACGTTACGCCAGTCGACACGTCTGCAAGCGTTGCGGCACGCATTTGACCATAAAATACGACTCCCAACAGGCTTTGTGGCTTGCCATGGGAGCGTTTGATTTCGCGCATGAAAATAAGTTTCGGAAGGAAAGTCGAGCTGTTGTTCGTAGTGCTTCACCAACGAAGAAACACAGTAGAGACCACCAACCTGCTCAACCTATTCGACTTCTACCAGCTGAAGAGGATGAAAAGGACCAAGAGCAATCCAATAAAGGACGAGGACAAATACAAAATCACGACTACAAGACTCCCTCTAGCCCAGCACTGGAACAAGAAGATGGTCTTGTGCAACCGGCAGCAAAGAGAAGAAAGCTATCGACTGCCTCAGCACCCGATGCTAGTGGTTGGATCCGCGATGTATCCACGGAAGTTGATAAAAATAAAAAGACGATTGGTCATATTAACCAAACAACTACAGCAGTTAAAGAGCAGCCTGTTGATACACAAATAAGGCAAACTGAAGCAGACATTGTGATTGATCTCACATCATCACCATCACCTGTTCCCGCCACTGACAAGATTGAAAACGGCCCAACAAAAAGGCGAGTAGAAGTCGTAAATTATGAGTTGCCAGTCCCGGAAATGCTGGAGCGGCCTACTTCTCTTGAGACGGGACCTACAGTAGAGGATGCGGAGTCTTGGGTGTCTAATAACATCGGCAGAGTTTGTCATATTTGTGTAGGGTCACGCTCATTCTACACTCAGATTCCATCAGATAACTTTGAAAAGAAAATTTACGCTGGTTGATGATTTCGATTTCCACCATCTTCAACAAATGAAACAAGAACAAGGCATGGCTTGTCTTTGAGTCGCTCTAGGAGCATCTTTGAGTTGCTCTAGAAGCAACGAAATGGAGATCAGGCTTTTCATCCTGCTCTGCCCTGCGTCTCCTACGCTTTCATCTTCCATTACCATTCAATCAACCGTAGCTCTGCTACGCAGTGCCGCGTGTTGCCGCTCACGTCATCTCCCACGAGAAGGGAACATGTGTGAGTGTGTGTGTAAACTGCGATCACGACCAAGTATATGCACAGAGACATCATGATGATGATGATGATGATGAAAGGCATTTTTCGGATGTGTCAAGGATCTACGCTAAATAATACGATGAACAAAAAGCTGTAAAAGTCGTCCCATCTATAATCGGTCTAACATCTTCATCTTCTATCAATTATACAACTACAACGGAACAGCTACTGCTTGGACCAAGCCGAAGATGAGAGTCAACATGGATGATATTTACACCTTCACTACTTGTTGTACTGGATTGCCATACTATTTTCCTCAAGTGATGATGAACCTGAAATTAGCTTTCCATTTGTCGACCACGTTTAGAATTTCTCATACTACCGCTTGCATCACGATTTCATCGACAACTTTTTTTCCAAACAGGCAAAGCCCCCACAGGAAACCGTGATAACAATACAAATCAGTCATATCATCATGACCACGAATCAACAGGATATTGAGAGTGAATTCCTCTGCGGAAGAGAGTCATTTTCCAAGTACTAGATGAACTACTTCTGCGTAATTCAGATTTCGATTTGTTTTTTATTGAAAAAAGCTAAGCAGGATTATGGTATCAAGATAGGTCAGAAAAACTAAAGGTATTTCTTATGAACTACAGCTCGTACAATCTAAACGCGCAGAAGCCTCGGAAGACTCCTTAGCTTTCTGTTCGAGACTACGGAATTTAGATTTTAGAAGATCAACTTGCAAAAAGGAACTAGTAGATATAACCATCAATCATCAGTGCCTCTCATTCATCAAGGTAGTAATTGCCCACGATGTCTTTTTGATTTAGATCCTTTGACGTCGACTCAGTTAGAGCAGAGCTGTTTTTTACAAAGAAGTAGTCGCCAATCTGTGAAGTAAATGGTAGTAAATTTGACTCGTTGATGATGTGGATATCGTGATCAGGAAACGACAAAAAATGACTGTAACATCATTATCGAAAGTACAAGTACTAGACTTCTACAACGCTCTGGAGCTGAGTCTACTTAAAAGCCTATTAAGTCACTTCCTTAGCATCAGCTGCTTTCTAACGCATAGTTTTTTGTATTAGAATTTTCATCAGCTGCTACTAGTACTATACCACGGCGTACTAGGTAGAGATCAACAAGATGAAGTCCTCGCAAAAAAAGACATTCCCGTCTCTTGTGGTTCTCCTTGGAACCAAATGGGGGACAGGATTTGTTGGATTGCTGTCGGGAGTACTAGCTGCCAATGAAGAAGTACGTTACAACGATCAGCCGAACTTGGACGAAGGAGCTACAACGATGTTCGTTGAACAAGAACCCGACAACAACAATATGATGGGAGACGCAGTAGAGGGACTCCTCGGAGTAGACTCCGATCCACCCACTCCACTGGTTTCCCCGAAAGCTCTCCGTTCGTCAGGAAACCTGTTGGAGGCCTTCTTGCAAAATGATGGCGCAGATCAAGAAGAAGAGCTAGAAGGAGAGCAAGACTTTAATCCACATACAGCCACGACTTTTGCCAGACCATCATCAAGTCTCTCTGGGTCAAAATGTAGAGATGCTGCTGGCTCTATTCAGCGCGACAGTAAGCAGGAAGATCCTTGTCCTTCTTCTACCGATCACGCGTTCACTAATTTAGATGACGGACATTTACCCGCATCCACCGCTCTTGTTTTCGACATGCATGGACAGCCTCGAGTAGAACGTCCTCTAAAACCACGTCAAGACGTATCGGCTCCTATGCCAGCCGTGCATCCGTCTATCTATCACATTTTACCGGATGGTGAGCCGGACTTGCTACGAGAAAAAATCGTCCCTTCTTGGGATGATACTAGTTCTTGTAGCACCTCCCATATTTTTAAGGCTGACTCAAAGAATCGAATTAATTTCTGCAAGTCACGTCTCACTTGTTCCTGTTTGGGACTGTGAGAAATGCACGCAGGAAATGAATCGTGTTGGGCTCTAACAATACGGCGCTTTCTCCTGGATGTTGTGCCTCTCTTCACGAACAGCGCCAAATATATAATGCTTCTCCTGGTGCGGCCTCGTCTACGTGGTCGACAGCTTTTGCTCCTTCGCCACCATGGTCTCCAAGTTTGGAACAACAGCTTGGGTATAGTCAAGGGGGAACATCAGGACCAGGACCGGGATTACAGCACACAGGAGTGGCACCAGGTGGAGTTGTTCCTGTTCGTGTAGGTTCCCCGGCTGCAATTGGAGGAGGTTGTATATCTTATCCCAGCATCGCATTTCCATTAGGCAATAGTACCACTTGTTACACCACACCACTCGTCCAAGGAGCAGTAGGAGACTGTTTCAACTACACGCAATATCACGATACACCTACAACGATTCAACCGACTAGTTGTACCAGAGGAGGATTTTTAGGATACCCACAGGACCAGCAGCACTTTCCGACTCCTCTTACCGGTGAAGGAGGACTTCCAAACCATTACCCAATTCCATCTTCACCAGCGCGTGTAGCCTCTCCGGTTGAACAACTACAACTCCTGAAGCAACAACACTATAGTAGCCACGTTGATGTTGATGGAGATCCTGATCAGAATGTTGATACTCAAACTCAGTCTACTTCTTCTAAGAAGAAGTATCACCCGCCAACAACTGCGTCGGCAGCGTCCAGCACATCCTCTCCACCTATATCAGCACGTCTATTCAAAAGTAAGCGTCAAGGCATGTCGCAGCAAGCAGCTGACCTTCATTTCCTGGCAGAGCTACGTGCTGCCAGTGCAGAGATTGGTACAACCTCCGTTGTTGCTGTAGTTGGGAAGAACACTACAACTCAATCAACTACTTCTAGTTCTAGAGGAACAAGAGCTACAAGAGCAGTTGATGAAGTTGAAGTTGAACAAGAAGAAGAGCGACAAGGAGAGTTCGAGTTTTCCGGAGAAGAGCACTACCATGATGCTGTGGATTTCAAAACGGATGGGCAAGTAGGAGAAGGACAATTTCAGCGTCGAGAAGATACAAATGTTGGCGCAGGAGCTAGTAGCACTCCTTTTGCTCGCGCCGGCGCTTGCGGGGAGATCACAACAAGTTCTTTGGATGTATTAAGGCATGCCCCTCGCGTCACTCTGGAAAGATTATTCTTAATAACATCCTCCTTCACTCACAGAAGCATCTGCATCTACTGAGATTCATATGGAATCAAGATTGTTGTACTTACATTCTTTAGATACTTGCGTTCTAGATGATGCTAGTACGTCGAAGTCTAATCTCCTTTCCGACCCTGCGGGAAGCAGCTGAAAAGGCCAAGAGATCCAAAGTTAAGGGCTGTCCCTTCTCTGTCAAACGAGAGATGCACCAAAGGTGGAATGTCAAGTGCAGAGTAGCTGCGCCGTCCCAGTCGCCCTCACCTCCTCCTGATGTGCAGAGGGGTGGAGCCGCAGGCGAAACTACTCAGCAGAGCAGGAGGTCAGACGTCGATGAGAGAAGTAGTACTCCATTTGCTTCTCCTGAGTCCGTAGAAGACGGGGACGGCGACACTTCTAAAGAAATAGCTGAAGAAACTGTTCTTGAACATCAAGGAAAGAAGAACAAGAAGAGCACGACTTTTACCATTCTTACGAAACAAGGTGCTAAGGCTAACAGCACGCGTAGCAGTGCCAAAGTCATGAGTACTAATGCTGTACCTGGGAGGGCGACTGGTAGTCGTAGTGTTGTAGAGCAAGAGCACTGCGACAGCAGCAGCACGCATGAACAACAACTTCCATTTCCTTTTGCTGAAGTACCCCGATTTAGTAAAGTGAAGACACATCACTCACAGGACGATCACAAGGAGTTACCACCGCATTGGAAAGATTGGCAATTGCACAGGCCTTTAAAAACTTCTAGAAGTCCTAGTCCCGAAGCAAATGCATCGAAAAGTGCTGAATTCTTCGCTGGCGCTCACTCTAGACCACAGGCTCAGCGTGCTAGTGGGAGTGGAAGTCATCTTATGTATGATGGACATGCTGGAACTGGAAAGAAATGCTGCATCGGCTTTGTAACTACAAGATTTAGAAGATTTCAAAGGAGAAGAAGAACATTTTTACTCAACTATAACAAAGATATTAGACGACGTCGTTCGCTCGAGGACGTTGATTTTTTCTTCAAGAATTTGTGACAGCCGATGAAATGAATTATACTCTCTAATTATGGCCCGCCGAATAAAAGAGCGAACCTGCTCGATGCGCTGTCCTTGGAACCATTTGCACGCAGTTAAGGACGTTGAAAAATTGCAAGATGATCATGATTTCTATACTGATTCACTCACATGACTTTTCAGTCACTCGTTTCTCACTTCGTCCGCCGTCGCTCCCTCGCTCCCAGACACTTCCTCCATAAATAGTACGTAGTGCTGTGACGGGATCTGCGCGGGTATGATATTGTGATTTCTAGGATGGACCACATTATCAAGTACTGTTCTACTCTCCGTTACTTCCTCAAGGCTTTTTCTAAATCGAAATCCAACATTCTCCCCAGATGAGCGACGAGGAAAGGACGCCTCGAATGCACGCAAGCACTAGCAAGAAGAACAGCAATCAACATGATGATGCTGAAGGTGAAGATCTTCATGCCAAAAGAGGACGCGGCGTTCGTATCAGAAATAAGCGTTTGCCGGGTCAAAGTCCTTCGGCCGCTTCCCCGCATGATCAAGAAGACGCTAGTCTTCATGACGCCGCTTGTCAGCAAGAAAAGGGCCGTAGTTTAGTACCTCCGCAGCCGGCTCCTCAAGACTTTGCAACCTGGAGAGCCAGCAGCTCCTCCGCTTGCGTCGTTGATGACTTCGACGTGCGCATTCGGTTATGGCTAACGAAGTACGTAGATGATCACTAGTACAACAACAACAATCACTACCTAGTACAACAACGACATCAAGTTGTATCCATCTTCTCAAGTTGTATCCACCATCTCCTTTAAAGTAGTGCAGTAGATCTAGAGCAGTAGAAGTACTACTTAAGCAGGTCGACCGTCGTTTCATTCGCATCATCTACACTGCTGGATGATTTCTAACAACAGATTCTGCCTTTTCAACGGATTGCTTCGCTCCCGCTACCGGATTCGAAGATTCTACAAAACAAGTCGAACAGGTCCATCTACATGATGACTCTTGTCTATCTGCCGATCTGCTTCACGTGTTAAATTTTGGGAGAGATCGACAAGAATCTACTTCTGTGCTTGATGAAGCAAGTAGTACCGTTATGCTAAGTGGATCTGCAACTACCGTGGCCGCCTCCTCCAGGACTACATCGGGGAAAGTACTAGCATCAAAGGCAAAGGAAGGAGCTGCCTTGGCTTCAACCACGAGGACACAGGAAGCCGATACGAGTTGGCGTCCTTCGTTGTGGAGATCGTCTGACGCAGCGAAGAAAATTGGAGCAAGAAGATCTGCCTCTAAAGCCTCTGCTCCGTGTACTTTATACACTAGCAGTTCTGCAAGCAGCTTAAGCTTAATATCGTGCTGGTTACAGTTACTTATTTTATAACACCAAGAGTTCTTCTAAAATGTTGAATTCTTCTACTCCTGCTAGTCGTGCAAGAGCCACATCTTGAAGACGAATGAATGAGAGTATCAAACCTCGACCAGAAATCGCCCATCCATCCAACACCCAAATGCCAGGTGGTCCTCCCGCAGCACGCTATCTTTCACCGGAGAGCGAGCCTGGGCCCCCGTTCGGAGATGGAAGCGTCCCTCAGATTTTGCTACGTCGAAATACCGCTTCTACAGCCATTCCGGAAGGAAATTCTTTGTTAGAGCAACCGTTGATCCTAGAGCTCGTCTGACACTGTGACTTCGATTTTTGACTTTCTTATTCTTTGCATTTCCAAACCTCGATCATCATTCAATGTTACTTACGTTCAAGGACGCGTGGGCAAAAGAACCAAAATACTTACTCTCTAAATAAAACACAAACCGCCCTTGAACCTCCGTTGCTCCTGCCACGTCGTCGCGAACCTCCTGGATTGGAGCGTCATCCTGTACAGGGTCCATACTCCGCTCCTCCTCTGCCTCAACCACCGCTGTTTCCGCCAGTCTTGCCGCACACTGCAGAGGGCTTTTCGTACCCACCTGGAGATTTCGGGAATTGGACAGCACCTTCTGGACAACCTTTTTTTCCTGTGACGAGAGTAGGAAACTATTTTCCACCGCCCCCGACGCCTCCTCCGGCTCAATTTAAGGAAACACTTGCTGGTGTGAAAAACTCGTTTTGATTTTCTACTTTTAGACTATGTAGATGGATGAAGACTTTTGGACGTGGAACTGATGGAAGCCACATATTCTGCACTTGAGTCAGAAATACTAGTTTCTTGTCTTTCGAACACGAGAACAAATTTGAGAACGTTTATACTAGACGAAGTCGCGGATAAAGATATACATAGATACTATCTTCCGAACCAACAGATTATGAGCAGAAGTTTTCACTTTTTTGTTAAAACGAACCATCATGTTTAAATCTAATCAACATCCTCACTTTCCAGCAGGAGGAGTTCACGGACACCAGCAGAACTACACACTTACGCTGGAGGCCAATCCGTACCGCACGCCGGCACGCATGTCAGGCGATGCGAGTGATCGGGTTTTGCCTTAGATGTGGATGCGTTCTGGAGTTGGGAGCTGACCCGAGTGATCGCGTTGTACCTTCGTTTGATGGAGGGCATACTTTTCCCTTGCGGAGAAGAAGAAGAAGAAGCTTATTAAGCAAAAGCATGAGCATCCTTATTCGACGCTCGTGCTCTAGTACTTAACCTCAAGGTAAAAAAATATTGTAGGAAGTTAAGCCGTGAGAGAACACTTAAAAATCTTAAAGGACTTTGGCACAAAGGACTTCGGTACTGGGCCTATGACCATCTAAAGATGAAGAGACATAAACATAATGACCCACTTGAAGTTTACAGCATTTCTAAGCTTCTTCCACTTTTCGTCTATTCATTCTAGCTCTGATGCAAGAACTTCGCGAAAAGTGACTATAGATGATGCATTTTTTTGCTGAAACTACATAAAAGATTAGGTACATGTAGAACAACAAGTACAAGCATGAAGATAGGACTACTGAAGATGTGAATATCAGGACATCTGCTGAACCTGATTTAGTACTAGAATTTGATTCACTCCCAGGTGGTAAGGGGTTGATACGTAGAATAGATATAGTGCAAAAAAGAGATAGAATAAGAACTATTGTCGACATCGACCACGACTGCAATATTTGCTTCTGCGGCCTCGGAGCATGATGGAGCTTGATAAATTTACCTTAAGAAAGTATGATGTGAATGTGATCAAATGTCATTATATCGATAGAATCTACCAAGAAGAAAGGTACTCTTACGAACAAGTTAAGATATTGCAATCACAATGTGTGTGCTATCTGAGTGAAGACGGATTGTTTGGAGGTCTTGTAACGGATAAAAGAGACGTCTTCGGAGGTCTTCATCCTCTACGGTGACTTGCTTCAGAGATACCCCTTGGGCGAAGAAGCGCTTCCGATTTTTCCTTTGAAGATGGCGTCGGTTCCTTTATCATCTCAACTCGCTCTCAGTCAGATGTCAGGTCACTCTCAGTCAGTCACTTTCAGTCAGTCACTCTCAGGTCATTTCTCTCAGTCAGAGACGTCTTCGGAGGTCTTCATCTGCTAGCATCGACGCGTGTTTGTGTGTGCGGAGATAGGTTCTTTCGTCTCAACAACTCAGTCTGCGTCAGATGCCAGGTCACGCTGAGCCCGGCTATTTCAGTAAAAACTCTGGTACACTATCGCTTGATGTCGCTCTTGATGCTCTCGCAGCAGGGTAGTTTTCCATGTCCTGATGCACGGGCATGTGCATCTTGTTCTTCCAACGTTGGCATCTTCCTCGCAAGAAGAGCACTGAGAGGATTAATGGTGACTAGTCACTACTACTGGCACGGTGAATTGAAAATGATCCTTTGACTTTTGTAATATGCAAAGGCCTGTTGTGACTGTTCTTTCACGTCGTGTTCAAGGACGATCATCTGAAAGACTATTTACTATCGGTTAGTCTGAGTTTTCACCTCGACAATATTAGGCCGCTTATCCCGTGCAGCATTTATTATGGATAGCTTCATCATTTATCAATAAGTAGCATCTCTCCATAAGAGGAATAGCTTTCGCCTTGTTTTGAATCTCCATGTTATCATCTTCAGTAGAAGATTGATATCAGCAGTAGCAGCGAGGATATAAATTCCTTCATTTCCACGTTGATTTCTGGCGAGCTTTTCTGAGATAACCTCACGGTTTGGGTTTGTTAGACTTCTAGGAGAACAACCAAATCAGCGATAAGACCATACAGAAGTCGCCTGTCATCAACGTTCTTGCTCTGAACACGACAGTCGTGTGACGCCTAAAGAAGGAGCTGCCTTAGAAGTTGAACATTGTTTGACCTCAGTACACGACCAGCAGCAGCAGGTGACTTCTACTAGTACTTACAAGGTGTGGTCTAGGGGGAGAACAATCTAGAACATCTGCTCCACACCATCACGGCTCCACTTCTTGTCCTTTTTGTTGGAAGTACTAACACGACCCCCGATCTAGATTCTTGTGACGAGAGCACAACTGGTAGTACAGCGTCTACGTCCACTCCGACCAAGTGGTAACCCACAAAGATTATGGCCGTGAGTATTAAGTCATAGGTTTTTTACTGTTGCAGTTGCTGCGGCCTGTGTGTACCACTAAGAAAGGACACTTCTCGTTGGGGGAGTTCCCAGCTAAGTAGAGCGCCTTCTTTTTCGCCCGGCTAGAGAAGCAGTAGTAGGTGAGTAAAGTTCGTGGGCTCGGGGGAGTGTCGCGAGTGACGCGCTTCTGCTTACTTACTACCTGGCTAGGCTGTCCTTTCTGGTAGAAGGTTTTCTCTTCTTTTCGGTTTTACTCGACTTTTATCTTGCTTGCTGACCAGTCGTGTGCCAAATTTCCCTCTCTTTCTTGTGGCTTGTTTAGAAGTAGTAGCGCGAGGGCAAGTCCTAAACGACGCATCGGAGAGCGAGGAGCGACGAGCAGCAGCGCAAAGCTGCGTTAGCATGGCGTCGCCCATCAAGCGCCCCATCGGTCCCCGGACGTTCAGGCAGAACCTGAGGACGCATACAAGCACGCAGATCCGCAAGGAAGTGTAAGCGCATCACAGAGAAGACAACAGACTTTAGCAGGCGAATGGCCTGCCATTGAAGTCGCGACCTTCGTGGTGGCGTGTGCGCATGTCAGCTGGCTGCGCGAGCTGTGCTGTCTCCACGTATGTGCAAGAACAATCTGCGGACATCTGCGACGAAGTCTGGGAGTGGCAGCATGGAAACAGCCGCAGACGGTACATGGCAGCGCCATATAGCGCCACCAAGCAGCTGAACGGCCTTGATTGCCAACCTGAGAAGTTAGCGACCGCGGTGGAGAGAGAACGCGTGGACGAAACGGGGTGGCTTGTTACTACGGTACGGCTCTCGAATTGAACGGACTCGGTGGCGAGGAGCCAGGGGGTGAAGTATCGAGAGCGCTCGTCGAAGGGCCAGCGCCACCCAGGGACGCCATCACGCAGGCCAGCAGTGGCTTGCACTTGTTGACTGCTCTAGGTGCGGCCTTATCCCCGGCTCGTGCGTTCTTAGTAGACTTTAAATACTCCGGCGGAGGGGCGCAGCAGAACATGGAGCGAGGCAGAGCGTCCGCAAGTGGAATGCGTGAGGCCATGGCCTGGCGCTGGTTCTATACAGGCTAGGCATGGCATGGCTGCGAGTGACTACATGCGCAGGCTCAGGCGCGTGCTGGAATACGCGAAGGAAGTCACCACGCTCCCAGAAGAAGACGAAGCAGGAGGAGGCGGCAAAGTGAGTCAGAACGCCGCGGGGCTTTTTAGTAGCTTCCCTCGGCCAATTGAACAAGAGCACCGTGAAGGACTTGGGTGCCAGTCTAGAGGAGGCAGGCAGATTCTGTGGCCACCTTTCTACAGCTGAAGGCGAAGCACCGAGGGCGAGTCCCCGGCGCCCCGGCGGGGCCAATAAAGGCTTTTTGATTCGAAGGTTACGGATTACTTCGACGAAATCAACAAGAGGAGAGGGCGCAGTGTAAAGAAGGGGCCAGGGCTTTCGCGTTCAGCGCCGCTGCTGTTGTTTTTAGCAACGGCGGACGCCCTGGCGCCGCGTATCGTGGAGCAAGAGCTGGCCCTCGCGGAAGTAGTGAGGGGAGCAGAGGGACTGGCGTGGCACTTTGGGAACTTAGTCTAGTGGGTGTGCGGGCCTCCGAGCACTACGCTCTCGAGTGGTAACGCCTAGGCACAGGCTGGAGCTGTGGGGCGCCGCCACTAACTTCCAGCGTGTTCCCTTATTGTGTCTTCCTCGCAAGGCCGGCGCGCGGCTTTCTCAGCTGGGCGACTTTCTTAGCCAGACTGACTCGCCGAGCATGGGCACACTTCCAAGCGTCTCGTGGACCGACAGAAGACGCAGCACGGCAAACAAAGCGCACAACAACACAACAACCGCCACCCATACAAGAGGAGGCAGCCCCCTCCCCCCTAGTGCAGTGAGTAGCCTCTTCTCTTTAATAACAGCAAGACACTGCGCTCCTCTAGTAGCGCCCCCCAAGAAGAAGGGCCTTGCGCTACTTGTAAGCGGTGAAAGTTCGTGCTGCATCCATATGCTGGCCTGAGCATGGGGGCGCACGCTGGCACCAGTTTCCGCGAGCAATCTCAGAGCCCACGACAAAGAGCGCCCAGGCCAGGTCCATTAGGTTAGTCTTCTCTTTTGTTTTCTTCTCGGTTCTTCTTCTTCCTCCGTTTTTTCGCGTGTCAAGCAGTTGCGCAGAAGTGAGTCCCTCGGCGCCACGCGCGCAGAGTCTCGGCCGCAGAATGAGAGCAGGCGACGAACCTTCTCGGGCGTGATAGCATTCAGCATCAGCGACAGGGCCTCCGCGTTGTAATATTTCAAGCACAGGAGGCCGCTGGGCCTCGATCTGGAAAAGATAGAAGAGGGGACGCTTCTGGGCTGTATATAGCTACCCAGCAGCCTAGCAACTGAACACCCAAGAGCTATCAGCGCGCTGGAGTCACAGAAACGAACCAACAGGATTTCGCCATCCAATGGCCTGACATCATCGAACCGGTGGAGCATGGCGGCGCCAGAGGTAGTAGCTGCGCAGCAGGATCGAGCTGCGCCGCAGCAGCGAAAGCTTGGGAGGCGTTGGGCTCTTGGAGTTTCGTCTGCGAAGGCTTCTACGGCAGAAAGGAAGACCAACCGCGTCGAAGGCGGCGCCTATCTCAAGTCGCGCGAAGCAAACTCCATCTGGGAAGTTTGGAGCGGCGTAGTAGAGTAATTCGGCGGCAGGAGTCGCGGCGCCCTTGCGGAGGGAGCGGCAGAACCGTTGGAAGCAGCCGCCAGGAGAGGCCAACAGCAAGGGAGGCTAGCGGCCCTCTGCTTCTGGGCTCCTCCTGAAGAGGATCAGCCAGAGCAGCAGGACAGGCCCCCGGGCGGCATGTGTAGCGTGTACAGAGCCCAACTACTACGAATTTGCGGGGAGAGGAGTGCGCGCCACGGTAGCGGCTGCGCTAGCCCAGCCATCTCTGACCAGCTCTGGCTTATTTCTCTCGCCTCTTGTTGCAGATTCGAGCCGATTCGCCTCGGCCCGTTTTCGCTGTGAGTGACAACCTGCCGCCCCCCTTTTCGCTGGCTTCGCCGTCTGGTTTTAAACTGCCGACCAGCCACACGCAAAAGCATAGAAAGACGACGCCGAAGATTGTGAGTCGCGGTAGAGCGGCAGCAGTGTCGCAAGGTAATGGTAGCGCGGCGGCTGGCAGCTGCGTGGGCGCCAGCTCAAGGGGCGGCGGTAGTAACATTGTCAAGAGGGCGACGCAGTAAAGGGCACGCTGCCGCCTGTGGTTGACTAAGAAGTGACCAAAACAAGAACAGCGAAGCGGGCTAATCCCTATGGCCCGCGCTGTCAACGCATGGAAGAGATGCGCAAAGCGCCACGCCCGAAGCGGATCCAAGTTGGGGCATTGAAGTAGGCCAGGCATCGCAGAACGAAGAGTCAAAGCGCACAAGGCTCACGCGCCAGAGATTGGCTCTGCATGACGCTAAGAGATCGCCAAGCCTTGCAAGTTAAGCGAATGCATCCACTGAGTAACGAGGGCCACAGTGACAATCTGCGGAGGTGGAAATCTATGGGCGTCACGCTGTGGATTTTGACCAATGTGACAGACAACAGGAGGGGCCACTTCTAGTAAGGAGCAAAGTGCCCACGGCTCGACAGAGCTGATCAGAAGGCTCTGGACTTGGGCGCACTGGGCCGCACATAAGTAGCCAGAACTTGCGGAGAGGTAGAAGAAGCAGCGAAAAGCCTAGCCAGGAACGAAGTCGGGGCTAAGTCGAATGCTTTTTGGCAGCACAGCGCTGCAGGCATAAAGCTTTCTTTCTTGGAGCAGGACTGCTAGCGCGCTAGAGAGGGCGGCGGCCTCTCATTCTTCACGGCAGAGGCTAGCCAATAGCCATCAGCCGCCTCGCAATACAAAAAATGGAAAGGCATTCACTCGCATAGAAGGGGCAGAAGCATGCGACGACGGCGCAGCAGCACACAAGTCCGCGGCACTCTCTTGAAGGGCTGACCAGTAGCGCGCAGCGTAGAGGCGCGGCGAGTGAGCCCAATAGCATGGGCGCATGCGGCGGATGAGCGCGCCCACCCTCATCCTCAGCAGTCGGCGCTTTTGCGATCAGGAGCTTGGGGAGTGGACTCATATAGATACTTAAAAGTAGTAGAGAGGCAAGCCCTCCCCCCCTGAGCGACAGGAGAGTGACCGTCAGGGTTGGCTGCCTTGTCGCCGTATTAGTTTCAGCTGTACCCCGCCACACATAGAGAGGCCCCGCCCCCCGCATGACGTGAGGGGGCCACTCGCATCAGGTAAAGGCAAGGCCCAAGAAGGTTCGCGACTGGGAGTCCTAAACTGAGTCACGGGAAGAGCCCACCAAGCGTGACTGGCTCCGGCCCCCACGGTGTGGGCGGCGTCGCTCTTCCTCATATCATCCCCGGAGCCGGAAGTAGATGTGCGGCAGTCGTAGCTGCGGGGGGGTCGGCGCCTTGTGCATGCAAACTGATCGGCTGACTGCCTAACTTTAGCTGGATGATCTTCACTGGGCTAGGCCAGCCGGGGCACAGGCGTGCTTGCAAAGTCCAGAGGTGGCCCTGGGTCTGATTTGGTTCCTCCGTTATCCAGCACCGCCGCGCGCTGGGCGGCCGCGTATAGTTGACTGGTTGACTAGGGGCTGGGGCCAATCTTCAGCTATCAATGATAGCTAGCGGGTTAGGGGCTGAATTTTTCGATTTCGTTTTCCCTCCAAATGCGACCGCCTGAAGATCGTAAACGCGGACTGTTAAGACGATAGTGAACCCAAGTACAAGTCGGCTCACAGACAAGAGCAACATCGAAGACCTATTATATCTAATAACGTGTTGCGGCAGCGTTCCTGTGCGCATGGGCTGGCCCGTTGCAAAACGACAGCACAACGCTTGTCTCTGCTCGTTCTCTGGTTCCTGCTTCACGCAAGTGTCGGCGTTGTGGCGATTTCCAAAGTCGACCTGCAAAAGCCCGATCAAGACCAAATTAACAGGTTTTTTCCTCCTGATAGTATGCTAGGAATTCTCGGAGCACATTATCATGATAGAAGCGGCAGCGGTAACAAGTTCTCCCCGTGGCACGAATTCACATTCGAATTTGATTCCCCCGCAAGAGAGCCGTACACCCCGATTTTTCCTAATTGGAATGAGCACGGAGAGCCTCAAACAGAAAACTCAAGCGGTTTGCTTCCCCATCTGGGACAGATGAAGGTGATGAAAACCGAAGCACCTTCAATTAAGAGATACTAGAGTTTTTCATTTTCATGATCGCAGTCTGAAGGAGAGTAGGGAAATAGATCTCCTGACTTTCAGAGCAATGGCAACCCGAGGAGGGGGGCATGCCATTTACTCAAGGTGGAACGATGAGAAAGTATTCATTTCCTTTGGTCTTCCTCGGTCTATCTCATCATTTCTAATTCAAAAATTGTTGGCGTGCAGGGTGGAGATGGTAAAGATCCGAAAGCAACACTACTGCAAAGCGGGACGTTCGGTCGGATATTCGGCCTTGTAACATATTCGATTTCGAAGGATTCAACGAGTGCAGAACCTCAAAAGCCTGAATCAGCTCTGAAGCACGTGGTGGTCCTGCTGCACAAAGGAACAACTATCAGCGATCTTTTTTCGTCTGGGTATCATCAGCTTGAATCCACCGAAAAAGGAGTTTCTTTTTTCGTTCCGAAGCGTTACGAAGACGTCAAAAAGGCCCTACTGAAACTTTTTCGGGACGCCGACAAGAACAACAAACCTCTAAATCCGGACATCAGAGAAGCGCTTCGAGAAGCTTACGTAGCCCTTCACGTAACCAATCAACCCGGTGCAAAACACTGCTGCGTCGAGACCCACTACGTGCGCGTCGCTTTTTCCGAAGTATCTGACTTCGGAGAGGTTCATCTTCATGCTCATTTTATTTACTGCATGGAACGCATGTCAGAGAGCCTTTCCAAGTTGTTCTCAAAAGACACTAGCAAACGAGAAGAAGCACTAGATTACGCGACTCGGATGTCGTTGTTCGTGAAGGCAATTGCGGCAGTTCATGACTTTCACAAAGCAGGATACACGCACGGCGTACGGCACAAAATTTGTGGTCTCTTAAATGCAAAGCCGTAGCAAGTTTCCAGTGGATGAATGTGACACACCAATCCCATTTTTCAGTAAAAATGACTCATGGTCAAGAATTGCTTTTTTTCTCACAGTCCATCGTTCGAATTCTATGTCTGTGTCAACCCCGCCTCTCTCCCCCCTCTCCTTCCCCTTTTCATACATCGATATCAAGTATGCGAACATCCTCGTCGGTTTCTCTGCGAGGGGCACGGACAAGCAAACAGTGGAAGCAAGCATGATCGAGGTGGTGAAGGTTGCCGATTTTGGGACGGCGCTTCCCGTCGACCAGATGCGATCTTTACGGGACGGCTACACACGAGGTTTCGCAGACCCTCGACTCCATGGCATGTTGGGGAAGGGGATACAAGCTGGGCGGGGGCGGGAAGGACTAGAGCAACTTCAGAAGAGACTAGCCGCAACGCGAGTCGCCAAAGGTGAAGAAATACAAATATTGGGAAAACCGATGCCAGTGAATAGCCCGATTGGATGTGATGCCTGGTCAGTTGGGGTGGCGTTGTATTGTTGGGCAGCATCTGTCTGGTCGAGGAGTGACTTCGCAGCCAGGTATTGTCGTTTCGGTGACAAATATGGCACCGCGTGAGATTTTCTTAGAGGTTGTTTGTTTCATCTTTTATTCATAAGGACATCTATGTAAGGAAAAGGATGATTACAGTCAGCCTCTGCCTGATCGCGAGTCAATAACGTAGGACCGAACAACATTTTTGCTCATAGTTCATTATTAAAGGACATAGAGATAGACGGAAGCTGCGACTTTTATTCGCTTTATGTTACTACGTACAGTGACTCAGACAGTATATATAATGATGATCACTAGTGTAACTTTTCTGAGCAACAACCTAGTTTGCCGTCTTCTGTCACTGAGCAGGAGCACCTCTAAGAACGCACACCGGATGACAGGCTTAACAGTTGGACGTGGGGATCCCATCCTTCTCCTTTGGTTTATAATTCTGCCCCTCCGGCGAAGGTCACAGGGAAAGCAGCGAGCCGGATCTTCAAGAACGGGTTCCAGAAGTGGTACGTGTATCGGAGGTTGTTCCGAAAATTTGAGGGGATAGCGTTTTCGGTCTGGAAAGAGAAAGGTTTTACGCGGAATTTTCCGCCTCCTTTTGATACGTACACTAGTGGTGACCTGTGGACTGAATGCGAATGTCGAAAAAAAAAAACAGAAACAGCAGAAACACACAACGAAAGAAAAAAACAACGCACTTTCTACTGCTTCATGTGGGCATTGCTGAGGTACGCTTTGAACCACGCTCCTGCGCAACGAGATTTGGAGAAGCTGAAAAACGCTTTGGAAGCTCTACAAACCGGTGAACCGAATCTAGGAGTACTAGTAGAAGCAGCTCCAAGCGGAAAAAGTGCAAGCAGCTTCGCTCAGACCAACTCGCGTCCGTCTTCGGAGGACATCACAACAACAACTACGGAAGCTGAACCCAATGGCGAACTACAACAGCTCATACACGCTTCTACAGATCAAAGTCAAACCTTCAACAGCAATGCTGATGCTGTCATCCGAGACGAAGAGGCTTCATCTTCTACCCTTGTTTCAGAAGAACCAGAGGGTCCATCTTCTGCTTCTGCTAGAGCACACTACAAGGTAGTTCATCCGCACGTACAGAAAGGGAAGTACTACAAAAAGATGAACAAGAAAAACAAGGCTGGTGAGGACTTCAATGCGTTTTTGGAGTTGCAGGGCTTCGTGAGAAACAACTTTGATGAAAAGGATGCCGAGAAAGATGAGCCTCTAATTGATGTGCCTGTTATTACGGGTCCGTGTAGCACTTTTACTAAAACTGCTGTAGTGTCCAGCATGCTGTATTCGTCACTTAGTTCTCCTCGAACACCAGAGATGAAGTCTCGCTGTGTGTCATATCATAAGAACAGCACTCACTTTCACTACAAAATCCTCTGCCACTGTCATTAGGTTTCCTCGGGTAGGTCAGAGACCTGCTGAGTCACATCATAGTCAGCTCTTCTAATGCAACCAAGCAGGAAGAGGATCGCGATCGCGACCAGCCGTCTGCTTCGGTGCAGGGCCCGGAAACAAGTGGTGGCCTTGGTTCCGGTATCCTCGAGCTGTGAGGTCTCACTCGGCGCATCATGGTGGTATTGACATACTTTTGATTTTCGTTATAGTTGTTCGAGTTCGACGCTGACTATCGTTCAATGAGTTTGAGACTCATAAATCTTTGTCTCCAAAGGAACTGCGTCTTCTCTCAGCATTATTGTAACATCTGACCTCATCTCTTATCAGGATGCGCGCATGAACGAAGTATGGGAACAAGGAGGAGTAAAATCATGAAGGTGGTGAGGTTTATATATAAGTAGTAAGTTTGTTTGTGTACTAAAAAGAAGTTGAATTTGGGATGAAGAAAGGAATAAAAGACTGGGACGAGGAGGAAAAAAGATGTATGTCGTGTATCGCATGATATAAATAGATGATCATGATATTTTCGAGATATTACGAAAGTGAAAGTGATATGAAAATCGATGAAGTGATCTTCTACATGATGAATGACGATACAAAAACGCAGCTTAGTAAGTAACAAGAAAAATAATTAGAGTAGTTTACAGAACGGATGTAGGATGGACTTGGATGGATCGGATGGATCGGATGGACCCCCCTGATTCTTCCGATCCTACTTGAAATGGTGGAAAGTCCATCCGTTCCATCCGATCCATCCGATCCATCCCATCCCGGATCTGGCACCCCTATAAACTGCTCTAAAATATATTGCTTGATGAGTGGGGCCGTGTCATGATATTATAAAGGATCAGGATGAAGATGAACATAATAACGGCATAGACTTGGTTTATAGTGACAACGCATAAAAAAGCTGAGGCCGCTGCCTATTAAATAATGTCGGAGAAAGTGCCGGGACCGATGGCAGGGGGAACTGCTGCCCCCCTCTTCTTCTGTTAATGTCCGAGAAAACTGCCCGGGGCCGCTGTCCTCCTCTCCTTTTATTAATGTCGGAGAAGAGCCGAGACCGATGGGCGGGGCGTCGGTTGTCTTGCTTCCTCTCCTCTTATTGATGCCTGAGAGAAGCCGAGGCCGGACGATGGGCAGGGCGGTGGCCGTCTTCCTCTTCTTCTATTAATGTCCGAGAGAATTGGCCGGGGCTGCTGTCCTCCTCTCCTTCTATTAACGTCCGAGAAAACTGTCCGGGGCCGCTGTCCTCCTCTCCTTTTATTAGTTATGCAGAAGATCTAGCTGGATCAGCGAGCTCAGTCCAAATATTTAGCGAGCAGATCTGAGTAGAGGTTCTGCCCATGAAGATCAGCGCGAGTTCCTGACAATTCGACCGAATCCAACTCATCGAGTGCCGTTCTTAGTCCCGTGCGACAAGCTCCTGCTCCCGCTCTAGATCAACCTCCACACGGTTCTGAGCATCGCAGTAATAGGGGCCGTTTTGGCTCAAGTCATCGTAACCGTTTGCAGGCGCCCTTGAGGCTACAGTAAGGCTTTTACTTTCTTCTTTCCGTCTCCGTTTCTCCTTTTTCTCCGCATTACCTATTGCCGCTAGGGCTTTAGGCTTTTCGTAAGCTCCCTTCTCTACTCGCGCAGCTTGTACTGTATCATCGCTAGGGTTTTGCGTCTTCTCGTGGAGGCGTCCTCATCCCATCCACCATAGTGAATTTGCTCAAGATGCCGAACAGCATGATTCTCGCTATATCTCCGGGGGCTCCTTGAAAGAAGCTACGCGTGCTTTCTGCGCGCACAGCGGTGGCGACCTCGAGGCCCACACGGCCTTTATGGAGTGGCTGGCTGCAATTGATGACAAACCGGTAACGCAGAGCTCGCTGGATTTTCTCACAAAGATTGGTGAGCGCCTGATCGCTCAGGAATTTCACGGCGCAGATGACCTCATGGGCGCGCCGATGCCTGATGCACTCCCAGCGCCTTCGTTCAAGGCAGGGCGCCGCGCCTTCGCGGAAAGGGCGAAGATTCTCGCGGAGCGTCAGGCAGGGTTCTCTTGCAGTGGTGGACTCATCGGAAGGCACGCAGCAGGTAAGCTGGACGAGGAGGCGGCCCAGAGCCCTTCCTTTGACTTTGAGACCCGTCTCGCCGAGCGCGGAGCAGTCACCCTTCCCGATTTCCGCGCCAGTAGTGTCTCCGTGGCGAAAATGGAGAAGGAACACATCAAAGCGAAGACTCCCATGCTGCCGGTCTTCTCGCCGGATGACAAGCGATGGACCCCGGTTCACAGCAGTGATGGCATGGGGGGGACTTGGTCCTTCTTCCTACTGTCGTACGTCGGTCAGTTGGATGTCGGCTGTAGTCGCACTTGGGACTGTCGATCTGGGTGCTGCCATCTCATACACCACGCAGCTCAGCGCTGTCGCTATGCAGAACTCCGCCTTGGCTGCTCGCTCCCTGAGCTCTCTGCTGATGCACAAGTTCGAGCGCGAAGTGGGTGAGCGCGTTTCTGCGAGTGCGCTTCTCTCGCAGCGCTTCTCCGAGCGTGGCATCAGCATGGCCGTGCGGGAAGCAGCCGCCGATGCAAAACGAAAGCGGGAAGCCGCAGAGAAGAAGGATGCCATCGCTCGCGCACGCAGGGACCGCGATGAGCAAGAGCGCAGTCGCCGTGCGCGTGACCGTTGGGTTGACAGTGTATTCTTGGAGACTAGCGTGCCGCGGGAGCGCCTGCGTTCTCGTGGAGATGACAGAGACCGCAACTACCCGCGCTACGGAGCTGGATCAGATCGCCGTCGCCCTAACGGTGGCGGTCACTCCTCGAAGCAGGACAGGACTGCGGAGCAAATCGCCGAAACCTTGAGGAAATCTGATGCCACGCAGTGACTCCTCCGCCTCTTGGAGGAGTGTGGGTCGCCGCTCTACGCGACGACCTTGGTCTGCTACCTAATTAACGACCGGGCGGTCGCTAACTGCGCCGCCAAGGTCGCAACGTGCGAGCGTATCAAGGACCGGTCTGCCAGTGCGTGGGCTGCTATTGTGCGTTCGGAAGTGCGCCAAAATATTCAACATGTATCCCTGCCTGCAAGTCAAGTACTTTGGGAGCAGCTTCGTCGCGATTTCGTCTGTTTTAATCGCTTCGACTTCGTCCGCTCTGGCTTCCTTGAGGGCTTTCCTCAAGTTGGGTCGCCCGACGTGCTCGCCGCTTGTCGGCGTGTGCGCAACCGCGAACTCATCTCTCGCAGCAACCTGGAAACCTTCACGCCGGAGATGCAAACTACACTGAGTGGCAAACTAATTGACGCAATTGCTCAGGGCTTCCTCGTGGAGCTTCTTGGCACCCCCGAGGATTATTCTGATGCTATTCCTTTCACGAGACGCCACCTGACGCACTCAAGCGGCAAGTGGCGACTGGTGGACGACTTTACGGAGTCGCTCGTAAACTATAACTTCAGCATTGAACCGATTGAGCACGGCACGGCGGAGCAGCTCGCTATGTCCATTGCTGTGGCTGTTATGTTCGGGGTCGACCTTGCCAGCATCCGCCTAACCAAGGACGACACTAGCGCGGCCTTCAACAGGCTCGCTCCCTAATCGCCCCTCGGAGATGCATCTTCTCGGACTGACGTGCGCTGGTCGTGCCTTCATCCCGCTGGTCTGCCCCTTCGGCGCCAGGGCATCCGTCGACAATTTCGAGGCTGCAGGCGGCCTCCACAATTTCTGGCTTAGCGGCGTTTTCGGTGTTCCACGCAAGCGCTATGTCGATGACAGATTTGGGATCTCATTCTCAGTCGTCGGGAAAAACTTAGGCGCCCTGGAGCTGCGTATCTCCCACCTTGTTGGTCTTCCGAGTGATCCGAAGAAACACGCTGACGACGCCACCTCCCTTGTGGTGTTGGGTGTCTCCATCGAGCTGTCGAGTGGCGCTATTATCCTCCGCATTCCTGAAAAGAAGCGGATGAAGTACGCAGAGGAGATCTCAGAGTGCCTCCGCAGTGGCGTTCTTTCATCGAAGCAAGCGGAGCGTCTTCGCAGTAAACTTTTCTGGGCTGGGTCGGTCTTGTTCTTTCGTGCTGGCAAAGCCATGCTGTATCTCCTCGCGAATCGCTCTCGCTCACCGAAGAAGGAACTCACTCCTAATCTTGAGGCTTGCCTCCTGTGGTGGAAGCATCTGGTCTGCTCGTCTCGGCGGGCTCTCTGCTCGAGCGCAAGACTCGTCTCGACGTATTCGCATGCTCCGACTTGCTTTCGTCGTCTTCGGTCGTGATAGCTAGTGGCGCCTGGTTCGCCCCCGGTCAGCCACTGGTTATCGCAGGCGTCTGCAGAGGGACCTTCTTTCGTGGCGAAGTTTCTGCCCCGGAGCAGTTCTTTCTTGACTGGGGCGCTCGGACTAGGAAGAACAAAATCATCCTGGGCGAGCTCCTTGCTGCAGTGGTCGCAGTTGTCACTTTCTGCGATGCCCACTCGCGCTGCGACCTTCTCGTGGACAATCAGAGCAGCATCGGCATGCTCAGGAAAGGCTATAGTCTTGTCCCCGACCTCTCCGCGATGATTGGCAACTTCTAACTTTTCTGTCTAGCGAGGCGCATCCAAGTGGAGGATATCACTTACGTTCCATCGGCATGGAATCTGGTCGACGTTCCGACAAGGTCCGCTAGCGGTCTCATAGCACAAGGCTACCAGCCTGTGAGCTCCAGGCTTCCACGCTGTAGCTTCTTGAAAGTCAAAGAATTTATCTCCGATTTCAGTCAGTTCGTCTGATCTGCGGAGCGGTGGCTTGTGTGCAGCACACAGGCGCACTTGCGTCGCCCCCCTGGGGATAAGCTAACTAATCTGGTCGCAGTTTGTTACTTTCGTTTGGCCTTTGTCTGTATAAGTAACCGCTTCGGACTCTGTGAAAGAGACGAATACTCGAGAGATGTTTCTGCTTTGTGAAGGAAGCAAAGCGAGTAAATGTTCAGACTCCTTGGCTTAGTTCAAGTAGGCCTGGATAAGAATTAAGTAGTAGCAAGGACTGCTGGGTAGTGATACCTCCGAGGGAGGGAAGCGCCGTGAACAGTAGGAAATGAACAACGTGAAACACTAGATCAATCGTTCTGTGGTTTAGACGAGCAATCTAGGGGAAGCCATTCAAGAAGGAAAGGCTCATGGAAAGTTTGGCCAAATGAGCTGCCTACGATAGACTTGATCAGGTCCTGAATCTCGAGGGGAAGCCCTGGAGTAGTAAGGATAGGATGATCTAGGCCAGGTGACTAAAAGGTTGCGAGACCTTGGTAAACCCTTTGGCGGTTGTAAGATATGAAAGAAGAATAGAACTGTTGGTATCTGCGAGGATACCAGGCGGACTTCCTGGAGACGGGAAGGGGCTAGGATTCACTCGGTATTTGGGCACCTTCGCTGTAATGGTGATAGGAAGATAAGTACCACCGGTCGGAGCTCTTAAAAGGATGGCTCCGACGCCTCACTGCGTAGGGGGGGCAGTGTAGGACCTGGCCCGGGTGTAAACAGGGCGGCCCTTCGTGAAGAAGTTCGCCAAATAACTCCAAGGAACAAACGTTGAATGACTCAATACCCTAGACGGCTGCTGCCGAGATCGACCCGGTAGGGCGGCTGTCATTATTAGGACTAGAGGACTTGGAGGATCAACAAGAGATTCCGACTGCAAGGCGGCGCTGTGTACAACGCTTAGGTGTTGCCTCAGCTACCAAGCTGTAGTGAGGGCCTCATAGGGGGGCTGATTGCGGATCAGTCTCGTTCCCCATTTTGTAATTAGGAAAGACGCTTGAAGGTGAAAACCAGCATTGTGCTTAAACCTAACCAACACATAACTGGGGGCTGTTCCGGGGTTGCGAGACCCGTAGGAAAATTTTGTTGAAGAACAGTTCCAAGTGCGATTCTAGACGTACGGGGATGACAGTTGGCAAGAAAACAACAGTTGAAGAATGACCGTGTTCGACAGGTATAAAAAGAATGTGAGTTGGGAACTCACAGAGTTGTGATGTAATTCTAATGCCGGAAAGTATGCAAGATTGACGTCGGAAGTGAGTTCCATTCTGACCAGGGTTTTTTTCTTGAGCATGGAATCTCTCTTTCACAAATAAATGCTCGATGTGGTTGACGGAAAGGATCAAACAAAATCTAAAATCTGAATGGTGCGTCGAGAACCTTGAGGAAAACCCAAGACTGGGAGTGAAGAAGCGCGGGAGTGTTTTGTTTCCCAAGGCTGTACCATGAACAGTTGGATGAGCAGAGCGAATGATAACTGCAGTTTCTGTGAATATCAGAAAATTTAGAAAATTTAGAAAACAAGCATCCTAAGATTATTCACCTCCGTTTCCAAATGCAGGGATAGGAGATTGTATCTTCTAAAAGTTCATCACGGACACCCGAGCGGTAGAAGTGATAAATCTTTCAGTCTAGATTTGGGTTCACCACGAACTTACATCTAATTTTGTAAGAAAAAACGACTAAAGATGGGAGGTTGGAATTATCCAGTCCGTAAGTATGACGAGAAACGAGGCGGAAAAAAGGGCTGGCATGACAATAACAGTTCCTCTTCCTACGACAAAGGATATCAGGGAGGATATGGAGGTGGAAAAGGTGGCTATGGTGGTGGCAAAGGTGGCTATGGTGGTGGCAAGTCCTACCAAAACCAGAACCACCACTCCTATGACAAGGATCAAGGTCGCGACTACGACTACAACTACGGCAAGAACAAAAGCTACTCCAACAACCAGCCCCAGGGCTGGAAGGATTGGAACGCCGGGGAGAAATCTTGGGACAAGGAGGAGTCCTGGAACAACTCGGATGAGTCGGTAGGAAAAGGTCCGAACAATACAACATCTACGAAGAAGGAACGAAAAAAGGAGAAAAAGATGGCCAAGAAAGCTGAGAAGGCTGAGAAAGAGGAGGAGGAGAGGATGCAGACTGAGTCTTCCTCGTGGAAAGGTGGTGCATCTTCATCTTCAATCGACCAAGGTTCGGTTGAACCGCTGGTAGAGACCAACATGAAAACAGCCTCTTCTTCAACCAGCGAAAGCAAGGGAGATGTTGTCATGGGAGGACAAGAACGTGAGAAAGAACTGTATGTGCGAGATGAGATGCAGACTGATCTTGCTGGATTCTTGGTTCCCCTGCCGTTGCAGGTGCATATTGTCCCGGTTGATGACAACTCTTTAAAGTTGTTACGCGGTGATGCCCACTTCGCTGTTGGTCTGGACAATCAATACAACATGAAGACCTGGGTGAAGACGGCGGCTTCTACCTTGTAGGAGTTGTTTTTGAAGAACACGCTCCTACTGTACAAAGATTCGACTCACCCAGATCCTACCGCGTTCAAGCTCCGGGAAGTTCCGTTTGACGGAATTTTTGTGGTGGAAACCAACAACGGGGTAGAAATTTAGAAATTTAGAAATTCAGAAATGAGAAGTGGTGACGTGACACAAAGATAAAGAACATTCTCGTGATAAGAAAACAAGATACCAAGGCCAAGTAAAGGAAGAAAGGTTGAAAATTATGAACTAAACTTCTGGATTCTTGAGCAGGTAATCAGTATGAACCTTCCACTTACAGGAGCCGTTGAACGATACCATCAAGGCGTTTTTGATGTCGATTGAAGCATCATTCGTTCAACCACCGAATTTTTTGCCGAAAGCGCATCTAGTGGTGAAAGCGCCGGAAGCTCTGATCAATGTCATTCGACGTCGGTCCAATGTGGATTTAGTCGATTTGGCAATCAGTTGCCAGAATCACCAAGAATGCAACCTTTTGACGGCGATCGCTGCATCGGAAGTTGCTCGACGATTTCCAGGCACAGTCTGTTTTTCGGCGATTTGGGATATGGTCAATTCGACTGAAGAGCTCAAGTACGGACATGAAGGGCTTAGTCTTTCAGCCTGCAAGGTGCTCCAAGACCGTATTCTGGAGCAGCGCAAAGCGCAATGCTGTGCGAAAGTCGAGGCTTTGTGCCAGATGCAGAATGCACCGATCTGGGCACAGCAACTGCAGGCTCAGTTGCATCCAAAGGCTAGTTCCCCGATTGATTCGGTTGGTGGTAACGCCAACGTCACGGTGGACGAGCTACACGAGAAGAGTCGAGTGAGTGAAGACGCTCGCCGCCGCTCTTCTCAGTCGAAAAACATCACAGCTTCTGGTACAGAATACTTTGAAATATATACACCTCGTCGACCAGACGAATCCCCTAGAGCGAGTGACTATGTCTCTCTAGGGTCTCCAGACGACGACATGAGGAACGAAGTGTCTGTCGAAACTACTGAATTAGACCAATTCGACGTGGGAACTAATCTGATGAGAACCTCACTAGTAAAAAATGAACTGATACTAGTACAGAATGAAATGAAACCATCATCAACAGTTGCGCCACCGGCTGCTTCTGCGAGCTCGTCCAAGGGAGCGGCTACAACGGCTCCAGTCGAGCCGGCCGAAAGTTCTGCGGCGACAAGTTCCGATGAAGAGGCCTTGGTTCAAGTTGAGGATGTTCTGTCCGCGTCAGCTCCACCAACTTGTGATCCAAGCATCGCTAGCTTGCTGAGACAGCGACTTAGCCGCTAGAGGAGGAATGAACTCCTCAACTTAGGGGTGGAAGTAAGGGGTTGTAGGAACTCTGGAACATGATGGAGTTATAAAAAACTCTAAAACATGGAGCTAGGCTATTTTACCCCCTGCTTCTAAAAGGAACCTCTACCCATGATTTCCCCGTGTCATTCGTAGAGATAAAATCTAAAAAAAAATAATAATAAAAAGTAGACAACGAGAAGCTTCTGCCTTGAACTGAGGCAGCAGTCTTAGTGCTCAGAGAGAGCAAGACGGTGGAATGTATCCAAAGAGAAACGATGTTGTTCAGACAAGTACCAGTAAGACTGAGATGTGATGGGACGTGAAAGAAAACGAACGATCAGAGTGATTCGGTGTTATAGTTGGCCGGGCGCACTGCAATGCGCGAGGCTGTGTGTGACGTTTGAAGGCGGAGGAGGGGCCTTCAGAACTTGGGGGGGAAACCCCTCAGGTGCTGGAAATGTAGAAAAGAAGAAAAGAAAGATAAGCTCCACGCAGTGGAAGGATCAAGAAAGAGAGACTGCTCCGTGTTTTTTGTGTTTGATTAGAAAATTTTTTTTGTTGGATGGAAGTAGTGAATAGTGCACCGAAGGTTGGGCGAAATCTGCCAAGAACATGTTGCTGCAGTAGTGTAGTTGAAATTGACAGCTGTGCTTCTTTATCTTGTAATTGTTTGAAAAGATGTAGAACTAGACTCAATGATGTTGGCAGAGATAAGCATTGACATTTATTTGGCGATTGCCTTTTGTCTTTTCCCAAAAAACCACCACCACTTTAGCAGGGTTTGAGAGAGAGTTTGGAGCGAAAAAACTTACAGGATGACCACAATCACTCGTTCGCCCGTCACTTGTGGCGGTATGTCGAGCGCTGTCGTGACCTCTGGGGTCGTCACAGCAATCCTCGGGTTTATCTCGATGGCTCGACCGGATCCGGTGTATTACCGTTACGGTAAGCCGCCGGGCAACCCTCCGGGGGCGCCTGGTGACGGAGGCGGCAACAATTATGAACATTATGAGGAATATGAAGAAGGTGCTTATTGGCTGTTGACAAAGGTCCAATGGCAGCGACTGTATGATCAAATCGCCAACTTGGTTGCGCATTTGAGCATGCTGATCGGACTTGGTATTTTGCTATTTGAAATGTACCAAGCGAAATCCCGACAGCAGGAAACTGGGGAAACAATGGATGAACCAGAAGGAGATGTGCCACCCGCTTACAAGTTGCCGTCGATCTTTGATGGACAAGGTCATGGACTAGGACTTGGTCAACCTTGGACGGGGAGCACGTTCATTGAAACCGTGCCGAATCAAGGTACGACTACCCTGGAGAAAGAGGTACAGAAGAAACTGAATTTGACAGGATTTAGAACTCGTAGGGTTTGTCCAATTTTGGACACTGTGACGAAGTCCACTGGATTAGGAATTTGTTTGGATAGGACTGTAAAGATGCCTGAAAATGAGAGCGTATTCCAAAGATATGTTTGTGCACAGGAAATGCAAGGACATTTAGAAATGTTGGATTTCACAAAGTTGAAGATGGTGGTAGTAAGACCGATTGATGAGAATTCCTTTGAAATGGGGTTGTTTTTGGTGGATAATTCGAGATTCAATGGGAATGATTCCTTCTCCAAATTGAGTGCTACTCCCTTGAATCTGGAAACTTACTCTGTCAGAGCGGCGCTTGCGGCCAGGCAAACGTTTGACCGGCTTCGCCTAGAACATCTTCAAGCCCCTTTGCACGGTTGGCAAGCGGTGAAAAGCGGAGCCATGAAGGCTATGGGCGTTGCAAGTAATGTGGTGGATGCAGTGGAGGCGGAAGCTAATCGGTTTTCCAACCTCTCCCGTGACATGAGTGCAGCGGCCTGCTTGGTCAGCTTTAGAGAGCAGCTTTCGAAGCAGGCAGGTCTCAGGCCAATTATTGTGCAAGAAGAACTGGGAATGCAGATGTTCAGTCTTGTCTGCAAGGATGGCACTGGAATTTCGGTAGGAATTTTCTGTACCCAGTACGTGAACAAATTCCGCGAATTGATGGCTGAAAGGCTGATTCAAAAGAGCGGTCAGGTGTTTCAGACGTCTGATATTGTGGGAACGTCCCAGGAACTAAGACGGTTCTTGCGGCATTTTCTGCAACGGATTCCACAAGAATACGCGCGTTCGTTTGAAGAGAATTTGATTGGCAAAAGAGGAATTGAGTACACATCTTTGGACTCTGCGTGTGAGTATGCGTTGGCGAGAGCTAACGTGAAAGCAACAACAAGTGAATCAAGATTTTCAGGGGATGGCTCGTATGAGCCGGAGCCTGGTTTCTTCAATCAGATGGATTCAGATTTCGCCCCTGAGCCGGGTTTAGAAGAAAATCTGTTGAACAAGATGGAATTTTATCCGCGAGGAGATCGTTCTGCGAAATTGGTGATGTGCCAGCCTTGTGAAGAATATCAGGATGAAACGAAGAAAAAGTGGTATCTCTGTGGGGATCCAAACCACATGAGAGGACTGCACTACGCGTCCCTTGCGGATGTAGACTGGAATAAGGAGCCTCAAACTTGTCCACTGCCCGCGTGCAATAAAAGGAAACACCCAGTGAATAAGGCAGGACAGATCTGTTGTCCGAATTTGCTGGCTCGCGCAGCCGGGAGGCTGTTAAAGAGAGACGAAAAAACAAAATTAATCTTTTGCGATGTTTTGGTGGACGCTAAGGGCGTTCCGCATCATCCATCATTTCGGAAGCCAGACTTTCAAGCAGGACTGGGAAAAGAACTCCTGGAATTGAAGCGCGACGGGAAAAACCCGACGTGTAAGTTTGTGCCGGAAAGAGAACGTCGTTTGTTTCATCCACCCGCCTTTGTGAAATCTAATAAACTGAATTCAAAGAGATTTGCTCAGAAAGATTTGAAGTCAAAGAAAACGGGGCCTCCAGTGAAAAAAGTGGCTTTCGCTAAGAGGAGACCCGCCCCGCCCCCGCGGCGGGCCAACCAAATGAACCTCGATCCCTCCGTGACGGAAGCGTCGACCGGAGGAGGAGACGAAATGACAAAAAACGATTTAGATTGGGAGATGTGGGCAAATGTGCCATTAACCCCTTCTTTAAATCGGATGGAAACGTCCGAGGCCTGCAAATTGAGTGAGGATAGAAGTCCGAGCTCTTTCTGTTGGCTGTTTATCCGAATTGGAATTTTGGTTTATTTGATATTAAGAATGGGAGAAGCCTACGTTTCGGAATATTTAGGGTTGACTGCAGACACAGTTCCCCGCATGGTTTCGAAAGTACGTGAGAGGTTCCTAAGAAAGAACGGAGTAGTATCCATGATGAATTCTGCCTGGGAAAGCACCGCAAGACGACCGAAAGAAGAACGGCGAGCCCCAATTTATATTGCGGGTTTTCTAGGCAAAGCCCTTCCAATTCCTCTATATTTAGACCCGGGGGCGTGGCTAGGGTGCGATGTGATTGACAAGGCAAGTTACGAACGTCTGAGATTACGGAAGGATGTAAGTGACTTTGTGTCTCCGCCTATGCCTTGCCCACCAGTGGAAATTTCTTTTGGAAGAAAGTCTTTTTCCCATACAGCGAATCGGGAGTGCATTTTGTGCTTGCAGATTTCCACTCGAAGTGGGAAGGTCCTGGATTTGAAACGAAAGTTTCTGATTGTAGAGGGACTGAACACGCCCGGGGCGTTGATTGCCGGGGATACAGCAGTGTATCAGCTTGGGATTAACTATGCGCCGCTACGAGAAGGTAGCCGCGAGATAGAGTTGCTTGGCGAACGGGTGCCAATTGTGGAGTATAATAGTACAACAAAGAAGCCCGTGATGAACGCCTTTACAAGGTTAGCTCATGTGGCGGCCTTCGCGTCGGTATCTGCGACGTTTGTTTGCCCACCGATTAATCATGATAATACCACAGCGGTGGTGCAGCCAAGTCTAAAGGCCACGAAAGACGGGATTTCATTTTTACCGGTTCTTATCACGGGATCGGAATCGTAAGACACCGAGCACCCGATTGAGATTTTTAATCACAGGAACAAGGATCGGCAAGTGACATTGACGAGAGAGCATTTGAAGATCCAACCACTGGCCCCACTGCGAGCTTGTAATCTGATGAGTCGGATGACAGCAGATTCTTCGAAGCCGCTGTCAGGGGGCGAGGGGGGTGATGATGCCCTCCTGCAAACGAGTCCGGAATTTAAAAAATTCGAAAAAGAAAGTCCGCCCAAACCTCTCGAGAACTGGGAAACTGCAATAACAGTTGGAGCATTATTAACAGACTATGGATGCTGGCCTCTGCTGACTCAGCCTTGGCTGGGAAAGGGAGGCGAAGCCCCTGTAGGAGCAATTCATGGAATTACATATGACGAAGGTGAGGCGAGTTTAGGAAGTCGAGTATGTGCTGATGTTTGGCGATTACAGGGTCAGTTTGGAGAAGAAACGGAGAAGGTCAGTGAGTGGGATAAAGAGGTCTACAACTTTTCGGATACCACCGTCGACGTGAATAGCGTCCGATGGGATTGGTACAAGTGGAAGAAGGAAAACGAGGAAAAAGAAGGACGAAAGGACTTTAAGAACACTTTGGCAGCCGGAGCGACGAGTAAGATGAAGGTCTTCTCGGAACAACTACCGGAGGCCAGGGATGTGAAACATTTGAGTAGTCTATTTCAAGAGTGGGAAGGTATTCGAAAGATCGAAGCAATCTTGAACATGTCAAGATATAAAAATAAGACGAAGCCGAAAGACTTCGGGGATTTGGGCAAGGAGATACAGGATCGAAGTACCAAAAGACAGCGTAACAGAAAGTGGGACGTGCCGTCTGTCGAGTGGACGGAGAACGTCATGCAAGTCTTTAGAGCGCAAATAAAGGAGTTCGACCATATGCCTGAAGAAAGTAAAGAAGCGCTGCTGGCTACGATTGAACGGAATGCGCATTTCTTCTACGATGAAGGATGCCCGTTCCCTTCGTTGAAAACAGTGTGCCACTTCGATTATAATCCTAACAGGGTGACGCATCGGAGTTTACCTCAGCCGTTGCAGTTGAGCGCGTACGGAAAGAAGTGCTTGGATTTTTTGTTCCAGACTCAGCTCGACGACGGGTTGTTTGAAAAGTGGGATGGGTCTGATGAAAGTCGACCAATTTTCTGCAGTCCTGCTTTTTTAGCGCCTCGCAAGAATTCCGTGATTGGAAGGATTGTGGTGGATTACAGGAAGTGTAACGAGGCGTTGACGCCGATTGCGTTGCCGGCTCCTAACCAAGAAAAGATTTTCCACAATCTAAAAGGGAAGAAGTTTTATTTTGGGTCGGATTTGTCGCTGGCCTACAATCTAGCGAAACTCGATGTGCAAACAAAACGTCTCCTGGCGGTGGTGACCCATTCTGGGGTGTACTTGCCTACGCGATTGACGTTAGGACCAAGTCCCGCGCCTGGGTGGTTCCAAGCTCAAACTGAGGCGGCGTTTGGGCACGAGTGTGAAGTATTTATAGATGACATCGGCTATGGAGAGAACTCAATGGAAGAGTTCATGTCGCGACTAGAGAGGGTATTCCAATGTTGTGAGAAAAGTGGGGCCCGACTCTCGCTGACTAAGACTTTTATTGGTGCTCCGAAAATTGAAGTGTTAGGGCATATCATTGATGAAGCCGGGATGCACCCTAGTCCGGCAAAGTTATTCCAAATTCAGAATTGGCCTCTCCCCACAAACAAAGAAGATTTGACTTCGTTCGTTCATGTGGTTCGGTATCTGCAATGTTACACAAGCGAGCTACAGAATGTCGCAGCACCCTTGAAGGAATACGAACTCAAGAAAAGGCCTTTTAATGAGTTTGCCTCAGATGAGCAGGCAGTAGCCGCTTTTCAGGCACTAAAGGACGTGGTCTCGAAGAATGCGATTCTGATTAAGCCAGACTACGAAGCAGCAAATACTTGGCAGCGGCCATTCGAGGTGTTCACGGATGCCTCGCAGCATCGCTATGCCTGGGCAATTTGTCAGCGAACAGCTGAAGGTAAACTGCGAGTGTGGAAATGTTCTACGCATTCGTTTGACAAAACGCAGAAGCAGTGGTCGACTTTAGAGCGCGAATTATTTGCCATCGTGGACTTTATAAAGTCGGGCTATGAGCTGATTCGAGGCTCGAAGTGGATCCTGTACACGGATCATCAGAATTTGGGCACGAAAGTGCTCAACTCACTGTGTGCCAATAGAACTACCGGAGGTAAGATCTTACGATGGTTTTATCTCATTGCTAGACCGCTTTCTACTGGGAAGCGAGTATATTTGAAGGGGGAAGCGAACGTCATTGCGGACGCGCTTTCGAGGATGAAGTCTGAGGAGGATCCGGCTCTGAAGGAGATTGATAATCTTTCTTTTATGTTGCCGCGGATTCGTTCTCTAGTGCAGTTTATCTTCTGCCAGCCAGATCAACTTGACCAGATGATGTCAGAAAGAAAGAAGTTACTGGAGGTGGATCATTTTGTGCCACCCGTTCACCCAAGTGAAGACTTTGAGGACCCGCATGATCACTTGCCGAGTGCTCTGGCATCGGATCAAGCGGTAGGCAGTGACGTGGGGGTGAAGTGCATTGGAATTAAGATGAAGAAGGACGCGAGCATGAAAGAAAGTGAGGTAGGGAATGGAGATCAGGAGTGGCAGAGTCCATCCCAGTTAATGTGTACGATGTGCGATGAAGGCGAATGCATGATGTTGCAGGATGGAGCCGGATTCCACTTGTATCATGGGGATGGCGTCCCCGATCGACCATGTAACGCGAGTTCGTCGTTACTAGATGAGGATTTAGACCTCCTGGACCTAGGAAGGAGTGGGGAGGGTTCGACGTCCTCGAAACAGAAGCGGGTTTGTGCGGTGGTGGTTTCCCCAAGTGGGAAGGTGTTAATTGCAGATGCGCAAGACAACGAAGTTTTTGAAGATATTTCTATTCGGTTTCCCGGAGGGAGATTGAATGAGGGAGAAGGAGTTAACCAAGGGCTTCGGCGGTTGGTGCCGTTATGCGTTAAAAACGCCGAGAAGCTAGAGTGTCAATATGCAACCTGCCCGAGCCTTTACGATCTAGGAGTCTACTGGGTTTTGCTGCGGGTAAATTCCACGGCGGACCACGGATGGCTGGAAACGGCTTCCGTACTCAGTCCAAGGTCGGTAACCTGGGAAGTATTTATCGAAAAGTTAGGAGCATCACGTCAAAAGCGACGGCTGAAGACGATGCTCAAAGCAATGAGAGATCAGTTGCGACCCTCGGCAGTAACCGAGCGCTATAGGGGGATTTTCCTTCCCCGGCGATTATATCGGAAGACTGACGAGAGAGGAGATAACGTAGTGGTCTCCGGTGTGATGGATGGCCGTCTAACGGATCGGGAGTGGATTAAAATTACTCCGAACATGACGTTTAAGCAAGCTTATGATAAAGCTTGGGATCGTTTGAAGGAATTGATGCAAGAAGCCGAAACAGCGGCAGCTAGACGATTGGGTGAAAGAATCGTGAATGGGAGGTCCGTGGTTCATCAAGAGTATTTTCATCTTTTTCGGAAGCCTGAGAGGGCGGACGTGGTGAAAAAGGTTGCAACGGATCTCTTCACGATCTCGGCCTCTTGGGATACTAGAGCCTGTTTTTTGGATTCTGCTCCTTGTACGAACTTCAAAGAGATTCGGAAGTGTCGAATAGGGAGGGTGTCCGCTTCATTATGTCGGTGCCTCTGTGGTGAAGGCGTGATAGGAGGGGAAGCCCCTGATGTGACTGAATTCCTAACCGCGCCGGAATGCGTGAAAATTTCAAAGGAGGTTCGCGAGCAGTTTATTAGGAAATGCGATGGAGTGGAATCTTTCCGGATTTTGTTTCCATCGTTGCCAGTCATTAGTGACGAGGCTACGATGATCCGCGAAACTGCGAATAATGAGGATTTGTACATAGAAGTGCATGAAACATCGGATAAAGTGACCCGAGTGGCCATGTGGAACCCAAAGAACGTGGCCTCGCTTCAGGCAGGCCCGGTGAGGGCTTTCGGATCCCTGTGGGATGAAGAAAGTTGTAAGCTGCGGGTGAAAAAACATTGGGAGTTGAGGATTTTCCATTTCCCTTTTGCAGGGGAAGACTCCGTGGTGGCAGCGTTAGTTTCACTGCAAGGAGCAGGGCTCCGTAAGCGCTTGGTGGAGGATCAGAAGGTTTGTAAGGAATGGGGTCCTGTTTATTTGGCATGTGAACTGCGCGACAGGGAAAAGGACCGGGAACAGGTTGAGCTTGCGGTTGCACGCAAGTGGGACCTGGGAAAGGCCCGTATGTCGACCGCTAGAATGTATGAGCATTGGATTGACGAAGATACTAAGTTGTTGATGACTCGTCATCATGAGACGGCTGTAGTATGCTTGCCAGCGGGAGGAGCTTGGCTGTCTACCGTAGTAGGGAAGGAGGTGAGTTGGAAGAAGTATTACCTTCTCCTGGCTCATAATTCCTTGCTGGGAACGGGGCATGGAGGTGCTCGACAAACCTATAATCATCTGCTGGATAGAGGGGTGTTTTGGGCAACCATGTGGAGGGATGTGCAAGTGCATTGTAAAAATTGCATTGCTTGCACGATCGCCCACGCGGCCAAGGCAACGCAGGCCCCGCTGGGGTATGAGAAGTATCTAGGGTTTTTCAGAGTGCTGCACGTTGACCATGTGGGTCCATTCAAATTGGATAAAGGTTTTAATTACTTATTGTCGGTTCGTGACTCGGCGGCGTTGTTTTCCTGGTTCATTCCGGTGAAAGCGAAGTCTTGCAAAGAGGCCGCAGAGGCTTTGGTTGCTAACGCATTTTGTATGGTCGGGTACCCGATTGTGATACGATCCGATCGAGGATTCGGTGAGTCGGGGGATGAAAGCCTGGGGAAATACTTGCAGACATATGGGGTGCATCATGCGCCAACTATGCCGTATTCGCCGCAGGCGAATTGGCTGGTTGAAGTGCTCCATAAGCCGCTGCGGAAGATTTTGATCAAATTTGCGGAGAACGCCAAATGGGTAGAGTTGGTTCCTTACCTAAATTGGATTGCTCGGACAACACCGTTCGAGGTGTTAGGTGATCGCTCGCCGTATGAGCTAGTGTTTGGCTGTAAGCCGCGGCACGCTTTTGCGGAAACTCTGAGAACGGCGCTCGGAGGAACACCGGGTGTGGATTCTTATTTGGAAGCAGCGAATAAGTTTCGGGAGGAAATTTTGTCACAATCAAACCTGACGGGTAATGAAAGTTCAAAGCTTCGTCAAATCGCACAAACAAAGCTGAGAGGGCATTCACTGGAAGCACCTCTGATTACTGGTGATCTGGTGGTAGTAAGAAACATGCACGCGCGAAAAGATAGTTTTGACCCGAAGAATTTTCCAGCGTTGTTTAAGGTGGAGTCGGTAGGACCGCGCCACGCGATATTGCTGGATCTATTGGGTGAAGCAGCAACGGGAGCGGCCAGTGGGAAGGTTCCACTGAAGTTGCTGACCCGTGCTGTACCCGCATCAAGTGCTGAGGATTTCTTGCGGAATCTGGACCATCTCCCTTCGACGGATGAAATGTTGGGAAGAACAAAGGAGGTGTTCACGCGGAAGGTGGAGGAACAGACTGAGTAGGAGGAACTCCTGATGTGGTTGTAGAGCCAGTCCCTGAGGAAATCTGGGAGGTTTGATGAAAACTCAAATAATGCGTAAAGTGACAAAATGATCCTACTTCCTACTTTAGGAGACTGCTGCAGCCACTGGCGGGAGAAGGGGGGTGATGATGGTCCCACGAAGGCTCTGAGATGAGACTCCGTCTGCAAGGAATGTTCTGTGTTTTGAAGTAGGGTATAAGTAGCATAGAGATAACCGGATTGGTGTTGTGAAACATCGCTCTTATGTGGTGGAGTCCGAACGGATTCGATGAATGAAGAGAGGTCGACTTCCAGCACTTTGCTGCTAGCCCGGTGCTGAGGCCTACCCTAGCACAGTGTTGGAGGGATCTCTGGATCCGTGGAAAGGAACTTCAAACCAGGAAGTGGATTGATCACCTGCTTTCCTGGGGCAAGCTCTGGCTAGTTTAAGGTTCGTCTGTCTTGAAGCAGCAGAGGAGGCGTCGACCTGGGGGCGTCTGTCTGTATAAGTAACCGCTTCGGACTCTGTGAAAGAGACGAATACTCGAGAGATGTTTCTGCTTTGTGAAGGAAGCAAAGCGAGTAAATGTTCAGACTCCTTGGCTTAGTTCAAGTAGGCCTGGATAAGAATTAAGTAGTAGCAAGGACTGCTGGGTAGTGATACCTCCGAGGGAGGGAAGCGCCGTGAACAGTAGGAAATGAACAACGTGAAACACTAGATCAATCGTTCTGTGGTTTAGACGAGCAATCTAGGGGAAGCCATTCAAGAAGGAAAGGTTCATGGAAAGTTTGGCCAAATGAGCTGCCTACGATAGACTTGATCAGGTCCTGAATCTCGAGGGGAAGCCCTGGAGTAGTAAGGATAGGATGATCTAGGCCAGGTGACTAAAAGGTTGCGAGACCTTGGTAAACCCTTTGGCGGTTGTAAGATATGAAAGAAGAATAGAACTGTTGGTATCTGCGAGGATACCAGGCGGACTTCCTGGAGACGGGAAGGGGCTAGGATTCACTCGGTATTTGGGCACCTTCGCTGTAATGGTGATAGGAAGATAAGTACCACCGGGCGGAGCTCTTAAAAGGATGGCTCCGACGCCTCACTGCGTAGGGGGGGCAGTGTAGGACCTGGCCCGGGTGTAAACAGGGCGGCCCTTCGTGAAGAAGTACGCCAAATAACTCCAAGGAACAAACGTTGAATGACTCAATACCCTAGACGGCTGCTGCCGAGATCGACCCGGTAGGGCGGCTGTCATTATTAGGACTAGAGGACTTGGAGGATCAACAAGAGATTCCGACTGCAAGGCGGCGCTGTGAACAACGCTTAGGTGTTGCCTCAGCTACCAAGCTGTAGTGAGGGCCTCATAGGGGGGCTGATTGCGGATCAGTCTCGTTCCCCATTTTGTAATTAGGAAAGACGCTTGAAGGTGAAAACCAGCATTGTGCCTAAACCTAACCACCTTACTACTTGAGTGCGTGAAGTATATTATTCGCCACTTCGTGCTTAGTTATTATCGTTGAACTTCGCTCACCTACGGATGCTTGTTCTCCTGACGGTGTTGCTATCTCGTGCTATCTCTTCTTGTGTATTACTTGCCTGTCTCTCTCTGTGAGCGTGGCACTACTATTATTTGCTCATCTGCATCTCTTTCGTTATTCTTGCGCGTGCGTTGTTTATCTGTATTTATTTCCGGCTGTTGACTACTGCCTCAGTCTTCGGCCTTTTCTGCATCCTTATGCATCAGTCTTTGGCCATCATAGATTTACTTTCCTTCTTGGTGGGAGCGTGGCTCGCATTGGCACTATATCACTTTCTCGCGCTTTGCGCATATATCACTTACTTACTCGCCATGCTGAGGCGTTTGCATCGTATTAAAAAAGCTTGACTGCAAAACAAAAAAAGGCTCATAGACCAGTCTTCCGCGTATAAGGTGGCCGGTCTATCGTGCCATCTACTCTCACTTCAAGAAGTCGCCTCTCTGTGATTTCTTGCCAGGTACCTCGTTTCCGCCCTCCGCTTCGGGAGCGGAGTTGTCGCGACCTTGGGCTTGTATGACGCCCACAGCTATATATTTCGCAAGTGTATAAAAAATTTTCAGGGCCCTGCCAGCCCCTCCTTTGTGCCTCCTCTCAAACCCGCGCTCGGTGTGCGTACCGCGCGAGACAATCAAAAGCGAGATGCAAAACGCAGCAGCATGCGCGAAGCCAGTGAGTAACAGTACGCTGCTGCCGGCACCGTGTCAAGCGAATTGAGGCAGGCGCAACCGTCTGGCCACCGAAGTGGCCTGAACGGTAGCAAGACAGAGAGGCGCAGCAGCCTACGACCGAGAGAAGGGCGCGTCGGTGGTGTTTCCAGTGGGGGCCAGCGGGCGACGCGCCGAATTCTGCTCCGTCCCTGAACCGGTCAGGCATCCATAGCGAAATCGCCAAAAAAAGGGAAGGGGTCCATGGGGGTGTATATAGTTGAGAAAGTGACCTCCTGAAAAGGCAGAACCTAGAGCAAAACCGTGCCCAAATGTGAGGTATATATGTGGAATTTTTTGCGCTCTTTTAGGGCAAAAAAGGGGAGCCGTCAGGACAACCCAAAAGGGCCAGCTTTGGCCCCACGGGTCCAGTCGGCTCCGCTTTGATGGCGGTGGCCCGGTCGCATGCTTCAGTGCCGAACTTGGCCGCCTGTGGAAGCGAGCCCAGCCTCGCCCCTGTGCTCTGCAGGCCTTCATGGACAAAGCCCAGAGGAAGGGCCAGTCAGAGTCTTTCCTCTTCAGGCTAGTGACTCGCAACTCCCAGCCCAAAAATTCTCCGGTTGGGGCTAGGCTCCTGGCGTCTATCCATGTGCAACCAGGTCGGAGCGGCTTGACGGCCGGCGCCTCTAAGCAAGAGGGGCAGCTGGCCCCTGAAAATTTTTTATATAGTTGAGAAATATATAGTTGCGAGCGTCATAGCTTGGCTGGGTTATCTATAATTCTAAACACGGCTTGGGTGATCTACCGCTACCATGGGACAGCGGCGCATGAGCCACCGCTCTCTGCAGCGCGCCTTGTGCGCCTCGGTTTCTCTGCTCTCGCAGGTCCTCGTCCTTGCCCTTGGGCGTACACCTTGATCGTGGCTCGTGCTTATCTGTCAAGTCGGACCTCTCGTCCTTGAAGTTCTTGTGGAGTCTGAATGTACTGGCCTCGGCCAGATTTTTCAACATCGGTCTATCGTGCCGGTAAGAATGGAATGGCTCTGGCTTGTTACGATATCCACTGTGTCTCGATCCCCTCAACAGGTCCCTCGGAGACCGACGCGAGACCGCGGGGCGTCTGCCTGGATCCTGACTTGCGTTCGGTAGCGCATCGCATTACTTACCCTCAATAAGTTGACTGTTCGCGCAGGTTCTGCCTTTATGTGTTGCAAGGATCCCGCCAGTCTTCGCTATTGATTACCTTGCTTGTGTCTACCTCTATAATAAGCGTAGTGTGCTTTGTGTCGCTGCGCCTTAGTTTCACTCAGTAGCGTTCACTCCTTCCCCCAGCAAAGACGCATTACTTACCCTCAATAAATTGACTGCTCATGCAGGTCTTGCCTTTACGTGTTACAAGGATCCCGCCAGTCTTCACTATTAATTACCCTGCTTGTGTCTACCTCTATAATAAGCGTAGTGTGCGTGGTGTCGCTGCGCCTTAGTTTCCGACAGTGGTGCCCACTCCTTCTCTCAGCAAAGATGCTCAGGGCAGTCTGCTGTGCCGGTAGTGTGGCGGAGAATTTACCGGCGACGCCTAAAACTGAAGCCGCCGGCGCTTCATCTGCGCGGTCCACTTTCAAGTCGATCGTCTGTCAACCACCTGGGGCACACACCCCGGCACCCCCGTGGTCTCCCCCTGGGGCCTCCACGGCACGTCATATTCTCCCACGACCCTCTGCGCCCCGGATGTCACAGCTCCTGGCTGAGTTGTCGCCCCGGTCGCCTCTTGAGGACGTGGTGAGGATCTTCCTTCTTTACGATGCTGACAACACCCTCGGACTTGGTCGCCTGCCAGTGGGTACCCCGCTACAAGAAATTTCGCGTCTTAGAGCTGGCGGCGAGAATAGCCTTCGCGCAGTCTGTCTCGGTAAGAAAGCGATACTGGATAACGCTGGGCGCAGCCTAGCCAACTACGCAACTGGCGCGCGCATATGGTTACGATGGTGCCATGCAGTCGGGCACGGTGTCCTCGTCTGCAACATTTCTGAGGAAGCCCTTCTCCGCTTCTCCTCGGTATTCCGATCTGGCGCCTCCTTCGAGCAATACGCGCAGCACCTCAAACTCGCTTGCCGAGTGGCGCAGGCACCCACTGCGTGGCACACTGATGCCGTCTCTTCTGCTAAGTGTGGGCTGAAGAAAGCGCGAAACCCTGGCAGGCCTCCTCGCTCGGCTATATCTTTGTCGCTGATGCACAAGCTACTTCGTCTCGCGGCCGCGGATTGCGACGACACTCATCGAGGGACTTTCCTGGTGGCGTGGCACTTCGTGTTACGTGTTAAGTCGGAGCTTCTTTCCCTGACCACCGCGCAGATCTCCCATGATGCCTCTACTAGGCGGACGACGATCCTTCTCCACCGTCGGAAGAACTGTAGCCGAGAAGTGCGCGCTACTCGCACGTGCACCTGCGGCGCGGCGATCTGTGGAGCTTGTGCTCTCTTCCTCCTCCAGCAGAAAGCTGCTCGCTCCTCACGTGCCTCGCTATTGCCGTCACGGTACTCCTATCCCTTTGTACTCTCGCGGCTGAAGACCCTCTTGTGGAGAACTGGCGCCGATGCGTCTACCTTTGGTGCGCATAGCTTCAGGAAAGGCGCTGCGCAGGAGATGGTCGCGTCCGGTAAGCCGTTGCGAGATATTCTACTCGCTGCCGGTTGGCGGAGTGGGGCCTTCAAGTCCTACATCGACCTGGGCGCAGTAGAGACTGCAGCAGCCTCCTCGATCGAGCTGAGCGACTCCGACTGCGAATCGGAGTAGTCCTGCGGATCCGTGTCTTGCTGTGGTTTTTTCCGTTTGCTTGCTTCCTTTCGGTGGGCTCTCGCGTCTTGTACGCTGGCGGAAGCGTCTTTTGGTGGGAGGTGCATGCGACGCTTCCCTGCGCTGTGTCGTATGCGCGGACACCTTCGCCACCCCCTCCAGCACTCTCAGACCGAGGGAGCATCCGATCTTCGTTATGCAGAAGATCTAGTTGGATCAGCGAGCTCAATCCAAATATTTAGCGAGCAGATCTGAGTAGAGGTTCTGCCCATGAAGATCAGCGCGAGTTCCTGACAATTCGACCGAATCCAACTCATCGAGTGCCGCTCCTAGTCCCGTCGCGACAAGCTCCTGCTCCCGCTCTAGATCAACCTCCACACGGTTCTGAGCATCGCAGTAATAGGGGCCATTTTGGCTCACAGTCATCGTAACCGTTTGCAGGCGCCCTCGAGGCTACAGTAAGGCTTTTACTTTCCCTCCCTCCCTCCCTTCATTCTGTCTAGCTGGGTTCGGTGCGTGCGACGCTTCCCTGCGCTGTGTCGTATGCACGGACACCTTCGCCACCCCCTCCAGCACTCTCAGACCGAGGGAGCGCCTGATCTGCATGTCGGAGAAGAGCCGAGACCGATGGGCGGGGCGTCGGTTGTCTTGCTTCCTCTCCTCTTATTGATGCCCGAGAGAAGCCGAGGCCGGACGATGGGCAGGGCGGTGGCCGTCTTCCTCTTCTTCTATTAATGTCCGAGAGAATTGGCCGGGGCTGCTGTCCTCCTCTCCTTCTATTAACGTCCGAGAAGAGCCGAGACCGATGGGCGGGGCGTCGGTTGTCTTGCTTCCTCTCCTCTTATTGATGCCTGAGAGAAGCCGAGGCCGGACGATGGGCAGGGCGGTGGCCGTCTTCCTCTTCTTCTATTAATGTCCGAGAGAATTGGCCGGGGCTGCTGTCCTCCTCTCCTTCTATTAACGTCCGAGAAAAGTAGCCGAGGCCGCTGCCCTCTTCTTCTTCTATTAATGCCGGCGAAAAGCCGGAACCGATGGACAGAACGGCGGGCGCCCTCCCCTTCTTCTATTAATGTCTGAGAAAAGTAGCCAGGGCTGCCGCCTTTCTCTCCTTCCATTAATGCCTGAGAAACGCAGCCGAGGCGGCTGCCCTCCTCTCTTTCTATTAGTGTCCGAGAAAAGCCGAGACCGATGGACAGGAGCAGCCGCTGGCGGCCTTTCCTCTTCTTCTACTAATGTCTGAGAAAAGTCGAGACTGATCCGCAGGCCTACGGACTTTTTGGGGGTTGAAATAGATTTGGACAGTCAAAACTTTCGCAATTTTTGGACAGGTGAGCGCAGGGGGGCACTTGGGTGAAGTTCAAAACTTGCAACGGCACCGCGCAGTGCTTGGGCTCCGCTGTCTTTGAGTGAAATTAGAAACCTGGCCGAGCGCGGTGCCTCCCTCTCCTTCTGATCCAGCGCTGGGGCCTCTCTTTCTGGTCTGGAAGGTCTACAAATTTTAGCCAAAGTGCGAAGCTTTTGGCTTTAATCAATTTGGGCGAAATTACAAACCTATCGCGCGCGCGGCTTCCTTTTTTTCGGCGTTTGTTCTTAAATTTTGGCCAAAGTGCTAAACTTTTGACTTTCGGCCATTTTGAGCGAAATTAGAAACCTGGCCGAGCGCGGTGCTTCCATCTCTTTTTGATCCAGCGCTGGGATCTGTCTAGACCGGCCGTCGGGGTCTAAACCATCGGGGCTTAGACCATCGGGACCCAAGCCTGACCTTCGGGGCTGAAAGAAACCATCGGGGCCCAAACCGTCGGGGCCTAAACCATCGGGACCCAAACCATCGGAACCTAAACCGTCGGGACATAGACCGCCGGGATCTAAGCCGTGAGGATCTAAACCATCGGGGTCTAGCCCATCCATTGGGGCTTAGGCCTTTAGGGTCTAAACCGTCAGGATCTAGGCCATCGGGGTCCAAGCCATCGGGGTCTAATCCATCGGGGTCGAAGCTGTCGGGATCTAAACCATCGGGATCCAAACCATCGGGACTTAAACCATCGGGATCGAAACCATCGGGGCCTAAACCTTCGGGATCTAAACCTTCGGGATCTAAGCCGTCGGGCTCTAAACTGTCGGGCTCGGGACCTAAACCATCGGGATCTCAACCGCCGGGATCTAAACCTTCCGGATATATACCATCGGGATCTAAACCATCCGGCTCCGTCGTGCGTGTGTGGCGGCGTGTTTTTTTTGGAGCGTTTTGGAATTTGGTTGTTTATTGTTCTTGTTGTTTTTGTATTACTTAACATCGTCGACATCGACCACGACTGCAATATTTGCTTCTGCGTCCTCGGAGCATGATGGAGCTTGATAAATTTACCTTGAGGATGAAGTGTGATGTGAATGTGATCAAATGTCATTATGTCGATGGACTCTACCAAGAGGAAAGGTGGTCTTACGATCAAGTTAAGATATTGCAATCGCAATGTGTGTGCTATCTGAGATTGTTTGGAGGTCTTGTAACGGATGTTCGGAGGTCTTTATCTTCTAGAGAGTGCAATAGAAGGAGCATCGACGCGTGTTCCTCTACGGTGACTTGCTTCACAGATACCCCTTGGGCGAAGAAGCGCTTCCGATTTTTCCTTTGAAGATGGCGTTGGTTCCTTTATCATCTCAACTCGCTCTCAGTCAGATGTCAGGTCACTCTCAGTCAGTCACTTTCAGTCAGTCACTCTCAGTTCATTTCTCTCAGTCAGCGACGTCTTCTGAGGTCTTCATCTGCGAGCATCGACGCGTGTTTGTGTGTGAGGAGATAGGTTCTTTCGTGTCAACAACTCAGTCTGCGTCGGATGTCAGGTCACTCTCAGTCAGTCACTCTCAGTTAGTTTCTCTCAGTCAGTCACTCTCAGTTAGTTTCTCTGAGTCAGTCACTCTCAGTTAGTTTCTCTCAGTCCGTCACTCTGAGTCACTTGGTGTACTTCTCATGACTTCTTGTTCCTGACTCTTCCCCTTTGAAATTGAAGACAGGAACTCGTACTCAAAATCTTCAAACTCATAATACCATCAAATGGCGGCGTTGGCGTGCTCCGTGTCATTGAGCACAAAACAAGACGTGTAGTGCCTGCTGCAGATTGCTCGTTCGCGCACGCGGTAACGAAGCCATTCGTTAGTCGAGAACGCAGTCTGGCTGCTGATTGTCCTGTACCAAGAACGTAAAGATTAGCGGTAAATCAAGCATCTGGTTCATCTATTAGTTTGTTTATTCAAGGAACAACGAGCGTCGACACGGCCCAAAGTCAAAGATTACGGCTGGCTTTTTATTATTGAGAAGTAGACGTAGGTCCGATACTATGTAGGTGGTATTCAAATTCCTTACTTCTACTTTCTTTTTTGAACAAGGCGGCTACCTTCCTTCGTTCCCGACTTTTGAGACCGCCTCGTTCAGAAAGTAGAGGTGGGGACTGGAGGACACGGATCCAAGTAGGGGAACGACAGTTAAACGTCTCCAGTCAGGAGGTGAAAATAGCCTTGGCGTTTTTCACCAGCTGCTACCTCTAATAAGGTGCATCGACTACAGCGTCCTTGTGGAAATTGGGCGGCTTGTGGAAGAGCGAGAGCAAAGCTTCTGCATCAGCTTCTCTGGTTCCTGTTTTGCGCAAATATCGGCGTTGTGGCGGTTCTCTACAAAACAACGGAAGGCTTGGGAGATGTTCACGCACTAAACAACCGGTATTTTCCTAAGATTATACCTCTTCTGAAAGCTCAGAAAGAGGGCGGGAGCGAATCACCGTGGCACAGCGTCACCTATGAGCAGAAGAAAATAATCACTCACGCACCGAAACCGACTGATGTAACACTGACCCCAATCTTTCCTGATTGGAAGGTGGTTGAGGATAAAGAGCAGAACACCGAGTCGTGGAAGTATGATATACCACATTGGCAGACGGCTTATCCTAAGCTGAGGGATCTGCGGATGACTCCCCGCGCCCGCGAGCAGGCGGATCTCGACTTTAGTGAAGGCGACAAACCACTCGGTACGGGGGGATTCAGTCGGGTCTTCGGTGTTGAACGGAGTGTTAACGGTAGGCAAGAAAAAAGAGCTTTGAAGCACGTAGTAGTACCGCTGAGGGAGGATGAGGTGGATGCGCAGAAAATCAAAGAACTAGATTTTTCCGCTTCTAGTGTCGATCCAACTACACCAAGCTCATCTACGAGTCCTGAAAAGGAAAAGATTCAAGTGTCTTTGGCAGTGGAGGCGACAGACAAAAGAGGCTCTTTCCGACGGATACTTCTGAACCTTTTTTTATTGAATCCCGATATCGCAATGGCGCTCAGGGAAGCGTACGTAGCGCTTGACATTTTCAATCGAAGTAGCTCGGCGCGTCGTCCTTGCTGCGTCAACACTTACAGCGTGCGCGTAGCTTTTTCTCGAACGGTTGTCACGAATGTTGTGGGCAGCGCCGCAGTTCAAGAAACTCTTTATCATGTGCAGATTCTCTTTGTAATGGAGCGCATGGAGCAGGGAGACTTGGTCCATTTCTTGAAACTTGACAAAAACAAGAGGCCGAGTGGCCCCATCACCCACCGGGGCTTGCTCCAATTGGTCACAGGTGTGGTTCAAGCTGTTCAGGGTCTGCACGAGCTGCAATGGACCAACGGTGTATGGCAAAAGAGGTGTTGTCTAGGTGTACACCAAGCGGTACGAAGTTAGCGGTGAATCATAAAGAAACCTGAATGGTCGTATTCGTAAACAAGCTGGGGTGCTGGCTTTCATTCTTTGATAAACTATTCCGTTAGTCGATTCCTTTCTGACAACTAGACAGCTACTTCTTTATATTTAACTACTCATTTTCGGAATTCTGACGCCGGCCCTTTTTTCCTACCTCAGATTCCTTTCTTCATACATCGACATCAAGCCGGAAAACTTTCTCATTGGGTGGACGAACGCCGAGAAGCCGAAGGTATTGGTCAAGATCGCGGATTTTGGTGGGGCTCTGCCCGACGGACAAATGCGGTCATTACATGACGCCCACACAAAACTATATGCGGACCCGCGATTCTATGGCGACGCGCTGATACCTCCTAAGATGACATCCGATTCGCTGCAGCGAGCAATGGTGTCGGATATACTGGCAAAACCCGAGCCACTACTAAAAGCAATTCCATGCGATATCTGGTCCGTTGGCAGAACCTTATATGCTGTTGCAGTAAATTATTGGCCGTCTGTGTCTGCAACGATGACAGAGAAAATGATGGAACCTTGCAAGAAGTACGACGCGGCACTCAGGAACCGGAAGCCCGACACGCAGACAAGTTGAGAATTGGTCATATAGAATTTTCTTAGACGAGATTTATTTTCGATATTCTATACTAGCCTAAGCCTCCACAAGCTTCGCCCGGCTTCAAGTTTAGCACTTTTCTGCCTCCCCCGGGCAACAGACTCCAGAGTAGAGACAGCCCGCGGGTGAGCTGTTGCACTCTACGAATTGACTACGGCAGGTGCGGGGTGTCGGCGCTGGCTGACTCAGATGCGTCGACTCATGAGCAGGGAGTCGCGTTGCCTTCGGTTTTTTTATGGGATTTCCGGGAGGTCATGCAGGTTCTTACGAATTTATAAGACCTCCACGGCAGTCCAACAGGAAAACCAGAAGAGAGCCACCAGACACGCGCAAGAATCTGGAGGCCCCAACGTGCGCAGACGCCTCGCGGTGGCACCAGGCAAAACCCTTTGACGGGTCAAACAAGAAAAAGCAACGCAGGGCCGCGCTGCTTGGGTCTCTCTACGCGCCTACAGCTGGCGGGGCTTCTCCTTTGCTTCGTCCGACGTCTTTCGTCAGAAACAGAAGGGCGCACTTCGCGCGAGCTTGGTTGGGGCGTCGTTGAAGCGCGGCGCCTCTTGTCAGGCTGACGCCTTTCGTTGGGCTGACGGCTTGCGCCAGGATGGAGACTGACGCCATTCGCCAGACTGATGCCTTCTGTCAGACCAACGCTCTGCCTCGGACCGACGGCCTTCGCTGGGCAGGCCGGCGCCCTTCAGCAGGCGCCCGGGGTCAGGCTGGGGCTTTTCGTCGGGGCGGCGTCCCTCGTCAGGCTGTCAGCCTTTCGTCAGGCTGAAGCGCTTCGCCTGGCTGACATCTTTCGCCGGACCACGGCTGACGTCTTTGGTCAGGTTCGTTGCTGGCTTTCTTTGGCTTGGCGCTTTTCGTCAGGCTGATGCACTGACCAGGTGAAGCCCCTCGCCAGGCCGGCGCACTACTTCGCCAGGCGTCTTCTTTGCGTCGGAACAGGCTGAGTCAGTGCGGCCTCTTTTCGGGCTGCGGATGTCTTTCGTCAGATTGGGCTTGAAGCCTTTCGTCGGACTGATCTGGCGTGCTATCGGGTTTAGGGTTTAGAAGTCTTGCAGTTTGTTCCTTCGTAAGCGACCTACTTAGTCTGGCGCTGAGAAACTTCTCTAATCCAACGGGCTGCAGCGCAGTTGGACCTGGGGATTCCACTCTGACGCGCAAGGTCAGAAACTCGAATCAGATTCAGACTGGTGGACTTCTAAAACGGAATATTTGGAAAATAAAAAATTCTGGATTTTCAACGATGGGTTCCACAAGTGGTGTGTGTATCGTAGGTTTTTTCTCAAACTTGAAAAACCTTTTGCGAAATTCAAAGCCCATGGCTTCACGACAAATTTTCCACCTCCTTTCGATGAGCACTCTAGTATTGACCTTTGGACTCAATGCGCGGAATGTCAAAAACAAGAAAGTGAATCAGAAGAGCAACGCAAAGAAAGGGAAAAACAGAGAGGCTTCTACTGTTTCATGCTAGCACTGCAGAGGTACGCTTTGAATCACGACCCTGAGAAGCGAGACTTGGAGAAGCTGAAGAACTCTCTGAATGCTCTAGAAACCCGTCCACCAAAACTAGCAGTATTACTGGACGCACTTCCAAGTCAACCAACAGAGACGCTAAGGCAGCTGCGAAACACATTTTCGAAACATGGTTGTGCACCAAAAACTACAGGAAGCTCTATTGAGACGTCTACAGGTGCGGCGAAAGGTCAAACAAGCAGCTTCGCTCAGACCAACTCGCGTCCGTCTTCTGAGGACGTCACAACAAGAACTATAGAAGCTGAAGCCAATGGCGAACTGCAACAGCTCAGATACGCTCCTGCAGATCAGAGTCAAACCTTCAACAGCAATGCTGATACTGTCATCCGAGACGAAGAGGCTTCATCTTCTACTTTTGTTTCAGAAGAACCAGAGGGTCCATCTTCTGCTTCTGCTGGAGCACACTACAAGGTAGTTCATCCGCACGTACAGAAAAGGAAGAACTACAACTACAAGATGAACAAGAAAAACAAGGCTGGTGGGGAGTTCAATGCGTTTTTGGAGTTGCAGGGCTTCGTGAGGAACAACTTTGCAGAGCAAGCAGATGCCGAGAAAGATGAGCCTCTAATTGATGTGCCTGTTATTACGGGTCCGTGTAGCACATTTACTAAAACTGCTGTAGTGTCCAGCATGCTGTATTCGTCACTTAGTTCTCCTCGAACACCAGAGATGAAGTCTCGCTGTGTGTCATATCATAAGAACAGCACTCACTTTCACTACAAAATCCTCTGCCACTGTCATTAGGTTTCCTCGGGTAGGTCAGAGACCTGCTGAGTCACATCATAGTCAGCTCTCCTAATGCAACCAAGCAGGAAGAGGATCGCGATCGCGACCAGCCGTCTGCTTCGGGGCAGAACCCGGAAACAAGTGGTGGCCTCGGTTCCGGTATCCTCGAGCTGTGAGTTCTCACTCCGCGCATCATGGTGGTATTGACATACTTTTGATTTTCGTTATAGTTGTTCGAGTTCGACGCTGACTATCGTTCAATGAGTTTTAGATTCATAAATCTTTGTCTCCAAAGGAACTGCATCTTCTCTCAGTATTCTTGCAACATCTGACCTCATCTCTTATCAGGATGCGCGCATGAATGAAGTATGGGAACAAGGAGGAGTAAAATCATGAAGGTGGTGAGGTTTATAGTTTGTTTGTGTACTAAAAAGAAGTTGAATTTGGGATGAAGAAAGGAATAAAAGACTGGGACGAGGAGGAAAAAAGGTGTATGTCGTGTATCGCATGATATAAGTAGATGATATTCTATTGTACGAGAAGTAGATATTACGAAACTGAAAGTGATATGAAAATCGATGAAGTGATCTACATGATGAATGACGATACAAAAACGCAGCTTAGTGAGTAACAAGAAAAATCTATTGCTTGATGAATGGCGCCGTGTCGTGATATTATAAAGTAGGATCAGGATGAAGATGAACATAATAACGGCATAGACTTGGTTTATAGTGACAACGCATATTTATTGTGGGAAGTAGTAAATCGCTGAAAGATTTGTTGACGTCGCTCTATTTTCTATTTCGCCATAACGCGGGTAGTATACATATTAACACTGACATAGCTTACTATTGCTTAGAAGGCACGAAGCGCGGGGAACGACGTGTATTGAAGGGGGAACGCGCTTGGTCTTGCGAATACGAGACGTTGCAACCGGAGGCTTGGGGGACCAGCGTCAAGGGAATTTCTGAAAGCATCAGCATTAGGAACCCCGTAGATTGTCGACATATTACTTGGAACTCTATCATAGAACCGCGCTACCTAGTGATTAACTTGAGCTTGTCCACACGTTTCTTTCTGTAGGTTCACTATTATTTCATCGCGCCACGATGTAAACGCAGGAGCTCGCAAACGCATTATCGTCCGCCTAGTTGGGACCCCTTCAATCATGAGAATTGTAAAAGATGAAAAAAATACAGAGCGGACATCCTGCGGTATCCTCAACAAAAATGATACAGAGCGGACATTTAAAAAGGAAAAGATTAGAGACTGGAAGAAAAAAACCATTGCGTCCTTCCAGCAAGTTTTCCGGTACATAGATAAGTAGAGGCAACGAACAAGGTATGGTCTTGAACATGATTTTGGCTCAAGGTTTTCCCGCACCTTGTTGCCGTTGTTCTAAGTCGGGAGGCTAGGTTTCAGGGACGGCGACACTGACTAAATGTTACGTGTATAACGGGCGCAGTCGGCATCCCTGCTTGTATTTAATTGAGCAGGACAAGACAAAGAGTGCGCGCCCCACTTTAGCTGCCAAGAACAACGAACAAGATATGGTCTTGAACATGATTGATAGAAAGCAGGAGGCTGTACACCTACACGGTCGTGAGTGGTTCCTTTAGACTTGGACCTCTGAAGAATACACAAAGAAAAACTCTTCTTTTTGATGTGAGTTGTCAAAGAGATGAGAAAACTAAAAGAACCGCAGCTAGAAAGGCATGCAGATGCAACTACTGCTGCTGTCGTCGGATTGTGAATGGAAGTGCACTGATGCCAGTCTTACGCGCAATTCGTTGATATATGATTTGATATGCGAAGGTTGAGGTCCAGCGATGCTCCAAGCACTAAATTTAAAGCAACCGGCTCGCCTTTCCTCTTGTTCTAACCTAGGTTTATCCCTTGGTGCAATACCACTATATGATTTGAATGAAATAATATATGATTTGAAATGCGAAACTGGATCCATCTCGCCATCTGGTTAATCACGACTACAACTACTCCTACAACTGCTGGTGGCCATGACGAGCAGAGCAGTCGTCACTATCACACATCATTCTTGACAACCTTGAGTGAGGAAGAGAGTGACAGAGAGTGAGAGCTTTTATATGCTTTTGATTTTTTCGGACGAGACGGAGACTAAGAAGACGAGGAAGCCACATACTTATATCATGCAGTTGTACCCAGACGCACACCCTGTCCCTGTTCTCCCCCACAGACAAAAGACGTATAAAGTTTGAATTTGAACAATTCGAGGACTTGCCAGAGATGCATGAAATTGTATCACTGAAATTAGGGCCCTTTGTAGGCAGTGTTGAGAAAGAGAATGTGAGACGTAGGCAGTATCACAAAGTCTCTGTCTCACATTCTCTTTCTCAACAACACTCATAATGAGTTCTTAGGTTTTTGTTACAGCAGCCGGTGTATTAATAGGTATAAATAATTCAACTACTAGAAGTTCGTTGTATATAATTAAGAACTACGTATTTCATATTTATGTGTACCTAGGTAGACATCAAGACATAGTTTCTACTTGTTCTATCGATGAAGCTGCCTCCAAAAAGAAAACTCAAACACTTCTTCTATGTCTATCGTCTACAGCTTCTCGTGGTGCACTTTTTGCTTCTTCCGAATAGATTTTGCTTTTTGTTTGCATCATCTCTGCGTTTGACAGCAAGTTCTTTACCGAGGACACGCAGAGTCGTAGAGGATGACTGCTGCATTTTTGGGGAAGCGCTATCTATTAAGGGTAGGCTATCACTATCCCATTTGAACTATACTAAGTGGAGCCCTCTTTGATTTAACGGGGAAACTAAGGAGTAAAAAGAGGAACCCACCCAACCAGGGATAGTGAGAAAACACCTCGAAAGCTGAAGTCGGACGCGCCGTCTCAGACTCGCCGGCTAATGTATGATCAGAAGCATAGCAAGAAGATCCCCTGCTTGTATTTTGATTTTGCGTAATTAAGTACTTAGATGATACTAGCATTAGCACCCTCTTCCCCACGAAGTTGTTCATGATATTCATCTTGGTTAATACTGCTTCTTGTTCATACCGCAATAGACGAAGTCGCGCACCGATTTTTCTGAACCACAACCCGCACGCTGCTCCTGGCATCCTGAGAGGAGCATCACCAGCTTGTAGTCCGTTGAATAATGGAGGTGGAGATGCATTTGCACAAGTTAAGGCAAGCAATCCTCAACACCGTCATCCTTGCTCGGCAACGACGAGAAAGCATCCCCTCAGATCATCACCCTTGGTCTCCTTTTCCAGGTTTTCAAGGGGACAAAGAATGAAAGGCTCAAGGATATCATGTCTCTCAAGGAAGATGCAAACGCTGCAGCTCTAAACAAGCTGGCAACTACCTTGCTTGTGCAATGGGGTCGCCTCAAAATGCTGCGCCACCCAATACTGCTGTCTCCGCCATCGACCTCGCCATCCGACAAAACCCTCATCGACCAGTGATCGCCGGGACAAGAGCCGGCTACGTCTGTGAACATGCTTTTCATGCTTTAGTTAAGGCTTGCTTACGCTGTGGTCGTGTTGGTGAGACAATCAATTTCGTTCCATGATAGATCTGAGTACTTCTATTAAGTACCTATAATCATGTGGATGTGGAATTTTATTTGGTGCACTTGCATCGTCTGAGTGGAAGAATCTAACTGGTATAGATCATTGTTCTTCTGTTCACCTTCTCCACAACAAACGTTCTTCTGGGTAAAAAGCTCGTGATCATACTATATGTGCCAACTGCTTGGTAAACAAGAAGAATCATAACATCACAATCAAACTTCATCTACCACCGACCTCCTCCTCTAATTTTCGGACATGTTTATGTTGCATCCCGCGACTTTTCTGCTGTTGTTTTGGAGACGTATGTGCGTGGTTCACAAGTCTCCAGTTCCGCAGACGTTATGGGTTTACGAACATGTGGGGAGATGATACTCATTTTCACGTTTGACATACTCTTTTTCACGTTGTTTGTCTTTGCTTATCCTTTGTATTTTTTCCCTAGTTCTTAGGTCCCGTTCCACCACAAAATTTAATAACTTACCCTTTCTCGTCCTCACAACATACTCAATCATTTTCACATATTATGTCATAAGTTACAGTTCGTAGATCATACAAAGATTTTCATGAAAGAAGAAGGATCGATGTCGTCAAGTCATTTTTGTGAGATTCTGATGGAACAATATTCGAGAATATTGCAGTGAAAAGTCCTGCAGTTCGTCTCCTTGAGCAGTTTAATGATGAACAGGACAGAGGTTTGCGAAATGAAAATGATAAAATCAACCTACCTTGCCCTTGGTGCGGTGTATTAGCTAGTACGACCTGGTTGTATTCTTGTGAACATGATACATTATCCTTATCGAGAGCGAATGTAAAGTACTTGTTTCTTTTTGTTCCGCTTCAGCTTCTGCTGCAATATGATGGGTTCATTGGTGTCGAGCTTGAAAGCCGGTATGAGGAGGATAAGATTTCAGAGAGAGAGAGGGAGTAGGCGAAAGCGTTTGTCACAGGAACCACCGCAGGCCAGCCTATGATAGAGGGGTCGAGTTCATCAAGAGAAGAACACTAGTGAGGATATTCACTGTCTAATCGTTCTCATAGTCGAGTTGTGCATCTAGATCTAGAATGAATCAGAAATGATCCTAAACACTTCTTCGCTTCAACAATTTCTAAGCGCAAATCAGAAGTAGATGTAGAACTACAACTACGTTGGCGGGGTCTACAATCTTTCTTAGGTAAAAAACCTAAACGTCACAACTGCAGAGGTTCTTGCACAGACAACATAGTCATAGTATTCTTGCCAATGTTATGAGAACAAGGACGTACCACTTTTATACGAACAAGGACGTCGAAGAACAAATTCAAGATGTCATCGTCTCCCTCGTCGTCCTCTTCTTCTACCAGATCCAGAACCGACGAATCAAGCCAACAAGATGTCGCCTTTCTGCAAAGCCATGAGGAGTCTGCACTCCATAGCATGCTCACAGGAGTCGCCGCTGGGGCTACCTGTGTCATCGTTGGCTATCCGCTAGACAGTATCAAAGTACGTCTCCAGAGTGGTCGAGGAATGATGGGTCGGGGATCATCAACACAACAATACCACAATTACCGAATGTTCGTGTCATCATTGTTTCGCGGCATTGCGGCACCTCTCACTTATGATGTTGATGTTGATCATATGATGTAAAAAAGCGCGGACGTTGTACTAGAGCTGTCAGGATTGGAGGAAGTGTCAATGCTCCTCTCAAGTGTCAAGAGGTGAGCCGCATGCGGATACTTAGTTTCACTTGACGTGCCTTATGCAAGAACAAATACATACTTATAATAAGGTCCGAGACCGGCCAGGTTCTCAACTCACTTGCCAAAGGCCAAACTTTTGACCAAAGGCCAAACTTTTGAAAAATCTCAAATCTTTTGCAAAGCCCCAAACTTTTTGTCAAAGCCCAAATTTTTCCAAAACCCCAAAATTTTTGCCAAAGCCCAAACTTTTAAAAAGTCTCAAACTTTTTGCCAAAGCCCAAACTTTTTGCCAACGCCCAAACTTTTTGCCAAAGCCCAAACTTTTGCAAAACCTCAAACTTTTTGCCAAAGCCCAAACTTTTTGCCAAAGCCTAAACTTTCGCAAAGCCCCAAACTTTTCCCAAAAGCCCAAACTTTTCCCAAAGGCCCAAACTTTTTCCAAAAGCTCAAACGCTTCCTAAAGCCCAAACTTTTCGCCAAGCCCCAAACTTTTTCCAAATGCCCAAACCCTTCCCAAGTCCCCAACTTTGCTTTGCCCAAAAGCTCTAACTTTTTCCAAAGCCGAGCCCAAACTTTGCCCAAAAGCCCAGCGTAAAACAAACCCTCTCCAAAGCCGAGCCCAAACGCTGTCCAAACGGCAGCCACTGCCACAGCCACGGCACCAACCACGGCACTAGCCACGGCAACCAACGGCCACGGCCGCGGCACCAGCCACAGCCACAGCCACGGCACCAGCCACAGCCAGGGCACCAGCCACAGCCAGGGCACGAGCCACAGCC